AAAGAAAAGAGAGATGGAGAAAAGGAAGAAATGAGACGAATGAGATGAAATCGCTTCGAGTCGTATGAACCAATGAGTGAGGGCGATATGAGTGCCAGTCCATTGATGATGATTATTCAACGACCTGGATTAGGGCACTCGGCGCGTCTGCAGTATCCTTCCCATGTCTGAGTGCCTTGGTCTTCGATTTTGGAGCAGCCACAGCTGGGCTTGCGCGCGGACTCTGTGACGGTGCAGCCACAGTGGGTGTAGTGCTGTCGAATGATCCAGACACACATGTTGATTGTTTCGGGAGAGAAAGTGGCGTTGGAGTACAGTGTAGAGAGCGTAGAGCAGAGAGATCTACTGGACGAGTTATTCCGAATTGGACTTGGCTCACTGGGAGAAAGAGGGCTTGTCAGTACTCTGCGCAGAAGCTGTGGTCTGTCTGCTTGGGAATGGCTCTTGCGTACAAAGCTCGATCGTTTGATCCTGTTAGCGTGGAAAGGATTGAGACGCTGCTTGTGTCTACAAAGCTCAAGAACTGAAGATGGTACGGGTGGGAGTGCTCAAGATGAGTGAAGGAAGCTGTCTGGAGGAGATTGTGGGATGGTGCTCTTGGTATTGAATGCTGAATGAAGCTTGGGAGGAGATATCGAGAAGCACAGCAGGTGTGTTTGTCGTTTATATATCTTGTGGAACGAAAGCCTCGGGACTGCGTAGAGGCTGTGAATATACATTCGGGTTTGTTTGCTCAGAGCAGGCGTTCGTTCTTACCCAGGAACAAAGCCCCTTGAGGCAGAGTACAGGTACAGGTCCCCGACGTCAACTGATGTATGGCTGTTGGGTGTTTGCTTCTTCTTCTTCGGGACTTGCCAGACGCATGCGCACGGCTGTTGGATGCACATTTGCATGGCCCCAGAGACATGACAAGGAGACGAGGAGCCGACATGTACGTTAGTTCGCCACCGATGTTCTGCTCGTATGTGTACGTGCGGCCGTTGTTATGTGCGGTGCCGCGGGATGGTGTTAGCTGTTCGTTTTGTGTCTACTGGGCGGTCGGTGCGAGGTTTCTGTCTGCCTTCTGGCCCGTTCTCTTCGCCAGGGGGGCATTTTGTTGTTCTAGGAAGAAGGGGGAGGCAGTGAGGCGGCATCAAGTAGCCCTGACCGGACCACGAGGCATCGCAGAATCGGCAGTTTGCACAAGGCCATGTCAAAGCCCAGCTGTGGGTGTACCCGGTCGGCAAGCAGGGCCTAGATGATGCTGATGCTCAGAACCAACAACGTCTGGGGCGCCTGGCCCCCCCCTGTCCATGTACGTGTATGTCCGAGTGCGTGTACTTTGACGCAGCTTGGATGATGCGAGCTTGACTGCATGTGTCTAGATGCATGAATGCGTGGTGGAAGAATCTTTTGCATCTTTTTGGTGTGGGGGGTTGGGGAGATGGATGGATGGGCAGAGATTGGCCGTCAGTTCAACTCCGTCTTTGAGGAAGAAGACGAAAGTGGAGGCGATTTGCATCTAAGATTCTCAAGGCCTAGCCCCCACCGGGCCTGCAATTCGAAGACACCAATGCGAGGCGTCTGGAGCTACGATGCAGGAGCCGCAATTGGTGCCGTGATGCGATATGGCTAGGCAATGCCTAGGGCTCTAGCCCGAGTGTCAATGCCATTCTGTAGTGGGCGAGGAGTGACATTGTGGGCATTGGCAGCTTCACTATTCAGAGACACGACTCCAGCTGGCGATGATGCCGTATTGCTTGGGCTTGTGGTGTTGAAGTCGACGTTGACTGTTGATGTCATCCGAGTCATCGCAAAGAGTCATTCAAGCTGGATAAAATAAATTTCGCTTAATTTCGCCTTCTCCTTCCGGCCTTCTCCCTCCGTCATTGACCAGAAAAACTACACGCCCATGCGCCCCCCCATTTGCTCGACTTGAGGTTGTTGGTTGTGTCTGGTTGAAGATTTCAAGAAGGCGGAAGAGCCGTTTCGACTTACATGCCCACACGCTAGAAGGGCCCTTGCAAGATCTTGACTACACGGACACGGACACGGACAGCGCGGTGGAGTCACAAACAATGACCGTCGTGTTGTGTGCCGCAGGAGAGACGGGAAAAACATGCCTTGGGTGCATGTAGCCGGATCGTCATACCAGCTGCCCACATCTCCCATCTCATATACGAGTTTACGTCTGCATGTATGTACAGACAGTACCTGGGGAGAGAGGTGGAAGCAGGGACAGGGGCCACGGAGACGAGGGAGGGACATGACTCTTTTCTTCCTTGAGCCGGAAGAAATGGGCTCGAGCTACATGAACTAGGTATGCAAGTAGCACTCTGCAGCGGCCATTGAGGGGAGAGGCAACGAGAGCGGAGTGGAGAGGGATCGTAGCTACATGATGGCTACGACTAGTGAGCAGATCAGGGATCTGGAAGGGGGGGAGGTGCGGATAGAAGAGCTGCAAAGTGTGTAGAATCATCACATCGTGTGCGTGATATTGCGGTCCGAGAGAGAACAGAGACGCCAGCGCAACGAGAAAAAACGGGACGCGCGGGTCACACCAGAGAGGCCATCATCGACGGCCACTTTTCTTGTCGTGGTGACTTGGCGCGCTCACCGAGAAAGCCAGTGTCACCGGAGATGTCCAGCATCTTGGCTTCACAGGGCGGAAGACCGTGTATGTAGTCTTGGTCTGACACCAGCATCACGACTGGCCGAACTGGATCATGAGCAGGATTCAGCATCATGCCAGCTTCACACATTCCTCGTCGGAGAACAATCCGGTGGCAGAAGAGCCGGCTCCTGAATACGTTTCCCGCGAACCAAAATGTGCTTGTTGGCCCTGGCCAGTTTACCCAGCCAGGCAAGGCGTTGCTGTGTGTTGCGCCTCTAAAAAAAACCGACGGGGGTATCGCAAGCGTTAGACGCCCTGTGGATCCAATGGATGTCGCACATGATCCGCAGCGAACAGCGTCTTATTCTACTTGTGGCATAGCCGGTGAAGCTATCGCCAGATACGCCAGCCCAGGTACCTTGGAGACTTGAAGCACGGCAGATACACATGTATCGATGCTTTGTGTGCGGTGGACGGCGAAATACAATTGCCAGACCAGGCGGGGATCAACTGCTTTCCTCAAATCTCGGCCAAACCAAAAAGTCTGGTCTGTCCAACAGCAGAGAATGCTGGCTGTATTGCGTCTACTTGGACCGGGGGTGAGACGACGCTACATGTTAGCAGCAGTTGGGGCCACATGAAGCCATAGCAGCAGTGGATGAACATTTGGAGAGGAGAAAAAAACTCTCAACAAGGCGCAATTTAGTTCCTAGGTAGTTACTCGTATGTGCCTAAAAGCGCATCAATACATGACTCCTTGAATGGTTAATTATTCCACATTCTATTCTCCAATGCCTCAACGATGGCTGTCAAGCCTGAAACCTTTCCATGTCACTGTTTGTAGTTCGCGTTGCTCTCCTTCAGCCGTTCGTCTCCTCGTCACTAGGCACGAAATAATGCCCGCAGATGTCGATTTTTGGTGGCCCCTGGATAGAGGGACCCCCGAACCGAGGATTGATTAGCGACATCCGGATGAGACGTGGTGGCTTTGCTCTTGTTGACGCGAAGAACGCCGTGATGCGGGCTGTTGTGGCCCAATGCGGAAGACCAGCGTTGCATCATGAGCTCAAACGGGCGAGTCGTCTCGCATATCGGAGCCTTTGTTCCATTGCAGCGCGGCTCTCTCACGTCAATCCGCGCTCAGCGACGCCGGGGGCTCGGTCAAAGAAAGCCTGCGCATCACCCCCAAGGATCTACGCTCAGTTGAGTTGAAACAAAGGCCATTGTGGCAGTGGCGGACAAAAAGCTGCTGCGCCAGAAGCCCTATTTTGGTCCTGAGCGTGCAGATGGCGCCTGGGTATCACGGCCCAGCTGCAGCTCTCACGAATCTCGGCGTCTGGATTGGACCCGCGCGGCCAACACGGCTGATACTCATGTGGGCTGTGGCGTTGACGTGGAGAAGTCGAACCAAAAGGAACCTCTAGCTGGAGCAAACGGCGAGCGGGGGGTTCGGCAGCTTTTTCAATAATAGAGGTTTGGTTTGACGGGGGAGTTGAGAGACTCTTGACAGTTGTTGCTCTTTGGCCCCCACCTCCGATATAAGGCGTCATGAGTTTGAGATGAGATGGGGTTGTAGCCGTGTCACGCCTTGGTAAGCATGGCAATTTACTACAAGATGACACAATGACTTGTGTGTTTTATCCTTGTGAAGATACTAGGCGAAATTGCATGCATTTTTGTTTCACTTGATAGGTAGCGTGTTGTATGAGGCGATGGAGAGATCAATGCGGATGCAGATCACCTCGGCGAGTGCCGGCCCCCGGGGAGATCAAGATCTACAAAAGTGGCAGCGGTGGTACTTTCAAACAGATGCTGATTGAATACATGCATGCATCGTCATCATGCCGCCTCATGTTGTTTGCCGTAGCAGATTGCAAACGCCGCGTTTGTGCCTTGGCCCAGGTCTGACAGAGCAGCTGTCATCGGAAGCAACGCTGCAGTCTGGCTCCGATCTACATGAGTCTTGTGGTGGTCCTCAGCTGGGGGGTCGGAGATGGGGGCTTTAGCGATTGACTCCGTGGTTGGGACGATAGTGTTTGGTACATGTGCCCAGATTGCCAGATGACTCAATGTTGCTTGTGCTGGCAAATCGAAATCCCGAATTGATGCTGCAGTACATTGTCTCACCAATCTCACCAATGGTAGGCTGAAATGTGGCTTTGCACTGCTAAATGCTACCACTTCCAGAACTCCAGATTCCGGTTCCTGGGGCTGCTGAGCCTCACAGCGACCTGCCAACGCATCCAAGCTCTGACAATGTCCATTGGGCCTGTTTTTCTGGCTGTTGCTCTCCATCAATCAATTCTGTCATGGAACTCAACTGATTAGCCGCTCCAACGCCAGCCTGCGCCGCGCTGCTCGAGGCAAAAATAGAAGAAACACCTCAAGCAAAGCACAGCCGCCGAGCATGTATGCAGGTACCGAGATACTTGAAGCCTTTCCAGGCACAAGGCGGTTCTTTGGCGGGGTCGGAAGCGATCCTGCGCTGTCATTGGCCAGCTGGCGGCATGTCAGCCTGGCACGCGCGGCTGTGAAGGGCGGCTCTGGCTTTTCCTCCATTCACGCTTTGGACACAAGCGACTTCTTCCAGGGATCGCGAGGCGCCAACGAACCGCCCTCAAAGAAAGATGGACAGACAGACAGAATAAGCGCATCTCGACACGTTTGCTCTCCTGATGTATGTCGACCGCATACCGGCCTCATGTCGTCATTCCTCAACGACCTCCAGTCCGGTCTGGATTGGCAGAGACCAGACCGTCGTGGCTGGGGCTTTACCTCAGCACCAACGCCTGAGACGCCGCGTTAGACGCCTGATAGGAACAGCTCCCCCAATGGCAAGACTGCAATTCACGACTACTTTCGCTTATTGTTACCTACCTGTTCTTTCTGCTGATTCCAATATCGGACTCGACTGGGCCACTCCTCTCCTCTCTTTGTTGTCTTCTTCTTCGTGTTGGTCGTGCACCTGCTAGGTTCGTCCAGTCGACGAATCCGCGCGCGCGGTGCCGCTGAGGCTGGGACAACATCATAGACTCACCCCATCCGCCTTGCTTGACTGGCTCAGGGGTTGTCAATCATTGAACCACGCCGAGTCTTCCCCCGCTCCGGCCCGCTGTGTGTTGGTTTCTTCGTGCCGTGCTGCGGACAAGGATTGAGGTGGTGATGGCGTTGTTGCGGGATAGCTCGCTCTCTCGATGATATCGCGGGCAGTGGCTCGCAAACTGGAAGAATTTGGAGGAACCAACCACTGGCCAGTCTCATGCATGGTGCTACAGATAATCGCCCGTTACTCGCTGCATGTCCACATGCCGAGGCTGCGTTTACGGACTGCCATACTTGCTGTCTGCCTTTGTCTTCGCCTCGCTATAATTGGGCCACTTGAGCCCCTTGGCCAACTCCAAGTCCGGTCCCAAGATGTGGTTGATTGTCCACATGAACTGGCCAAGAATGCGGCCGACGATGAGACCGACCCCCTTCGTGCGGCTGTCGTCATCTTCCCGCTCAAAACTCAATGCGGCCTTCCATGCGACCCTGATAATTGCCGCACCCGGCAATGCGAGACGGATGGCCGTATTGATGACCGTATATCTAAGCAAGATGTCCTTTGCATCTGCCAGATCAGCCGACACGTCTCTCGGACACTTCAAGAGATGCTAGTGATGCATGGCGCAGCATCTCTTGGGTCTTTCCCTGTTTGATCCGGCAAGGCAGGCTTCAATGGCCTTACTCTCGGTGCCAATGTTACTCCGAGCCAGCTTACAGCTCCTACCGTGTTATCAAGCATGCGTTGCATCATGATACTTGCTTCCGTCCGTGATGTAGTGACCCGAGATCCACACGCAGCCACACCGTGCAGAGCTGACCCAACAGCTTGACCCCAGCACATTTCACATTAGTCAAGTGATTCTGCTCCCAGTTGCAACCTGCTGATATTACTCTATGCAGCACGAACCGGGACATGTTAGCATGGTCCAATGCCCACGCAGAACCAACAAGTTATGCAATAGTATCCCGAAAGGGCAGCGTCATCGGGTCCTCATTCAGACTTTGCCGCCTTGTTCTTCTGATTAAGGCGTAGAAGCTATGCCCAACTACAACCATTCAAGTCATCATTAGGTCACAAAGTACTAAAAGTGCCTGGCACTGCCGCGACTTGGCTGACTGACTGACTGCTATGTATAGTTCCAGCAGATGAACAGGTCTATAACTTGACAAAAGGTGTATCAACGATATTCTCGAGCCGTCTCTGTTATTCAATTGCTTTATCCTGGTGAATCGGTATTGGTATCTCGACTTCAACACTCTAGTTACGTCGGACTTTTACCTTGATCGCCATATACCAACCCATTTTCATCATGATCCAATAGGGGGACAACATGGCCGACATTGGAACTTCTGCAATGGAATCAGTCATTGGGGGCCAGAGGGTCTTGGCCGCTGGACAAAATGTCATCAGTGCATATCTATATTGACTCAATGCCTGTCCCATCTTGCATATATCCGGGCAAGAATTGATTCCAATGTCGTGAGCGGACATAGTCCCGCATTTGCCGAAGCAGCTGCTGTGAGACTAGACGAAAGGGTCTGGCAAACAAGAATTTATTATCCTTGGCTTAACGCGCGTATGGCCCTTTCGAGAGACGCAAGCGACTGTCTAGATAATCAACCAACAAAGACTCAATATCAGTTTTCCCATTCATGAGCGTTGCACTTATGGCGGCTACAATGAGGTTGCCACCCACGCCGAGCATCTCGATGTGACGCTGTTAGGGCGCCGGCTGACGGAACCAATCAGAGCCCATTTTAAGCGCTTGCGATTACCACTCGCGGTAACTCGACCCACTGAGGCACGAAGAGCTTAGACCGAAATCGGGCTGAAGCTCAGTGTGGATGGCTTTGAGAGTTGAACTTCACTGGCGAGAATGCTGCATGTAAACGCCTGCTAATATGATGGACTGATGGGCCAAAGAAAGCGACATAATGAGAGCAATATATCGACTCCTAGTGGGTGTAGTACGACAAACCAATCTTCTTTACGACCCTAATCCCAATACTTCATCTCCGAGGAAATCGGCGAGAGGACAGACGGGCTACGAGCAAAGGCCGGCCCGATGTAAAAGACGGCAGGCGGGCTTCGTTTTGCTCTGCAGCTGCAATATGCATGGTGTTTCCTGCATCTTAATTGACGCAATCACCAACAGATTGTATGATTCTGGTTAGATGGAAACACAAGTGCGGCCGCGGGACTTGGGCATCGACGTCTGCTTATACACACCCCTCCTGGGATCATAGTGCCCGCGTGTCTCCTCCGGGGCCCATGGCTTTCCGGTCTGGGGCTATCGTCACTAGCCATGTAGGAGGATTTTGCCATCTATCATGTTCGTATTTCGGACATGGGGACGAAATCTTCCACATTTCTACGTTACGGCCGGGCTGCGGACAATCTTGTCGATGAGCTGATGTCATTGCCTTCTTCTAATCATGCTACTATTCTTCATACTTGTTAGATTCAAAATGCTAAACACCAATAACTAATTCAAGATATAGTACGGGGAAATATTTCCAAATCTACTTCTGTTAGTGAATATTATCACAGATTTCACGCAATTCTACCATCACTTTCCTAATTATTTACACTATAGTGCACACCAAATCTATTACTTCATCACCTAAACCACTCAACCATAACTTCTTTCCACCCCTCCACCATGAAAATGATCATTTACAAACCAAATGAATGCATCCAGCCGAGAGATGGATTGTTCTTAGCTCTCTTCTCCTCCGTCTTTGTCTAGTCTCTGTATGAGGACTTGCCCTGGCCATCCATTGGCGTCGAAAGTCTCCATCCGCTTGAAGCCTTGTGACTCATAGTAACGAACTAATCCCCCACTGCCACCAGCATAGCAATCGAGTCGAAGCAAGGACACGCCAGCCTCGCGAGCCAGTGCGCGCGCCTTCTCCAGCAGAAGCGTGCCGATTCCCTTGCCGCTGGACGCCCGATCTGACGCGAGATATCTGACGTACAGCTCGGGCTCGGCCGCTGGCTGAACGTAGTGATTCGCTTGGCCGACGGTTATGGCGCCGACGACGCCGTTGATGACGGAAAGCTCCTCGTTTTCTGCTCCGTCGCCTGGTTTCGGGGGCGAGTAGTTGGCATCTACGGCGATCCACGTCCCGCCTGACTCGGCGAGCTCGGTTGCCTGCTTGATCCTGGCGGGGTTGGTTGAGTGTCTCTTGGTGCCCCATTGTCCGGTTTGGCCTTTCTTTACGAGCCAGGCTGTTGCGATGTCCATGAGTCTTAGCATGGCGGGGACATCTTCGACGGTTCCTGGGCGTAATGTCACGCCGTCTATAGTAAGTTTTTGAGGTGCGTTTCTAGTGAAGAAATTAGCCTTCATCACTTGTGTTCGAAATGCAGTTTAGTTATTCGGCATACCCTTCAGACATGATGTGTATGCCGGTAACAGAATGATGACTTGAATCCTGAATGAACTTGAGATTTCAGAACAAACTTGTCTACTCGCTCCAGTTTGTGGTGTCAGAGTTTGAACGACTTAAATATCTTTCATGTTAACTGTTAAGAAGACCAAGTAATACCAGATAACCGAGGCAGGAATATGTATGTTGCGAGCATGCGTATTGCAGGTGAGCATGTGTACGTAAGTGTGTATAGAAGCGTGAACTCGTGCTCTTAGCGCTATTCGGCCAATCATCGGGAGGGGTACCCCGCGAATCCATATCATCCCCAAGAACCCTCTCGAACTTGATAGATGCACTATGCTAGACTACTATGCTGAATTCTGGCAAGGCATGCGTAATCGACCGCTCAGCGTATACGTATTGGGTGACTCTTCAGGAGACACGTGGCAAAGACGAGTGAGGTCAGAGACGAAGGAATCCGAGTGCCCCGCCAATCACCATTCAATCCAGGCACCTCAACAAACTTGAAAGATTAGTATATCTCAAGAATTAACATCTGTTGGGCGGTCTCTTTGATGAATTAACCGAGCTACACTTAGCATCCTGAATTTGAAGCGTTTGCGTCTATTGTATCGTAAAAACTCTCACGGTCTTTCCAAACAGGCAACATGTGCTGTAATTTGAACTACAGTTTTCAATGATGGCGCACACTCGAGCTTTAAGAGTCTAAACCTACCTAAATAATATAGAGTGGCGAGAGCTGTACCCATAGCCTACTTCCGGTGTAGCAGTTTACGCCGAAGCGGTGTTCCGGGAGGGACTGCCGAAACGGAGGGGATGCTGCGGAGTGCTCCACCGTTGAGGCGGCGCCGGCGGCCGGAGTGAGCCCCGTCGGCAAACCCTTGTCGTGATGTAATGGACATTTTGTTTCATCTCAATGACGTCGTCAAGTTGAAATAAGCTCGTCACATGAGTCTGAAGAGAGAAAAATTGGCTTGAGATTATTTGTTGTTATGGGATTACTATTCTCTGCTACCATCGCTACTCATTATAGCTCTGCTGCTCTTCAGTAGTATCTGCTTGAGACATAGGATGCCGGATAGCTAACTCGGGGTACTAGATAGCCACCCCTAAGCATCTCAGCTTCATTATTTCTTTCACGCACAAGGTACAAGTTTTATGAAGATATACTATAGCTTCCCTCCTATGATACAAAATATGCCACGTGCCACAATCGCAGTAGGATCGAGTTGAGTGTTGACCACGGCCAATAAAGGATATTGGACCAACATAGAAGCAAGTCTGCAATTAAAACTAGGAATCATCACCAGTAGGTAGGTTTTACACTTCCTCTCTATTTCAGCTTTCTCTTATGCTTGAATACTACAAAGGTTCAATCAGCTGGGAGAGCTAGTTCAATGATAAGTCGTCCCTTTTAGTCATCTTGTAAGAACTCCTCTAGCAACCTCACAGCTATGGCGGTGAAATCTTTTTCGTATGGCTGCTATGTTGATGCGGATTTTATCATGACTCGCGCTTGTCACTATCCGGTAAAAGAGACAGGGAGTGACTTGCCAGCCTCCGGTATCTACCGCCGTTGCTACTCTTTCTGTTGACTATTTCTAGTGACAGCCATTACTACAATCCTTCAAATGACAGCCATGGGCACCGTCAACAGGATTCTCGCACGCATTCACCATAATGGCCTGGATTCACCATAGATGGTGACGAGACTCACGACACTTCCAACCAAAAGCTCGTGCAGAAACTTGACAGTAACAGCAGGGGCACTCTACCCGAGAAAGACCAAGTACATTACCTCTGCCGTTTCTACCCGCGTCGTGCTCGCTAGATTTTCACCCTCGGATCGCCTTCACAGGCCAAACGTCATTAGGAATAGCGAGGATGCAGCAATCGGCCAGCTTCGGGATGGCAAGCGTCCTCTCGGCCGGGCAAGGGTGCAAAAATCTGCGAGGGCACATCTCGGGTCTCGGGATCGAGAAAGTGGCATGTTCCGACGCGGATATAACATGGGAAACCCAGAAAAGGTTAAAAAAAAATCCTTACTCTTCCAATGTCAGGAGATCTCAAGGCCAATTCCCAGATCTAATGTATCTACTCCCCGCATTCTGGGCTCTTGGCCCACAAGACACATGGGAACAGCAAAAGCTGGGGGTGGGAAATCCCGACAATCGGTTCCGAAAAATCCCTTTGGGTGCCGGAACGCTCATCCAATAGGCCTCGAGGATCGGCCGGGACTGCGGTCTTGACCCCCGGATCTGTGGCATTGTGTGATACTGCCGCAGTGGAGCTCGGCTTCCGTGATGTTGCATCTCCATCTTTGACGTTTGACATTAGACTCTTGGCCCGAGGCACCGTCTTGCTGCTCCGGGTGGCTTCACGCTCGGGGATGACGATGGTTGCCGTCGGCAAATCTCTGGCTCTTTATTTCATGTTTTATGTTTTTTATGCAAATCAACTTGAACTCATCACGTCACTTTGCTTTAAGCCCGATCAGCGCTAGGGCTTTTGCAAATTCGCACGTGGGCTCTTATCTCCAGTCCCTTTGCCGCGAAGACCGCCAGAGCCCGAAAGAACCGGAGGACAAACCAGGCACGGAAAAAAAAAAAAAAAAAAAAAACGAAGTGAGACCCAGGCCGAACCCCGTCCAGGCGTGGGGGGAAAGATCTCTGCCATTGGCGCCAGCAGGGAGCGAAGGGGGCCGCTACCATCCATGGAGAGCTGCATGATGGTCTCAACGGACGAATTATCCCCTGGCTTTTCCCAAGGTTGCTCCTGGATGTGCTGCGGGCGACGTTATGCAGCAGCGCCTGGACCCAATGGCGGCTCGGCCAGGGCCACCGCCATGGACAACCAGAGGGGCAGCGCTGGTGTTCACATGATGATGATGTGTGGTTTTGGAGTGCCCGAGAACCTTTGAAGGCTGCTGGTTGGGAGGCGAAATGGCTGCCCGTGTGTCGTCAGATCCGTCGCCACGTCTCAGCCCACCTCCTGTTCTGCGACCTCCCATGACACCCCCCTTTGACGGCATGCTATGCTATACTATCCATATCCGTGGCCATGGCCATGACAATCTCTCTCAAGCATCCGTGCTCCCGATCTTGCGCGGGTCCCCCCATGTCATCCGTGTCGTTACTGTAGGACTAGCGCTGTCTGGAGCAGTTGGCGTACACACTCGTACTGTACCTCCTTGGGATGTACTCGTACCCAAATTGCTGTGACACCAGTGCCCAGAGCTTGGTGAGCATAAAGAGCACGTAATCCGCTCTTCCGTGGGCTTCTTTCCTGCTCTTCTCTTCATTCATCATCCATCCTCCACATATATATTCCCAAGTTTCTCTTCCTTTCATCTCTTCTCTCATCATCATCCAACCTCCCTCGTCAACAATCTCTACATACAATCTTGCTTCCTCGCCTTGCCATCTCTACCAAACTCTATACTCTAAACATCCACAACACTCAACATGTCTCTCGACTTTGCCCGTGCTGCTCTGGCTGAGCGCCGCCCTTCCTTCTTCCTTTCTTTGGCGCCTGCTACGTCTTCCTCATACCCGCAACCTGAGAACAGACGAACCTCTGTTGCCGAGGGTTCGACCAGGCCTCGACGAGCTTCCATCAGCTCCCCTACCGGTCTCAGAGTCCTCAAGCTCGGCCCCGTCTACTACGGTGAACACATGGGCCAGAACAAGGACGACTTCTACGATGTCCCGTCCTCTCCTCCTCTCCCGGCCGTCACCCCCTCTTCTTTCCTTTCCCTGGCACCGGCCACTTCTGCCTCCTACCCTCAGATGCCCGCCAGCAACCCCGTTGCCCTTCCTGAGAGGCGACGATCCTCTTCCAGCTCCACCACCGGCTTCAGGGTGTTGAAGCTGGGCCCCGTTTACTGGGGACAGCACGCCGATGATCACAAGGACGACTTCCACGACGTTCCCTCTTCTCCTTAGAGTGGGCAATTGCAACTGAAATCAAGGACAAACACTGGGAATTAGCGATTGATCTTTTATTTTCATCATTTTTTTTTCTTTCAGCACCCCACGAGGGATGAAGCGAGCGAAGCTACTGTTTATTATCAAGACACTAAAAAAAGTTTTCGGCAATACACACAAAAAGTACAAGCCGCTATCAAAATAGCGGAAATGACTCGAGAGAGACAGATTTTACCCTCTCCGCCGGCATTGGCGCCAAATGCTAGCGCCTGATGCTCCTGGCTTGGCATATGTTATTGGAATGGATGGATGGATGGATGATCCGGGCGAATTGGGTTTCTTTTTCTTTTTCTTTCTTTCACTGGCGAATGATAGGAACTTCTATGGAAAAGAATGTAACAGTTTGACGGGGCTATTTTAGGTATCACCTAGTTTGCAACATTGTGCTACGGGAAAGCTTCTTGGACAGATTGGTTTAGCAAGATATGCAGTATTGGAATCAAGACACAAGAAACTCTTTTGACCTAACCAACTACGGCCCAACACTTAATTTACTGTTGCTTTTGATCCTCTTCGTGGTGGTGATGACGCCTCCCGCTCTTGGCGTGGGATTGTGTCTCAGTTTGGAGCGACGCTGTTGGTGCAATTGCGAGCGAATGTCAGATTAAGCTTGAAATGCCGTGTCTCTGGTAACGCGAGGGAACGCTGGTGTCTCTGCGTTAAGATTTCTGTGGCACTTTGGGAGCGAGACATTGTGGCGAGGCTGCTTGGCAGCTAGGGAGCACCTAGACAGCTGGGGGGGATTCACGGAGTTTGCAGTAGATGATTGTTAATACGGGTACTCCGTACAGAGTACTAGGTAAGGTATGATTCGTTGGACCTTGTTTAACAAACATCTACATCTACATGCTGTACAGGTACCTTGGTAGGTAGCACTCCGTGACCTCCGTAACATTAGTAGGTATGCCAAAAAGAGAGTATGGCGATTCAGGGGTCCGGGGCGAGCTGCGTCGCTCACTAATACACCAAAAAAAGATTATGACAGAAACTCCACGGACTCTTCCGTCCGAGGGATCCCAGATAATACGGCCATCCGACTCTTCCACTTGACCGCCCGGTGATAGCCGGGGGAGTAGGTATGGCAAAGAAAATATTTTCTTTTCTTTGGCTCGTGTCACTTCACTTCCCCTGTGAGCTGCAAGATGTATAAATAAATAAAAATCTTTCACTAGGCTGTGTATTACAGTAGCGAGCGAACCAGCTGCTCGCAGTGAGAAAAAATGGTTCGCTTTTTATGCGAGCATAGCATGATGTGAGCGAGATGGATGGGACGCCATGGCTGGATTGGGTTACTCTGAGGCGGGATTCCGAGGTATTGGGATGGCAAGCATTTGCTGAGCTGCGAGGGATGGGGATCTAGAACTAGAACCAACCCCCTTGTGCTGCATTGGGGAGAGCTGTATGTAGTACCTTGTGAATGCATGTATGTATGTTGTATGGATGGCTGTAGTGTGATGTGTGAGAGCATGTCTGTGTGCTGCAGGGGGTTTGAATGCAGAAAGTGAAGTGAAGAGTGACGAGATAAGCGGGGTTTTCTGTACTCTTCTCTTCGGTCTGCAGCTTGATCAATCAATGGATGTCTTTTGCCAGAGTTTTGTGGTTGGTTTCGTTGATCCAACGGGCGAGATGGTGATACCAATGGTCATCCTGGATGCCAAAGTACACGAGTCTGCCACACTGCAGCCTATAGTAGTACTTAGGTAGTAGATGCAACACGAAATCTGGCATCTGGTAGGCTGTTTTTTCTTCTTCTTTTTTTTTTTCACTTCGCCAAGTGCGGGGAGGGCGAAATACCGCCGCGAACAGAAAATCAACCCCCCCACGTTCAATCCTCGCCGTCCGTCTTCTTTTCCTTCATTTCATTGTTGCTTGGCGGCGCCTCCCTGCCTTCGGGTATCGCTCCCTGGTCAATCCGAAACGGCCGTCCGTCGCACAACAGAGGAGAGAGGAAAAGTACGCCGTGGCTACATGGCAAACTTGCGGTGAATGAGAGGGGAGGGGAAGTAGATGCCGAGTAGCGAGCGGCTGAGGGAAAGAAAAGGCACATCTACGATAAGGACTCCTGTAACTGCTGCAGTGGCTTCTGTTTCTGCCAGGTACCACCACCGGCCATCTGCTAGTACGAGTACATGGGAAGCAGCACTCTTCATATATACATCAATAGGTACCTAAGTTAATTGGGGATGCTCGATTGGCCATTTCCCAGAAAATGAGAGAGCAGGAAGGGATTTAACCAATTGGAGAATTGGAAAATGCAACCCTACGCGTTAAAGTCGTTGGTAGTGGTAGGTACGTACTCGCACTGGCAAAACAGCTCTACCTGCTATAACTGTAACCGAGAGTGTGAAGGCGGAAGGAGGCAGGAGGCAGGAAGAAGGAGGCAGGAGTGACGGGTGACGGAGCGTTGGCGGACGTGCAACGGGGCAGGCAGGCACGTTGCGCAGGCATTGGCAGGAGACGATTGGGGGCGCCAAGCCCAATTCTGTAGGCAGGCAGCCGGATTTCTCATCATTCTCTCCTCTCCCTCATCTTTGCCTATCACGCTCATCTGTCGTGTCTTGTGTTGTACGTGGATCCTGCGAGATACGAGCATCTGAATTTTTTTACCCTTTTTTTGCCATTGACGTGTGCCTTGCAGCTGCAGTGGCGAAGCAATGGCCTGGACTGTACCCTTGTGTACCTGTACAGCAGCCATGCACATTGCTGGAGTCGTCAAGCATCGAACACGGAAACGCCCCGAGAGCTCCGTCATCAACGTCTTTTGCTGCTGCATTGATTGCGTCGCACCTCCATGGATGCCTCGGGCGGACAGGGAGGGACCTTGAGGGACCCTGATCTGATCAGAGGCCGTTGACCCCACATGAGATCTGAGGAGCAAAAGGGGGCCCTTGAGCCTGACTCTGGCCAGTTGAGCTGCTGGGGCTGGAGCTGGAGCTGCTGGAACGCCGGAGCCAGGACCAGACTTGGGCCCTTGCCCCTGTCACGCGCGATAACGTTGCACAAAGTCGCCTCTGGTGTACTATCTCCGGTGATCGTGGCCAGGGTGCTTTACCATGGCCTGAGATAGTCTCACTGAAGACGATGGTGCTCCTGCTGCTACGAGTACTACTACTATTCATCATAAAATGCCATTGATAGTGCTGGCTGCTACAGACGCACGTCAGAGCCCTACAGCGAGATACCAGTATGCAGACAGCCCTTTGGAGGTGGATTCGCGGGTAGGGTTTTGATGACGGCATCCGCCATCTCGATCTCGACTTGATATGCACACGCAACACACACACACAGTACCATATGCAGGCTCATCCTGCCAAGCTTCACACCAAACACTCCTACAGTGCACGTCTCAAACTGGCGCGATACAAGGTTGTTGGGAATAGTAGCTGGTTAATCCGATCAAAGCATCACCTTGTTGGATTTTAGCAGCGAGTTTCAGTGTTCTATCCATCAGCGAGGTCGACTTAATCATTCATCAGCTGAGTAAGAATCAGAGCTGTCACCAGCCACGCAAAGTTAATTCATTACGGCCATGTCATACTAAACCTTATCAAACATTTGCACAGGGCTTCTTCAGATTTGACACATCTATTGATCTTTTCGGCTATTTGCCGTGATCTACGGGCAGCTAAAAATAGCGTCCATCATGGAGATTCAATTCCGTGTAATGCCCGATGGTACATTTGCCTCCAAACCAGATCTCATCTTGCCTATACCAACGACATCAAAAGACGAAATCCGGTGCGTGAAGCCATAGTTGTCCAAAGATGAGATGATACAATGAGCTCTCATCAAGGAGTGAGTTCCAAGATAAGCGAGCTGTATCAATAATAAACACCAACTCCATGTGGCATTTCTCTCAGTATACGCACCCGCATCGTTCTTCCACCCATCTCACCTTGACAACGCGTATGTAGCCGTTGCCTTCACAGCGTGAGCAATCTATCTTGCGAGGGTTCCCATTACGGCAATGTGGGCAGAAGATTGAGGGGCCTTGACAGCAGTACACCCAGCACCTGCCCCGGCAAACATTGCACGACGCCCGGGTTACCTCCTCGGTTGCCATCTTGTACCAACCCTTACCATTGCACTCTTCACAGGTTGGGTTTGGCTTTCGTTGGCGAGAACGGTCAGAGTCCATGGACGACCCGCTTCGAACCGAGCTGCTTCTGCTTGACCGAGGCATTATGAAATGGCAACTTGAGTTTAGAGTGGCCTTGGATACGAATAATTTGTCTGCAAGAGCGATTAGTGTGGCAACCTGAGGTTCTCGGAATTTGCAATCAAGAACTGCCTGACTTGAGGTTAAGATCGAGCTAACAAAGACGTGGAAGCTTGTTGTTGAGTTCATTTACACGCGAGCAACAGCCTAGGATACTGACGATACTTATAGTAATGCTCTTGCGAGTTGACGGCGTTGGGAGATGCTGTTTGTGATGGCATTTTACATCTCTTCATAACCAAACTATGAGGATTGTCGTTATTTGCTGCCACTGTTGTGTATCGTGACACTTGGGAACGGCTTCTAAATGGCTCCCATTGTATGCTGACATTTTGCGAGACAGCGAGATCCATTATCAAGATTTCGAAGAGAGAGAGTAGAGCGCCGAGCCTTCATATTGAGAAATGTTCAAGATGCCCGGCCGTTTGTAGGTAGAAGATGAAGATGCTTTTGACGACTGTGAGTCGTCACATAGGCAGTCGATGGAGCATTGACTCACACATGAAGTACAAGTAGATGGGTACAAAAACGAAAATTCCACAAATAGCCATAAATATTATTTAAGAATAATGGCCAAGCTATAAATGAAGAGGATATACGAGTTGGCGATGCAGTCCCCTTTGTCTAATGGTGGCATAGAGGAATCGATGTACTGAACATGCACCTTGGGCAATTTGCCTACTACCTACCTAACCTATACCAGTACTGAAAACGCTGCTTTTGTCATTTTCGTTGCTATAATTTCACGGAAGTTATCATCAATTACCATCAAGATGTTTTGTAACCAAACAGAAATGGTTGGACAGAAATACGATGTATAACGTCCTCTATTCCTACCGTTTCCGATGTTTGCTATGCGTTACAGCACGTCCACAAGCCTCTGTACGTATGCTGAATCGGCTGGAGAGTAATACAGCGTCATATGCCCAGTAAGTTTTACATGCCAGTATAGATTTACCAAGATAATTGCCTTTCTCATAATGTTCCTACGAAATTCTCGACTATCATTCCGCTAAAAGACTGACTCTTCCTGTAGCGCAGGTTTCCAAGACCATGAGAAAGTTATATCAGCACACCGACGGACACTGTTGTGGACGAAAAACAAACAACAGAGGAGCATGTCTCCCCAGGAACAACATGATCCAACTACACCTGCCAGGCCACCACTCTTCTTCTTCCCTCAGGATCAATCACTTTCAAGATTGCCCTCCAGTCAATCTCAATCACCTCCTCGTCCTGCTTCTTCGCAGCATCATCATCAGTATCTTCATTTCTCCGTCTCAGAAATGAAAGCGAACTGCACTCCTTTCCCTGGTGAAACTCGCACCACGCCCGCTCATGCCTCCCCTTGACCCTCAGCCTCGCCTCTCTTATCCCCGGGTCCGCCAACAGCCTGACCAGCCCTTCCAGCGGCGGCCTATCAAACACTCTCTTCTTCTGCCGCAGAAGCAGTCTCGAAGCCGAATGGGGCCTCTCCTTGGTCCCGGTGCCGTCCTCCACCACCAGAGTCAGATCCCCCAGCTCGCCTCTCACAGCCATGTCCTGTAGGAACGGGCCCAGATCCTCCCAGAGCCATCCCCTCAGCCTATCGATCCTCATCTCCAGCTTTCGTACCCTGCGCCTCGCATCTTGCGACAGGAGGAGGAACCGGCCTCCCGTCTGTCGCAGCAGAAGCTGGCTCTGCGCCTGTTGTTTGCTGCTTCTTTCCGCATCATCCGGCAGATCCTCGGCCGCGTCGTTGATGAAGTGTCGCACATGAGAGGCGTGGTTGCCTGTCAGGTCTAGAATGAATGTGTTTGCCGGTCCGTAGAAGATTGGGTGGGCGATTGCGTATATGGACGGGTGGATGAGGAAGATGGGGACCGGGTTGACGCTGAGGGAGCTGTCTGTGCAAGGACAGAGGGGGATGTTGCCGCTGTTTGGGGCTGTGAGAAGTTGTTGGAGGATGAGCGATAGGATGTCGACTGGAAGGTCGAACAAGTGAAGAGGCTCGGGCATCGTGACTTGATCCCACTCGAGGCCTGTTGGTGTCCTGTCGGTGCCTGTTGTGAGAGGGCAAACTGGCTGTGCAATGTATCAGCCTAACGAGGACAGGCGGCTTGTTAGAGATGTCCTGGGCTTTGAAACAAGGATTCCTTGTGTATTATGTAAATGACAAATGGGGTTTTGCAAATCCAAGATATCTCCAGAATGATGCTTGGGCAGTGAGACTGTGAAGATGGAGAATGTGGGGTGACGGTGTGTATCTTTAAGCCTGGGATTTGCCCTTCGGAGTTTAGAGCGCCGAGTGCGACACTGAAGTAATTGGTCAAAAGTCTACGACCACCAAGTTCCGGCTTGAAGACGCATATGGGGTTTAGAATATTGAACACCATGTACGGAATGGTATCCAGATTAATTAAAGGAGCAAGGAATAACGCTTTGCATGATTGCATCATTGGGAAGAGACTTGGGTGTATCGAGAACATACTGACGGTATAGTAAAGATTCTTTGGCAATATGAGATACGATCGCTATTTGAAGACAAGGTACAATCGTTATTTAAGGATTGTCTGATGATTTCAATATGATCGATATTTGAGCTATTATCGGAAGCAAGTGAATTGTGTATAGCTATGGTAAATAAAGTAGATGTAGGATGCGCTTTTGATTCAAACGCATCATTAAAGTTTGAGTGCGATTGCTGTGCGCATTATGACTGCGACTCCTCAGGTCCAAAAACAGCTGTTCGTAATTCGACGATTCCTTTCGCGATTTGCCTGAAATACTCCCTGAATACCGTATCATCTGTTTCTAGGGCATCAAGTCTTATATTGCATTTCTTGATGGTTTCTTTGTTTTGTTTGTTCTTCAACTTTTGGTTTTGAATTGTCTCTTGAAGTTTCTCAACGGTCTCTTGAAGCTTCGCAATAGTCTGCATGAGCTTCTCAACAGCTTGCTGTGAGTCCATTCTGGCTTGCTTCTCGATGCGGTAGTTTTCTTGTATATGGGCACAGCGGTCTTTGAGTGATCTGATCTGCACGTCGTGGAGCTTTATGCGGTCGAAGTCATGGGCACAAGCTTGCTGATTGGCCAAATGCTCTTTGGCTTTCTCATTTTGTTCTTCGTTCCGGTCCTCGCGATGCTGCTGCTTGTCCTCAATGCAGTCTTGTCCGTCTCCGTCTCCATCTTCATCTTCGATTTCTTCGTAGTATTCAGCTTCGTCGTCTCTCTCGTTCGCTTTGCCATCACATGTCTCAGAGGCCGCGGCACAACAATAGATTTTCGATTTCTTTTGATGTTCGTGCATGGGACTTGTTGTCTTTCTTTTTGCTCCAGCCAACGGAAAACTGGCAAAAAAATCCATCTTGCGCTGCTTTGATGCTTGCTTTGAGCTGGAGGATGGGAAAGTTGTGGTGCTTTGTACTTTGTTCAAGTATTAAAGCGTCTTCTAGAGAACTCAAGTTTTGAGCTTGGCTTGAAGAACGATAAAAATTTTAAAAGGAAGAGGAAATTGGAAAAGAAAAAAGGTGCATCACGTTTGAGTAGAGGAGATATGAGAGCCAGAGGCACGTGATGCATAGAACTGCTGGCAGTTGTCAGTGTTTTCTTGAAGCTCGTGTCAAACGGAAGAGATGTATCGACAAATGCCTGATTTGTATACAAGTAAAGTATCGCGGACTCGTGCATTTACTCAGCAATATTCAAGCCGAAGTTCTTCAATTGGCTGTAAAACAAGCATCCATATTCACTGCCAGCTGTGATAAATCGACTTGCGTAAGATACAAAAACAGGCAACAAATATGATACGGCAAGACCATACCGAGCATATGGGTCCAATTCAATTACCAATCCTGGAGAAGAGTGAATGTAGTAATGCCACAGATGGCCCGTGTATCTTGAGATTTCGGCTATCGAGATTCTAGAGATGGACGAACAATAGACTCGCGTAAAAAGTATTGCAGAAGCATATTGAAAGCAAGCAACAAATATACCGGGGCGAACAGTGCGAACTTTTCCTTGATGGGGATACTAAACTACTACAAACACTATTATTGGGGAACCGAGCAACCACCGCTCTTACAGAGTCAACAGCTTTTGCTTAGCTGGCTGAATTCTGTCTTATTAGACGCAATTTACCGGAATCCAGATGCTCTCGGCCAATACATCTTTAACTCACATAGATTTACTCCTTACCGTTGCATAACGAGAGCAGCTCAAACAGCATGAGCTTGGAACAGGCCTGTATCCAACGAAACCAGCTGCTGCCAGTTGCAAACCAAAATATTTCAAAGGACACGAGTAACGAGTTACGGGGAGACCAAACACCAGCAGATTATGAAGTGCGCATCAGTCAGTTAGAAAGCGCTTTGAAAGCTGCCATTTACGATCGACAACAGCTGATGGAGAAGCACATCGAGGATATGGAAAGAGTGGGGAGGGGCCAACATCAGATTATGGAAAGGCTACGTGCGATGACGGAGGAAAAAGAGGCGACCATGGAAAATATTGAGATGATCAGCTTGGAAATTAGGAAGCTTGCAAAAGCGGAAGGGGATCATCAGTGTAAAAGAGAGAAATCGGACGCTCAAATCTTCGAGTAAATGCAACTCACAGGGCAAAAGGCAAATGAAGAATAAGGGAGGGAAGAGGACTTCAAAAAGGAATGGCGGACAGTTTATATTTCAGTATGGAATTAGGAGCGCATAAAGTCATTAGTGAGGGTATCAGGGTTACAGAGGCATTCGAGGAACTCTATCATGATTTGCAGATAGAGGGAGTCGGATGCGTCAGGATTACAAGGTCATTTGAGATACTTCATCACAGTTTGCAGACAGGAGAAACGAGACATCATTCGCGAGTCATCATCTCGACGCCATAATAACAAATAATGTGATCATCCTTCGTGAAACGAAACTGCAGAGCAAGGGGCCCTTGGAAGAATCAGCATGACATCAAACAAGTACAAAAGCATATATAGTATCCTCAACATTCTCAGCTTTGATCAGGTCAACACTATGGAGGCTTTCTCAACCGCATTATAGTCGCCATCTCCTCCTATCAAAGTTGTTTTCCAACAGCTTCCCACAGAACGCCATCGTCGATGGGGTATCTATTCATTCGTTATGAAGAAGCCAAGATATCGCCCTTCATTATACATTGGATCTGGAACCAGGGGTCAAGTTGGCGTTTCTCCGCTTCGTCAGTATGAGGCTTTTGCCATCAACAACATGCTTTCGATATGCTTCGTCAGCTATGTTGTAGGGTCTGATGATGAATGATCTTGATTCATCTATCTATTTAGAGTTGGCCACCGCCACTTGATGGTTATATAGGCATACGAAGTAATTTTGACGTTGAAGCTGACACCGGTGTCGAGTTCCACGAAAATACCGACCCTTAAACGAAGTGAGCGAGCAAGATGGGAGAGAGTGTTGGGAGATACCTGACCCAGCATCGGCTGGATGTACACCACAGACTCTCTGTCGATAACAGTCTCGTTTCAAATTAATTAAAATATAATATTGTAAGTAAATACTAGAGAAAGTAGCCAATAGTAGTAGCTAGTAGCAATAGTAGGAGCTAGTAACTAATATTACAAGAGAGTAGCAATAGTAGTAGATAGTAGCCGATATACGGAAAAGCCATATACACTCTCTACTCCTTGCCTCCAATAGTATCCTCAAAGACTTTACAGCTCCTGACTCATCGGTATTTTGGAACCTCATACCCCAACATCATGCCCTATTGCTTTACCACTGCAGCAGGGGGAGGCAAAGGAGCCCCGTTCACCGGTAAAACATTCTCCTCATCCGCCCTCTTGTTGAACTCAGGCACGGAATCAAACCTATCGCCTCCATCTACATGGCCAGGGTATACATGGTACGCTGTATAGTCGTTTACTGGCCCTGGCGTCACGTTGGCCATGTTATAAAAATCGGGGGGACCGTTTGTCTGTGCCGCAGCGGCTACTTTCCGGTCATGTTTCTTTATCAGTCCTCTGAACAGAAACTGTCAGAAGCTTGTTAGTATCTTTGCTAAACGGTACTGTGTTGTTGAGAAACTCTTACTTTTTCATGTGCCCGTGGCGGTAAGCCCTTGTTGAGTCTTAATTGGAGAATGATGGCCAGGAGCACATTGACTATGAGGATTGCTCCGATAATGGCCGCAATAATGTAGTATTTTGTATAGGAATACTGATGCGTATGTTAATAACATGAAAATTGTGAAGGTCTGGGAAGCTTTACTCTTTCTCTCACGTAAACAATTACGTCGTTGTGAATTGATGAGCCGAAAGGCACATGCTCATTTCGCGCCTTGAACGCTGTCGACACCATTCTCGGCATAGTCACCGCTATCTTTTTTCTGAGTCAAATCGAAGGAAAAGATAATAAGTTGGTAGTATATAGACTCCAGATGTCAAGCACATATACTATAATACAAGATGGAGGGCAACTGTAGACTAAATACAAATTTGCTGAGCTACATATCGCAATGGCATCAACCAATTGGCGGCCCTTGCTTCTCCCAAAAGCAGAAAAAAAAATCAGAAAAAAGTCATATAGCAACTATGTGTCTAGTGGTGGCGGAGCACGAGAGTCTGTGCTTTTGAAATGTATGAAGGTCCATTTTGAAGATGTCTTGACCAAGACGAAAGAGGGGCTCATTCAATGTCCATCACTCCGATCGTACCAGCATAACTGTTTTCTTGTAATATATCTTGTCTAGTATTATACACAATTGGTCAACCTTACTTAAAATCTTTGATACTTGTCCTGCAACGGTGCTCAAACATCGTAAGATGGTGTCTCTAGAGTAGATTTGTCTAAGTGGGGGAGGTGATCTGAGCCAGGGGCTAGAACTTCCATTTTTACTTGCAACCAACAGAGAGAGTTGACTGGCTTAGATAACTTGAACTCCAGCTACTGGGAAGCATAGGTTCTTATTTGCAAGGTAAAAGAAGTTTGTACAAAGTGCCCCTTTGACATGGTGAAGGAACAAGAAACAATTATAGAGAGCCTTATCATTCAATAGCCCTTTTGTAATGCCTAGATACATATACTACCTAGTATGAAAAAAAGAGAGGACACCGCCGCTATAATACTTTTGCATCCTGTAACGCCAGCCATAATTTATATGTACGCAACATCTGCCTATAAACCCATCCCTCCTCCGGCCCAGGCGGGAAAGGCATCCTCGGGGTTGACGGCGTTGCCTTGCGGTTGCCTCTGGTCTTGACGCTCCGCCTCGTTGTTCTGTACATGCTGCTGTTGCATTCTTTGCCTCCACCACAGGAGCAAAACAAGGGCACCTGTAATGCCTATGATAAGGGCACTCTCGATAACCCCGTCCAGAGGGTCCTCGCCGTCATCCCCGATAGTGCCATCGTATATATCATCATAGTAATCGTCGTCGTACAAGAGTTCATCGTCCTCTAGGAAGTTGGCAATCCATTCTGACAGCGACCAGTCCTGCTTTTTCTCTGTACAACTTGTCAGCAAATATCCTCGACTTTCCAGCTGCTTCCACCTCTCTGTTCGGTGGTTAAACTTACTCGGCTCGTCTTGAATGGAGTGGATTGATCCATTGATCAACGTGTTCCAAGCACTTCGTATCCGAAGCTTCAGCAATCCAAGGGTAACGGGTAGGTACGCTTCATCATTAACCGCCAACGCGTGGTCGTAGAATCTCTTGGCAAGATGGAAATCCTGCGTCAGCCCGACGCCATTTTCATGCATCCAACCCAAGTTGAACAGGGCTTGAGCGCTTTGCGAATAGTCGGAAGCGCCCGTGTAGCACTGGACCGCTTTGCCGATATCCCGCTCCGCGCCAATACCATAAAAGTAGTAGTCACCCATCTTGACAAGGGCGTCGACGTTTGCCTGCCTAGACGACCGCGTCCAGTAAATGAGGGCTAGTGCAGGGTTATCGAGGAGCCCAGATTTGTCCTTTCGTTTGCGCAGCAACTCAGAGAGTGGGAGTTTGGATCGAATCGTGTCGAGGACATACGCAACGTTGGTTTGCGCCTTCTCGTATCCCTGCTCAGCCGCCAAAAGATATTCAAGAAATGCGAGATCGTAGTCTCCAGCCTCGTACGCGTCATTTGCATCTGCCCACGATGAGACAAGGGGCTCTGCCTTTTCAGCCACGCTCTTGTAGTAGCTAAGCGCCATGCTGCACAGCTTTTCGCGACCCAGGCCGTGGAAAACCAATTCTGCCAGATAATAGTTGGCCTCAATGTTGCCATAACGCGCGGCTAGCTCAAAGTAGTTGTTGGCGATGCGAACATCTTCAGTGCCGCCTTGGTCGAGGTATAACTGTCCCATCTGGACCTGCGCTGGAGCATAGTCGTGATCAGCAGATACTCTGAACAGGTCCACGGCTTTGACAACATTTTCCTTGACACCGTAGCCGTGCAGATACATGAGTCCCAGGCCATATCGCGACAGCGCATCAGCCTGGGAGTCGCCGCGTTCAAACCATGTTTTCGCTCTGTCAAAGTTCTGAGTCACTCCGTCTCCTCTCAGATACATCCGGCCGAGGTAGCCGGCCGCCTTACCGGCCAGTTTATCGATGCCTGATTTGGCATTGTCTACTTCGCGCCCATTCCTCCAGTATCTTGACGCAACTATCAAGAAATATTTCCTGGCCAGCTCGTAGTCGTGGTCCAGCCCTCGCTGACCCTCGTAGTAGATGCGACCCAGGTTGAATGAGGCCTTTGAATCGCCCTTTTGAGACATGAGATCCAAGTACTCAATGACATCGCCAATAGCAGCGTTGGCATCCGAGTTGGGACTAGGCTTGAAAGCATTCATGCCGGCGCTTGAAGCACTTGCTCCTTCTCCATATAGACCACCGTCGTCGTCGGCAATGCGCCATGCCTGAGATACCCACGACATTCCACCTGGGGGACCAGAGCGGTACCACTCAACAGCCTTGTCCGCTACGCGCTTGTAGTACTTGACGGCAGTCTCACAACTTTTGGTAGCTCCAATGCCTGCCAGATGGCGGAAGCCAGTAGCCATTTCGGCTCTGGTATCTCCTCGAACGGCGGCGAAGGTGTAGTAGAGGAGCGCTTTGCCTTGGTCTCGAGGGACAACATCGCCAATACCTGTTGAGTAATACAACCCAAGCATGTACTGCGCTGTGGTATTTCCGTGGCTCGATGCCAACTGGTGATAGTATTTAAAGGCAGCCCCGAGGTCTCTGGGGTGGCTGTAGTTGCCGAAGAAGTTGAACTCAGCAAGGATATACAAGGCATCGGAGTTGTTCTGGTTGGCAGCCTGCTCAAGATATTCCACCGCATTCAACAGGGGACCGCTGAGTGTCGTCTTCGATTGCGATGGCGCAGTGACGGGTCCAGTTGGGATAGTCCTGAGAAGCAAGCGCAGGACTGAGCCGAATATTCCGGACGACTCTCGCCTTCTTCGGGGTGGTCGTGGGATCTTTCGGAGCTCGGCAAATGCTGCATCAACGAAATCGTGTCCTTTGGCCATGTCAGCATCTTCCACAGCAGCTTTCGCATGACAAGTGGCTGCATACCAGGTTGCGAAAAGGCAGCGCCTTCCTGCCCTCCTGCAGCGTCTAAAAAGGATTCAACCGCATGTTTATCAGCACCGGTTTGCGCCGAGGCGTCGCTTTGGCTGCCGAGAGGTTTCTGATCGGGGGAGCTGATGACGGCTGAGGCCTGCGCAAGCACTGAGACAAGACACCCGCGTGAGCTTCAATGTAAACAATGCACAATCCGGCGGAGCAACTTACGGAGCAGCCAGGCTATCCAGCCTCTCATTCTGGGCAATTGCTATGTGCCTATGTTCGGAATAGAAGCCCGCGGCATGGCTATCGTGCAGAAGAGAGCAGGCAGTGCTTGTGAGTCGCAAGATGTTGCAACCGATCCAATTCGGTATCGTACAAGCTGTCCACTACTCGGAGAGTAATAGGTAAGCTTCCGCTTCCGCTCCCCATTCCGCGCCAGCCACGGCGTGAGATGACTAATCACCCCTGTTGTATCAGGAACTGCCTGAACTGCGTGTGGCGTCATCGCCGCAGCCGGCACGTGTGGCAACAGCGTGAAGAAGAAGAGCAACGGTTCACGTTTCAGACACAAAGAAAAAGCCACTGCATGCACGGTGAAGATGGCTGCATTATGCACGTCTGCTGCAAATACAGTACAATCTTTTTATGCCTCGTCACGGCCTTGCATGATCTACCACGAAACAGCTGCACAAGATCAATCGCGAGCTGCGGGTTGGAACAGAGATGCCCGGCGAGGTGGGGCCGATTCGGCCAGGGTCTCCAGGTCTCCAGGTCTCCAATACCTTCCCCGAGGCTGGCTGAGATCCAGTGGCGCTGCCAGCCCAGGCGTCTTATGCGCTGAACGTGCAGACGGCACAGCACTGAGCACAGAGCACAGAGCACAGAGCACAGAGCACAGGCACTGCTGGCGAGTCTCCCTGCCTGGAGCTCACAGCGCTAACGCCGCCACTTTTCAGCCGCTACGCGTGAAAACTCAGGGCTGCAGCGCGTTAATGGCTGCCCTAGCCCGCGTCGGAAGACCAAGACGCGCTTCCTGGCAGCTTTTCTCAGCCCAGCCATCCATCGATTCCCGTCAAATATCTTGCACGCATCGGCTCGGTTGAAGCTCTTGGAACTTCATCCTCTTCTCTCTTCCTCTCTCCCAGGATCTCTTTCTTCTTGTGCCACACTCTTCAGCAATTGGACATTAGCCAATTCCTTTCTCGTGGCTTCCATTGTCAGTCCGCCGGCTGCTGCTGCATATTCCCTCTTTCGACGACGACTCAGCCGCCCAACTCCACTTCTCCACAGCCTTCAATTCCGCACAATGTCGAATCTCAAGAGAAAAGCGGCCTCGACAGGCAACGAGACGGAGGCCAAGAAGACAAAGGCCAATGGCAGCATTGCCTCCTTCTTCGGGGCCGTCCCAAAGCCTGCCGGCACCAGTGCTGTTTCTGCATCTCCAGCCGCCAGGTTTGACAAGGCGAAATGGGTTGAAGGCTTGACTGCCGAACAGAAGGAACTGCTCAAGCTCGAGATTGAAACTCTTCACGACAGCTGGCTTGCATTGCTCAAGGATGACGTGACTACCAAGGAGTTTCTCGAATTGAAGAAGTTCCTAAACCGCGAGACAGCGGCTGGCAAGAAATGGTTCCCTCCAAAGGAGGACGTCTACTCCTGGTAGGTTGCCCAACAGCCTTCTTTCATATGCCATGTAGTCTAACATGCCCAGGTCTCGCCATACCCCATTCAACGAAGTCAAGGTCGTCATCGTCGGCCAAGACCCTTACCACAACGTGAACCAGGCTCACGGCATGGCCTTTTCCGTCCGACCGCCCACTCCGGCTCCGCCTTCGCTCAGAAATATGTACATTGCTTTGAAGAAGGACTACCCCAGTTTCGTCGAGCCAGCGAATAGGGGTGGCTTGCTGATACCGTGGGCCGACCGAGGCGTATTGATGCTCAATACATGTCTTACCGTCCGCGCCCACGAGGCCAATTCACATGCCAATCGTGGCTGGGAGCGTTTCACACAAAAGGTTATCGATCTCGTCGCCCAGAAGCGGACACGAGGTGTCGTGTTTATGGCATGGGGGACACCAGCCAGCAAGCGTGTACAAAAGGTGGATAAACAACGCCACCTTGTGCTCCTCAGCGTCCACCCTAGTCCTCTCAGCGCATCCAGAGGGTTCTTCGATTGCGGTCACTTCAAGTCCGCAAACGAATGGCTGGTTTCTCGATACGGTGACGACGGCGAGATTGACTGGGCTTTGAGGCCTGACAATACTACCAAAAAGGCTGTCAAAGAGGCCCCCAAGAAAGATTCCAAGGAGGACGCAGCGGCCTCCACGAACGGAGAGGGAAAGAAGACAAAAGCGGAAGACTCGGAAGAAGATTCCTTGGAGAAGCCAAAGGGTGATGCAAAGACAAACGGCGAGTCCAAGGCAAAGAAGCCCGAGCTCGAAGATGACGAGGATGTCGATTCCGACGAAGAGGCGGCATTGGAGGAGGCCCTTAAAATTGCGGAGGAGCAGATTAAGAACTAAACGGCTTACCTAGAGCTACTGGGCGGGAATTCTACGAATCGGGAGACAGCGACATGTTCATGACTTTTGTCAGTGTATCTATTTACGAACTATAATGGCAACTCAGGTGACACTACTACAGGTAGCGTCGGCGGCGCGGGGTTTGGGACTTCAGATTGAATTACTTGTATAAGAAATGAAAATGATTTGAGACTGGCATCTTCAGGGCTGCAACTTGATTTCGCCTACGGGGCACGGATTCCTCCATACACTGAAGCTGAGTTATAGTAATCTGTAACAAAATCAGAGATGACATCCCCGTCTAGCTGTTGTCAATTTCGTATTTGGATTATGAACGGTCCGGTTAGCCGTCGCTTCGAATTGACCACGGGTAACGGCCACCTAGGTATTCATTCAGCACTGCACTCAGGGATTTTTTTTTTCAATAGCTTTCCACAGAACCGGGACAATAGATGGCCTCGCCCGTCATCAATTCCCCTACCAGGTAGCCAGCAGGCAATAAAGCAGGGGGGTTGAGATAGCGCGAGGGAGCCAGCTGAACATCCCAGCCATCATACCCGAATAAGAGCTTCGAGGTGTAAGAGTACATAGTTGGCGTGTGTCTCAAAGCTGGCCTTCTCGGCAACGACAGCCTTGCCTGGTTGTTAATTACTCTCGCTTTGTAATAATAGTCGTCGAATTATAGGGGCTCTCTTCTTCCGGGGTGCGATTCTGTCCGGTCAATGTTGATGTAGCCGCCATCTATCCACCATGCTCAATCTCTTGATTTCTACGCGTACAATATGGACATACTAGCCTAAATCGTACTCAACCGACGAAGCTGCAAGTCAATCAACATCAAACGGCGTCTCTTGATAGGGCGGGCAACTCGCAGCTTTGCACCAAGTAAGAAGCTGGCTGCTGACAGCCCTAATGGTAGGCTGAGGATTTGTTTCAAGAGATGCTAGCGCAAGCAATCAAACAATATCGCCAGTGGCCCAAGCTTGCCCAATCCCTGCCTCGTATGATTTCATGTTCACGGAGCAAGATTCCCGCCCAGGCACGTACTTGGTCTTCATGTACTCCGCATGGAGAAAGCTATAGGTACCAGTACCACCCGTACTTTATTAAGATCAGATACCCGACTCAGGCGCCGTAATAGGTATTGGGTCTGAAACAAGACAAGATAAGCCGCCGTTAGACAAGTTGGTGTGCATGTGGCGCTGGCATTGCATCGTGCCTAGTTGCTGTGGCATGAGAGACAGTACTTGCATCTACATGTGCCCAATCCAGCCTCACGAGGATAGTCCGAGTACCTGTAAAAAAACCTGTAAAAAACTTGGACACCCATGTACAGCACACACAACCTGGAGTGATGGAGGTGATGAGCTTTTGTACGGAGCTCCAGCTGGGACGCCCAATGGTTTGGCCTCATTTAAATTTCAGGGTTAGCCCGTCCGCTGGCTCCCGGGGCAGCCATGTCTGGCGCCCAGCAAGTACTGGTACTCGTAGTTGTTGACAGAGCTGGGCGTCCGCCGCCAAGGTACAAGCACCATCTTTGTTCGTTACGGCGTAAATGGCCATTGAGAGCGGCCAAGGCAACCCCCACCAGTGTCTCGGCGAAGGCTGAAGCCACTACCGCTTCCAGGCACAAGTACCGGTACTTGTTGCGATGCAGCTCCACCGAGCGTTCGTCTCCATCGTATCGCATCGCATCGCATCAGCATGTCATGGAATCATCAATACGTGTCAATACTCTGTGTGCATACTAGAGGCACATGCATCGACAATGGGAGTGGCACCTTGCGCTATCAGACTATCAGGTACGAGTACAACGCACCACGGCCAATCGCCCAAACTCTTGGCCCGGCATCAAACATCCATGCCAGCAGGACAGGAACAGAGCCCAATTGGGCCGTTGTGACATCAAGGTACTCCGTACACGCATGTATGGTAGCATTGAGTGCCAAGGGAGGGAGCACCAACGGCGACTTAACTGTGATCCAATGCCAACATACTGTAACCAAATCAACCAGCACAATCAACACTGCAGTTGGCCTGCCGGCAGTAGCTTCGATGCCGCCGTGCCCAAGCCAAAAGTACCTCTCCGCGCTGCATTCGCCGGGCGAGTACCTGCCCCCCAGCTGGCGCACTCGCGCGCTCCCACCAGAACAATTTAGCATCTAATCTTAGTCGCATAAAGACCCGTAGACTTGGCCCCTGGTCTGGTCGTGTCGCGCCCCTGAAGGCCAGACGAGCAAAAAGATTCCCACCATCTTCCTCGCCATCGCCAGCAAGCGAAATCATCCTCTTGCTCAGTGTGCGGGACGGTGTCCCTTCTTGAGGATCGTGATCACGCCTTTTTTGTGTGCGCGCTGGCTGCTTCCCCTCGTTGAAAGCTTCACTTCATCCGAGCCTTCACTTCAACAAGTGCCCCTCCTTTCTTTTCGTTTCTCTCTGTCCTGTCGCCTTTGTTTCTTATTCAATCCCGCCCACGCACTTATACGACATTCGCAGCGCGAATTGATTGATTGCCTTCTTTTTTTCTCTTTGTCGAGGCCGGTGGTGTGATTGGCTTCTTCGGCAGGCTCACATCGCTTCGCCTGGGTCCCTTCGCCCCAGACTCGGCTTTGCTTTTTTCTACTTCTTCTGTCTGCAGGCTATAATCCACCGCTTCTTGACAAGCTGGAATCTGGCGGCAGCAGCAGCAGCAACTTCCTAACAGCATATTTCTTTCCTTGAATGATTTATGCGAATCGTTGCATCGACAGCCCATTCTCCAGCCGCTGAAAGAATTGCCCAAAATGCCTGGCATCTTCTCTCGTCGCAAGAAGGACGCAAAGTCCAAGAAGAACGGACTCGATGATGCCGATTTACTTCCGCAGAAGAAAACATGGGACGATGCTTGGACGCGCAAGACGGTCGATCCCGAGGAGATTCGAGAGCTGCTGCACGGCTGCTGTGAAGAGCTCAAGTCGCGAGGTAGGTCATTCACCCAAGCTGAACGTTGGGCAGCTTGCCGCGATTCTGGCGATTTCTTGCCTATTTACCTTTGACTAACGACTGCGCCGCAGGCCTCGATCATCCATTCTTCCTGCTCCCTTTCCGACCGACATCGAACCCCAGTGCCGTTCGCACCTTTATTCGAAACTTCTTCAGCCAGGACCCTCCGATTAGCGGGGAGATGCTGCTCCAGGAGCTGCGCATGACAGAGCCCATGGTACGTATGTGTGTTTTCATGGCAAAGCGGGTTGCTCACAAAAAGTGCAGGTCATCTCGGGAGTCGTAAAATGGTGCTGGAGCCGTCTTCATGGAGGCCTCGTTGGCTGGGATGCGTACGAGTTGTTCAAGGTTGGAGAACGAGGTATGTGATGGGGATTTCTAGTAAGCGTTTACGGTTACATGCGGGTGCTGACTTTCGGTGCTACCCAAGACTCCAACATGGCCCGCGATTCGTTCAAAACGTTCATCCCCCTCAGCGTGGAAAATGCGGCGCGCCAGCAGATAATCTTCGATTTCTTCGGCCTGATAGCGGCGGTCGCAGCTCATGGCAAGAACAATGGCTTTGGTGGGCGCAAGCTGTCTCGTATGGCCTCATGGTGGGCCTTTGAGCACAATGATACTGGTAACGGTTTCGACGGTGGTTATGGGGCATGGCTTAGGTACGACGACGATCTGCCAACTCTGAATACGGGATATCGATGGAGCTTCATGCTAATGTCTTCCGTGCTTGCAGTGCTGCCGATGCCACCAGTCATCTCTTTTTCGCTTATCTGAGGTCGCTTTCCCCTGAGCAGAACCCCACAGGAATCACCATGCTGCCCAGGTCCCTCCAGAAGCTGCTTCAGGAAACCGAGTATCCTCCGCAGAGGCCGGAATTGCTTTTGGTCAAGACCAAAAAGGTGGTCATGATTGTCGACACAGTTTCCCCAACTCCGTTCGCCTTGTTGCGCCGAGCAAACCACTTTCAATATCGCGACTCTGATAGCGAACTCCAGGAATTTTCCAGCTACGAAGACCCAGTGCAGGCACTAACGGACGAATGTCAGCGAGTCCTCAAGGCAATCTCATCAGCTAATCAGTCACAAGCGTCGAGCGTCAAGGTTTCTACGAGCTTACGGGATGCCTCTTGGTCCCGATTCGAGGATATTGGATTCGCCAGCTCCCTGGAGGAGGACGACGATGACGAAGGAAGCGTCGTGCCAAAGAGAAACCAACAGCTCAAACAGTTCCAGGGGCTCCGCAACAGCCCTCTCTCTGGCGGCAACGGATTGGCACGCCCGACTACGCCTTCATGGGCGGACTTTTTGTCGGCCGGTTTTGTCGACGACAACCAATCGAGGCCCAACTACCTGCTACCTCCCGACAAAATCCTCCCTCCGCTGTCGCCAGATGGTCGTCAACACAGCTCTCAATCCCATAACCCGAGGCTCGAGAGCGAACGTGATGTTGAGCCTGGAGAGCTCGCAAGCATTAGGGTTATCGACCTGGATGACGCTTTCTGGTGGGTGTGGATGACCAGTCTTGCACCTGAGGAGACCCCCGAACGCAAATCGGCTTTTGGTAGATGCGCTGTTGTTGAGACTTCGATCCGTGGTTGCCGCTGGCTTGTTGTGGAGGAGATCATCGCAGGAGCAGCTCCCGACGCGCAAGAAGGAGCCTACATTGCGGAAAAGAAGGGATTGTTTTCATGGACAAAGCGCTCCAAGACCGTCTCTCGACGCAAGAAGTCTCTTGACAAGAATGACAAGACCACAACCGCCAACGCCAACGATAGCAAGGCCAGCATTGGTCCAGATGCTCATGCCAGAGTCCAGGCAAAGGCTGCCCAGCTAAGAGCTCAGCAGGACCGAGAGGAGAACCGCCCGCCGCCCGTTGTCCGCCGCGGCCGCACAGATGCCGAGTTGATGGCTGAAAAGACTAATAGTGTTATGACCCTTCAGCCCCATATTCTGGGCGAGGCCTCCTCAGCCATGAAGTGGGTTAAGAAGTACGACAAGGGCACCATCAAGGATATGTACATGGCCAACGACAACGCAGGCCGAGGAACCGCAGTTCCCGAGCCTACCGAAAGCCACGATACTTCCGCCGACAACCTTCCCTCACCCGCAGTGCCTCCAAAGGATACTCTTTTGACACCGGCCGCCTCGCCTTTACCCCATGGACACTCTGCCCTATCATTGGTTCCCGAGAATGCCTTGGAAGAAGCGCGATCTCGCTCTCCTCTCCCGGAGCAGGCTGCAACTCCTGTGTCTGCTACTCCTGAGCAGCCAAAGGCAGAGCCCAGCCTACCAACACCGCCCAAAGAAGAGCCCGCTGCCCGGGTTACGTCGCCTACCTTCAACGGCAAACCCTCGTCGTTCGAAACTCCACGGAGCCCCGAACCCGCGAAACAGCAGAAGGGTGGTTTCTTGAAGATATTTGGACGCAAGAAGCGTGCCTCCAAGAACTTGGAAAGCGTTAAGACTGATTTGAACAAGATGCTTGAGCAGAACGCTGGCAAGAAGTCTATCGAGAAGCCAATGGCCAGTCCTGCTGTTGTCTCCCCAATTGAGCAAGAACCGGACACGCCAGTGGACGGAGAGCCCATCTACGAGCCGATTTACGACCAGCCGGCCGACGATGATGCTGCACACGACGATGCCCCTAATCAACCAGAATCTGAGCACGATTTCTCAAGATTTGACCAAGGCCCTCTGGATGATGTACCAGCTTTTGTTCCAGAAGATGATGAGGATGATGAATTCGAGGATGCGGTGCCACCCCCAATTGCTCGTCCTGCCCCCAAGTTTACCTCAAAGCTGCCCGTGAAGGAAGCTACTCCTCTTCCTCCTGTGAAAGAAGGAGTCCCTGCTGGAGTTAGCCCAGGCATTCAGGACCGTTTTGCTCAGCTCCGCAAGAATGCGGCTGAGCGAACTTCTTCCCGCCCGGATGACTTCCCCAAGCCCACCAAGACTGAAGGCGAGGATGGAGAAGAGAGTACGTGCTAAAGACTATCCCCTCCCAGATTATATGGTTGCGCATGCAATTTACTGACTTTTCCAAAGCAATCGAATCTCGAGTCGCACGCATCAAGGCCCGAGTCGCCGAGCTCACCGGCAACATGGAGGGCACATCGGCCCCTCTCCGTAATAACTGAGCGATCAAGATAAACCGCTTGAATCCGTCCGATTTCTTGTTATCAATACTTCTTCTCTTTACTATTTCTGCCGCAATTTGATACCACTCGTCGTCATTTTCCCTTGAACGCAACCAGAGATACGATGCAATGTGCAGCGTTTCATTTTTAATACTAGTCCACATTCTCTCTTTGTCTCTCCTCCTCTCTTTATCCCATCTTTTATTTCTTTCAGACTTATGTATGATACCACCTCAAAAATAGGAGACGAGTGTAGGGAACGTCAAAGCAACTCGACCTATAATTTCAGCCCTTTTCTACCACGCACGATTTCAATCTCCTTTACACACGAGAAAAGATAATGTTTATGCGTGTGGAATTTGGAACCTTTCTTTGGCGTTCCCCTCTCCTTCCTCTATCTACCTGCCGTTTTGATCCGGGATAAAACTGTCTGTCATATTTCCCTATTTTCTTTTTTCTCTATTCTTTTTTTCCCGCCGAGTTTTTCTTGATTTTGTCCTGTCCTCAAAAAGAAAGAGCGTTGGAGGGTTCCATATGGAGATGGAAGATGATGAATGTCGTTTGATACATAGTCCCTCGAGGTTTTGAAGCCTGATATAGAACCTGAGAATGCAAGAAATACTACTCGTGCTTTTATACTTTTTTATTGAGATGTGTGATTGAAGTTTGAGTATCGCTGTGATTATATCATGGTTTGTTCTCTGTTTATGCAAAAGTAGATATGCACAATGGCAAACCTACACGCCGCAGGTGACGGGGTAGACATGGTAGACAAAGTAGACATAGTAGACATAGTAGATATAGTTTTGTTAGAAATTGATCATGATCAAGCCCAAATACTGTGCCTTGTCTCGCGGCATCACACGTATTTATTGTTTGCTCAGATATGGTAGATACATATCTTCTTCTTCGTATCTGCAAGCTATAACGAAATATCCCTGTATCCCATGACCTGAAATTCCCAATCCTCATCATGACCCCGTCGCCCTATGACCCTATTATATATTCCTTAGTTCAAGCAGAGTTCGGCTCTGATCTCCCCAACTACCTTTGACATCTCCAACATGATCTCTTGATTTTCCTCCGTATTCTTTTTCTCACGATTCTCCGCAGCCTCAGCCCTTTGCTCCAAAGTTTTAAACTTTTGCCCGAAAACCTCCAGTTAACACATCTGATTTCCGTAACAACATTTTTGGTCACCTCGTTACCCGAGACCATATTGATGAGATCCTCACGATTCAACTGATCTATCAGCGTCTGACGCTGATACTTGATCATTGACGATGTACCCTGGTTATCATTGTCCAGCTCATGGCCGTTCTCAATGATGCTCTCAAGGTTTCGCATTTCTTCACCAATATCGGGATATATTTGGTAGTATGGTCCCGGCTTGTTCAAGAGATCCAGCATGATGAATTTCTCTTTGACCAGATTCATATGCGTATCTGGGATTTCCTGCCTCGGATATATAATCCCCTTTCACAATGATAGTGATCATTTTCCGAGCTTCCTCCTTCGGCAGATCCAACGCCTCCTGGTGGTACATCTTAACGCATCGAAATGCTTCAATCCATTTCGGGTCGGTTCTCTTGATGTTCAACTCACAGAATGTGAGCCGGGGCGGATTTTCGTCGTCTTGGATTTCGGTGTCCATGGTTGACTTGTCTCCAACTGAACTTATGCTGTAGGAGGATAGTAGCATGATGATAAGAGAAAGGAAGAAGAAGAAGGATCAATATTTTTGCGAGAATAAATAGAGAGTAGGTGGTCAAATGATAGCGGTAGAGTAAATACGGCAGAAACAATAGTGCCTTGACTTCGATGTGTTCAGTTTGCAGCTGGCGGCAACTGGAAGTATATTGCATTATCTTCATCATTTTAATTCGAAGTTACAGAGTGGGACTACATGGAGTGGGTATATTTTCTACCGGCGCTTTACCCAGAGATCTTGGATACTGAAGGATAAGTGTCGTTGTTTTAATGCCCACATCATACTAAAATGAAGTATATATATTCAGCAACAGGGTACTATAGTGAATAGGGGCGGCAGCTTAATAGCAGCAGAGACAAAGGTTTTCATCATGTTTCCTAGCTTAATTGATGTTATCCAGTTCCCAACTGGCAGTGGTGAAGCAATAGGACATGATACTGGGGAACTAAGTTCACAGATGCCGGTGAGTTGGAATATTTTAAGGTCTTTGGAGATCCATGCTATTGGAGGCGAGGGTTAGATTTTGAGCGCCCTTGAATGGCAAGTAATGCGTATTTACTACGGATAACAGTATCCTAATGGATGATGGTCAATGTACAGGTTTTGGCGCCGAAGCCTCTTCAAAAGGCAGAAAATGGAAAGGAAGCCAACGTGCTAAACGCCACCGACGAAAAGAGAAAGAATCAAGACAATAAACAAGTAAAAGCCAATAAAGCAAACTCCCAGAATGTTGAACCCTCGGGTATAATGCACGTATATCGTCACTCGCTGCGGATCAGTCATCTTTTAATCTTGCACTCGCTAATCAACCTCCATGGCATCGCACGTATCGTCCACGTGGAAGAACGGAGCTGGCGCAGGGTCGCTGCGTGGCATCGTTACGGCGGGGGCATGGAAGTATGTCTGAGACGCCATCTGAGGCGGCATGTCGTTGTTGGGCATCTCGTCGGGCTTGGCCACCTTCTTCTGCTCCTCTCTCGCTCGATGGCGGGCTTCGATGATGGCCCTGCGCACGCTGTCCTTTTCTTCGGGCACGGAGAGGGACTTTGGATCGCTGTAGAGGACCAACTGCATGCCAGCCAGCTCGCCGTCGTCGTTGGCTAGGATTTGGCGCGGGATGCGGTTCTGACGCAGATGCCTCTCGATGTCTGGCAAGAAGACGAGCTTACCGTCGTCGTTTTCGCTGTCGGAGGAGAGCTCGGCATCCAGATCGTTGATGTACACCACGTGCTTGGAATCGTCAACCTGCATCGTCTCATTGTCGTCCGACGTCGGCTTGGGGCATGTTGACGATGCGGTGGCAATGGCCGGTGTCTGGGCCTTGACGTGGAGCTTGGACTTTGGCTCTGTCACGGGCGTTAGCGAATTGACCGCTTACGGAGGTTGCTTGGAATGCATTGGGCCGCTTTAACACGGGTGGGAAAAGAAGAAGAAGAAACCACAAGACGAGAAGGAAATGAGAATAAAAGAAAAGAGTATCAATCAGAATCAGCTGCACATCTCACCTATATTGAGCCGGCTGAGGCGCTTCGACAGGCGCTCGCGATCCGAGTCGAGCGTGTCGGCCTTCCTCTTGCGCCGCTGCCTCTCCATAAGGATGCCTGGCGCGGGCGAGGTCCCCAGCATTGTCTGTGTCTGTGTCTGTGTCTGTGTCTGTTCCGTTCCGCCCTGCTTAGCCGAATTGGAGAGCGAACAAGGAGAAAAAAACGAGCACGACTTGACAACAAGAGTTATGCCACAGCTAACAAACTCGCGCCCCCGCGTGTGAAGTGACTCCCGTCTGTGCTGATGCGGACGCTGGCAAGGTCGCGGCTACGGTGCAGCTCGGCCAGAAGCGGGCGACAGACGTCCTTTGTAGGCTTGAGTCACTCTTGTAGAAGTTTCTACAAAACCCACCCGCCACAACCCCGCCGATTGCTCTCCGAAGCATCGCATCTGCAACTTCGCCTCTGCACTTTTGCAACCACGCGCGCCGCTCTCCAGCCAAGACTGCAGACTCACAACTTCGCAAGCATGGCGGGCAACTGGCCCGAGGCGCAGGTGCGCAAGACCTTTTTCGACTTTTTCGAGCAGAGGGGGCACACGCTGGGTAAGTGGTGAAAAAATAATAATGAACCGTTGGCGATGCCTCACCCCTCCAGAGTGGCGGGGTTGACTCGGCTTGGGGGAAATGAGAAACCGCCAACTCGCCGCAACGACAGAAACAAGATGCCGGTTGATTGTCTGCAATGCTCGACCTCAATCTCGTCCATCTCGTCTCTTTTTTCATCGATTGCATTGCCTGCTCTACATCATTTATCCCATCGTGGCGAGCCATCCATCGTCACCAAACATATGACTGACACATGCTGATTTTTTCCTTCTTCTTCTACAGTACCCTCCGGCTCCGTCGTCCCTCATAATGACCCGACCCTACTCTTCACCAATGCGGGTATGAACCAGTTCAAGCCCATCTTCCTCGGCACCGTCAACAAGTCCGACCCCATGAGCAACCTCAAGCGCGCCGTCGACACCCAAAAGGTCATCCGCGCTGGTGGCAAACACAACGATCTCGACGATGTCGGCAAGGACAGCTACCACCACACCTTTTTCGAGATGCTTGGCAACTGGTCATTCGGCGACTACTTCAAGAAGGATGCTATTGAGATGGCGTGGGAGCTCTTGACCAAGGTCTACGGCCTTGATCCTACACGCCTCTACGTCACATACTTTGAAGGCAACCCGGCTCTCAGCCTCGAGCCCGATCTGGAGGCCAAGGACTTTTGGCTCAAGACTGGTGTGCCTGAGGATCACATCATTCCTGGAAACATGAAGGACAACTTCTGGGAGATGGGTGACCAGGGTCCCTGCGGTCCTTGTTCCGAGGTCCACTACGACAAGATCGGAGGACGCAACGCCGCCAGCCTCGTCAATATGGACGACCCCATGGTTGTCGAGATCTGGAACCTCGTTTTCATGCAGTTCGACCGACAAAAGGACGGCAGCCTCAAGCCCCTGCCTGCCAAGCACATCGACACCGGCATGGGCTTCGAGCGTTTGGTCTCTGCCCTCCAGGATACCGCCTCCAACTACGCCACCGATGTCTTTACTCCCCTGTTCAAGAAGATTGAGGAGGTCACTGCCGCGAGACCCTACACCGACAAGTACGGCCAGGACGATGTCGATGGCATTGATACCGCCTACCGAGTTGTCGCAGACCACATCCGAACCATGTCGTTCGCCATCACGGACGGTGCCGTGCCCAACAACGACGGCCGCGGCTATGTCATTCGACGAATCCTCCGACGTGGTGTCCGATATGCCCGCAAGTACCTGAATGCCGAGATTGGCTCATTCTTCTCCAAGATTCTGCCTGCCCTGGTTGAACAGATGGGAGAGCAGTTCCCCGACCTCGCCAAGAAGCAGGGAGACATCAAGGAGATCCTCGACGAGGAGGAGGAGGCCTTCTCCCGAACTCTGGACCGTGGTGAGGCCCAGTTTGAGAGATATGCCGCCAAGGCCGCCAAGGACGGCGTCAAGAAGCTGGATGGAGATGTCGTCTGGAGACTCTACGACACCTTTGGCTTCCCTGTCGACTTGACCAAGCTGATGGCTGAGGAGCGAAGTCTGGACATTGATGAGGACGAAGTTGCCGTTGCCCGTGAAAAGGCTAGAGAGGCTAGCAAAGCTGTCAAGGATTCAGTACAGACATTTGCCAAGCTTGATGTTCACAAGATTGCCGAGCTCGACTCAGAGCTCAAGGTCGCAAGGACAAACGACGACGCCAAGTATCTCAGGGGCGACAGCAAGGGCAGGGTTCAGTACATCTTTGATGGCCAGGCTTTCGTCAAGTCGACCAAGGATATCCCCGCCAACACCGCCATTGGCGTCTTGCTCGACAAGACCAACTTTTACGCAGAGTCCGGTGGTCAGATTGCCGACACCGGCCGCATCGTCATTGATGATGTCGTCGAGTTCAAGGTCATGGATGTCCAAGACTTTGGTGGATACGTCCTCCACAGCGGCTACATTGAGTACGGAGTGCTTTCTGCCGACGATGAAGTCATTTGCGAGTACGATGAGCTTCGCCGCTCGCCTATCCGCAACAACCACACCGGCACACATATTCTCAACCACTCCCTGAGAGAGGTGCTCGGTGAAGACGTCAACCAGAAGGGTTCCCTGGTGGACAATGACAAGCTGCGTTTTGACTTTTCACACAAGACTCAGGTCAAGCTCGACGAGCTGAAGAAGATTGAGGAGCTCTCCAACAAGTACATCCGCGCCAACTCCAAGATTTTCTCCAAGGAGGTGGATCTCGACCTTGCGCTCAAGATTGAGGGCCTTCGTGCCGTCTTTGGCGAGACTTACCCCAACCCCGTGCGAGTGGTTTCCATCGGCAAGGATGTCGATACCCTGATTGCGGACCCCAAGAATGCCGAATGGAGAAAATACAGTGTTGAGTTCTGCGGTGGCACCCACGTCGACCAGACCGGCTTGATCAAGGACCTCATCATTGTCGAGGAGAGCGGCATCGCAAAGGGTATTCGTCGTATCATCGCATACACCGGCGAGGCCGCCCACCAAGTCCAGCGCGAGGCCAAGCTGTTTGAGCAGAAGCTGGTTGACCTTGAAGCCCTCCCCTTTGGCCCCGAGAAGGAGGCCCAGGTCAAGGCCGTCTCACAGGACCTTAGCCAGCTGGTCATCTCAACACTCACCAAGGACGAGTTCAACCAGCGTTTCCAGAAGACTGCCAACGCTGTCGTTGCCGAGCAGAAGAAGAAGCAAAAGGCCGAGTCCAAGACGGCCGTCGACACCGTTGCCAAGCACTTTGAGGCTAACAAGGAGAGCCAATGGTTCGTGGGCCGACTCCCCATCAGCGCCAACGCCAAGGCCGTGGGCGAGGTCATCAAGCACTATCAGTCCAAGGACAAGACAAAGTCCGTCTACTTGTTTGTCGGCAGCCCAGAGGAGGGCGCTGTTGCCCACGGAGTTTACGTCGGAACTGTAAGTTGTTTTCCCATCTAACCTCTTTGCCGGCATATTTCATAAAAGACGACATGACATGAACATGTCACTGACATTGAATCCTTTCTTTAGCATTTGTCCTCACAAGGTGTTACTGCTGAGCACTGGGCTGCCTCCGTGTCCGATGTCATTGGTGGTCGCTCGGGTGGCAAGGAGCCGTCCCGCCAGGGCCAAGGAACTCAGCCGGAGAAGATTGACGACGCTGTCGAGACTGCTCGGAAATGGCTGAGCGAGAAGCTGAAACTGTAAAAAGTTTTGTGTATTATATAAGAGGAGCTATGCTTTGTTTGTAGCCAAATTGATGAGACAAAAAAAGGTACATATGAAATTGGGAGACTGGGTCTATTTGGGTGATGGACGGGTTAAGGGTAAATGGGTAGCGCCAGATGAGTAGAATGATGTGTCGCAATTATTCATTTGAAGGTCAAATTGATAGATGTTGATTTTATGCTTTTTAAATGCTCATAATTTGTATTGATACAACGTCCTACAAGTCGGTTGAGATGTCTATATACACTACTTATACAGTAACCATGACACTGGCGTTTCTATAATGCGACAGGAGGGGATTCTCTCCGCTGCGCGTCTCCGTGTCCTCGACATAGGCCCACCGACGCATGAAGTCTCCGTGGGACATGACGCGGGTCAACTTGCCGGTGATGGCCCGGTAAATGGCCTCGGTGATGTTGAAGTCTGTGGGGAAGAGGATGTCAAAGTAGCCCTGGTGGACCTACATTGTCCCAAAATGATTTAGTTTACGCTCATGGAAAGTTGTGGTATGTTTCGGAACTTACAAGGGGGGTTGTGACGGGGACCATTCTTCGTTGGAAACGGGTCTGCACGACGGGAGCGTTGAGGCCCTTGATGGCCTGGGGGAGAGCGTCGAAGTCGGACGTGAGGAGACGGTGCGCGGGGAAGTACTTTTCCAGGACGTCGAAGAACTGCATGAGCCTGGTGGGGATGAACTCGGCGGGGGAGAGGTTGGCGGCAAAGGGCATCTTGGTGGACAGATGGCGGAGGAGAGGGTTGGAAGGGTACGGCTTGGGATAGTTTCCGCCGGTGGCGGCGTGGCGGACGCGGAAGAATCTCGCGGCCAGGGGATCCAGCTCGTGGACGTAAAACTCGTAAAAGTCGCCGTCGCCGTCGATGAGCACGTGGCCCTGCAAGGGTTCCTCGGTGGTGACGTCGTAGCGGATGCCGTCGTGAGAGAAGTTGTCAAAGACCTCCATGGCGAGGAAGAAGCAGGGCGAGGGGACGTAGCGGTCCCACTCGAAGATGGACTTGTTGATGATGTCGACCTTGTCGGCGTGGCCGCGGGACTCGGCGGTGGAGAGGAGGTGGCGGTTCTGCATGGCGGCGAGGGAGGAGGAGATTTCGATGATGTTGAATTTGGTGCGGGCGTAGACTTGGGGGTCGGCGGCGCGGATGTAGTCGAGGACGTTGAGCATGAGGGTTCCTCGCCCGGCGCCCATTTCGAAGATGAGCAGGTCGTCGTAGGGGTACGTCGTGAGGCGGTAGTTGGAGACGAGGTACCGGGCAATGGCCTCGCCGTAGTACGGCCTGAAGAGCTCCGTGGGCGTGTGCCACAGCTGTCTGGTCGGGCTGTCGCCTTCTTTCTCGTCGAGCAGGTCTTCGAAGTCGGTGTATCGCCGGCCCAGCTCGGCCTGGAACTCGAGCTCGTCACGCATGGCATTGAAGTCGAAGGGCTCGCCGGGACTGAAGATGACGGCCTCTTTGGAGAAGTAGCCGTACGAGGGATTGTACAGACTATCTGTGGTTTTGCCCATTGTCAGCCAGCTCAACTTTTTTCCAAATCTGCGCATATGAGAGCGCATGAGCAACACAACACATACCGTCTATAAAATCCCGAAGCAGCATCTTCACTTTCCGCGGCCGCTCCGTCCTCTTCTTCAGCTCCTGCAGCGAGATGTACGGATACTGCGCAAACTCTTCTCTTCGGTCCTCGGGCAAAATGTGCGTCCGCTGCTGCCAGCGACTCTCGTTGGTCTTCATGCCGCGATCGATCGACGGCCTTGTGCCGATGCCGCGACTCGGCTGCCTCTGTCTGCTGGCGAGGCCATTGCGCAGGCCTTGACACCCGCGAGGGCGATGCCGAAACAGCTGGCGGAAGAGATGGGCCACAATGGGAGAATCCATGATGGCAATCGTCACGATGCCTTCACAAGATGAAATGTTTCTTCTCGTCCCCCAAATCAGGCGCTGTAGCTGTTGGCAGATCCCGCAGCTACGCCCGGAAAGTGGTTTGTTCCGAGTAGGGCTGCCCCGCGGGTTCCCGGTACGTACCTTTTTCTTCTTTCTTTTTCTGCGCTCTTAGTACCGGCAGGGATTAGCAATGACCTCAGAAACGACAAAGTTTAGTCTATCCTACAGAACTTTAGCACTTCATCTACATATTGTTCACTTCAATAGCCCGCAGAAAAATGAGGGCATTTTGAATACAATTACAATGAGGCATATCCGGTCACGGCCAGTAGAGTAGCATGTCATTGAGCGACCATCCCAAGGCTTACGGCACGGCAGCCATTGCCGTTGCCTTTACAGCAGGCATCATCGCTACCCTGGGATTCAAAGAGCTGTATCCCGAGCTTGAATCCCGCTACCAGCACAAGAGCACCAGCCGCTCGAATGATACCAGGAGATCGAGTTTCTTCTGGGGAGCGCCGGTGAAGCTCGAGGACCATGAGCCGAAACCTTCGACGTCTCGGTCCGCCGGAATAGCGACAAATGGCATCGAAGGCTGCATCGGCAACACACCCCTCATTGAAATCCAATCTCTCTCCGAAGCCACTGGCCGGACCGTCCTGGCCAAAGCCGAGTTTCTCAATGGCGCTGGGAATAGCCCCAAGGACCGAGTGGCTCTCAACATGATCTTGGAGGCCGAGAAGCAGGGCCTCCTAACGCCGCATCAAGGCGACACCATCTATGAAGGGACCGTGGGCAGCACAGGTATCTCGCTGGCTACTCTGGCCCGCGCAAAGGGATACAAGGCTCACATCTGCATGCCCGATGACCAGGCCTTCGAGAAATCGGATCTTTTGGTTCATCTGGGTGCAACCGTTGAGAGAGTCCCCGTGGCTCCAATTACCAGTCCTGATCATTTTGTCAACTTGGCTCGAAGGCGCGCCATTGAGCACACGCGATTTTCAGAAGATGGCAGCAAGGGCTTCTTTGCGAATCAGTTTGAGACAGAGTCCAACTGGCAGGCTCACGTCGTCAGCACAGGCCCGGAGATCTACCAGCAGACAGACGGAAACCTTGACGCATTCGTAGCTGGTGCAGGAACTGGCGGAACGATATCGGGAGTGGCGCGATACTTGAAGCTCGAGGCCAAGATGAAGAATGTCAAGGTCATCCTGGCGGATCCCCAGGGAAGCGGACTGTATAACAAGATTAAGCACGGCGTCATGTACTCGCCCACCGAGAAGGAGGGCACCCGGCGCAGGCAACAGGTCGACTCCATGGTAGAAGGAATCGGCATCAACCGCATAACCAACAACTTCGAAGTCGGCCGAGACTTGCTCGACGATGCAGTCAAGGTGACTGATGAGCAGGCCTGCCGCATGGCCAGGTGGCTCGTGGAGAATGACGGCATCTTTGTAGGGAGCAGTAGCTCTGTGAACTGCGTCGCTGCTGTCATGGCGGCAATGAAGCTGCCCCCCGGGAGTCGGGTCGTCACCCTGTTGTGTGATTCCGGCACCCGCCATTTGAGTAAGTTCTGGAAGAATATCAAAGACATGGGCTTGGAGGAAGGAGAACCCACAGATCTATTTGCTGAACTGGGTATACCAAAGTCATGATGAAAAGCCTTGACCTTTATCCTGTACATGACGGAGCTAGCTCCATAACCACTATCGCATGTTGTTGATAGAAAACCGGCAGCAGTGATCTATTAGATGATCTAGATAAAACATACTGCATAGCCTCACGGCAACACCAAGTTCATGATGTGCACGCCGACGCAAGACATGCCAAAAAAAGGTAAAAATATGAGGAAGGGAAAACACTACACGGCGCCCGAAGGTCCTGAGTTCTTCATATCATACCCGAAAAAAAATGTAATCAATTTTCCATAACTCCCATCCCGAAAAAAGTTCCACCCCATTCGCTCCGTAGGAAACATCAAGCAAATCGAAACGGCGTCCTCATAGTCCTCGAGGCAGACGTGTCGCCTTTATTGTAATTTTCTCCCTCTTCTCGCTGTCTCCTTATGAGAACTGCAAAACAACCCTCGTTAGTATTGTAGCATAAGAGGGGAGGAATAAATAGAAAACATACCTTCCACCGGTTGCCGCAATTCATACACTCGCAAAACGTCGTCATCGGCTCATCAGCACTTCGTGTCTGCGCCTGGGTATAGCTGACCTTCTTCTTCTTGCACTTGCCGCACTCCAGGCTGTCGCTGATACTCTTCTCCGCCATCGGAACCTGGGCCTTCTTCATGTTCTCCTTCTCCAGCTCCTGCTCCATCTTTTTCCGCTCCTCGCTCTTGAGCTCATCGTCCGTCATGCTGACGAACCGATCGGGCGAGATTTCTCCCGACAGGACTCTCTTGCCCAGGTCCCGATTGGACTTGCTCTTGAGATTTTGGAAGAGCGACCGGATCTTCTTCTTGTACTCGGCGCCCTCGCCGTTGAGGAGGGTGAACAGGGCGTTCTCAACGGCAACGGCCTTGGCGATGACGTCGCTCTCGGACTCGGTGGATCGGTAGGCAAGGCCGTTGTACAAGAGGCCGATGCACTGGTTGCGGACGTTGGACTCGGTACGCTTGATGCTGACGCCGTCGGTGTCGAACTTGCGCTTCTCGGGGTCGCCCTTGAACGCCTTCTTGGCGCCGCTGGGCGCGGCGTTGGCGGACGGGTTGGGCGGCGACGCGGCGGCGGGTGCTGACGGGGAGCCCATCTTTGCCTTTTGCAGCTTGGAGTTCTTTTCCTGCTCGACGAGCTTCTTCCACTTGATGACGAGTTCCGAGGCGGCTCGAGCAATCTCCTTGTTGGGATTTGACCGCAGCTTGCCGACAAAAACACCTGCGCGCGTGGCCTGCAGTTTGCGACAACCAATGTCAGAAGAAAGAACAACGGGCAATCAAGACATGGAATGAGAGCGATCATCATGGTGACGAGAAGCTGCGATTGGAGGCGATGCTTGGGAGCAACATCGGCGGGCAGTGACGAACGGGGGCCCATCCAAACGTGACAGATAATCAGATCGAATGGATCCTGCCCGAACATGCATTCACGGCCCGTGTATAAGAGGCGCACAACATTCACAGCCTCGTCTCTGCCCATTCCATTTCCCAAGCATTTGCTCTTTGTAAAAAAGGCCGCACATGATCAAACGTACCCGTAGCATCTCCTCGGTCGGTGACGCATCCTTCTTGAGCGACTCCAGCAGCTTCAGCGCATTCTCCGGCGGCTCGTTGGCGGCCACGACCTTGGTCAGCGCCTTTACGCGCGACTCGAGCTCACGCTGGTCCATGCCCGGCATTGCGGAAATTCTCGGTAGCGAAAAAAAAAAAAACGATTCTAAAGTTGACGATGATTGATTCGAAATGGAGGGGTGGAAAGACAAGAAAACAGCGAAGCTTTTTGGAATTAGGGAAGCAAAAAAAAAGAAAAAGAGCAAGACTTGACAGAGGGAGAGAAAAAAAAGGTAGCAGTTATCGGCATCTGCCAGGTTTCGCTCTTTGCCCACGCGGCGCGCGGCGAATCAATCGTCGCATACGGAGTTGGCTTGGAGGGCGGGTGGGATGAATGTCCGGGGTTTAGCCGTCCGATTTTGTAGTAGAAATGCTTGAGGCGGGTCACGTGGGGAGCTTCCGAGGTTGGCGCCCTCGTTTCATGCTTTGAATATGCCATATGTTGGGCTGAGTGCACTTCATGATAACAAAATAGTCATATATGAATAGCTACTCTGTAATTGAATGGGAAATATGACTGATGATAAGATTTGGTCTATAACAACTACAGCAAGTGACTATTCAATATCCTATTTTGGTTAACCAACAACTTAGCAATCATGCGAGGTGCATCCTGAAATGTCTTTGAGTTGGGCAACAGGAAGCTGAATAGACGCTCTTTCAATATAGATTAGGGAATTATTCGCAACATGGGCTGTATACAAGTCTCAAGCACGCCTCTGTCTGCCCGTTTTCCTACGTTTACTAGCCCCTGAACCCTCCCCAGATTCCGCAGTCTCTTCTCCCCCGGCCATATTCGCCCTCAGTCTATCCACCGCAGCCGCCATTCGCTTGCTCCCCTGAACTCTCTGCCTGGGAGCAAACGTCTCCCTTGCGCCAGCGCCAACACTCCCGCCAAAGAACCTCGTAATGTTGCTCTGCGTCCCTTCAATCTCCCGCTTGTTCATGTCCCGAATCACCGGCACGAGCACCTCATCCGTGCGCTCCTTGCCCCATCCGATTGTCGCCATGAGATACTCTCGCAGCCCTGCCACATCAGGAACGCCCCATTGAAACGGCTCCGTGCTGCTGTCGACCATTGGGTGGAGGTAGGCCTCGTAAACGGCTGGACTTGGGAAGCCGAGCGGCAAGAAGAGCTTGGTGGCCTGTGACTTGCGGAATTTGCGCCTGAAAGACGAGGATGCATCGGCCTCCTTGGGCCGCGTTTGGGCTTGAACCTCTTTCCACCACTCGCGGAACTTGTCGAGGCCGTCTTTGCCGGGAAACTCGGAAAGGATCTCGACAGCTGTAACGGGACCGACGCCAGGCAGTCCTTCTGTGTAATCCGACCCCAGGAGCTGAGCGAGCGATATGAGCTGGTCTCGAGACAGGGACATTTCTTTATCGAGGTCTGCGCCGACATAGCATTCTACAAATTTGTTGCTGTTAAACATGTTCTTGTAGACTCGTGTCCCTCCAAAGAGAAAGGTGTCAGAGTCATCTGTAACGATGCCGTCAACCATGCCGAGCCGGACCAGCTCTGCACACTGCGCTTCTGCTTCCATCGGCGCGGTGATGTACGGGATGCCAAAAAGGCGAAGCAAAGCCTGACACTCTGTAATCATGGTCTGCGTCACTTCGTCTGCATCACGGCGATCCTTCTTCTGCTGGTTTCGAAGCGCTCTCAGTTCTCGCTCATAGTCTTCTTTGTTTTGCTGTGTAGACTTTTTGTTCAGTTCACTAGCGAAGCGCGCGTGTTCCTCTGCTTCTTCAGCCATCTGTGCTAGGAGTTCTTCGTCCTCGGGGTCACTAAACTCATCGTATTCTACGTCGGCAAATAAGTCGTCGTCATCCACGATGCCTTCTACTGGAGGCTGGCCCAAAGGAAGGCTTTCAATCAAGAAGGCATCTGCTTGTGTATCTCCCTGAGGTAGTGTGCTGTCCGCTGGCTGGACGTCTTCAAACTCAGGTTCGGGCGAATCATGGCTCTCTTGCGCTTCAACAACAGGTGGAACGGGAGCAGTGGGAGCTTCAGGTATGGGAATTTCTTCAAACTCAGGCTCGGGCGATTCGCTCTCCGCTCTGCTCTTATCCTCAAGAGCAGGCTCGGTTGTAGGTGGCTCAATGCTTGAATCATCCTCTTGGACTTTGTCGACCGTGGGGCTAGAGATCGGGGCCGCTTCTGGCGATGGTGGTATCTCAATAATTTTGACATCATCGCTGGCGTCGTCATCCTCATCTTCAGAGTGGATTTCGATCAACCGATCCCGCAACTCTTTTCGTCGAAGGTTTTCTTCTTCTTCCGCTTCAGCTCTATCCTGAGCGTTAATTTCTCTTTCGACGCCTTGCTGTTTCTTGATTGCTTCTCGAATATCCGTCTCATCATCTACTAGCCACGGAGGTAACGGCTTGGGACCATCTTCTTGCTGAGTTTCAACTTCGAAACCGCCGCTTAACCCATCTTCTTGTTCTCCCTCTTTATCCAGTTGTCTGTCATCTCCACCTGCTGTAACCACAATTGGTTTCTCTTGGGGTGTCTTTTTCTTAGCGAAAAGAGACGAACCCCAGTCCAGCTTTGGGAACGGTAGAGGGCCATCAAACGGGTTCTTCTTATTCTCAAAAGCTGGCTTTAGTTGAGGTTTCTTCATCTTCCGTGACCTTGCTAGGATTGCTTGCATATCGTCATCGCTGTCGCTCTCTTTTGCCTCCTCTGATATCGGGGCTTCTTGTCGTTTCGGAACAGCCGCATTGGCCCGGTTGTTTACAATGTGCGCAATCATTGAGCCGCTACTACGACTGATAGGCTTTGGCGCTTCCACGGCTACTTGAGTCCACTCAGGTTTGTCTCGGACATCCTCATCCTCATCCATGCTCTCTTCTGATTCCCGTCCAATGCCGTGTTGACTCTGCAATGATAAAGCGATTGCAAGATTGAGATCATGCTCCTCTTCTGGATGCATATGCTCCGCAGGCTGTTCCTCCAAAATATTTTCTGTCGGATCCAATCTCCCCCCCACGAACAAGGAGTCTTCGTTGGCGCTTTCATCATTGGCAGCATCCTGTCTGTGGCTCATGTAAAAATGCTGTCGTCTGCCACTTATATCTTGAGCAGCTTGAAAGCTTGCAGCATCTGACTGGGACAGTTTGGGTAGCCGATTGACACCCACGATTGGCACATCTTCAAAGTCTTCTTCTTCACTTTCTTCTTCCTTTGTCTGGTATTGAAATTGAAGAGCATCCACATCAATTGGCTTGTGGGCTTCCCCGACATCTTTGTCTTTGCTGACCACTCCAAGAGCCCAGCCTCCTTCCACACCCTCGTTCTTCACCAAGATGTATTCTCGATCTCTTTCTCCCGCAATACGTGCATTGACGCCGAGGGTCAGGTCAGTGCCCGACATTCCAATTTCATACATTAGTCGCTGTGTCAAATGATTTCTCTCCTGGACTCTTTCAATCTGAAATCTCGAGAAAGCCATGCGGTCAGGAAACATGTCATCGAGCTGTTCCTTGCTCAGGCCCATTCTGAGTCGACTCCTCAATCTCGCCGCGTTGAGAATATTGTACCTATCAGGCGGCGGAAGGCTCTTGAAGAAGTCGCCGTCGAAATCAATCTTGCTAAAGTCGTACAGGTTGATGTCTTCTCCGTTGTTGAACTGGCGCGCATATTCTTCCAATTCCTCTACGCTCATGATTCGAGGATCGTCTGGCTTTCCCATTGATGCTATTCCACCCTCGATTTCCGGCAGGTGATAGGCATCCTGCTTATAAAACTTGCGATTGCGCAGCCTCTCCTGTTGAGACATGCCAATCTCCTCAACGTAGACCAACTCGTTGGCTTCGGGGATATCTTCTTCTGGCTCTACCGGGCGCGGCCTCTCTTTTTCCCTTTTGCGTTTTTCCTCCTCTTCCTCCGCGAGTCGCTGCATCTGAATAGCCAGAAGCTTCCCAGCGGTCCTGACGGCATCTTCTCGCCTTCCCTCTCGCCTCTGTTTGCGCTTCTGAATGGTTGCTCGTTTCAATGCTGGAGCGCCGCCATCAAACACAAAGACGGGCTGGATACCAAACCAGAGAAGCTTGCAGATGCGCCGAAAGAATCCCACAATATGGGAGTTGCGAAGCGCATTGCCTTCTTTATCACGGACAGCCTTGAGAAACTGGTAGATCCAAATCGATGCATCCACGGCCAGACGCTTTCGATTGAGCGTTGCCAGGTTGGTAGGCCGTGCACACGGCTGGATCACCGTCCAAAGCCCGTTAACACCCATCGTGAGAGCGCGGGCCTACCGATAGCCCGCGACTGGTTATTTTGACTAGTGAGGCGGCGATGGCATTGCGATGGGGTTTGTGCGAGGTCGACTCGCTTCCACCGCAGTCGTAGAGGTGGAAATGCAAGTCCTCGACGCAATATTGTGTGATGAAGAAGAGTTGAAGATTCACGATCGATGAACTCTTGTAGTGACGCTATTGTAGTAGAGGCGGTGGGGCTGTCAAGCACAGATTCAGCCCTATCTATTGGCCAGCTCGACTTATCGCAGCCTCCCTCGGCCGCATCAGAAGCAGCTTTTCCCCCACGCTTTGATTCTCTTGCATCTCCATCCTTGCGCTGCTCGAGGCCAAGGCTAGTCTTCGCCATGGATAAAGATGAGGCTCACGAATATCTTTCGTCTCTTTTGAACCAGAGTTTGCGCATCTACACCACAGATGGCCGCATGTTTCGGGGCAGTTTCAAATGCACAGATCCGGTTCGTCTCCCCGAGCAAAAGGAAGGACAGGCTTTGCAATTTACCGTGTCATTGGTGCTAAATCAGGTTCTCGACGGCGTAGGATAGGAATATTGTATTGGGAAACACGCATGAATACCGCCAGCCTTCGGAAGAGGAGCGTAGTGCAGCTGCGGCAAATGCCTCTGGTAGCTCAACCATCCTGGATATGACGTCTCGATATCTAGGCCTAATTGTTGTTCCGGGACAATACATTGTGAAGATGGAAGCTGAACAGTTTTTAAGCCAAATGAAGCCTCAGTCTGTATGAGGCCACGGTGGAAGGGCATCCACATGTATATATAGCGACGAAAGATGTTTCATGATGGCGTTTTGAGGTTTGCCCATTCCCCTTGGCCAAATGCGGGTTGGTTATGCAGAATGATACAACAGACATGATCGATGGAGTTGTTGTACTTCATATAAAAATTATGTAACTCATACTAGGTATTAATGAATAGCCACGCGCCAAAAAGACTATTCGAAAGAGACTAAAGCACATTGACCCAACCAGTGATTGTTCCAGCCTTGTCCAAAACTCCCCCGCCGTTCGGCGGCGTTCAAATCGAAATCATCGGCAATTAGCCCTTGCCCACCAAGACTGTTCCCCCTTTTGTTGTTTCATGTTCGCACGGACGATAAGCCGGCATCTTAAGCTGCGAGGATTTCTTGAGTTCGACCTCGCGACTCGCCGTTCATTCCTCCGTCACTACCCAGGGCAGAGTGACGCTCCTCCTCCTCTTCCTCCTCCTCTTCTGCGTCACTATCCATTCTCACCCCTTGTTGTTGCTGAACCCAAGAGCCGTTGTCGTTCAGCGGCACGTCCTGGTGGGACAAGTCGTGACCCTCTTCTCTAGCTCGGATGGTGTTGCGCCGCCGCTGAGAAAGATTGCGGGATCGAGTAGAAAGCTTGGAGCTCACGGCAGCGTTGGAAGTGACCCAGTTGGTGAGAGCATCTTCACAATCCTGGATGATGGCCTTGCTAGCCTCATAACCATCGTACGCAGCTCGGGTCTCGCCAGGAGTCACGGGAGCATCATCGATGAGGTCGAGCAGATGTTTTCCGTAGCCAGCGATAATGGCAACCTTCTCGCAATGCTCGCGGAGGGCATCAAACTGGTAGATATAAGCAGCCTTGACCTTTTCGCGTGTGATATTGGAGAGCTGAGCCTCTGCCACGAGCGATTCGGCCTCAGCGCGAACCAACTCCTGTTCAAGCACCACAATCTTTGGCGAGTTTGGTTCTTTGTACTTTAACTGGGCGATTTGATCGGTGATTTTTTGTTTGCCTGGTGAGGTTAGCCTGTGTTCTAAATCGTCTATTCGACATGGGCTTCGTCTTACGGTCTCGGCTGGGCTGAACCGATGCCTCAATGTTGCGGATGCTCTTCATGGTAACGCGGTATTGGTCGTATCGGTCAACGTACTGGTCCTCTAGCTCGCCAATTTCGTAGAGCAAAACGCCGATCTTGTCGGTGACGTCAGAGACATCTTCGTCGGTAGCCTCGCCCCAAAGGGACAATTGTTGCTATGCACACGTCAGTTGAGCCACGACTTTGGCGATGAAGGATGGGATGCGAAACATACAGCCACTTCCATGCGCTCCTTGGCGACAAGCTCCATACTTCGCATCACGTTCTTCTCCATCTTGACAAGCTGGGACAGTTTCTTGGCCAGGTCCGGCCCGAAGGCGCCACCGGCATTGCGACGAAGAGCATGGCCTGCACCATTGATTAGTCGGCGTAAACACGAGAGTCGCGGTCAAGGCAGGCGTCAAGGGAAGGGTAACAATCGAAGCTCAAGTCATTCGATTGGTGCTAGCGGGGTAGCACAATGCTAGAAGAGCTATCGTAGCACTCACCCAAGCTTCCCTTTCCGAAGAAGCGGCCGGACTTGGTCGACGACGGCGGAGGGGGCGGACTCTATTCATCAGGCTTGTCAGTCCCCAAGCTCCAACAACAGGAGGTCTCAAGATGGCAGATGCCGGCCGATCCATACCTGGAGCTGCGAGGCCGTCGGCGCACGGGACTGGCGCATAGAATATGTTCGATGCATTTTGGCGGTGTGGCTGAGCGCTGACTGCTGCGAATGGCAATGTGTGATGATGGGGGAATAGAATAGACAATGGCGCTGCGGTAGGGATTGGGCGCACAGAAAAGAGCCAGCAAATGGTGTTTGTAGGCGGTATCAATACGGGAAGAAGCCTGGGCTGGCACAGGAGGGGACGGATGGGGAGATGATTATAAGAATGTCACGGCTGGCTGCTTTTTTGGCGGAGCTGGCGGATCGTCATCGGCTGGACAGCTGGTGCGCCTTCGCTACGTCATCCCCGCAGCTCGGGAGCCTGTTTGAGCCTTGAACGAAGAGGAGTCTCTCATCGACGCAGCGCTAGGCCCAATCCAACGCCGCTGGTACTACGGCGACGACGTCAGATCAGGGCCCGGGACCAGCGGACCAGAGTGTCAAGGCGGGTGGTCGAGGGTACCTCTACCTGGCAGCTGTCTAAATGCATGTCTCGGCCGCTGGACTCGACTGGAAGATTCCTGGGCTTGAGACAGACACGACCGCCCGTCTTGTTGGCTGTGATGCGCCATGCCGCATTCAGTTGGAGGACTGCTGGGGAAGATGCTAGCGCGGGCTAGGGGAAAGTGAATCGCAAGCACAAACTCATTTCTGCGTTTTCTTGTTTTTGATTCTGCGGTAGGTAGGGGGAAGCATCTGAAAGAGTGAGACACGATGCGTCATGGACTGCCATTGAGGGTCCTGGCAGCACCAGTCCACAGCCAGCGCTCGCTTCTGTGAGGACGGAGGATTGATGATCCTGTTTAGTTGTAATAACCAAGCTATTCTCCATCTCGCTGCTTCAATTGGTAAAATGACAAGCCATTTGCAGAGACGAGAAATACTGAAAGCTTCTCTGCTCCTGTATCATTTGGCTCAATGCATAGAACACAGAAAGTAGGGGTCCTGCAGCCTTGACTCCCGCAGTGGGGGCAAGTTAATATCCAGAGCTGTGAAATGGAGACGCATCTGCAGCTGTACTCCGTCTGTGAACCTTGCTTCCTTTTTGACGTCTGCCGTTGGTGCACACCAGATGCAAAATCTGCAAACGTGGAGGTTAATCCCTGATGCCGGGAGGCTCGCTTAGCCCTTTTGCTCGCACACAGCAACTCTACAGCCTGGCGAATCCATCCATATCTGGACGGGGATCCACGAGAGCATTGGAGTCTCATGCAGGTACGCAGCTCCACATGTTCGGCACTTGGACTCAAGAGTACGAGTAGCAGCAGTAGCTTGATGACACATCCATCAGATCTGATTCTCAGACCGCGGTTCCTCTCCGGTGTAAGGTGAAGATCCCGTCTGTTTCATGACTGGTGATGGTGTTTTACTGAGCCGAAGGAAAAGAAGATGTACAGTAGAGTAGTGCATGCCACCTGAGGTCCCCAAACGGATGGCTTGTAAACGTCTGCTTCGGCGATAGTGGCGGAATGGATACAAAGAAAAAGCCAAAAAAAAATCCTAGTCTACAAAGAAGATAAGATCGACAAACCCAGAATCCGACATGTGTTGATGCACAAGTACCAACATATCCATTCTTCCAAGTACTAATGCAGTCAATGAAGCAAGTCTTTGCTCTAATACGAGTACACACATGCCGTGCCCCCCAGAAACGCGTCCCCAAATCTGGCCTAGCCGTCCGATTTTCTTTGTGGACTTGGATCATAAACTCTGGCCAATCACCAACAGCCCGGCCCGACCAACCAGGGCTCGCGTGCTCGCTCCGGCTTCTCAATCCAGGACGCGATCTGGAAGCCTCTCGATTTCGCGATCTCTAGAATCCCAAGCGCCAGTTGTTGGGTGGCCTTTCTTTGATCAGCAGCGCTGCACTGCACGGAAATGCTCTGCTAATCCAATCCCCCCCTCTTCGGTGCAGCGGTCGCTGGGATTGGGCTTGTGTTGCGTTTTGTTTTGTGGCTTGGGCTCAGGAATCAGAGGCGGCGCCTTGCAGTTGCAGTTGGACCACACGGCCAAATCTCGTTCCATCCAATTTCACCCAGAAATCCTCAGCCTCAGCCTCACATGAGTTCCGCACCGCCCATCGCTCGCCCGCCTTGATTCCTCACCGTCAATTCAACGGCGTGCCAATACATACTTGCTGCTATTCTTTCGTTCCATTACACTTTTCACACACTCTCTCGTGGCCTCTCATCTCATCTCATGCAGACCCTGACCCTTTTCCGTGCCTCGGCCGTTCATTTAGACTCGGGTCTGCGGCATCCTTCGCCCGTCTGGCCGACAGCACTGCTGTAACACAAACACAAACACTGCAAACGAATTAATTTTCGACAGGCAAGGATGATGCCCCACGGAGCACAAGTATTCGCAGCATCCGAAGATGGCGGCCCAAGCCACCTGGGCCATCCAGACTTGACTAGCGGATCTGGCGTCGCGGTTTCGACCAGAGGTCCCATTAGCCCTCCTCCATTGTCCAGAACCTGCTCGTCTGCTCCTCCTGCTCCGGCTCCCTGCATCGGTGACGTCCCCAGCGGTTGGACACCTACGGCTCTCCCTGATCGCGCGTCCATGCCCTTGGCTGACCGCGTTGCTGAACATGCGCCCGTCATGCCAGAGAAACCTGGTGTCGCATCTGCATCTGCATCTAGCGCCAGTCCAGTTCGCAACATGCCGCCCCCATTGACCGCCGCAACGCCGTCGCGAGATGGCTACCGCCAGCCAGAAGCAGTGCAGACGCCCAAGGCTCAGACGGTTCCAGTGACGGAGTGGACTGTCCAGACGCTCGCCAAACAGCTCACGACCTTCAACCAGGAAGTCCGGAGAGACCACGCGCAGCTCGTCGCCCACGCCATTGAGTCCGCAAAGTGCAGAGAGTGGCGCACGCATCATGGGCTGGATCTCTTTCGCGAGCTGGAGACTCACCCGAACCCAGAGCTCAAGGGGAAGCAAATCAAAATCAAATTCAAGGTCAGAACCCGTTGCCAACATTTGAAATTTGAAGCTTGAAATCGGATGTTTGAGCATTGAGAATTGACTTCCCCCGCTTAGCACCACAACAAGAATAAAAAGGATCACAAGGACGTTCGCTACAACGTGATTTGCATCAAGACCAACAAGGACGCTGTCCCGTCTTACAGATTCCACCACGTGGAAATCAAGAAGAACGTGCTGATGCCAAACACCATGCTGACATTTGTTCCCCATCTGCGCGATCTCGAAGGCTCTGAAGAGGCCAAGTACAACCTTTGGCTTAAAGAATTGGAGGACATTGACCTCAAATCAGGCTTCAAGCCCATGAACCGCGACGAAAAATTTGTCGCAATCATCCAGGCCGAGCGCGCTGCGACTCTTTCGCTCTACTTGGATATGTGGCTCAAGAAGCTCAACATACCACTCTGCAACAAATCCACTCTCATCAGCTACATGGCAAGCCAGGCATCCGATGACGCGATAACTCCCCAGCAAAAGACGGATATCATCAGATCCCAAGGGGATGGGAACAGGATGACGCCAGAGGCGCGCAGGGCGGCAGAGATGTTCACCGCTGCATTTCAGCTGGCCTTTAAGGAAAACCAACCGCAGTTGAAGCAGATCGAGTTGCGCAAGGTGCTATTTCTCGACGAGTCTGTCGATAGTGTCATGGACAACAAGCCCGCGGCCAAGGACGTTTCCATCATCCAGCAAGATAGTGAAGATGAGGTTGTCGAGTCCAATTTGGCCACGTACTGCATTTTGGGGTGCCTCATCTGCTTCAGCCATTCCTGCGATCACGGCGAATACGACCACCAAAACTGGAAACGCACCTTTTCCTTGTCGTCTTGCGCGCCGTTGTCAGATATTTTGAAGAGGAAACGAATAGCGGCAGCGGGCGCTAATATGATTGCTGACGTGCCTTGTCAGCGAAGGTGCTATCGTCTGAAGATTCCCCCTGATCCAAGTGTGGTGGTGAAGCCATGGACTGAAGACGAGCGCACTCTCCTGCGATCTTTGTACATCACGACCGATTTCAGCAAAGCCACGATGGACCCCATCTGTCTCGCGACCGAATTCTTGAACCGCAACTGCGATGAGGTGTACGCGGAGTTTCTTTCCTTAAACATCGTGATACCCGAACCGGAACCCACAGAACCCCCTCGTCCGCGAAACATTTCATGGTATGACCGTAAGCGAAAGATGCTCCTCGGAGACTGGCAGGACCATACCATCACTCACGAACACCAGCGGCGTGAATTACTCGAACCATGCTCTCACGATGGCCCATGCGCCCCAAAAATATGCTCATGTGTGGATGCCGGGGTTTTGTGCGAAAGGTTCTGCGGCTGCACGGAGGCAAACTGCCTTTACAAGTTCACAGGGTGTGCCTGTCACTCCCAGGGCAAGACGTGTCTTTCTAAACAGAAAGAAAAGCCATGTATATGTGTGCAACTCAACCGTGAGTGTGATCCGCAGCTGTGCGGTTCATGCGGCGCCTTTGAACGTGCCGATCCCGCCAACGCTGAAGACGAGTGGCTGCACTCTACGGGGTGCCAAAACTGTGACTTACAGCGAGGAAGGCACAAGGTTGTCCTTCTCGGACAAAGTCAACTTGAAGGGGTTGGCTACGGACTGTTTACTGCCGAGGATATTGCACAAGACGAATTCATCGTCGAGTATGTTGGGGAGCTGATCACCCACGACGAGGGTGTCCGTCGTGAAGCAAGGCGTGGCGACGTGTTTGACGAAGAATCCAACATATCATACGTATTTACGCTGCTCGAAAATGAGGGTATCTGGGTTGACGCAGCCATCTACGGCAATCTGAGTCGATATATCAACCACGCTTCGGAACACGACACACGGGGATGCAACATCACTCCGCGTATTCTCTATGTAAACGGCGAATTTCGAATCAAGTTTACCGCTCTTAGGGATATCAAGGCCGGAGAGGAGCTCTTTTTCAATTACGGAGAGAACTTTCCCAATCTTACCAAGAAGCTGCTTGATACCAAGTCTGGAGAGAAGCCGGGAGGGCCAAGAAAGGCTGGTCGGCCAAAGCGTGCCGAAACTGGTGATCGAGTGGCACGCAAAGTACCCAAGATCGAACACAAAAAGGTGGGAAGGCCAAAGTCAAAAAAGAAGAAGGAGACGACTGTGAGGACGACTACGACGACGACGACGACGACTACGACGACGGCAACTACTCTGATGGAGGCAACGACGGTCTCGGATGAAGATTCTGCGGCTGTCCAGCAAATGATGGAGGAGACTCTTACTCGCAAGCGAAAGCGCCACACGTTGTTCGACTCAGAGGAGGAGGAATACCACCCACCTGGCACGGACGCAACGTCGTTTGTGGCAGAATCGGGCGTCGACTCCGAAGGGGGGGATCTTCTTGGTTCGAAGCGGCTTCGGAAGACAACTAGATCACAGAGAGTCAAGGAGCCCGAAACACCATCTCAGGCCGTGAAAGGGGAGGAGCCAAAACCTCGAGGCAAACGAGGAGGAGCCCGACCTGGTAGCGGGCGACCTAGAAAGCACCCTCGGATCATCCAAAGGCCAAAAGAACCATCCCAGCCTGTTCAGCCTACCCAACCTGCTGAGCTCCTTCAACAGTCTACTCAAGAGGCCCTGCTTGAAGCAGATACCAGCGCGCCTACTCCCGTACAACCGCCAGCCCCTGCACCCTCAACACCGAAGCAAAACAGGATAAGCCGCGGGCACGAACCTGAGGATGCCATTGAAATCGAAGATAGCGAAGACCAGGACGATCAAGATGACCAGGATGACCAGGATTTAGCCACGAGGAACAGGACGTCTAGGAATAGACGATTACCGGCGAAGTTTAGGGAGGAGGCATAGTAACGGGGTAAAGGTCACTGGGATTAGGAGTTGTAAAAAGAAAGGAATCAATATTTATAGAACAATTTACGGGGGCCGATCTGGGTTGCGTATTGAACCAGATACTGAATGAAGCTAGAGCGTTGTTTTGTATGGATTATTACATAATGCTTATACCTTGACAGAAGAGTCCAAAGAATCATCATACCGTGGCCTCAAACAGTACCTGACAGGGTGCTTGTAGAGAAATTACAGGCATGTGAAAACATGTGCTCAATATGACGACGCCAGCTACAAGGTACTTTTATGTGGACGTTGGTAGAAATGTGGCGCAGAACTGTCTGCCTTGGTCAAAGCCCTGTTTCGGGGTCTCAGGCCATGTATCCTTTGACTGTGAGCAGCTCTCGGCGCTATCGTGTGTTGTTGTCAATTTTGCATATTTGCAGCGTTCAATTAGATGAAGCCGTAAATCTATATACTTGGCCAATGATCTGTTGATATCAAAAGAACAGTTCAACATTAGAGCTACAGGCAGTATTCTAGAGTATGTGCTTGACTGCTGGCATTAAAGCCACATCTCTGTAGCGGGGGCGGGGCGGACCCCAGCCACAAAACAGGAAACGATGACGTGGGTGATTCGACACGCAACGGAGCTGCACAGCTGAGGTACCTGAACCCACAACGAACTGAACACTTTACCTGGAATTCGAGTTTTTTTCTTCCATCTTCCTCTTCTATCCTTCCGCCTACAAAAGCAGCGGATTGACTTGACAAACTCTTCGCATTTCTCTGCACCAAACGCCCATCTGTCCTCTGCCTTTGTCTATCGAAAGCTGAATTGTCGTTCTTGAGCTTCCCGCGCTACCCCCGCCGACAAACAAAAACAAGAGCTCGCAATTGGAGGCCATTGCCCCGACACCACGATGACGCTCTACTACACTCTTGTATGTTTACGATGCCAGATGGAGAGAGAAATGTGCTTTGAAGGGCTAACGAGATACAAGGTGTTTGGCCTTCTCATGGCTGAGATGGGCCTGTTTATGCTGCTGCTTATTCCCCTCCCGTTCAACATCAAGCGGAGGATCTTTACGTACGATGCCCGACAGCACCCGATGTGCTTTTGAAGCACGCGCTGACGAGATTACCATAGCTTCATTTCCGAGAGCCCGTTGATCGCCAAAGTACAGTACTGGATGAAGATTACCTTTGTCTTCATCCTCATCCTCTTCGTCGACAGCCTCAACCGCGTCTACCGGGTGCAGCTTGAAGTTATGGCTGCGCACGAGCAGGGCATTAAGGGAAAGTGAGTGTCCCCTTGGAAACCCGGAATTAACACTTCCTTTCTAACGACATCAATAGCGCTGCCGCTGTCATGGGATCCGAGCGTCTCGAGGTCCAGGCGCGCAAGTTTTACTCCCAGCGCAACATGTACCTCTGCGGCTTCACGCTGTTCCTTTCCTTGATTCTCAACCGCACCTACGTCATGATCCTTGAAGTCATGCGCCTGGAGGATAAGCTAAAGACCTACGAGGGCACCAGCAAGAACACCAAGGAGAGCGAGAAATTGGCTGTCGCCGGCAAGCCCGGCGAGCTTGCTGCTCTCAAGGAGAAGCTCGAGAAGAAGGACCAGGATCTCCAGAACCTCAAGAAGCAGGCCGAGCAGCTCAACAAGGCCTACGGCGAGCTCAGCGACAAGTACGCCTCTACTCAGGTTGACGGCGAAAGCCGAAAGAGCAGATAAGCCATGCAATCATGTGCTTTGCAAAAAAAAAAGGATGTTCGTGGACTAGCACTGAATCTTTCAGTGACAAACGAAATGATCAAATCCACAAAGAAGTGAAATAGGGCGGAATCATTCCGGCCGACACATTGGCTCTTCCGGTTTTAGGAAACTATTTATTACACTTGCGGAAAGCTAAGGAAGAGCAAGTTTATCTGGCAGGATGGCGTAGGATGACTTGATATGGGTTAGGATGTATGGGTTTATCTGGTTTGGAGTCTCCTGACTAACTCTGTATATTACTCGATTCAAATTCACCGCTTTCATTCGGAACTACTCTTTTTTTTCCCAACACTGGGCCTCCGCATAATATGTCGACTCTGGCATATTTTATTTACTGCTATTGAACTACAACGTTCTTATTTTACCATGGCCATTCTGCGCCATTGATGCTAACAAACTTGCTAGTATCGGCATCTCTCTTCCCCTGAATGATATCTCGACAGCTCTCGCCACTCACACTCGGCTCAAGCGCACCTTGTTTACGACGCTCTTCGGGCGTGCCCGTCAGCCCTGTAGCCACAAACTCGGGGTCAAAGGCAAAAACCTTGACACCGTGGTCCTTTAATTCGAAAGCATCGCAAGCGGCCAGCATATTGAGAGCCGTCTTGCTCATGCGGTACTCGACACCACTGAAGCCGTAATACGGGTTTTTGGGGTCCAACCTGGCGCCGATGGAGCCCAAGCCGCTTGACACATAGACAATGCGCTTCTCCTTGACCTCGCCCTCTGGTTGAACCGTCAAGAGAGGCTTGAACGCCTCGGTTACGGCAAAGGGCGCAACGGTGTTGATCTCGAGCGTGTTTCGAAGTCGAGTCAGCGAATCGGGGCTTTCGTCGACGATGCCGGCGTTGTTGACGAGGATATCCAAGCGGCCGGCCTCTGCCTTGACCGTCGCGGCGGCATTGGCGATGGACGAGGATGAGGAGACGTCGAGGGGGAGGACGGAGACGGAGCTGCCGTTGTTAGGGTGTAGCTTGGCTGCGGCGGTTTTGCCTTTGGTGACGTCGCGGGAGCCGAGGAAGACGTGGTAGGGGATGGGGGATTCGACGAGGGCTTTGACGATTTCGTAGCCGATGCCACGGTTGGCGCCTTGGATTTAGCTGAGTGTTAGTTCTTTTTGTGCTTTGGGGGTAGTTTGGGTTAGATGGAGGGATGGATGTACCAGTGACGAGAACGACGCTTGCAGACATGTTTTGATAAAGTACTGGGATGTATGGATATAGAGTGGATGGATCTCTCTCTTGTATGAAGTCTCTCCTCCAGCCTTTATATCTACGCGATTGTTGCATCCCGTATCACTACCCATTAATGAAGCCATATTCCCATGCTGTGATAGAGCACTCGGCCTCCGGAGTTAAGAACGTTTACAAATGCAACCACATGAGAAGAACGAGAACATGCTCCTAGAGTATTCGGCGTCTGATGATGGTCGGAGATAGAGCCGTGGCCCCGTTTCCTGTTCAAGGTGCTTCACGCGAGCCGAACCTTAAGGCCGTATTGTAAAAGTCTCCGGAGCGTATCTGAGCTTGGATTGTTGTTTTTCCCGCTTTGTAATTGAGACTATGGAGGAGCGGATCTAGGAGGTTTGATTGAGCGAGGTGCGTGGGGAGTTGATGTGTGCCGATTTGAGAACCAACATGTTGGTTGACAAAAATAAGGAGACAGGATGGCGAGGCGTTTGTATGGGCATTGTTGTGGATAGTAATAATGACTCTTTACGGAGAGAATCTTGACTAAATGGCTAAAAGACCATTTATTCTATAGAGTGTAATGATCTCTTTATTCTTGTCAGATCATTGTATTCATCTGCATCTACTAGCATCCTCTATATCAGAAGTTGACCGTCATCAGCAGCTATTTTTGTCCATGTTTGAAAACATCCCCGCTATTTCCCTAGTCCAGCGGATTGCCGATCCTACGGGAACTGCTAATAAGCACCCAATCTAATCCGTTTTCCCACAGGCTGGCTCAGCTTCAGCCCAAATGCTTCAGTCAACATCGCGTCTCACCAGGATCCTCGCACCCCGAAATCCGAAGCCTCGCTGTCCATTATCAAGGCATTACCTAATATCCACCTTCCAGAAACCCATTTTCAACGCGCTGCGAGATTTCACTGGCAGAAGTATGAGTTCTTCAAGCGTAGTTCCCCACAGTGAAATCACAAAGGAGCAGTTTGCGTCGTATCTAAGTCAATATCCGAGCCTGGTTGAGGCGATTCCCGGTACGTGTGACTTTGTCTTCAGCAATGTTCAGAACGAGCACATTCAGTCACGCGTCTGATGTACTTGGCTGGTATTGAATTTAAAGGGATTCTTGAACTAACCAGGGCAAATACACATGCGTGCGCAACAGCCAAAAATGGTCAAAAGACGCTCTCTGAGCTGGACCAGTACCGCTATGTAGATGCGGTGGACACGTTTAACCTGAAGAAGCCCAAGCGCGAGATGGACCTTGATGATGTCAAATTGCTGGTAGAATGGAAGCTGTAAGTTGGCATGTGATTTCATCGTTGTTCCCATTGTCTTCCATCACGATGTGTACCTGTATTGACGCTCGATGACACACTCCCATATACATGGATCTTCATCACGCGATATAGCATGCCCTTCATCTTACATCTCACCTCCCAAACTACCATGTATGCATACGAAACTAAAACAAAACCTCCCTCTTCATAGACGACATGGCAAATTCCGCCCAACGCTCATGTCCCTCGTCTCCTCCAACCCTCCCTCAGCCTCTCAAACAATCCAGTTCGCCATCAAATTCTACTCGTCTTCCAAAGACATCGGCAGCGGTGTCAGACTCCTATCCGACCTCAAGGGCGTTGGCCCCGCCACGGCCTCGCTGCTCCTCTCTGTCCACGATCCCGAGAGGGTCATATTCTTTTCCGACGAGGCCTTTTACTGGTTGTGCTGCGAGGGCAAGAAGGCGCCCATCAAGTATAACCCCAAAGAGTATCTGGCCTTGCGTACCGAAGCGGAGGCTTTGGCCAACAGACTCGGCGTGTCGGCGATGGATATCGAAAAGGTGGCGTATGTTTTGATGAAGAAGCAGGAGACGACGAAAGATTCAAAGGCAGTTACTGGAGCTAAAACCAAGGCACCGGTCAAGGAGTCGGCTTCCACCTCGTCGTCGGCGAAGAAGAGAAAGACGGCTTCCGTTGAAGAGAGTGAAAAGAAGCAGAAAAGATCAGACGAGAAAGTCGTGAAGAAGGATATGGCGGAGGGTAATGCATCTTTGAGGAGGTCAAAGAGATTGAGAAAGTGAAGACGACGATATCGGTCCAAGGTTGTTGTTCTATGTCAGAGGCTCATGGATGTGTAGCCTCCCCATTGTATGTATATTAACCATATTTTTCTATCATGATGTGATATTATCTAAACTACGGTAATAAATCAACGACTAATCTTCCTCCACTGATTTCGCCCGCCCTCATCCTATCTAGTCCCTTGTTGACGCCGTCGAATCCGCTCTCTACGCCTAATATGGGAGGCGGCTTGATGAGGCCCTGCTCCAACAACCGTTCCAGCCATAGTACGAGCGCTTCACCAACCGAAGGAACTGAATGGAAAATTTTGATAGGGACGGTGTGATAGGCAATTCCCTCCGGAGCTGTCTCTTTCGGCAGCCCTGTCAATCCCACAAGATGCGACGTCTGCCTCTTGGACTCTCGAGGCGTGTCTGGAGGCGAAGGGGGCGCATCGGCGAGCTTCTTTTGGCGGGTGAGGGCATCGAGCAGGATTGTGGCAGACTCGCGTCCGCGTGTATCGAGCGCAAAGCGAAGCTGGGTGCCGACGCTGGAGTTGATGATTTCGACTGCTCGGTTGGTGTCGTGGCTGTCGACGAGGAGGTCCGGTCTTTGCGCGGAGCAGCCGGAGATGCGGAGGCCGTGCTTGGCTGTGTCCACGATGGTGACGACTTTGAGACCTGCTAGGCGTGCCAGCTGGACGGTGATGTTGGCTGATGTGGATGATCCTACAATATGATGAGTTACATATAACTGAAGGATGGAGACTGTTATAGTTGTTACATACCTCCCCAGACAGCCACCCAGTCTCCTGGAACAGCCCTTTCGGCATCGGTGATGCCTTGTAAGCACTCCGTTCTTACATCCTCTGGTATGCTTTCCGGCGGAACAGAGCGCATGAGCTGAAGCAGGTCTGGACCGTCGAGTATAGATGAAAAGTCAACGCCCATGCATATCCCTAGTGTAATCGCAGCAGCAGAGAAGGCGACGCCCAAGCCGGCAGCCTGCTGGAACGAGATGGACGGAGGTATCCTTGCGACATTGTAATCTGAGGAGACGACGTATTCTTGGTAAGCAGCTTTGCGGAGGTCGCGGTAGTCGGTTGATATGGCTAATACCTGTGTAGATGGTTTGTTAGAATGCGCTCGCTTGAGACTTTGTCTTCGTTTCTTTTGACTTGGGAATATCATACTCTGTCGCCTTCTTTTAGACGAGAGTCTCTCCGGGGAGTTGTTACGATTCGGCCGGCAAGTTCTCGGCCGGCGATATAAGGCAATGTTGCGATGCCAAAGTTAAAGTCTCTATAACACGGTGGCACGTGTTAGTGATCTCTGCGCAAACAAATGAAACAGGCATTTTCATACGGTGATTTCCAGTCGATCGGGTTCAACCCTATCGTGTGTGTTCTGATAAGTGTCTCGTCCGCCTCCGCCAACTCAGGGATCTCATATTCGGAAACTTGATAAGCCTGTCGTGGTCCGTGAAGAAGCAGGACGCTTTGTGCTTTTACAGGCTCTGCCGCCATGATGGAATTTTAGATGGAAATAACACCAGAGACGATGATTTGGGAGAAAAAGAAGAAGAAAAAAAGCACCTAGGGGAGAAAAGAAAGTTGCTTATCAAAACAAATCGTATACTGCAGCACCGGTGCCGAAATCCCACGCCTCTCCGCGCCTCCGCGGCTGCATCTCAAATCAACCCCAGTCGCTCCAGATTTGGCTAACGAGATGCATAATCACTCGGCATTATCTCCAGTGACGATGGGAAACAGCTCCCCGATAAAGCCGCTTTCGGAGGTTCGTCAGCGCAGCTACTGTGACGAGGTGTCACCTTTGGCGAGGGGCCTGGTTTGGTGCCAGGATTGCGTGATTGCTCACCAACCTTGCTCATGGCCCGGCGGCGTTGGTGAGCCCACTCGAGTGCAGGTCACAACATCGGCTATTGGGATTGCTTGAGTACAAAATGGATAGGGAAATGGGCGTTTGCGATGATGATGCGAGCGCCATGCATGGTTAATTAGCTGCTAGATCTCTTTGTTTTTCCGTTTCTTTGATGCTTGACTTGTGACTTACACGCAAGCTAGGAGATAGCACCAAAGTGTCAGCCAGCGCCCGCGTCACTTTCAGCTGAACTATCCCCTTCGCCTTGATCGGACTTTGAATCCTCTTAAACGCCTAATTTCAAAGAGCTTACAAGAGGGTGTTACTAAAAGAACAGAGAAGAGAAAAACAAAGAAATCTTTTTGCGGTATGGCGACTGTTGATCTGCCAACTCCCCCGGCTACTGCGCGGGCTTCCCCCAAGCCTGGCGCAGGTGCTAGCTCGACATCCCCGGCCTCAGCAGCCATCCCCAAGCCATACGAGGTCCCAAAAATCAATATTTTGAATCGCTTCATCGATGAGCCAAGAGAATTAAATGTAGCAGTCATCGGAGCTGGATTAGCAGGAGTTTTGGCTGGCATATTGTTGCCCAAGAAGGTTCCGGGGATTAAACTCACCATATATGAGAAGAATGCCGATGTTGTAAGTCAACACCACAACAACCCATCGCGATGACATGATTTTTGAGTCTAACAATTGATAAAAAGGCTGGGACGTGGTTTGAGAACATTTATCCTGGTGTAAGGTGCGATGTACCAGCTCATGTCTATCAATCGACGTTTGAGCCAAACACACAGTGGACGGAAGAGTTCGCTCAAGGCCCCGAGATCCTCGAGTACTGGAAGGGGCTCGCACGGAAGTATGACTTGTACAAATTCTTGAAGCTTTCTCAGAGAGTTGATGCGCTGGACTGGGATCCGGCTACATCTCAGTGGCTCATCAATGTTCACGATCTAAAGTCGGAGACGTCGCGAGTTGAAAGGGCGGATTTTGTCCTCACGGCTATTGGAAGATTCAATGCCTGGAAACTTCCTAATTACCCCGGCATCAATGATTTCAAAGGCCTCTTACGACACACTTCCAACTGGGACCCGACATTCGATGTCACCGGCAAGAGAGTCGCCGTCATTGGCAACGGAGCCAGCGGTATCCAGCTCGTTGCCAACATCCAGAAGCGAGTCAAGCAGCTGGATCACTATGCCAGGAACAATACCTGGGTAGCAGCCTCTTTTGCCGGCCATGAGACGTCCATTGAACCCAAAGTCATCCCCAAGGAGCTCCGTGAGTCGTTCAAAGACCCAGAGGTGTACCTCAAGTACCGTAAAGAGATGGAGCAGCAATACTTTAGAGGCTTCCAGGGCTGGTTGAAGGGCTCTGAGATCAATGACAAAGCAAAGGAGACTTTCACGCAGCTTGCCAAGACGCGGCTGGCGAGCAAGCCGGAGTTGTTTGAAAAGATCATTCCCGACTTTTCTCCTCACTGCCGTCGACTTACACCGGGACCGGGGTACTTTGAGGCTCTCTCACAGCCCAACGTCGAGTACATCCAGACACACATCAAGAGATTCACCGAGACGGGAATTGAGACAGTAGATGGACAGACTCGCGATGTTGATGCCATCTTCTGTGCCACAGGAGCCAATTCTGACATGGCACCTCCTTTCCCCATCCGCTCAGGAGGATCTGATTTGAGCTACGACTGGAGCCATGGAGGCACATACGGCTTCCCATACGCTTACATGGGAGTTGCCTCACCAGGTTTCCCGAATCTCCTCTTCATTCACGGCCCCAGCGCCTCGGGCAGATCAGGCACCGTGCCGCACAACGTGGAGAATCAGATTACCTTTTTCGCAAAGATCCTTCGCAAGGTTAGTCGTGAGGGCATCAAGACCATCACACCATCCAGAAACGCCACCGACGACTTTGTAGCCTACAACGACGCCTTCTTCGAGACCACAGTGCTCTCTGAGAACTGCAGCTCGTGGTACAACGGCGGCATCCCAGGAGGCCGAATCCACGGCCTGTGGCCCGGCAGCGCCACGCACTTGACCGTTGTCCAAAAGGATCCGCGGTGGGAAGATTGGGAATACGAGTACCTCTCCGACTCGGGCAACCGGTTTGCGTGGTATTTCGGAAATGGAAGCACTCGGGTCGAGGCCGATCCACAGTCGGACATCACTCCGTATCTCACTGCCGGCGAACCTGATTTACGAAGCGTTCACGAGAACTGGTGGGTCATACCGTAGCCTACAGACTTCAGATTGGGAAATTGGTGTCAAAGTTTTTTTCAAAGTTTTTCTCTTCTTTTAATAAAATCCACAATATTCAAGATCTAGATTCTTTTGTAGCTTTTTAACCGACGCTTACTCTGGGAGTGGCAAGCCCCCTTGTCTCAGCGCCTATCTCGGTAGCAACTCCATCGAGATGTCTAGATTCAGCAATAGATCCCCTTCTCAGCTAAGTAATAGCGTAAATGCTTCACACGTGGAACCTCGTCCAAGTGCGCCATCGGTTTTTTTTTTTTCGTAGATCTTGTGTACTCCGTAGGGAGTGGTTGATAACTGTTGTCTAAGACCCCTCGGCGATGACGTGCTGGCAAGCATGCGTTTCGCAAGCCGCAACTAAAGGGTCCAGTCCATCGGTAGTGGCAGACCCGATGTCGCAATCAGTCAGCGGATGGGACTGAGAGGTTCGGTAGTCGAGTAAAACCGGCGGTGTTGAATAATTGTTTATGATTGAGGGAATGGTTGATATTGAGGAAGATGCCCGGGCTTGAAAAGCCTCGTGTTACCGGCTTGTGCAACGTTATTCTACTTTGTCTCAATACCACTGATTCTCTCATATATATTTTTCAAGGGAAATACGATATTTCATCGGTTTCTCTCATTGCTCCTCTAAAAGAGGTTACTCGTGGTCAAGATGTCGGATAAAGAAGACACTTTCGCGTCTGATGCTGCTGTTGCTTTAGACGCCGCCCCTTTGCCTAAAGAGCAAAGGGTAAAGGTGAAATGGTACAGATCTACGGCGTATAACATTTTGATCCTTGGACTCTGCAATTTGGCAGCGCCAGGCATCTGGGGAGCCATGAATTCACTCGGAGCTGGTGGAAGTCAGAGTCCTCAGCTTGTCAACGCAGCCAACGCTTTGACATTCTGTCTTATGGTGGTGTCGTGCTATTTCTCAAGTATCCTCGTTCGTTATATTGGAGTGAAAGGCGCTCTCGTGTTTGGAACGTAAGTTTATACTTTGATATTCTGTTGCCGTTTGCTAACGCTTCTCCAGAATGGGATATGCTCCCTACGCAGCTGGCCTCTACACCAACAACAGATTTGGCATTACCTGGCTCGTTATTCTTGGAGCAGCACTCTGTGGAATCTCAGCTGGTGTATTTTGGGCGGTGGAAGCAGCCATTGCAATTGCCTATCCGGAACCGTGGAATCGTGGAAAGTCTCTGGGCTTTTGGTTAACCTTTCGAGTCATGGGTCAGATCATCGGTGGTGCCGTCAATCTAGGCCTGAACAGTAGCAGAAACGAAGCTGGAAAGGTGTCTTATGCTGTCTACCTTGTCTTTATCGCAATTCAAGCGGCTGGCGCTCTGGTTGCTCTGCTGCTTAACAGACCTCAGCACGTCCAGCGCCAAGATGGCAAGAAAGTCCAGCTTTCCATCACGGAGAGCCCCTGGTATGAGATTAAGGCAACTGCAAAAGCCTTTATCAATCCTCAATTCCTCTTGATCGTACTTTGGATTGGTCAGGCTGTGTTTTCGGAAGCTGTATACTTCACCTACCTCTCTCGTAAGTCTCTTCATTGCATCTCTTCTTCTCGCCGTTTACTAATTGTTTACTTCAGTGTGGTTCTCTGTCAGAGCTCGAGCCCTTGGCTCATTCTTAGGTGGTGTTGTCGCCATTATCATCGGCAACCTCACTGGCGTATGTTGAACCAATTGAAAATGAATTTGAATCCCCGACTAACATGTGTTCATATAGTGGTGGCTCGATCACAACAAAGTATCACTGAAAACACGCGCAAGATACACCTTCTGGTTCATCGTCATCACTCAAGGCGCATGGTGGCTTTGGGCCACAGTGATCTCCACGCGATATCGACGCACTCTTCCAACATACGACTGGGAAGATTCTGAGTTCGGATCCGGTTTTGGCGTCTACATCTTCCTCACTTTTGGGTTCCAGATCAACTACCTCTTTCTGTAAGTTTAGTGTCTATGAGTTCATCGGTAAGACATGACTGACACCATTTCTAGTTACTTTGTCGTTACCCACATTGCCAAGGATCAAGGTCAGGTTATCCGATATGCCGCTCTGCTACGTGGTACCGAATCCGCTTGGCAAGCCGTCAGCTATGGTCTGACTTCTTTGACGGTTTTTGCTCAGGTCGGTGGAATTTACATGAACTTTGCTTTATGGGCCATTGCCATTGCGCCAGCTTGGCTGGTAGTGAGACGCATTGGCGGCAACAAGGATGGGCAGTGGGATCGAGAATCAGGCGGATCAAACGAATCTCCTGCAGTGCTGGCTGAGGAGACGTTTACTCCGACAAAAGCCCACGAGTCGTGAAGCTGTTGCGGAATCTGCCGATGGCCGGTGAAGGGATAGATTACATCTGGAGTTACGATACCACCATAACTAATACTATAAAAGTTTTCAATGTTTCAAAATGGAATGGCCATTCGGTGCTTTAGCGATCCCGTAGCGTCCAAATGTCGGGAAAGGATGCAGAGGAGAACGCTTAGCTGCAGGTACTTACTATCTTAGGTAGTAGGTGCTCGATTCATTGAGTATCTACTACTGCCACTACTTTCAGCTACTATCGCTATATGCCTTAAGTATCGTATGCTACTTTCGCTCCTTTTGCTACTCTAGATATATCTCACTAATATCCGATATTAGTATCATTTGCTCCAAATCTTAATTGTGAGAACTTGGTGTTAGCCGCCCCAAGGTCCCGGAAGACGTGATGAAGCCAAGCCCCGATGTAGGAACAAACAAGTCAGAATATGATGCCATATTGACATATTATCTTTCTCGACATTTTACCGTATTAGGAAGTCTCTTCAGAGAGAGGAGGTCTGGATGTCCGTTGCGTCGTATGGCATCGTGTGCATGAGGAATCCCACCCAAGCCCACGGGATTCCGAGAGGCATTAAGCTACCGAGTTTAATTTGGAAATAAGAGAAAATATGTCTAGCTCATGGATATACTGGCCGGCTGCATACTTCGGGATTGGGTTGGCCGAAACTGCATGGACTATCAAAGTCCGCATGTGAAAGCAGTCTATTCGCCGCCGCTACTTGGCCACCGTATCCGTACCATATCCCATTCCAGCAAAATATACGCACTCCACCAGTTTAGATGACTTTGTTTAATCTATAAAGCAGATGCGTGTAAGACAGTGGGTAGCTTTAGCGTGCATCTTTCAAAATCGTGGCTGTTTGGCCGTTTTGAAGATTGATTGCGAATGGCGGTATCCCCACCCGCGCTGACGTGATTTCAGCAACACGGAGCTTGTCTCGCGCATCGCCAGAAAGGGTAATCTGGGGGAAGCTATTTCAGGACCTCGAGTCTGATAGGGCGATTCCGACTAAATCTGCCGTATTTACCCAGAAAGGCAACCATTTGAGATCATCGTCTGAAGTGGAGAGGGCCGTCTTGCGTGATTGCATCACCTGAATTGCACCATCGTAACAAAGCTGTTGAGTCTTGTACCGCCATGACGGCCGCTCGCGTAGCACCGAATATCGGACATGTGCTTCCGAAGAGCCATGTAGAATATATGTGCCGTATCGGCAGTATCAGCAAAAACCCTATGAGATTACATACATGCGAGCTGCTTCAGGAAGTGCCTCCCCTCGAATAGCAAACAAGCACATCATCGTCTCAAGGACATAACATCATTTTTGGGCAGCCATGGGTTCGCGAACCGGAAAAAAGAGCTTAGTGCTCAATGCCTTTGTAGAGATGTGTGCGTCCAATAACATCCTTGCCAACTTTGCAGAGCAAAAGAGATGGTACTGACTGTTACAATTGGTGGGCTGCAGGCAGTGGCCACCAGTCTCCTGGACTCTGGCGCCATCCCGATGACCAGTCTTCGCGCTTCAATGAGATAGAGCACTGGACTGAGTTGGCTAAGCTGCTCGAAGAGGCCAAGTTCCACGGCATCTTCATTGCTGATGTTCTGGGTAAGGCAACCCGGCTATAGTCGAGGCCCAACCTCGTGGCAAGAGACTGGGATTATCATGGGCATTCTAACCTGATGTTGGTGTGCAGGCGGCTATGATGTCTATTCCGGCTCCCTGGATCCGGCAGTCGTCTCCGGTGCTCAATGGCCAGTACACGAGCCCCTGGCTGTCATCTCTGCCATGGCTGCAGTGACCAAGAGCATCGGTTTCGGAGTCACTGTCTCTACGACATATGAACAGCCTTACCATCTGGCTCGAAGACTTTCCACCCTCGACCACCTCAGCAAGGGACGGTAAGGCTAAGCTTGTTACCTCATCCCGATGTTGGATGTACCGCTGACAGCCTCGACAGGATCGGATGGAACGTAAGTCGGCAAGATCTGACTTATGCAATGCAGCCAACAAGGGGGTCGAGTGTATGCTAACGGTAGATGTAGATCGTCACCAGCTACTTGGACTCTGCAGCCAAGAACATGGGCCTAGCCCAGCAACCCCAGGTCAGTAATGTTGCAATAGCTAATGCAGGGCTGCAATTCCGTGATGTGCTGACTCATTCGTAGCATGACGACCGATATGCTCAAGCTGAGGAATACATCAAAGTGATGTATAAGCTTTTTGAGTCGTCGTGGCGAGATGATGCTGTTCAGCTCGACCGTTCTTCGGGCGTTTATACTCACCCTGATCGCGTCCGCAAGATCAACCACAATGGCAAGTTCTTCACAGTCCCCGGCCCTCACATCTGCTCGCCTAGCCCCCAGAGAACCCCCCTGCTGCTGCAGGCCGGTACCTCCAAGGCTGGCAAGATCTTTGCTGCACAGCACGCCGAGGCTATTTTCGTCTCTGCGCACGCCCCGCAAGTGTGCGCCAAAAGCATCGCGGAGATTAGAGAACTGGCCAAGACACAGTTCGGCCGTGATCCTAGCAACATCAAGGTCCTTGCTCTTGTTTGTCCTGTCCTCGGCAGGACGGAAGAGGAAGCCCAGGCCAAGCTAGCAGATTACAAGCAGTATGCCTCTCTCGAAGGAGCGCTTGCTCTGTTTGGCGGCTGGACTGGTATTGATCTCAGCCAATATGGTGACGAGGAAGAACTGCGGGAGGTTGAGAGCAATGCCGTGAAGTGAGTTCCCTTGTCTCGTCCATGTTGTAACTAGCTCCGATCCTAACGTTCCATAACAGGTCTACCGTTCAAGGCTATGCCAGGTTTTCTCCAGGCACTGCCAAATGGACCAAGCACACCATTGCCGAGCATGTTAGCATCGGCGGCAACGGTCCCGTATTCGTAGGAACTCCAGAGCAGGTGGCCGATGGTCTTGAGACTTGGGTTCAAGAGGCCGATATTGATGGCTTTAACTTTGTTAGTACCTCCTTCATCAAATTATTCTATACTCTCTTTATAGTTTATAGCTTACTGACTGGTAACTCGCAGGCCTACACCCTCTTCCCTCAATCATTCAAGGACATCATCGAGCTTCTGCTCCCGGAGCTCAAGAAGCGCGGTCTCTTCTGGGATGATTATGCCGTTCCACAGGGCACTTATCGCGAGAACTTTTATCGCAAGAGTGGACAAGCTGGGCCACTGGATGAGCACGTTGCGTCGACGTTTAGATGGAAGGCGGGAGTTTCTGCAGAAGAGGCTGTTATTCCCGAGATTTAGAGCAACGTCATGGCGATGAAGGAATCGTGGACACAGGAGCCCCCGTACAGTGCGGATACTATAGCTCGAGTTGACGTGTACATCCCGCTCTCAAAAGATGAAAAAAATGCAAATAGAGATAACTTTGAGAATAACTTTGGCATCTTGTTTTTGAATTACGACTCTTCTGCATTGTAAAATATCGTTGATGATGTCGAGGTGTAAATTGCACTCTGTATGTTGCAGTCCGATCGTGCTGTCTCAGTGAAAAGTGGCTTAGTCACCGCTTTTGTCACAGTGCGCCCGTCAGATATGAGATTCCTTCCTTCACTCAATTCAATCACGGAACGCGAAGCTCACATCACATACAGACAGCAAGAAGAAACCACCTAACGCGAAGAATCTTTGTCGCTATTTAATTCTAATCAAACTGTTTATTGAGCCAAGTCTCATTTCGGCACACCAAACGCCATGGCGCCCACTCAGCTGCCTGAGTCGGGCAACCCTCTGTACGTTCTCTCGACTTCTCGCCTCTTCGCATCTATCGCCCAAATGATGCTTGTACATCCATCAATGCTCGCTTGTGAATACGTAAGACTAATTGAGACTGAAACAGGGTCTTTTTTGACATAACTCTGGGAGGTAAGTCGAATTGCCGCTGTGGAAGATCCTGGCGACCGAGTCTGTTTCAGCGTGAAGCACCATCATTTGCTATATTAAACGACGTGCTCAACGTGTCGTTGCTCGCACTGCATAAATTCTCAATCCACCTCACGATTACCTCGGCCAACTCTAATTTCATATCTCGTCACGTCGCTGACTCTAATTCCCACACAGGCGAACCCCTCGGTCGTATCACATTTGAGCTCTTCAAGGATGTAGTCCCAAAAACTGCCGAAAACTTTCGGCAGTTTTGCACCGGAGAATCCAAGGACGCTGGCGGTCGCCCGCAAGGATACAAGGGCTCCAAGTTTCACAGAATTGTAAGTCTCTCTCCGCGCAAGCCTGATTCGTTGGATCAAAGCTGATCTAGGTCTTTAGATTCCAAACTTCATGTGTCAGGGTGGAGATTTCTTAAAGGGCGATGGAACAGGATCTACCTGTATCTGGGGTTACAAGTCATTTGATGACGAGAATTTCAACCTGAAGCACGAACAGCCCGGTCTGCTGTCCATGGCGGTATGTCCAAGAATCCCTCATTGCCCTTCCTTGTCTTGTCTTATCGATCGCTAAACTTGCCTGATGTTTCTAGAATGCTGGGCCCAACACCAACGGTTCTCAGTTCTTCATCACCACTGTTCCTACCCCCTTCTTAGATGGCAAGCATGTTGTCTTTGGGAAAGTTGTTGACGGCATGGATGTGGTGAAAAAGATGGAGGCTACAAAGACTGGCTATCGAGGAAAGGATGTGCCCAACATGGACGTCACCATTGCCCAATGTGGCGAGATGTAAATATTGTTGGGAAGGCAGCAAGAGATAATTGTCACGTAGGTAAAGCAGAACAAAATGCTGTCAACAAACATCAAAGATGAGAACAAAGACTCAGAGTGTATCAGCGATCTAGAGCCTCCACTTATTGCTATCTTTCAATGTGTTGGTGCCTCTTGACCTCCCTCCATGTGTATGGCTGTGTCATATGTATCCATCATTCCATAAAGGATAAAATTTCTAAAACATTATTTGCGAACTTGTTTATCACTCCGATTATTTTACTATCGTCATGCAGAGACTCACTATTAAAAACAAAATGATCATTGTTGCAGTACGCGCTTCGAAAGAGGACACGTCATAGACGATTTGGAAGAAACCAGTTTCACATCAAGCCAATCGAAACTAAGACTTTCAAAAAGCAAGTTACAGTAGTCATGTGATTAAGTAGCCTGTTACAGTTCCAGAAGTGATGCCGTCTTTTGGTTGGGTTATGAAGAGATTCTACGTCTTGTTTCTTTGGCAACTCAGCCAGCTTTATGTGCATATATTAATATTGACAGCTGAATAGATATGTACAATTGGAGGGCTTTTTGCGCAGCCATCTCCATAGCGCGTTATATATGACTATTCATACACTTCGTTCTGGCTCAAGATGCTGAGCTCATTCGAAGCGTCAATTAAGTAGTATAACGGCCAACATCACCACCGCCGGGAGTCCAGCCGCCTGTGTATCCATTCTGGGTGTTGATAAATGTGCCGTCGCCTAGACGCAGTGTGTTGACGGAATCCTTGGAACAAAGTCCAAAAGCCTGAAGGTTGCTAGGAGTGCTTGCAATCCAGTGCATGGTTTCTGTAATTCAATGTTAGTCACATTCTAAGAAAGGAAAGATATATTAGAGCTTACGTTGACATTCGAACTGAGCGCAGCCCTGGCCAGGGCCGCTGAAGAAGGCCCATGCCGCGGAGGCATATGTGTAGATGTTGGAACCTCCGTTGATGTAGTTTGCAGGGCCCATACGGCATCGTTTATCGCCACCGTTGCACCAAGAGAAATCAGGATCGCCCCAAGTACCAATATTTGCAACCCAAGGAGCGGGAGGAATCTGTTGCGTGTTGGCGCCTTGGTGGTAGTTGGTCTCCGCCTGGAGCAGAGACACAACAACGTTGTTGGCATTGTGAAGATTGAGTTGGTATAACCACCAATGCTCACTTCCCAGGGCATAGAGCCACGTTGCTTTAGTTGACTGCACCAACACGCCACCTTTGCCAGCAATTGAAGTGCCACCGCTGAAGTTCTCAGCGATGTGGTCCGCAACCCAGTTCCAAACGTTTTGAATGTAAGGAGATGATCCCTTGGCCACGTGGATACCAATGAAAGTGCCCTTACATTCATTGCTATTGTTTGTACAAGCATTAGCCAAGGCTGAAGCACCTCGTGTGCCACCAACGGTGACTAAAGAGTTCCAAAGAGCAACATCACCAGGGTTGTTGCCAGCCATATTGAATTGCACGATAATTGCGCCCGGAAGAACGTCATTCACGGTAAAACGCATGTCTTGAATCTGTGCAATTCCAACATCGCCTGCACGGCCAACTGAGACAACGGGTTGTGGGCTGTTTTCGTTCTTGAAAAAGTTGCCGTTGCCGGTGATGGTGGCCCAAGCTTCACCCACGATACGAGAGCCCTTGGGAATAAACAAAGTGGAATCTACCCGATACTTGCCAAACGGAAAATAGGCAACTTTATTCTGGCTTGCTGCAAGTTCCAGGATGGCATTAAGCACAATTGATTCATCAATAGAATTATCGCCCTTTACCACACGCCCTCCATTCTGCGCTGGGTCCTTGACGTTGAGGAAGCTCGAGATGGGCAGATCTCCGTAAGTAGGGGGGGCAACATAAGGGTAACGACCACCAGGAGCAAGAGCAGCAGGCCTCGTGTTACTAGACGTAACATCGCCGTAAGTAGGGCTTCTGCCCACGGTGTTTCCGAAAGAGTAAGTGTTGATATGGCTAGAAGCGCCAACCAAAGTAGAGCCTCGGACAACAACGACAGGTGTGCCATTATCTTTGGTCAGGTTCTCAATCATAAATGAAGGAAACTGAGTAGTTGTGAAGGTAACACCAGAGTTAATTGACTTTGCATCAATCAGGGCGATCCAGGGTGAACCTCCAGTGTGTGAAATGCCGGTTCCACAAGTGTCGAAGGTTGACGAGAAAATGCTGAAGGTATTGCCGCCGGTGATGAGCATGCCGATCGTATTTTGAAAGAAATATATATTGTGGAAGGTGGCTTGCTGGTGCCCTTCGATCACAATACCATGCTGACCACGTTCAACGCGAACGTCGGCGAGGCCGAGTGTTGAGCCGCGACCCATTCTGATTCCCGTGTGGCCATTCGCAGCGCCGTTTTGCGACGACATTGTGATACGTACATTCTGCAGATGCGCAGCTTGAGCAACACCCCACCACAGGGCAGTAAATGAGATGCTGCCTGATATAGCAGTGGTATCAAGAACCACGTTTTTGAGGGCGACGGCGAAGGAAAGCTCTCCCTTCTCGTTGGTGCTGGGATCTTGAGCGCTGATAAGAGTCTGGTCGCCCGAGAAGCCGGCAGCAGCCTTAATAATGGGAGGATTAGTTGGGTCACCCATTAAAATGGTATCAGTGTTGAATCTCAGTGTCTTGGAGATGGTATATGTTCCCGGGGGGATATAAACAACCTGGGAACTAGCGTTAGCCATCCGTCTGCACTTATTGCTACGGAGAAATCATACTCGTGGCTGTGATGCGAACCACTGTGTGTGACGAGAACCACCCTTTCCATCAGTGTTGATGGCATTCTGGAGAGCATTTCCATCTCCTGCGTTGACAGTCTGATAGATTGGGTAGTTGAAGTCGCCATCCAGGTCAGGAGCGAAACCCCTGGGCGCATTGACATGGTCCATGTTGGGGTAGTAGAAGCTGGTGGCACGCTTGGTGATGCCCTCATCGCTGGCAGGAGGGCTAGGAGTCGGCGTAGCAGACGCCGCGCCCAGCAAGAGCGCAACGAGCGCCGTGAGCTTCAACATGATGCTGGTCAATGATCAACAGATGCTGGATGAAGGACGATCGTCAGGGCAGCATCCACGACGGAGGATTATCCGCCTCTTTATACTTCAATCACTGCCTCCGAGTATAAGACCCCTGCTAGACTTGAGTCCTGTCGTCCTCAACACGTACTGTTTTTGCATCCCTCCATCGTAGTCTCGTTGAGTCTGCCGGTCAGCCCACAACTCCGCATCAGATTTGACTACCATTCGGCCCGGATCTAGCCCAATTGTCAGCTCAATTGTCCAAAGAGACATCACTTGGCGTGGCATGAATTACTCCGGAGGGGATAGTGGAATGTCGGGGACATCAAAGGTCGAGGCATCCATGTCTAATTGTGACTGGGCAGGCTGCGGGGTGGATTGCATTCACCCCACTGAGATAACATTGAGCATAGACGAAAGAACAGTAAAAGGCAAGTCTAAAGCTGATAGTACTCTCAGCCAAGGTCGTGTTGTCCTCATACTCTAGACATCCTGGCAAGGTCCAAAACTAGCAGCTGCCAGACTCTTCCCCTCGTCATCAAATACGTTTTAAGGCCAAGCCTTTGAGAGGCTAGTGGCACCTGTACAAGAGCAATCCCCTTGCATAATGTGAGCCTGTATCAATCGATGCAACCATCCATTAAGGTAGGTAAGTAAATCGATATTATGACTCTGGTATAACGCGGTCGGAGAAGTCGCCTACCTAACATATGTAATCATCGAATTTTATAGACAAGATTCCTCATTAATTAGGTGGCAGCTCACGTACCTCGCTCCAGAAGACAGACCACCCATCGTATTGCCAAAACGGCATACAGTAACATACAAGGCAAATCATGCTAGTCAACACACAACAGCACAACTCACAGGGTGGGGAGACGAGCTACCTCAATACGAAATGCCAAGAAACAAACGCGAGCAGTCATAAACGAGCATTAAGTAGCTTATACTACCATTCATTGGTGGGAAATGCTGCGTCGACGCCTCGTTACCAGGCAAGTAAGAATAAGAATAGAGTTACATAACCTTATGAATTTGCACTCGATGTAGACCAGGGTATTTAGCTAAGGTACATGGTCAGTCACTAATGCACCTCCACGGACCACACCTTAGCATCGGCGCCCATTGAGCTATATACAGCATCATGAGATCGTCTAGAACATGAACAGGAGAGGGTCGGAGTTCTGCCAAGCAACACCGGCCGTCTAGCTGCGGTGATGCCGGCCCTTTCCAGCGCAGCTGCCTATCCGAGCATGGCTGCGAGTGGCGAGAGGTGACATGGGCTGCAGTCAGGATCAAGTATCATTCTAAGCTTATTTCTGCCAGCTCTGCGTAGCGAATGGGTCTGGGGTTGGCAGCGATCCTACGAGGCTTGTTGCGACAAGTTTGAGAGTTGACTTGCTTACAGTTACTTTGTCTCTTTCAACCGGTACTTGCCTTGATGGCGTGCTCCAGCAACTCTTCTTAATAGTGATAGGACAATGGCATGCTCTCCCATGTCCTGGTAGGTGATATAGTATAAGCATATAAGCCACTCCGCTCCGGACTACCGAACCGATGATAGCCCCGTTGGCCCAATCGGGTAGGTGATTAATTCTTGGCTATTGTTTCTCACCAGACCAGTTGAGATCGTGAAAAAGGAGGAAACCGTCTGTCAACTCAATTAACTATGAAGTCTCCCTAGACCTCCCTAAAAGACGCGAGAGACAAATTAATGCAGGGTACATGTAACAAACCATCGCAGCTTCTTCTTCAAGGTTTCCCTGGTGTTGTGTAAGCCATCAATGCCGGGTGTAAGTCAAGCCGAGTGTAAGTCAAGCCGAGTGCAAGTCAAGCCGGGAGTGGCGCAGCTCTCTCCTGTGGCGCTCCTCCCCATTGGCTGCCGATATGGATTCCTCGCCCGCCAGACCTCGCCCGTCAGCAGCCACAGGCCACTGAAAGCTGCACGCTCAGCACACGCGCTCCCCTAATGGCGCCCTCTCAGCGGACGCCGCCCGCCATTCCGCTCACTCGGAGTTCCGGCCGCTCACCTGACCACCCTATCGGTACAGTTGCAAATTTTCCAGCCTTATCGCATCGGCTTATCGGCCTTTTGGCTCCAAATATCATCAACTTTGAGACACCGCATCTCACGATACTTTGCTTCCAGCGCAAACTGTTCCGCCCAACGCAGCTTCGCCGAATAACAATCATCCAATCATCCCTGTCGTACTAATAGCCTCGGCTTGCTCCCCCGCTCTACAGCAATTTCATCCCACATCTATCACAATGGGCAACGTAAGACATATTCCCGCTACTCCACGGGCCTCTTCCGTTGCATCACCCCGGCGGCTTCTGACCTGCATGATGAATGTTTAGGGCGCCAAGGCACAGCAGAAGCGTGAGCGCAACAACGAGAAGGGCGGAAAGGCTGCCAAATCGCAGCTCAAAGTGGTGCGTTCTACACCTTGATGGCCCGTCCGGCCACCTAGCCCCGACTACGGCTGACCACCCGCATAGAACGCCCAGGCAATGGACATCCAGTGCCAGATCTGCAAGTCGACATTCTTGAAGACCACAAAGGCTCCCGCGTACGGCGTTCCTCCCTCACATGATATATCCAGATTGGGCCATGGCTAACGAATCACGACTCCGTCTAGACTTCTGGAACACGCCCAGAATAAGCACAGCAAGGGCTTGTCCGACTGTTTTCCGACTTTCGCCGCCACCTCATGATAGAGAATGATTCATTCCAGTATACAAAATAGGTGTTTGCTAGGCTGCTAGCAAGGCGAAGGGAGTTTGGTCTGGAAGCGAAGCATAATAGCGCTGATACGGAGTACTTGGTTCACAAAACACAATGAGACATAGCATAGCACAGGCCACTTCGGTGGCATTTCTTGTCATGATGGCCTTTTTCCCTTTGTTTTAGCGTGTTCACTGGTCTGTATATTCCTACATTGGTCCTTTCCCATCCCCGTCCAACAGCAGTCAAGAGACGCCTCGCATGCAAGAGGATTCAAGCCCACGGATCTTTAGTGCGCCTCTACGGCTGTGGGAGTCACTTCTGCAGCTGGCTTGGGCACATTGCGGGCCTGCTGCTTCTGCGCAGCCTGTGCTTGTTCCTCGAGGATTGACTTTAGGATGTCCGGGTACCAGCGTTGTCCCACATCCTGATGACTCTTGACCCTGTTGCGCAGAGTTGCCTCTCCCATTGTGGTAGCCACAGAGCCTTTCCGGAACGTAAACTCGACATCATCGATGCGACCACCGATTCTCTCTACGATCTGTTGACGCTGCTCCTTAACTTCTTCGGGGACTTTGCCGATTCCAACCGTCTCCAATTCTTCAAATGTGGCATCCAACTTAACACCTTGGAAGAATGGGATGCTAAACCGCGCACCGGTCCCTGCGGCGGGGGACAAGACACGATGCGTTGTTGACACGCAGACGCCCTGAGTCAACGCCTCCATGCCCTGTCCAATAGCCACCACAAGCGTTCTGTCGATGGGGGGACAGTCGATCCATTTGCCTTGGACGTTTTGGACCTGCAGACCTCGGTGGTTCGTGGCTTGAAGCAAGTAGCTGGTCAGCATGCTGTCCTTGTGCGGGCCTACGCCTTGCCCTTGAGTCCCTTCTGGAAGTCCCAGCTCAGCCAAGTCCGGATATTTGACAATCTTGAGCTTGTGCTGCGGATCCGCCTCGAAGTACTTTTCAAAGGCGTCCTTTGGTAACTTGATCGCCTCGGCAATCAACGAGGTAAAGTAGATGGTGATATCGCCCATTTGGCGCATATATTCGGTGTAAGTGCTTCGGAATCCCGGCGCGCTTTCTTCTGAGGGCCACTGATTAGGACCGAGCAAGTTGTAAAACCGTGGCGCATCGGGGCCAGGGAGGACATGCTCGGTTGAGAGGTCAATCTGCTCCCTGTGATCTATGGCCCCGGCAGTGATCTCTGCAGAGAGTTGAGAGTAGCCCAGAAATGAAGGTGCATTCTTCATTTCAATCTTTAGTCTGTGTCATTTGGGTTGGAGTTTAGTAAGTCAACTCGGCTCAATTGTTGCCACGGGAGGGTGAAACCTACTTTTCTTCCTGGGGAATGTCGAAGAAGCCTTTGCCCTGTCTGATGACTTCATCCCACAACTCCTGTGAAATGCCTACATTTTTTAGATACAAGAAGCCAACTTCCATGAGTGCATGGCGAAGCTGGTTGAGAAACTCGGGCTTGGTGGCCGGATTCCTGGATAGATCCAGGTCGAGGATTGGGATGGATGTGAATGACATGGCGAAATGCGGGCTTGAGTCTATACAAGAATATGGCTACCTGTCGCAAAATTGAGTATACTTGATATAAATCAGCTTTCAGAAGAAGAAGAAACAATCCCTTATATTTTACACGAGCATATATGAAGATACAGAGGTTCAAATGAAGGTTGAAGTATCCTTTAAGCCGAGTGAGCACAAGCGCAAATGACGCCATAAGCCGTGTCTGCCAAACATCTGCCCATCTCTCCACATCCCCGCACGCGCAATCGGCAGAGGCAAATCGGATTCAATGAAATCGGCGGCATAAACGGACTATTGAGGGTCTCTCTGTACTCCGAGAATATACATATACTGTGACCACACATATAAAATGAATCTGTTTACGTATAGCTTTAATCCATCCTTTTTCTCCATGACCAGTAGCGGAGATTTGATGACAGATAAATTTCCTGTTACTATCGCTACCCTCTTCAACGTTCAATGTTGAGACAGGATGTAAAGGGAAGCTTTTTGCTTACTTACTCACTAACCTACCTGAAGATCCTGAGCTCTTCAGGTTTCTGCTACCGTCACTACTTTCTGCTACTATCGCTACGCCCCTTATAATCAGCTACTATTGATACATTTTTCTAGTATCTGCTACCATTGCTATATACGTCTGGTATCCACTGCTATAGCTATATTTCTCTCGTTTCTGTCATTATCCCTTACTCTTATGTAGCCTTATATCTGATACACGGAATGCTGGATAACAGATTTGGGGTGCTGGCTAGAATTTCCCAGGATAAACCTTTGCATTATCTCAATACGACTTTGAGTTGCACTCGAGTTATAGCAAGGTACCAGATTTTAGCACACTTCAATTATGATTGACAGAAGGATTTCTTGCTAATAGAGTAAGCCTTGTTGAAGTTGATGAAAATACAGGATTGATACGAGCTATCCACTGTCTTCCTTTCCAGATCCAAGTTCTCTAAGTTCCTTCTCTGCGTCAAGCACCTCCGTCCAACTGTACACCCCGTATTGCTTCTCGGGTTCCCCAAACTCGTTCATTTCATGCCAAAAGTGCACCCTACTGCCAAAATGCCTCTTTGCAATCTTCAGAACATCCCTGATATAAGGCTCAGCGGCCGCTGTCAAACCCCCACTGACCTTTGAACTGAAGCGTAGGAAGTAGTTGCAATGCTCAGGGCTGCTAGGCATATGCGGACATTCGCCGATCGCTAGATGTATCAGATTTTTTTCCGAGTACTCGGAAGAATTCGGGAGGACCAATATTTTCCCATCTTCCCTCCTTCCTCTCTCATCGTAGACGTCTTTGTAATTTTCGATGATTTCGTCTAGAAATTGTTGGTATGCTTTTTTATTCTCGTCGTTGACTTCCAGTCTCGGGAAAATGTCAAAGCCACAGTCGAATCCCATTTTGATGGAGTTGTATGCAAAAATTCTTCAGATCCAAGAGAATACAATAAGGCAGCTTTTGAGGATGGTGCTCATGTATCAGTGTCCAGGTTTAGCAGTCAATGAAAGATTCTTCAATTGTTGCCTCCCCGCATCTGTTTAAATGTTCCATCTGCCCCCCTCTCGTACTACCAAGCAATTATGGTGTAAGTCTCTGCGGGAGGCCTACAAGTACATGTATTGAGGCTACACAGCGCATAGCTAACTCAAGGTGCGTGTATATGTATCTTGGTATTTTATGGTGTAACTCGTACATGATGTAATTGTTCATCATGGCTTACACATGCAATTAGGAGAGTATGATCATTATATATGGGACCTGAATGAGATATCAAGCCCTCGGGTCAGCATTAACAACAACACGTTACGTCCATACACGCTGTGTGAGTGAGCTAAGATCGTGTGATCATCAAGGTAAAAGACTAGCCGTAGCAACAAGACGGAGGAATAACTACCTGCTCAATCGCCTAAGTGTAAATGTGTCACCTAACCGCCTGTGATACTCAATTTACGGCTGCAATGACCATCACAATCTATCTTGATCTAATCCCTAAACCCCGTACTACGGAGGACACTATACGCCCGTTTCTTCGTCTTCATCCTCATCTTTCTACTTTGTAAACATTATTTTGGTGCTCCGCCATTTATTTTTTCCCCTTCTTTCTTTTGCGACAAAGTTGATGAAGCTGAGGAGGTGAACTCTCCATCGTGTGTGGTATTAAAGAGGGCAAAGTTAGATGCAAACAAGAGCAAACATATGAGTGGGCTTGAGCAAAGAGTGGTCACACATATCCACATAACAGCTCGACGTCTTCATCTTTTTCTCTCATCTTTTTCTTCCTCCTCGTCTTCTTTGGCTTTGAGATTCACAGCCAAATTTTGGTGCAATTGATCGATACCCATAAAGACAAAAAAATAGTTACTACACCCTTACCTCCACTATAATGACCACCTCTTCCACATTCATTCACAAATTCATCACATCTGAGAGCAGTGCGCTTACTTCTAAACATTAATTTAGTAGCCAATCCATGAGAGATATCTATTCATTTGCTGCCATAAGCCATCCAATCAATTTACGTCGATTGAACTTACAATACCTGGCCGTCTACAGGGTAGGTACATGTACTCAAGAGCTATCGGGTTTGGAGCTCGGCACGGCGTTCGGTGAAACGCACGGGCCGCATAAATTTCTTGCGCGCCCCACTATCCAACCACCATGCAAATATCAACGTCGAACTTTTTTTTCGTGGAATTTTTTTCTGGCTCTTCTCAAGCTCAACCTTCACAAAGTCCAAAACTCGTTATCAAATATGCTCGCAAGCTGACAGGCGGTCAATTGCTTTCAAATTCACTGGCCATAACTCAATCATGGACACAACCAGAATTTTTGTCAAGGGCCTTCCGCCTACTATTACAGAGGCGGAGTTTCGGAAGCACTTTTCGGCCAAGAACCGCGAGATCACCGATCTCAAGCTCATCCCTCAGCGGCGCATCGGCTATGTGGGCTACAAAACACCCGAGGATGCCTCAGGGGCCGTCAAGTACTTCAACAGGTCGTACATTCGCATGTCTAAGATCTCCGTTGAACCAGCAAAGCCGGTAGGTGCCACCCGTGATCCTGCCTGTGACCTACACACAACATGAACCTTTTCTGATGGAATGATAGATCTCAGACCCAGCCCTGAACAAGAACCCACGATCAGTCCATTCCGATCATCAGGTGGCGAGCCACCCACCCCTCAAGCAGGATGAGGAGGGTGGCTCTAAGAAACGCAAGCGAGAGGACCTGGATGAGTCCGACCCTAAGCTGCGAGAGTTTCTCCGCGTGATGAAGACGGGTAAGGAGGGTGTCATTGCTGATGAAACAAATCCTGATGCCGATATGACTGGACTTGCCACGAGTGGAGAGCCCCTTGTTGTGGAGGGCGAGAGTGACGATGAATACGAGCAAATCCCGAAGAGAAAAGAAAAGTCGCGCAAGACAGAGTCATCTGAGGCGACTCGAGATCTGGTGATGAATCAAAAACTACCAAGGGAGACGTCGGATCATGGCGCTCTGCCTACGGCGAAAGAGGTTGTCGCCGACGATGTGAAACCTCAAGAGGCCGAGAAGCTTCCTCAACCGGAAACTGGAGCGGCGACAGATGACGACTGGCTTAGATCACGCACAAGTAGACTGCTAGATCTTGTTGATCCAGACGACCTCCCACAGCCCACAGAAACAGCAGTTGAGGCTGAAACTGTCGTGCAAGACAGCGGGGATAAGGATGACGCCCCGCCTTCTCCTCGCGATGCTGTTGATGATGATACCCCCGAGGAAGCAGAAGACAAGGGAGCAGAGGGCGCCGGTGCGAATGATGCGGTTGCCACCATCATGCGGACGTCTCGGCTCTTTGTCCGGAATCTCCCTTATACCGCCACAGAAGAAGATCTCCATCAAGAGTTTGGGAAATTTGGCACTCTAGAGGAGGTAAGCTGAGCGATTTGATTTCATTTTGTTTCTATGAAAAACCCGTAAAACACAGGCAACATGATGAACCCCAAGATAGGGACATCTTATGCTACGGCATGTGATGTGAACCTGGGCGATTATTTTAGTAGATGCTTCGACCTATCTGATATCCTGTTCTTATTCAAAACACGTCTTTGCGATCCATGTTTTGTTGATCAGGTGGCTAACTTAGTCAGGTACATCTCCCGACCAATGCTTCGGGAGTTCGCAAGGGGTTTGCGATGGTGTTGTTTGAAGATTCATCCAATGCCGTGAGTGCATTCCAAGCTCTTGATGGGGTAACTTTCCAGGGGCGCATTCTGCACATCATTCCTGCCGAAGCCAAGAAGAGTATGGACGAGTTTGGAATGTCAAAGTTACCCCTGAAGAAGCAAAACATGATACGCAAAAAAACTGAAGCTGCGACGAGCGTTTTCAACTGGAATTCGTTGTACATGAGCCAGGACGCTGTCAACGCCTCCGTTGCTGCACGCCTGGGCGTCTCCAAGTCCGAAGTTCTCGATCCCACATCTGCCGATGCGGGCGTCAAGCAAGCCATCGCAGAAACGACAGTCATCCAGGAAACCAAGGCTTTTTTTGCTTCCAATGGCGTGGATCTGGATGCCTTTAAATCGCACAAGCGAGGGGGCTCCTCTATTCTTGTCAAGAACTTTCCCTACGGCACTTCGATGGAAGAACTCCGGAAAATGTTTGAAGAGTGTGGTCCAGTTCTCAGAGTTCTGATGCCACCCACCGGCACCATTGCCATCATCCAATTCGCCCAACTGAATCACGCAAAGGCCGCATTTGGCAAGATGGCGTACCGTCGAGTCAAAGACAGCGTCCTTTTCTTGGAAAAGGCCCCGGTCGATCTCTTCAAAAAGGACGCGGCGCACGACCAGGCTAGCTTGGTTGTGGATCAGCGCACTGGGGTCCAAAAATTAAGCGTCGACGAACTGCTGTCAAGCGGCGATAAGGTCGAGGAGCCTGCGGAAACCGCATCACTCTTTGTCCGCAATTTAAACTTTGCCACGACGACAAGCAAGTTGGCTGAAGCCTTTGAGCCTCTTGACGGTTTCGTCTCGGCTCGTGTCAAGACAAAAATAGATGCCAAAAAGCCAGGCCAGACGCTCAGCATGGGCTTTGGCTTTGTAGAGTTTCGATCCAAGAGCCAAGCACAGGCGGCGCTCAAGACGATGGATGGCTACGTCTTGGATGGCCACGCGCTGGGCGTCAAAGCCTCGCACAGGGGCCACGATGCTGCCGAGGAGAGACGGCGCGAGGACGCGGCTAAGAAGGCTGCATCCCAGAGAACCAAGATCGTCATCAAGAATTTGCCTTTCCAAGCCACCAAGAAAGACATCCGCACGCTGTTTGGGACTTATGGGCAACTCAGATCGGTCCGCGTTCCAAAGAAGGCAGACTATACCGCAAGAGGTTTTGCATTTGCTGACTTTGTGACCCCTCGAGAGGCCGAGAATGCGCTAAACGCATTGAAAGATACCCACCTGCTCGGCCGGCGACTAGTATTAGACTTTGCTGCCGCCGAGGCTGTCGATGCTGAGGAAGAGATCGAGAAGATGCAACGAAAGGTAGGGGGCCAGGCCAATAAAATGGCCCTTCAGCAGCTTACTGGAGGAGGGAGGAAAAAGGTTACTATTGGCAATGACGAGGATGAGCTTGAGGCTTGAGGCGGAAAAAAAGGCAGAGCGAAACTATGCCCACGGGCTGTGTTGCACTGACAAGGCTGAGCTGTGTGTGCCCCCCCCTAGCCCGCGCTCTATTGAACATACATAGGAATATCTAATGATCCCTTGGCAAGGGGAGGGGTGTCCAATGTCCAACTTCTGCAACGGCCCTCCCCATGGACCACGGCGCGGGGTCCCATCAGCTGGCCTGGATCCCGGGCGAAGTATTCTGGTTTCGCGATGCCCCAAGGGCTGCCGCGGCGCCGTGTCTGATGTTAATCTCGTTCTACATGCCTGGGGCAGCGCGCCCAAGGTGACCTGGTGCACATGTCTCTGGGGAGAGGGTGGGTGAGACCATGGCGTCCTGGCCCCGCCTTCAGACTCCCTTGCATGCCCAACGCCCCTCGTAACAGAACAGACCTCACGCTGCCATGTGCTGGTGGGTGAGCTAGTTGTGCTTCATTGGCTGCTGGATATAGTCTTCTGAACGTAGAGTTGCCGCCTGGTCGAAGTTCCACCCCCGCCGCACACCAGCTTCCCTGTCCCATCTTGGATGCTTTGCAGATGGACGAAATCTTGATAGTAGCTTAGGGTTGGAGGGGCCAAGGACAAGCTGCTAACCACCCCCGTCCTCCCCTTTGTCAATACAATCCGTTGGCCCTCCCGAGTCTCGAGTTTATATGTTATCGGGGCTCTCCTTAGGAAGGCATGTCCGTTCCAATGGCTGTTCTTTGCCTCGTACAAAGCGTACATTATCCCACCATTCCACGCCCCGAATTCCTTTCCACATTTCTTGCCCATCAGGCTCTGCTTGCTCTGCTCTGCTCTTTCTTCACCAACGTGGGCTGTGGCAGAAGCTCTTCTCTTTGGGCTTGGAGCTGAGTTTTTGAACATCTTCTGTCGGGCATTCCTTTCTTTCCCATTCAGGCCTCTCTTCCCATCCATCATGGCTTCCATCTACCAACCAAGGCCAGTCCTTGCCTCACAAGGAATTCCACATGCACCGGAATACGTCGATGCAAGACGGACCGTTCATGGTGGCAGACAGCCTCTCCGTGAGGCTGCTGGCAATGCCCAAGCACATAGCTTCAACAGCAGCATCCCGTGCTACCCGACCCCGTCCTCGCTGCCACCAACTATTCCTTCTCAAATCGTACCGTCACAGTCTCTCGAGGTCTTTTTCCCCCGGCATCAGGCACCTCGTCATCAGCAGCCCCGGCAACTTCGCAAGAGCCGGCAGGATATCAACCCTCTCTACTACTGGCCGGCCTTTAAACACTACCGCAACCGACAGGCTCACAAGGACACTCAAAAGGATAAAGGCGGCGTCTGGCGCCGACCCGAGCTCGAAGATGCCTTTGTCGACTGTGAGTTGTTGCGTTACTTTGCCTCCCACGTCTGCTCTGCTTTCCCACTCTTTTCTCTTTTCAACATGGAGGCTAATCAGAAAATGCTGCCCAGCCGTGCTCCTGATGCCTCACATGGGCCGGCGGAAATTTTCCATGGGGGGCAAGCTGCATGGCCGAAACATGCTCATCAGCGAGTACATCTTTGTCATCTGCGTAGCGCTCCTGGGTAGCAAAGAAATCTTCCGCATTGACAACAGCAATGACAGCATTGAGCAAATGGGACGCAAACAAGTGTCCAGCCACATGCAAGTTGTCAAGAAGTTTTTTGAAGATCTACGGTGCTGTTAGTGCACACTCCCCTCACCCTTCACCCCCCAGCTGTTTATAGTCCCATGGGCCGTTAACTCGTTGGGCTTTTATCTCATCTTCTAGTTCATTTTCTGTTTCCTTCTGAAGAGAAGAAGGAGCCCGGATCAACCAACTCTGACGATTATTACGATGAAGAAGAGCAAGAGTCGTTCAAGTCCAACCCCATCCTGACGGCGTTGGCTGAGGGTCGGGTGCCCGAAGTGAGACCCAACTACGACTACTTTACGCAGCTACTGTCGCTGCAGGGATCCATCTCAGTGCGGCCCAAAACGTGCGAGATCTATGTGTCTTCGGCAGAGATTAAAATCCGGGACGACGTGGCCTACGACGCAAACAACACCCCTCTGGACCAAGCTTCATTTCCCCATCTGAACAAGTACACCAACTGCGACGACTTTCCCGATGCCCTGGGCAAGGACGTCTTGTTGCACGAATACACTCGAGCTCTGGATCGGGCGACCTCTGCATGTTTGAAGACGGTGATTCGGCGTTGGCAAAAAGATGCGCCGGCCATGTACGAGACGCTCGACCTGCCCACTCGGGACCAGGACTGCCTCCTGCTGGAAATCTGCTCGACGCTGGAGCTGCACGAGCACGCCAAGTTCCCCTCAGGATCAGAGCTCACCGGTTTTGTTGAGGTGGCCATCACGCAGCCGGAACTGCAACAGCATCACTGGAAGTGCGTCACCCGATTGACCCGGCCAGATGAGCTGTACTCCGACGACTCCAAGCGCGGCGTCTACACCAATGAGAGCGGCATCCACCATCGGGGATGCAGCGACTCCAAAATGAACGACTGCAATTGCCACATGCGGCCCCGACAGGACATCCACGTGCCCTTCCCTGCAGTGGAGTGGGCCAGCATCTTGAGCACAGCCGTGCAATATCCAGACGTCGAGCACCAACGCAAGAGGGAGAAGCGCCACGAATCGAAGAAGCAGCACGAGCTAGGGAGGGCCGGCAGTAAGCGCAAGAGATCTGAGGACGAGGGCGATGCGGCGTCGTGGAGCCGCCGCGAGCCAACGGGCAGCGACCTCATCTGCAAAGTCGCCATGTACCAGGAGCTATGGTCCCGTGCCCCCGACTCGTCGCAGTGGAAGAGGCAGGCCATCATCTTCTGGCGCTTCAACACCACGAACCAATGGTACAAGTACAACCCCGTCTTCAAGCCCTCGGGGACTTCTTGGAGATGGCTCACCATCAACGACCCCATGTCGCGATATCACCAACAAAAGGCTCTGGTCTATCCCTCGGCCGGCGTGTCAAGAGACGCCGTCATGTCACCGACACCCAGTGTGAGCCAGCAGCTCGCAGGCATCATGAACGAGAACATGAACACGGCGTGGACTAGCGGTGCGGGCGTCGCGCAAGTGCCACCAGTACAGACAAACATCAACGTGTTTGACTTTCCGACAGGGCTGGCCACACCACCCCCAACGGCGACTATCCATGGCCCTTATGCGGGTGGGAGCTTTGATCCCAACATGGCCTCGATCCCGGATGTGAACAACTACCTGCCAACAGTGAGCACGACAGCGGGCGGGGCGGCGAATGAGCGCTCGCACTCGCTGTCGTTGGCTCACAACCCTTCCTACTTTGAGGGACAAGCTGGCTTCTCCAACATGAAGCCCATGACGACGGCTGGTGTGAACCAGTACCTTGCCGCAACCACGGCGGCCTCATTGGACCTGTCTACTCAACTAGTATACGACGACACCACCAGCATCACTGCCTGGGACATACCGACCCTAGATACATGGCCCGGCCATGCCACATCGACTCCCGCAGGCAACGAATGGGCGACTGCGCCCTCGACGCAGCCAAGAGCGGATCCCAGTGACCACGCTGGGCTGTGGAATCCAACCCAATGGCATATCACGGGTGTCGCAACCACACCGGCGGCATCCGCGGTTGGGGCTGAGCACGACGACAGCCCTAGGTCGACGAAGAGGCGACGGACGGAGCCTTCGATGAGCACACAACATGTGCCTATTCCTAATGACTGGTAGTTGGCTTGTGACAATCAGGCTACAGTACTGAAAGGGGACATGTTTTAGATCTGGATGGCACTCTTGAGTCATGGAATGGAACTTATTTTTTTTTACACTTGGAAGGATACAGGCTGGGAAACAGGGAAATGGAAATTTTTTTTACTACAAAATACCCGGGGGGTACGGGATGGGGGCGGGTTGATTGGATGATTTAACGGTCTGAAGGATGCTGGAGAAATACGGCGTTTTACACTGTCTGTGTGGTTCCTTTGGTGAGACTTGGATGGGCGTTGGGTCTTGGGTTCGGGCAAATGTTAGAAGCAAACACGAGTAATAATCAACACCTTGTTGCAAGCATGCAACCACGGGGTCGAAACCAGTGATGGGGTCATGCGAAGCACCTTTGTTACATGACAACTGACTTGCATCTGTGGCTGAACCTTTTTGTCTTCTTCATCGCCAAGGCGGAACTTTGGGCAAAGGTGCATGGCCGTTTGCGGACGGGCGTACGTAACATGTCTCACTCTACGCTGGATTTGTTCCGAGGTGAAAGAAAGCAGAAGAAAAGAAGAGAGTGAAAGAAAAAAAGAAAAAAAGAAAAAAAAGAGAAAGAAACGTTTCACTGGCAGAGGCGCTTAGGCCGCTTGGACGGATCCAACAGAGCTAATCCCACAGAATTCCAAGGGAGGATGAGTCTACAGTTTTCTTCTTCTTTCCGTGGGTTAGGGTCCCAAGAACAGGGCAAGCCATTGAACTAATATTTCAAAGGGAGTTAAAGACGCGTAGATTGATTCTAGGGAACCCGCGTAAAGTGGTTTGCGGGCGCGGTTAGTTGCGAGTATATAAAGGATGCCGAGTTCCCGCCCTTTTGCTCCCTTTGAGGAGGACGACGTGGAATGAGGAGGAAGGGGGAGGTATTATTGGTTGCGGTATTGGATTGGGAGGTGAGGCTATTGTTGAAGGGGATTGGAATGGTTTGGCTTGGGCTTGATGGGCTGAGCATTTGATATTTCAGGTTGAATATGGCGGTGCATACGGGGTGGGAGGTGTTGGGCGCTGTGGGTGAGTATCATGCGATGGAGGTTGATCTAGTAGATTCTAGTAGATCGATCAGATGCTAGTAGACGCTGATAGTATTTGGTACATGTAGATCGAGATACTAGGTAGATCTCATATAGTAGCACCTCTTGGAGATGGCCATCACACGTTTCTTTTCTGTCTCACCCAGTAGGTGTCACCACACCACTGACGCACTTGGCGACGCGCAATTCGCCTTGATTGGTTTTTTCCAGATGCAATTATTTGGTCACGTATACGGCATTTCCAATAATAGCATCTGATAATCTACATACGATGATCGTCTCATGACTGCAGCCCCGCAATTGCGACAAGGCTGTAAGCTGCAGCCTTTTACTCGCCAGGCAGCAGAGCAGGCAGGATCCTTGAAGTCATTTCTCAATTACAAGTTTCGATGAATCATCATAATCACTGCTATTGAAAGACTGAGTTCGGAGTCTTCCTTTTCCGTAAAATGAGCGGACCTCTTCATGTCTCGACGAGTGTCGTAGCTGTGCTGCAGCTCGCGGCCACGGCAACGCAATATCTCAAGGACATCAAGCATGGGTCAGCCGATCGATCTCGGCTCCGAGATGAGCTTAGGAGTACAGTTTGCCTGCTCGAGATGCTGCAGGATCGTTTGGAGGATTCGAATGATATGCCAGACGGTGAGAATATGCTAATGCCACAGTCTATCAGCTTACTCGGCGGTACAGACGGTCCATTGCATCTCTTTAGACAGGTTCTAGAGGTGATCATTGCCGAATTGGCACCTCAAGATAAACTGAGGCAGTTATCGAAGCCTTTTACCTGGCCCTTTGATAAGAAGAAAGTGGCAGATTTACTTGTACGCTTGGAAAGATCGAAGAGTCATTTCAATCTGGTCCTGCAGAACAATATCGTGTACGGGCCCTACACTCATATGCCTTGCTTGTGCTAATTCTAGAATAGAGATTTGGTGAGATTGGCAAATCTCAAGCTTGATAAAATTGGCGACAAGGTGGAAAGCTTGGAGGCAAAGTCACGAGATAGTGACTCGCAAAAGATCATCCACTGGATAAGTCCGCTATCATTTCGCTCTCGACATGTCAATGTTCTGGACAGCGTCCAGCCCGGGACCGGCATCTGGCTATTGGAACATGCCACTTTTCGCGATTGGGTGAAGAGCAAGACCGGGACTCTCTGGTGTCCTGGGATACGTTAGTTTTACGACCTCTCAAGGAAGCTTTCCTTGTGTATATACTAACTCGATGCTCTTAGCTGGAGCTGGAAAGACAAGTCTCGCGTGTGTGATTTTGTGCTCTCCTGGAGATGTATATCAGCAGCTAACGTTTCCACAAGATCCCTCATCATCAATCATCTCGAGCAAGAGCCACCCCAGAAGAACAGTTTCTGCTCATTCATCTACTGCGATTATAACCAGCGCAGCACCCAAACTCAAGTGGCCCTCTTATCCAGCATACTTCAGCAGATACTTCAAAACTATTCCGGCGATGTCCTACCGTCAGAAGTGGTAACACTGTACAATCAACATCAGAAATACAAGACTCATCCGACATTGGCACAAATCACTGAAATACTAGGGAAATTGGTTTCGGCGTTTGAAACGTTTCATGTCGTTGTCGACGCCTTGGACGAATGTGCCGAGTCGGAAGAAGACGCTCTCCGGTTCATCTCGGCAGTCTCTTCTCTGGAATCATCTGTCAAGATTCTATGCACTTCCAGGTCTTCAAGCATATTTGACGCTTATTTCAGTACAGCCTCTAGGATAGAAATATCTGCTCAGCAGACAGACATTACGGCTTATATAACCGCTTGCCTACAAGACCAACCCAGGCTCTCAAGACATGTCGCTAAAGATGCTAGTCTAAAAGATGACATTGTCGGGGCAATCATCCAAGAATCTCAGGGAATGTGAGTTGTACCAACCGATGTATAAACAGATGGATGTTTGAGCTAAACGCAGCATATGATGACAGGTTCTTGTTGGCAAAACTACATGTTGAATCTTTGTCTCGAAAAATCAGCCGCAAAGACGTGCGCGCTGCGCTGAAAACTCTACCCAGCACCTTGGATGCCACATATTCAGATGCTCTTGAGAGAATCTACAGTCAAGATTCAGAGTCTGCTGAATTGGCTGAGCTGATCCTGTTCTGGGTTGTCTGCGCTAAGAGAAGTCTCACCGTCCAGGACCTGCAACACCTGTATGCTACACGAGAGTTGTCGGATGGGGATTGCCTTGACGAAGATGACCTCCCAGACGGCGACATTTTGACGGGAGTATGCAGTGGCCTCATTATTGTGGATGATGAATCGCAACTGGTTCGTCTGGTCCATTATACTGCCCAACAATACTTTGAGAACTGCCACCACACGCGACTGTTGGAAGCAAAAATGAGCCTCGCAAACATCAGCCTGACATACCTGACGCTGTCCAACTTTTCGAGCGGATGCTGTACAACCGACGAAGCAATGTCTCTCCGCTTGAAGCAATTCCCATTCCTCTTTTACGCCGCCAAGTACTGGGGTTCAGATCTTGCCCAGCTGGGCTGTGCTGGCATTGGGCCAAGGATTGAGAAGTTTTCCTCTGAGGCTGCTGCAGTCGAAGCTGTCAATCAGGCATGGAGTTTGAAAACAAGCAAGTTCCGATACACAAATTGGAGCCAGGAGTTTCCTAGACACGTACCTGTGCTTGTACTGATATCGGCCTTTTGTCTCCCAGAGGTTCTGCAATACCTGGTATCAAAAGGGCATAACATTAATGCCAGAGGGAGCGACGGAGAGACTGCTCTGATTCGATCAGCCGGTTTCGGACATGTCGAAAATGTACAGGTGCTCCTTGGATTGGGTGCGGAGGTAGACGCTCAGGATCACATGGATGAGACCGCATTGCAGAGAGCTGCCAGAGTTGGGAACGACACCATAGCCAAAATCCTGCTCGAAAAAGGCGCAGACGTTAATATGAAGGCGGCGAGTGATTTGACCGCGCTCATGTCTGCGGTTTCCAGCGGGAATCTCGAAGTCGTCAAGACTTTGGTTGAAGCCGGCGCCGACTTCAAAGCCGAAACAGTTTGGGGAGACTCTGCCTTGAGCATTGCAACCCGAAGTGGTCAAGAAGCCATTGCTAATTTCCTGTTCGACCAAGGAGCGATTCTGCCCAAAGGACCTGCAGGGCGCCGCGCCTCCATCATAGCCTCTCGCAAGGGTCTCCATCAGCTAGTCAGGAAACTCACTGCCAACTACGACGCTGTCGCCGATAAGCCGCTGGAGCGACAGAGTTCGAGGCTCATGGAGGGACTTTCTGACATCCGGGAAGCAGAACAAGTTGCTTCTGATGCAAAACCCGAGGAAACTATACCCAAGCAGACGAGAGCTGACTCTCGGGCAGAATTCCTGGATGACATGGAAGACATTGGATACAAGATTGGATTTCACAAGCGATACGACTTACTCCAACGGCTCGGCAAAGGCCATTACGCCGAAGTGTACCTCTGCGCAAACAGAGTAACGGGTGTAAGGTATGCAGTCAAAGTGCGCATCTTCGCTTCAGAAGTGTCCGAAAAAAAGAGGTCGACTGAATTGTTCCGAGAGGCGAGGATGATGCAATTTCTCCAAAGGGACCCTCACCCGAATATCCTGCGGTTTGTCGATCTCTTTGCAGAGCATTCTTTCGAGAAGACTTACCTGATCATGGAACTTGTGCCTCACGGCGAGCTGTTCAACTATATTGTTGCCAATACGCGCTTATCGGAAGATGAGTCCCGAAAGGTGTTTCTGCAGTTGTTTTCAGCGCTGGAGTTTTTGGTGAGTTTCTTTTATTACAGAGTGACTACATGTGTCCGGCATTCCAACTTGGCTATCCTTTGAATCAAGAACCGTGGCAAGCGAGATGCAGAGGAAATACTCAGTACCTTTAAGCTCTTCGAGTATTTCAAGTATCTGCTACTATTGCTTTTTTGTTCTAGTATCTGCCACTATTGCTATCTTGTTCTAGTATCTGCTACTATTGCTATCTTGTTCTAGTATCTGGTATTACCGCTACCTTGTTATCGTGGCTGATATTACCGCTACTTCTTCTGGATAGCCGACTCGGATTGCTGGTTACAAATTCCTTTGCTTATGATCGTCGGGCGAACGGAATCGTTTCTCCGTTCAGTGATTTACTGACAGTATTGGTAGCATGATCAGGGATGCATCCACCGCGATATCAAGCCCGAGAATATTCTACTAGCAGATGAGAAAAACCTGGTCATCAAGATATCAGACTTTGGATTGGCCAAAATCATTGGCCCTGGTACTGATAAATGGGATTGGGTAACGACCCTTTGCGGAACACCGAGCTGTATGCCTCCCCTCATCTCCTGCGTCTTCTCTTCTCCTTTCGTCCGTTTAAGCAAATCTATAGCTAAATGTTCCCAGACGTGGCCCCCGAGATACTATCGACTGATTCAAAACGAAAATACGGGTTCCCAGTAGACATTTGGTCCAGCGGAGTCGTCTTGTACATTTGTCTATGCGGCTTCCCACCTTTTTCTGATGAGTTGTACTCCAAGGACTTTCCGTATACACTCAGTCAACAGATTAAAACGGGCAGATTTGACTACCCATCGCCGTATTGGGATCCGGTTGGAGATCCGGCGCTGGATCTGATTGATGGCATGCTGGTTGTGGATATGGAGAAGCGGTTGACCGTCAAGCAATGCCTCGAGCATCCTTGGATGCGCGAAGCGGTTCCCCAGATACTAGCAGAGCCCATCAGGTCAGAAAGCCCGGAGCCAATGGAGGAAGGGGAGGAAAGGCGAAACGGTCCATTTCAAAAGAGGTCGTTAATCTCGGATCTTAATAAGTAGAACACTGAGGGAGATTGTCTCAAGATTGGAGCATCTGTTGTACAATGGCGGAGTGAATATCAAGTATTTACATTGATTGCCACATCAGAATCCAACTACCAGATTTGCCTCTCTCTACTAGATCTAGCCATCCACACTCCTCCTATATTTATTAATCTTATATGCTGATTTTGAGCTTTAAATCGTTGGAGCATCCTCGAGTGTATCTCTAGTCTATGTGCATTGCCCCCAAAGCACCATGAATTGCGCACGCCACACAACTCAACAACTTCAAATCACCAACCCAGGCGCTACTTGTTTTTCCAGTGATACTCTCACAAGTTACTGGCAGGCAACTCATCAATATCCGTCCTTCACATCTCGTGTTGTTATCCGATTCAGCCCTGCCCAGGTCTTGGATAGAGCAGTGACCTGCCAGCCCCGCCAAAGGGCCCCATAAAGGTACCTCCCCAAGCTCCCAGCGTCGGTACCTCCCTAACAGCTTCTTGGCAGACACGGCATGCATGGCTCGTGCGCCCCCGATGCTTAGCCTGTGATTCCGGTCCTTGTCAGCTCCAAAAGCTCGACTTTAAGGAGACGCGAACCTACAACTTTGCGCACACGACCATCTTCGACACCGCACGCAATTCCCCGAGCGTGACGACCGCTTACGAGCCGAGCTCTACACAGCTACAATCTTGAGGGTAGGCGCTCCCACTTCCGCAACGTCCGTTTGCCAGTGGCGATTACGGGGGGGAAGGGGCAGAGAGACCGTCTTCGTCACATGGTTGTCGTGGAACATTGTTGCTGATGCTCTTTTCTTGTCGTGATACGCAGCGGAATCGCGTCAAGTTTCATCATCGGGCAATCAAATATCCATCTATCCATCAGAAAATATGGCGGACAAGCCGGCAGAAGTCGCTGCGACGAGGGAAAAGCTCGAAGGTACGCCGCGATCCCATATCACCAGCACATGGGGAAGCTTGGCTAACAGTTGGCATTGCAGCTCAGATCAAGTCCGCAGACATGGTGACGTCAACCCGAAGAACTAGCCAGCCCCAACGACCCAGCTAACGAATTCGAAAGACGGATGATATGCAGCAGGAGTGTATAGAAGTTGGTACGTTGGATTCGACAACCACCGCCATTGGCAGGGAAATAGCCTACGCATGGTAGAGGAGGAAACTAATGATGGAACTGTAGCTCAGGAAGCCATGGCCAAGTTCACCATTGAGAAGGTATTTACCACACGCTATATTGCGATCGACAACAGACAACAAGTACTGACAACAAATGATAGGACATTGCACAGCACATCAAGCGAACAGTCAGCCAACCTGCCCTTATACGAGACGAGACGTTGCTAACCATATACGACGATACAGTTTGATGAGCGAAAGGGCCCAACCTGGCACTGCATCGTCGGCCGCAACTTCGGCAGTTTCGTAACCCATGGTACGTGGATGACTGCTGCTGCGATTTGATTCCACCCCTGTTCCAAGGTCCGGCTGCATGCTAACATTGTTTGGCATCTACAGAGACTAAGCATTTCATATACTTTTATCTCGGCCACTGCGCCATCCTGCTCTTCAAGACGCAGTAAACCTAGAACGAGGAATGCACGAGAGGATAGAATATGACACTTGCGAGAGGCGACCATGGCTGTTCTTGTTTGAGGCGTGGGAGCGGCGTCATGAACATGGGGGGAGAAGTGTTTGATATGCACTTTGCGGCTTCTTCTTCAGAACTTGAATTATTATTGTGTGTATTATCAAAAATAGAGATGAAGTTTTGTTCTCATCACCAAGCAAGCAAGCAGCATCTGGCTATTATGCTTCCATCATGTGATTCCAAATCTTCTTTTCCCCCTTTCAACATAATGAACTTTGTCACATCACAAGATCACCATTGAATCGAGTCAATCCATCATTTCATATAAAACGGCAAAAGGCAAGAAAAAAGACGGGGCAAAAAGGAACATGATCCAAGCTTATTAGGCGACAACCCGACGAAACATTCTTCAGCACGGCACCCCCTCCTCAGATGCATGTCTCAAAAAGCACTTGCATGAAACTCGCATCTTCATCTCAGACAGCCACTTGCGAGCCCTCCCTCCTTTTCCTGTGCCGCCCGTACCCTGGATGTAGAATCTACAGCAGTTGGATGTATATCAGAGGACCCCCTCACCTCACCTGTGCCCCTCACCTTTGCTGCATTGGAAGGATTTTCCATCTTCCGTTGCTGTTGGGTTTCTTTGCTTTTTTTTAATGTTGTTCTCCATGCAGTCTTAAAGGATTGACGAATCGTGTTTCCGCTCAAGAGGCACTTTTTTCTTCAGTCTCATGCTGTGTTACCTGAGTAGTGCGGCATGCGGCCTATCAAAACTGCAGAGACAGCAAAGCTGGATTGGTTCCCGCATACGGTAGGTACATGTAATGGTACCAAACCCAGACGAACATTAGGTACAAAACCCAAAAGAAACCCCGAGCAAAAAGGCGCATCTTGGTCGAAATCTCTCCGAATCGTTTCCCCTTGGCCTTTTTCCCCCTCAACATTCGCTCTTTAGTTTAGCAGCTCGCCTAGAATCAAAAGGGACACGCCATTTGCACTGTTAGTCCATCGTTCGCCGAAATGTCACCGGCAGACTGGCAATTAACGGGATAAAGCAAAGCTCGGCCAGCCCATATTTCCCAACCGCAGCGCGCATCCAGCGGCCAAAGCTAAATGCAGCTAGCCCCCAAGCTCTTTTCTCATTCTTTTCGCTTCCTGTCCGTGTCTGACCTGGCCCAATATTTCAGCGTCAGCCAGCCGAAACCAGAGAGAGAGAGAAGGAAGCTTGCGGCCTATCACACGCGTCCATTGCAAGAAAAGCAAAAGCCTGCATTTCACCCTTCATCCAATGATCAAAAACAAAAAACGACTGCGGGAGGCCCAATTTGCTTCCCCGTCTAAATTCAAACAAGGCCAGACTAGCCGAGATTGGTCCGTTTTGACGACGGGCTCTTTTCTTCTGTCATTTGTGCTTCTTTTTTTGCTTTTTTTGCTTTGTTGCCCACACCCCGCATTTCGCTCGCCACGTTAGTACGACGGTCCATGTCCAACTATTTGGCTTTAGCAGCAGTCTTGTGGCTTGCGTAGCCAAAGGGAACAAGAGAACGAAAAAGATGGTGGCTGTAAGTCGGCGAGGGAAACAGCCCAAAAAACTGCTCAGCAGCATGTCGGTTGCTTTGCGGGATCGGAATCGGGGCAAAGCGCTACCAATGTCCAGCAATCAATCCGTACTGTATGTATGCATAGTAACACTGCCAACAGCGGCGCTTTGTCCCTCGTCTCTCTTTGTCCTTCTTGTCCGCCGTGCCATTCTCCGCGTGTGTCCAAGGGTCGTGCCGGGAGCATGGGGGCCATCCTCTTTTATCAATGGGTCGAGAGTCAGCCCGGTTAGATGTTGTCGCATTGCAGAGTCGGGGAGAAGCAAACCGAACCGGCACACCGATATATGTGCGAGGACGGAGCCCAGGTTCCCACTCTCAGATGCCAAAGTCGACAACTCTTTTGCATCTCGTCCTCGGTCGTCTCATCTCCATTCTCTTGTGACTGATGGCTCGTCTGTCTGTACCTTGGCATGTATGCCACTGGCAGTACAGTACGTGTACTCGTACTTGGAGGTGGCGGCAGAACGGTGATTAAAGACCCAGGCTAGCCGTGGATCGTTCAACACCCCCCCCCCCTCTGTTCTGGATGATCTGACCCCGGGTCATGCAATCAGCCTTGGACCCCTCAGAGAGCAAAAAAGGCACATCCATGTGGCTTCGCTCTAGCTGTTTATATAATGGTTGCGCGCAGAGGGAGACGGTGCCAATGCTGGTTCACGCTGCGCCGGACCATTTGAAGTGCTTCTTCGGAGAGGAAAGGGAGGGGTGGAAAGGCCCGAGGGTACTCGGAAGACACGCAGGAGGGCTTCAATCGGTTCAATTCAGCAAACCATCTCGTCTCGGGAAGTGTCTGTCAGGCAAATCATGCAGGAGAATAAGAATTCACACGGAGTACTTTCGGAGCCGTCGTAACTCGGGCAAAAAACCAAGACAAGAATGAATGCAGCTCATACAGGTGCCTCTGTACATGTACTGCGGGGCCCTCGTCCAAGCAAAGGCCAAAAATGGCTCCATTGCCATGACAGCGCTCGACTCACTCACCGAACAGCACCCCCAAGGACCCTTGTTCAATCAACGATCCATAATGGTCTTTCTCTGTATTGTATGTATTGTCCGAACCGCGGAAATGTCGGGGGACCTTGCGTTACTCCCGCTAATCTTGATGGGATAGGCAGCAGAGAGGCAGTTTTTTTTGGTTTCTTGGTTTCTCATCAGTTGCCAGATGACACAATCAAGGCCCACAAAATGCCGCCAGACCCTCTCCGAAAAACGAAACCAAGCCAAACAAGAGCTACCCCGGCGGGAGAAGAGAAACCGTTGGAAGGGGATGGGTAAGGCAAGCTAGCCCTTGATTACAGATCATCTGATGGGACGGGGACCGCGGAAACGAGTCGCGGAGCAAGTCACGGACAGAGGGCAGTCACGGAGTAGCTGGTACGAGTACTTAGTACTACCTTACCTTGGGTACTCCGTCTTGACGGTGTATCATATCGTACCGGAGCAGTTGTGAGCTCAATATGCGTGGGGAGGGCAGCGAAAGAGAAACACCTAGGCGGATAATGCCGAGATCGCTTGATCACCATGGGGAACCAATAGAATGCGCGGCGGCCAGATGACCCAAGTACCTCTAGCAGTACTCCCGGGTCGGGTATGTACCTACTACCTCCCATCCAATGTCTGTTGGTTGTGATGGTTTTCATCCTTGCGCTACGGCTTTTTTAGTTTCCTAGCTCTACCGTGCTGTTGGGTAAGTCGATCTCATCAAATAGAACAACCCGGTATATCGCGAACCAGGAAAAGAGAGAATGGCCAAAAGCAAAAGAAGACACACACAAAAAAAGTGAAGCAAAAAAAAAGAGCCATTTAGAAAAATTTGTATAGACGGGTAAATCCCAATGCATCTAGACTCCGGCAAAACTGATAAACGGCCGGGCCCTGCGGTCGACCGTACATACGACCTACATACATAGATTAGACTGCATTGGATTTTCTATTCCCTGAGGCGAGGGTACTGCTTGCAGCAAGCAAGCAGCGGTAGCTGCAGGAGACGGCGTCATGGCCGCTGGCAAAAAGAAATTTCCAATACATTTCCGCACTAGGCGTGCATTAGGAAGTGGAATCGGTATAAATACGTGGAGCCCAAAGAAGTTGTGTGGTTGCGTGTGTCATTGAGGCGCGGTGGTGTTGCCATAAGAAAAGGCAAAAGGATAAAAGAGGGCATCCAGTATTTGAAGAAAAGGCCCGTCAACTGTCAATCAAATGCCGGGCCCCGCGTGATATGTATCAGAGGGAAAAAGTTCCCCAGGGAATTTCACTTGTGCGACATCCGGGTGTCTCAAATCGGAAACAAGAAACCTGGAAAGCTTCGTCAGGCGATTTCCAGACGCAAGTCAGCGGTCCTCTCATCTACCCCGTCAATGGATACTCATCGTCGTACCACTAAAAAAAGAAAAGAAAAAAAACAACAAATCACGATGACGGGGGAGGGAAGAGAGTGTGATGCGTGTGCGTGTGCTCGTACAAGGCACAGTCATCACGCAGATACAAAGGAGAAAAGAGTAACATCGCGCCATGCACCGACCACCAGAGATGCTGCACCGGGACCTGAGCGAGGCGTGCCGCGAAAGAGGCCCATGGATCGGGGACGGTCCAGTGGGAAGAATCTACAGTACAGCATTCGTACGAGTACCAGCGGTTTCTGCGACACCCCCAGGCAAAAGGCAAAAGGCAAAAGAAGGCACATTACAAGCATACACACAAACATGCATCCATGCATGTAACAACAGAAACAAGATCAAAAAAACAGGTACATCCAGACTCTGCGGTTGAAGCGTCTCGTATCCGAGCAAATCTGACTTTGGACTTGTACCCCAAGGGCATGTACTCGTACTCGTACGAAACAAAGTCCGGCCATCGGGCGCAGAGGTACCGGGTCGTCGTACCTGCCTTGCTGCTGCACGCTTGCGAGTGTGGCGCGCCACGCCATGCCCGATTTGCATGACTTGCAGCGGGCCTGTCCGCCAATGCCCATCAGCCTGGAAGAAGTACTCGCAAGAGTACTGGTACTGGTACAAGTACCTGGTACTGGTCCTGTGCTGAACGGAGTACCTACCTGAGGCTTGGATGCGGTCAATGCTCTGGCCTGGTCCGATGTGGCTGGTGTTTGACGTTTGTTTTGTTTGCTTGGATCAATCAACGGATCTCTTGTGCCCCATCCCGGCCTTGCTTCACCACCAAAAAGGTCGACAAGACACTTCGAGATCCGTCCGTCAAAATCACTTTATATATCCGTACTAGCACACAACAAACACACCCCCCAAAATGCGGGCAAACCGCAGGGCCTCCCAAATGCGCTGTCAGCGGCAAGCAACGCCAAATGTGGAAGCTGGCGATTGGGCCCCGCGACGGGACAAACAGCGGCACGTGCCAGCTATTCATCGCTCATGCGGCCTGGCTACATATTCTCGCACGTACATGGAAGCCGGCCATGATTAGCGAATCCAGCCTTGGGATCGATTCTTGGGGGTGACGGCCGTCGACTTTGTGCTTGGCGGGAAAAGAGACATACTTTTAGACTATTTTCTCTTCTTTTTTTGCTGCCCGTGGTCCCCAGCAACGGCTGTCGCCATCTATCTCCCCGACAACTTAAAAAGAGCCAATGCGCTGCGGCTTACAGCCCGCCCTGAGCCTTGCCTTTGAATGTTTTGCCAGCTCGTATTCCGCTTCAGAGCCGTCTTACAAGCCCCGAGTACCGATACGATACGGTACTTTGTCCATACTCCAACTTCCCATGTACTACCAGGTATCGTATCAATCAAGCTGGGGGCCCTCTCCCCAGCGGGCGCGCGCCTGTTTGCGAATCTCATCACTGGGGTCTAACCGCCGGCAAAGCCCTTGTCTCGTTGTTGGTCTCCCCAGATCGACTCAGGTCAGCCAGCCTCCAAACAACAAAAGAGGCTGCTTTGGGGGCTTTATCCTCTGGCCGCACGACTGCGCATCTCCTCATTCCGGTGGCACTGGGTCAGATGATTCATCCGGTTTTTGTGTGTGCAAGATGCTCAGCGCGAGAGAGCTGCCTCATTGGATTGGCCGTGAGCAAGAGCGCCAAGTGGTGGGGGGGGGCCTTCGCTAGGGATTATGTAGCCGCGGGAGATCAATCTGGAACAAGCTGCGTACCTCACGGCAGTGTCGAACCAGGTGTCTCGGGCAAGGGAGATGCTCGTCACTCGCAGAACGTGCTAACGTTGATACATGGCCAACCGTGGCAGAGCCATCTCCCTTGCATCGTCACAAGCCTAACGAGCTGTACGAGTATGTATGGCCGCGGTTGCCATGCCATGGTAGGCTTAGCACCAGGTCGAATTAGACCTGCGATGAGATGGTTCGTGCAAGGCGAGGCGTATCGACATGGTAGCAAGTTCGAGTAGTACGTACGTGCTAGCCAGCATCAGATCAATTTGCTCGCTCCCAGATCCCAAGTCTCCTTCAGGCTTTGGGGGGGTGCCAGTACGGTGTTGGAGTGGGATCATTATACGTGTCTGCGGCACTGCCGGCCGTCAGCCAGCCAGCGGTGGCGAGCGACGACCTGCACCAAACGCAGGCATTGCTGCTACTTGCGTAGCATTGCGTTCCAGACATGGCAAAGCCGTTGCGCCGGATTGCATTACCCAGCCGCTTTACCCAGGCCAAGACGCTGGTGCAGTGAGTGAGACGAGAGAGAGGCGTCTGTTTCTCGCTTGTTTGGGCAGAGCGTGCGAGTGCAGACAGACCCGGTGCCTATCATCGCCCACTGTACGAGTATGCGCATGCGGGCGTGTTAGCACGATGCTAACGAATGAGCTCTCGTCGGGCTCGAAATTGACGAGAATCTCATTTGGCCCTCGTCCAACAAACCGACTGTCTGGTCGTCCGCGGGTGGCTTGCGGTGATCAAATGTCAATATTGAAATAAATAGCCCCGGGTGGAGCGGGCTACTGGCGCCGGCGTGCGGTACCAAAGCTCCAGGCCTTGGATCCTCGCAGATTGCTGCCAGCCTAGGGATCCAAGGATACAAGGGAGGGCTGCCCTCCCGTTTATCTGCAATACAAGCAGCTCTGCAGCGCTGACTTGAGCACGGAATGTTTCAGAGGCTAACCTGAGATTGAAGATGGGCCTCCAGCATGGTCGCCAGGAAACCCGTCAGCAGCTGGTCCGAAGGATTCAGGAGCCAACCAGCAACAGCAAGTCGAGCAGCGTTGAAGCTGCTTCTGGGCTGCCGCTGCTTTTGCTGCTACTGCTAGCTCGGGCAGCGGAATGTACTGATGCATCATCACTTCTCCCAGCTGACGGCCAGATTGCGCGGGCACCGAAGCCGTGACGACCTGCGACTTTGACATGGGGTACGAGTGATGAACGTGGGAAAAGGCCGTTGCTAACGACAGCTGACTGGTGGCCATGCAAGTCTATCGCGGGAATGTCGCACACACCCCCTCCACTAATATCGACGCCCTTTGTGTTCTTCTTCTTCGTGCTTCTTCTGCTTCTGCTCGTGCTTTCATGTAACATTGGCACGGTGCCGAGGTACCAACTAGACATGCATGGCTACTATATATACAAACATCAAGCCATCAAGTTAGTAAGGCGAGAAGGAAGAGGCAGCTCGCGGCCTGGATGGGCTGATGCCTTCCGCATAAAAAGCATCCAATGCGTCCTTGCACCTCCTTGCGCCGGCCGGTGACCGAGCCATGTCCGGATCCCCAAAAAAGGCGGCCACCAGCCACGAACTTGGCAGTGGTCAACGTTCACGTTCGCATGCCGGTGCAACGTCCATGTGCATGCAATGGCGATACAAGACGTCAGCGGGCATTTTGCCTTGCAAGGCCAGCACAGCTCACAAAAAACGTCGACGCTGCCTGTCTTGTCCTGTCGGGCAAGGCGAGAGGCGGAGGGCTGTGACGCGCTCTGCATGTACCATTGGATCCTGACTAATGTACATGTACGTGTACTGTACACGTACAGAAACACGCACAGGTACACGTACAGGTACGTCGAGTGCCCGCAAGAGCTGTGCGCTGCGTGATGTCAGCGCTCGTGTCGTGTGCCACCAAGTCTCTCGCCGGCCCCCGTGAGATGAGAAGCGCAGCTGCAACTCGACTCACCGAGCCCAAAGCGGCGCCGCCATTGGCCTGCAGGTAATCCGTATGCATGAGGGAGGAAACATCGGGTTGGTGCCCTAAGATGCAAATGGGCACAAGATGGCAATGGGCAGCGACATCAGTGATATTCGGGTTTGTGTTGGTTTGGGGGTTGTAACGGTACGTACCCGGGTACCGTACTTTCGACACACGTCAAGATGCGGCTTGTAATAGCCTCATTTCCAGCTACATGCCGGACCAACTTACCCTGCAAACACGTGCATTGACGATCTTCCTCCAAGCTACAAGTACGGGCGCTGGACGCTGTACGGAGCACCTCGCCGCTGCATCATGTACCTCTCTGGCTTGTTTCTGTGCCGTCTGACAAATAAACTTGGGGTGTTCTTGTCGAGATTATGCTGGGTCTGCTAAAGGACGTGCAGTCGTATCGCGCGCGCAGCCCCCAGCTTTTTTTCTTTCTCGAAGGAATTGCCCGGTATTTTAGATGCTGCTGAAACAATCGTCGGTCGTAGGGCTGCTGTCAGCAGAGCGCAACCGCACACCCTCTCTGCTCGCCCAAAAGGCGTCTGTGTGATGCCGATTGGACGTTGTCCTGCTACACAGATTGTCCAATACGGAGGCGTCACTGTCAGGGAAATTCCAAGCGACGCTCGCAGACGAATAAGGCGGCGTGGGCAGTCACCCGGTTCCACATGACACTGCAGTCCGCTGAGAAGACCGGCGGCGCTATTTGCTGCTTGTATACAAAGGGTCCCCCCAATGGAAGCAGGCGAGAGGGATTGGCAAGATGCAATCAGCACGGGATCAACCCAGAATTCGGCCGTTTTATATCTCGGTACTGGGTGAAGCAATGTCTTGCGTGTGTACTCGTACGGGCGTCGGTGCTAAGCTCCCATGTTGTTATGGCTGTCGTTGAATCTTCTAACCGTCTCGCTGGGTTAGCTCCCCTGCTCCGGTGATCCCCATACAGCCTAGGTCGGGTGGTACCGGGGAGATACATACCGCTCGCTCGTCATGCGGATAGCAACCTGCTTCATGTGCAAGAGCATGCCCGCGGATGACTCGCAAGGCTTCGTAGGGCACATGTACTCTGTAGGTATCTGCACGGCGCTGCACGCTTGACTCTTTTTCTTTTCTTCTCTTTTGCTTCGCCAACTGTGCTCGACTTGACTTGCTAGGATCAGGAGCTCGCTAGTCTTGTACGACTGTGGCTGCATGCACGTACATATCGACAGCACTCGCTTGGCTTTTTGCCATGACCGCCAGCTGCTAGGGAAAAAATTTGGATGGGAGGGGGCGTGGCCAGAATTGGCCCTTTGCTGGCAAATGCTGGCACAAAGAGGGACAGGGCCCCGTTCGGTTCTATATCCGTTCTGCCAGAGATGGATGTTCATGTTCCCTTCGAGGGGCACAAGGGCAGTCACAGCACACTCCAGAGGTAGGGCCTGTGCGCCGCTGTGCCTGACGAAGGAAGAACAGTCCCGCACATACAGTAGGTAGACATCAATACCTATACAATCACGCATCTTGACTGTACCCATCTACTCAAAGTTTCGTTGGTGGTGGGCTGTTGATTGATGATCAGAAAAGGGGGGGGCCTGCGCAAAGGAGGTGAAGAAAAAAAGGACCAAAAAAAGAGTCCAGACAAAATCTGATATGGGGCAACTGCGTCTGCTCCGTAGATGAGATGGGTCAATGCCTTGGGTAAGGAAACATGAGGTCCATGTAGGCGATTGATTGAAAGAGGCCAGACGCAGGGGGGGGGGAGAAAGATCAATGCATCGAATGGGCAGTGGGTGAATCAGCGCTGCTCTGGTCCGCGCTGAAGTGAAGTGAACTCAACGCAACTGACCCGAATTGAAGACAAGCTGAGGTCAATCGGAAGTGAAGTCGAGCTCAACCACACTAAAACCAGAACTGAACCACCAACTGCACAGATCAACCGTTTCTTGATGCCTTGCCTGCCTCGGGTACGTGTACATGTGCAGTACGAGCACAGCACAGCACCCTCCAGGTATGTGCCAGCAACTGGCTTGGTCCGGCGTGTGTGTCACAGCAGAGAGAACCTGCGCTCTCAGCGCCTTATTTTGGCCCAGCAGGACAAGGCTCCGAGCCGGGTGGAATGAAGGTTACCCGACCTCACAGGTACTTGACCCTTGTACCGCAAGGCTAAGCCCGGCGGCGTTAGGCTGGGAGCTCCTTGGCCTGGCGGAGTACCGCGGTGCCCTGGCCCGCCTTTTTGTCGTCTGGTCCTAGGTATGTACATGTACCGGAAGAGGTCCCGTAATGTCGACCCAGCATCGTCCAGAAGTGGCCGTTGAAATCAGTTCGACCCTGAAGTGGACGCTGGGAATCGTCGGTCAGCCCAATAGCCCAATAGCATGGATGGAGCGCTGCTGGGCGGTCTCCGGGGGAGAACTCGACTGCTGGCCATCGCCGGAACAGCGCTGGAGAAGCCTCTGCCAGCCTTGGGCCTTCGTGCTGCAACGTTGGCTGCGCGCGGTGCAAGGCGCAAAGTACTCGTACCTCGCTACCTGAGCCTCTAGCTCCGGGTACCTCCTCGTGCTGGCCTCCACCCGCCTGGGGCCCTGTCGATGCCCTGTCGCTGCCCTGCCCAGGCGTGCGCCGCCGTGAGTCTGTAGCGTCGAGGGACAGGCAGTAGCGCGCATGTACTCGTACGCAAGTGCTGTTCTGCAGCACAGTACAGGTACTCGCACACGTACAGGTACCCATATAGGTACAAAGCTGATGTGACCACCCCCCCTCTGCGTGCGCTGCTTGGTGCTTGTTCCAGCGTCCAGCCGTAGCAGCCACGCCCTGGGCCTGTTCCCACTCTCCCGCTCGCCGCCATTGTCTCCGCTCCCCCAACTGGAACTGGAACTTGCCTCTGCCTCTTCTCCTGCCGTAGACCTCTCCAGTTGCTATTCCACAACGCCTCTCCACCGCGGGAGCTGCATCATTGCACTCTTTTCCCTCTCCCACGCAACCTCATCTTTCCCCGTTGCTCGGCCTCTGCGATTGCGTGCCACCAAAGCCTCCTGCTGCGGTGTTCAGGCCGGCCTTTTGAACGCTGCACGCAGTTCACTTCCGCATCTACCCATTTTCCCGTATCGCAGGCCCACCCGCGCTGCCTGGATGTGACTCGCCCTTTGTCCTTGAGCCTCTTCACTTTGCCTTCACTTGCTCTTCGAGTCGTCTTCACTTCCTGGCCGCCGCCGAATTCTCAATCGATCATGTGGCGTCCTCCCTGCCGCTTATAGAGTTTGTTTTCTTCAGTTGAGTCTGAGTAAACAAGCGTCTTTTCTTCCACCCTCTCAAAACTCAACTTCGGCATCTTTATACCCTCAAGACCGCCTTCTTCCTCTTGTCTCGACCACAACAAAGCCCTTCCGTTATTCCGGCTGTTGCCTGCGAACTCCCGCAATTCTCTGGCGCTCGTCTGTCTGCCACTGGGAAGCTGCATCATACCAACATCGCATCCGCATCCGCATCCTCAGTCGTCAACATGAACTCTCTCAAAGTCCCGGATAGCGGCCTGCTCCTGGCGGGTTCTGGCTCCGAGTCAGGCCTACCGCCACAGGCCTTCCACATTCAGCTCGACAGGTCGACGATCGACTCAATAATCCAGTCTTCTCGCAATGGCGAAGATCTGCGCCTCTCGCTGGGCCAAACTCCCGTAAGTCTGCCTCCTTCAAGTGTGCCCATAGGGGGGTATGGGAAACCTCGTGTGCTGACTGCTCCGGGCCCGACCTCCAGACCATTCAATACGGCTCCAAGTCGCACCGCATCGCCGCTCCCAACGATTCCGCCGATTACGACCTCTACCTCACCCGCCCCTTCGAGTCTACACGCCGGGCGGAGAGAATAGCCAACACAACCAACGTCTTTGCGAAGCCTGCCAGGCCATACCGCCGAAAGTCGTCCACCCCTGGGCTGGACTCTGATATCGAAGCTCTGCAAAATGGCTTGGCGGCACATGACGCAGCGCGAGAGAGGTTTGTGCCATTTGCATGTCGCTGTGGTGTTGTGTATTAACACCTTTTATCAGGGCTCGCGTCGTCGGAAACTTGCCCGAGACCAAGGCCTCGGCAAAGTCCAGGGCCAAGCCCATTTCCAACTATGGCTCAAAAACTGGCTCTTTGCCAACCTCGCCCAGCCTCAATGGCATCACCTCGCCTTCGCTGAACCCGACACTCACCGCATCCCAGCAAGCTATGGAACGTGCCAAGGAGCAGAGAGTGACTCTAGTTCACGAATTGGCCGTCAAGGACCGATCGACGGAATACCTGAAGAAGAAATGGGACGGCAAGGAGCACGAATTCCGATTGACCCTCGAAAAGGTCGCTGAACACAACGCCGACTCAGATACGTGGACCATGGGCAAGACGTATTGGAAGGAGCTCGACCCTTGGAGCTACGGTTACGCCTCTCAGGAGGAGCGGCAAGTTGTTATTGACAACGCGATCCGCCAATTCGACAAGCAGAGGCTATCGGCTTACGAGGCTGTGTGGCAGAAGCTGCTTCCGAAGGAGGAGCGCGGCAAGGGAAAATGCTTGAGCCGGCTGCAGGCAAACCTGGCAAAGGGCCCCCCTCCCCCGGCACCCAAGATCAAGGTGCAGAAAGCCGACGACGAGTTCACCTCTGGCGATGGTTTGGATGGCGAAAAGATGGTACGATCATCGTCCAACCCCCTCCCTGCCAAGGCGAAGAAGGCCAGCAGCCAGGACGCACAAGTCAAACGGCTGCTCCAGCCCTCCAAGGCGGGCGTTTCCAAGCCCAAGGCGAAGCCCGCCGCCCCAAAGGCTTCTCCCACCAAGAGCAAGGCTGGCTCCAAAGGCAACGAAAAGCGTATACTGTCACAGGAAATCATTGTCAACTCGGATACCTCAGGCGACGAGGCTCCAGCTCCGCCTCCCGTCAAGGCGAAGCCAAAGCCTGCGGCCCCCAAGGTCAAGGACACAGTCATTGTCGCTGGCCGTCCACCCATCAAGGCCCCGACTCGCCCAGCACCTGTCAAGCGGCCTCGTGAGGATGATGACTCTAGTTCCAGCTCTGGAACGCCGCTGTCGAAGCGCATCAAGCAGAGACAGCCCCTGCCCGCGCCCCGGCTGAAGCACCGCCCATCCGATGCCAGCGTCAACTCTCGCGGCACGGTTGCATCCTCATCTTTCAAGAGCAAGAATACATCGCCCACCAAGTCATCCCCTCTGGCTTCCTCACCACCTACCAATGCCTCCGACCTCGACAACGACGCACCACCACCGCCCAAGCTGAAGCGAAAGACGGATATGGAGTCCAAGCCTTCGGCGGCGAAGCGACGAGCGGCAGAGAGCGTCTCGATTGAGATCCTACGCAAGGCCAACAAATTCAAGGCCTACTACCAGCAATACGAAGCTTTGCACCACGAGATTTCGGCGCTGGACAACCCTCCCCACGAAAAGCTGGCCGACCTGCTGGATATGAGAGGTCGGCTTGAGAGCATGAAGAAGGAGATTTACCGAGAGTGCTCGCCTGCACGAGACTAGGCGACGAAAGCACCACGACCAAGAAAGTCACAGAGCACAAAAACATCAACACACACAAAGGGGAGGTTAACGATTTACAAGTTGAAATGACGATTCGATAATAGGACCAAAAAGGGACTGGATAATTTGCTGTTTTTTTTTCTTGTTTTTTACATTTGGCGTTCCGGCAAACAATGAGCTTTCTGCATTTACCCCAAGGAATTTGGGCAACGGATTTTGCATCTCACAGCGAAAGCCTTTAGGATAGGCACGCTCTGGCGCAGGATATGGCTGATACCATTCGAATTTAGAGTCTCGAGCAAAGAGACCAGCAGAGGAACATCTGTCTGAATTGCTTAGTTGATATTTCAAACACAGGGCCCTGCTACACGGGGCGAAAATTAGTGCTGACTAGGTATAGTAGTCTAGGCCTGCAGCAATTGGTAGATACAAAAAAGATACAAAAGTCTTTGAACAAACAAGAACCAAGTCATCGTGTTGGTTGTGTGAATTCAGTTGCCTGGCTGTGCTGTGCTGTACTGTGACGCCGATGTTGATGTCATGCTGCCGCGGTCTGCGCGAGGGATCTAAGCCATGCGAAGACGATCAGTGTCAGCATGAAGATCTTTGTTGATCACTAATGCCCAGATGCTAGATTCTAGCAGATGCTACTGTAGTGTTACCGGTTTTACGGGGCAGCCGAGGGCCGAAAATGTCAGGGAGCGAACTAACGCTTGCAGCTGAAGTTGAAACAGCATACTAGTAAATTGTATTTTACTCTTTGCCTACCAATACTTCTTTTTGTTCTGTTTCACGCCTGGGGTTTGTTTGATTGATGTTTACGGGAGATTCCGTGTGATTGCGTGCAAGGCCCTTTTCATTTCGCGGCCCGTCCGTTCCTTTTGCAATAGTACCTAATATATGGAAGGATAAGCTGCGGCTGGTGTTGGGGTAACGGGTTCGGGAATAGTTGGTTTATGTGAGCAATCTACCCTGGATGTTTGCCTTTTTTCTTTCGATTCAGTTCTTTTTTGCTTTGCTTCTGGGCGATGGTTAGAATGATAGACTGTAGATTTGGATGCTTGCATCGAATAGATATATCTCTATATAGGCATTATCTACTGAGGTACTAGGCAGATATATTCGTAGTGGTTTATAGTACCTAGTAGGTCTATCAAGCACCTTGAGAGTCCCGCTTAATTGTCTCCAGCCGTCTTATTTACTGCGATTCTTCTAGCAATTCGCTTTTTCCCTTCCTTCGTTTTTAATTGGAAGGGATCCCCACGTGGGGTGTAGCAATGCCCCACCTTTCTGTGTCGTTCCTTCCATTCACATCCATGGAGTGCCTGCCATCTGTACCGCCCTTTTTTCTTAGTCAGGGTCCGATTTTTTTCTTTTTCGTGTGCGGGTGACATCCATGCATGTGGACTCTCTTTTTATATATTTGCGGTGCTTGTATAGCTTCCGTTGGAAGTCATCGTTGTATATTGGAACGGATTTTAAGATACGCATCTTCATCATGATAGCTCCGTAGATTCCCGCTCTCTGTTGAGAGGTCCGATTTTTTCTCTTATTTTTCCTTTCTTCATTTGGTCGTTTAGAGGTGTACTTTGGCATATTCATAGCTTTACCGCTTATTTTTCTCTCTTTCTCTAGACGACTTTCGGGTTTGCGATAGTTCAAACATGGCGACACTCGCTCCGGAGGATTTCCCGCAGATGTGGCAGCGGCCGAGCTACGAGGAGCTCTTGGCCATTCTGCAAAGCCTGGAACTCAGCCCGCCCGTGTGGAACCACAGACAGAAGCAGTCCGACATTATTGCGCATCAAGAGTCACTCGCTACCCAGCGCAAGGCTGAGGTGACACGCTACATCTCGTCCGTCATCAAGAGCCCCCTCGCGTGGATCGACGACTACGACAAGCAAGAGACGCTTTGGGAGCTGGCGAGCAAGCGCATGTCCGAGAGATGTGGCAGGACCGCCATGGGCGAAGTCACGAGGCGGTGGCCGTTTGACGGAGACGGAGTTGCGTGCGAGCCGTTTGAGCTGATCATCAAGGAGCCGGCTCTGACGGGCGACTCACTTGGCTTCAAGACTTGGGGCTCTTCGTATGTGCTATCGCGCCATTTGCCCCGGCTTGCTGCAACGTCGCTGTTCAAGCTCTTTGATGAGACTCTTGGTCAGCCGCGTCCTACGGTTCTGGAGCTCGGATCGGGGACTGGGCTGTTGGGTGTTGCGGCTGCGGCTCTGTGGCAGACGCATGTCATTCTCAGCGACTTGCCGAACATTGTTCCCAACCTCAAGGACAATACGGAGAAGAACAAGATCTTGGTTGAGTCTCGAGGAGGATCCATGTCGGTCGGGCCGCTTACTTGGGGCGGAGAGGAAGACGAGATTGACCAAGAGCTCTTTGGTGAACCCTTTCAGTTCAAGGTAAGCTCAATATTTACCCCTCGTATTCAAGGCAATTTATAAGAACGCTCTTGCTAACGCCATTTGCGGTATGAACAGCTCGTTCTCGCCGCTGATTCCTTGTACGACGATGATCACCCGGCACTTCTCTCTTCAGCAATCTGCCAGAATCTCGCTCTCGGTTCGGAATCCAGGGCGGTGGTCATGGTGCCTATGAGGGACAACATCACGCGAACTCTTTTGGAGGCCTTCAAACAGGCCATGCTGGACCTCGAGACGCCGCTGTTCTGCGAAGAGGAGAGTGAGCTCGCTGGTGAGGATGATTGGGGCGAGGACGAGGAAGAGGGCCAAGTCAAGTGCTGGCTGGGAATCTTTTCGCGTGGGGGGTCACCTTTGACGACGTGATTCATATAGACGATAGACGATGGACAAATGAAGTAAAGAATGAGGTCATGATAGACTAGAGATTGGAGATGGGATATAGAAGCTAGATTCTTACACGTAGATTCATATGGACACTTTCACTAGACCCAGACGCAAGATGAAGCTTACCTAGTGATGCATCTCCACGCATGCAAAAGCACAGCAACCAGATTTTCGTCCCATCTCCCGTCACCGCAAGTCTGCTTGATGCAAAGCCAAATATCGCCGTGACCCACCTCGTTTGCTGGTTTCCCCCAGGCAACTGACCTCCTGTCTGCCAAAATGGCGCCATGATTCACTGCATCTAGAGGTTTGATCCCCCTTATAGGCGTCAAACTGACCTATCATTTGGCAACGCGTATCGATTCCCTTATTGTTCTCCAGCACAATAGATAGGGCTGCATCAGCCACGAGGCAGCTCCCGTACCTGAATCAGAAGCGCGGCCAGCTCTTTTGTATCCGGCCTAGAAAGAGGCCGTTTGCCTCAACGCACCTCCTCCTCGCATTCCCCCCTTTTCGTGACATCTCTTACACCTAGGATACATTCTCCTCAGATTGCTTCACTCTTTACGCATTTGCGCTCTCAAACAGTTCATCATTCTGTTTTCTCTACGCAGCATTTGCGCTCTCACAAGTGTGAGAACCATCTTCTCCTCTTCTTTCTTTTGGAGAGGCGCCGACGTCGGAAGTTCTCGTGATCGGGAGCCCGGAGTATTTCTCCGTGTCGCTTCCGGCCTGGAGGATCAGGCCGGCATTGACGCCGGCTTCGTCTTCGTAGACACCCGCGTTTGTCCTCTTTTTCTTTTCTTTTCTCTTCGCCCTCTCTCTCATTTTTTTGATCAGGCTTGAGCTTTCTATGTGACTTGCCCATGTGATTCCTCTTTCTTTTTTTTTAACCCCCTGTTTGCTGAACAGAGCGTTACAGATAGTGGTGGTTTCCCCCTTCTGTGTCTCGAGAGTGAGTCAGTTTTGAGCTCAAGGCAAACAAGAACAGTGACGGTTGTTTTTCTGTTTTCAAATTTCGTTTGGACACACGGGAGGTTGTATAAGACGCTGAGGAGTCAAGAAGCTCAGGAAAAGGCTTCTATACGAGTTTCTGGCAGAACCCGGCTTTTTGCATTTCGAACCCTAACACCAGCTCTACCTACGGTAGTAAGTTCTTCTTTGGAAGCTTTGTGATATCCTTGTTGCCGTCATCGCATCGCGAAAGCCAAACAAGACAAAACAGAGCAGCCATGGTCGGTGCGGCGCAGTATCTGGACGAGGAGATTGACTGGGTTCTCTCTGCCGTCGTTGGCAAGAAGAAGCAGTCATACATCCAGACGCACTTCAAAGACAAGTTTGGGCGCAGCTTGAACCATAATCAGATTCGTTACATTAAGAACAAATACGGTAAAGACCCTAGGTTTAAGTAAGTGCTCTCCTCCCCCCTTTTCCTACCCCGAGATGCCGCCCCTTTCTATCATTATTCCAGGAATATTGGGGCACCCTCAAGTGACGATGAGATTCATAGAAAAGTAGCTAACATGGTGTTACTCGCCGCGTTTTAGTAGCCCGTTGGTGAATACTCGAGCTCCAAGAATAGCCACATCACCCAAACCCGGTGATCCGGGCGAGCAGGAAGGGGAAGATGAACAAGGCAATGATATTGATTTCGGCAATCCCAGAGAAGATGGGCCATCAATGAAGATAGAGAAACGACAAAATGAGTCAAAGGATGCAGCGGTGGCAATGATACGGGCGAAGCGCAAGAGAGGTGCTGATGATTCGGGCTCCGGCCGGTCGAGGTATGACTTATTTTACTGATAGCAACTCCATCATCTTGAAAGGGCAATATCTAACGCGGAGTTCTATCAAATTCAAGGTTCATCAAGAAAATCATCGGGCCACAACGGCCACAGCTTCAACGAGATCGGGCCTCAAGAACCGTTCAGTATGAGACGCCTCCGCAGCAATGGAACGCTCTCGATCTTCAGCCATCTACATCGCATGTCCATCCAACAACGACTTCTTTGGCACATGATTATCATGACACTCAATATCCACATACGGAAGGGTATCATAGCACACAACAACCGATGCCGTCTCAATTTCACAACACCGGTACTTGCGTTGGTTGGACACCATCCGTGCCGTTGACTACCTGGGAAACCGACTCTCCCGTGTTTACGAGCGTCAACCATAGCATGAACCCGTCGGCCTTGGTATATCCTGCTTCGACTATCGAGCAGTTGTATCATCACTCAGCCGAGCCAACTCAAACGCTCCCTCAAACACTCACAATCCAGTACCAACCTCAGCTTCTCCAACCTCTCCTGGCTGCCCCGTCAGCCTCGTCATTCTCGCCACTCATACCAAACATCACTCCATATCCCTATCAGAATTACAGAGAGCATCCGTACGATCAAACACCCCAGAGACAGCAGGATCTTCAGCTTCACCTCGAAGCCCCCGAGAACCCAGAGTATCCCAGTCTCGCCATATCAGAAGTGGAAAGACATCCTTCTTTAGAAACACTTTCTGGCGTGCCGTTTCAGCTGATTCCAAGCTTCCAAGAGATGCCTATCGAGTCGGCATTTTCGCAGGGTGTCGTCGCTGAGGGAGATGTCCACGAGCGCCATTAGGACTGGACTCAGACGACAGCCCCTTCGGCTTATGATTGCTCGATATTCAACTCCATCTCACTGCCGTCAATCGAGTCGACATTTCAGACTGTCAAATACGGTAGTCTCACGACGGATAACTCCCACGCCACACATCAGTCGTTCATCAATCACCCTGATACCACCACCACAGGGACGATTGATCCAATGCTCTTGGTCAACAATCGTACCAGCCACTCGAATTCCCCTCACATCTCTTCACCGCCTATAAACATGATCAAACACGAAATGGAATTCCCGTCGAGCTTATAGCCTGCTAAGTAGTTTTGCTGCCTCAAGAGCGATGCTCTCTCTGTAGATCGTTTCACACTACTTTCTCGTATTCTCTTTTCGGTAGATTGACTTTCGCGTCAAATTGTTGGAGTAGACGGGAAAGTCAAAGGATTCAATGAAATAGCACCCAAGTCAATTGTGCTTCGCTCGCTACGCTCAACACTAGTATTATATACCAAAAAATGCTCACAGACGATGGCCTCCACATGTGAAAAATCCAAACAGCGTCTAAACCCTTTGCCTTGCGGCGACGTATCGGCATCAAACTTCATTATCCAAACGAATGATTGCACGGCTCTACCCTTCATATCATGCCCTCCTCCCATAAACGGTATTCTCCGGCGTTAATAAAACTACCCCCCTTTGCCTTCTCCTCCCCCACGCGCCATGATCAACTCAAAGTATAGTGTAAAGGGGTATCTAGAGCGTTTTGGAAACAGGAAAGATGGTCGCTAAATCTCTGATCATGTTGTCTCACTTTTCTTTCTTTCGCCTGTTTATTTGTTCATTTCTTCTTTTTTTGGCGCGGTTTTTTTTTCGTTTATTCTTCTTCTTTCGGTGCGACGGCACCTGGGAACGTATAATGGGCCTTCATACGGCGATGCTCGTGTGTCGTCGAGCTTCAACTTCCTCAATGGGAAACTTGAAGACGAATCCAAAAAGATCACGCAGGTAGGCATAGCGCGGTGAGTTGTTGGCCAATGTTTGGATACTTTTGGCCATATCCACCGACGGAACTCGCTTGCCGCGAGAGGGAATCGAGTGGTTCCGGGGGATAAAGGCGTCCATCAGGACGGAGTTCTTAAACTGTTGAAGGAGAGTAGTCTCTCTTGGCGAAGTGCCGAACGCATCTGCAGGGAGACTCTGCACAAACTTCTGCAGCAGGGCGGGCGCTGCCTTTGGGTCGGTGATGGTGTCGCGGTCGAACCCAAGAGTCATGGCGGCTCGGAGAACGAGAATCTTGGCACGCGTGATGTTGGGATCCTCGGTTGCCGTGGTAGTGGTGGCGGTGCTTGAGGTCCTGTTGCTGCTGTGGGAGTAGCTCGACAGGTTGGATGCACTGCTGGACCATCTGCCACCTCGACCGCCGTCACTGGAAGGGCCGAGCACCAGGAGATTGGGCATCTGAGGAGAGCGGCTTTCTGGAGAGATCGGAGTGTCCTCAAATTCTGTGACTGGGGTTTCGGGAACTGGAGGAGGCTTTCGGGGCCGCTCTTCCTGATGGGTGCTCTTTATGCTCACTTGTTTCGAGTGGCGTGATGAGCGATTTGACTGTCGACTCTCACGTCCAGTTTGATCAGAGGCGAGAGAGAAGAAGCTCTGCTGGGTAGATGGCCGAGGAGTATACCTGTCTGTGTTCACCTTTGCCCAGCTGTCTTTGAATATATCGCCCAAACCCCAACACGCTTGAACCGCAGAGAGAAGTAGGTCGCCATCCGCTGGTTTACCCTCGAGTCTGTTCTGGCGCAAGCTGAAGAGCATCTCGGCGAGGCCCCAGCAAGCCCCGAGAAGCTGATCTGTTTTGCCAAAGAGCTCACCGCGCTGTTTCATTAAACGATGACACAGCGTGATATAAAAGTCAAGGGTTCGCTCTCGGAATTGCTCTGGAAGAGTCTGGTTGTCTTGTGCACTGTATAGACTGAGAAGAGGCATTAGATACCATGGAAAGAAGCGATAGGGTTGTGGCAACACTCACTGGTTATTCAACTCAAAGCTAACTCTTAAAACAGAGTCTGCCAGCTCGTCTTTCTTCTCGCGCACATCGAACAGGGCTTGGCAAAAATCTCGGCATAGGTCTAGATTGAACTTGACGCTTAAATACGCCGGGTCTTCATCTTGGTTGTCGTAGAGGCGGTGGCAGAGCTTCCAGCACGCTTTCCAGGCTCTTTCAACGGCATCTGGGGTTCCCGAATCCCTAAAAGCTCGTGGTCGATGCATTGAGCTCAAGTTGGCCAGGGTATTGCACAAGGTCCAGGATTCGTGAAGAAGAGTTCGTAAATCGCCAATCTCATCAGCTACTTGAGGCACGTGAGGAAAGGGTTCGTCATCGTCATCATCGCCCTCAGCCTCAGTCTGTTCGTCAATTTCTGTGCCTGGTTAGCGACGGTACGATGTCTTTGAGGCTTTACAAAACCAACTCTCAAGACTGCTGGTGCTGCTCGAACGCAATCGGCTTCCATCCATGAGCATGTCTTGCAAGTCCTGTGCTCGTGGTGTGGCACTGTCTAAGCTGTATCGCACAGGCTTGACATCGGTGGAGATGGGAGGGCGAGTAGGGTGACTGGGAGGCTTTATAAAGTTACCTTTATTAGCATTTGAAATCTTTGCAGAAAATCTTTCCATGCCGGTAGAGATTGGACTAACGCTGTTGAAGGTCCCGGTGGATGATGGTTGACTGGCGCCATCGGCCTTGGGGGACGATCTCTCCGTTGATGTGACTGACGCAGAGGGCTCGCTGGATGCCTACATAAGTTTAGCTACATTGCAATTCGACAACAGATTTGTCACATGTAATGCTCACCCAACTAGCAAAGCTTTCCGGAGCGTGAATGACGGAGACGGCTTCCTCAGGGTTGCCTTGACGAACGATCTCCGGGAGATTGGTGGTAAGCATGAACATCTAAATTATGTTAACGTTAACGCTGGCGGGATGTAGACATGATACTGGGGAGCTGCTACATACATCCGAGTGCCGAGGGGGTGGCCCCGCTACGTGATGGTCCAGCTCGAAATCGTCGGCAACATCGTCCTCTATCTCGGTGGTCTCAGTGCCGTTGGAAGTGACAGGCGAGGGCCCGACAATATCACTAGGGCTTAACAGATTCATCGAATGGGATGATAGCCGATGATGCAAAGAGTCAGGCCGAAGCGAGGAAGAGTCTGTGGCGGGTGGAGGAGACGACCTAGAGTAGACGAGTCAATGGGGCACTTGCTTTGGTGCACAAAAGTCCTAGACTTACATGATTCTGAACGGAGACCTGAACCCATCTGATTCGGACGTCGCAGACATGTCTCCTTGGTTGAATTGAAACTGCAGACTTCCAGTGGATGATCGCAGCGGCGCTTCAAGGGCCATGATAGATGATGGATGCGATGCGATGCGCAACAGCCGACTGCGTTCGAAAGGGCGCGACGTCGAGCTGCTTTATGCAGGACCTCTGCTCTGCTTCCTTTGCGATTAGTTCTACACAGCAGTCAAGAGGCTCAGAAAGCCCTGCTTGACGGCTGACGATGCAGATTCCCTCTGATTGCCCCACGAAAAGCCTTGGAGGTCTCAAGCGCGGCCGTGGCGAGGCAAAGTGCAGCGCTCGCGATTTGGATGCAATGGAGGATCGAAGCACTAGCAGAGGCGGTCGCAGTTCGCGGGCCTCGATTGACGGTCAGCGTGCTTCCAGAATAGAAGCAAAGCTGCGATTCGAAACGTCCCAGTCGTAGATCAGGCGAGGCGGTTGCAGGCACGCTGGACGGATGGCGGGCTGGCTGCTTTAAGAGACGCTGCGGCCAGGCAGATGGACCAGGGGTCGAGAGACACCCTTGCTTAGGACATGCAGCGCCGCCAGCTGTGGAGGAAGAGACGGTATTCAGTTGTTGGAGCTCGCGCCTAATCAGCTGCGGGTGCTAGCAGTTGGCTGAGCGGGGGGGAGAGGAGCTCGGACTAGATCCGGTAAGTCGAGGTTTCTGTTGCGATAGTTTGTTTAATGATGTTTGTGGGTGGGAGAGAAGAGACGAAGGAGTTCGTCAGCAGCAGGCGATTGGAGGGAGTGAGAGGGAGACCGGGAAGAGAGAGAGACGGAGAGACAGAGAGAGAGAGAGAGAGAGGCTCAGCATTAGCCGGGCTGAGAGTGGAGGGGATCAAAGTGCTCCCAGGCCGGCGAATCGCACACGAGGCTCTGGGGAAGGACGACGGATCAATAACAAATGACGGGGGCAGGTCAGCTTTGGGTGTGGGAGGAAGAGGAAGAGGCAGAGGTAGAGGAAGAAGATGTACCGGTAGACACATGGAAGTACTAACATTGACGCATAGCCTGTGCCTGGCGCTGGTGCTACCTGTCCAAGCAGTACCCGTGATGACTGCTAGCTTGTTGGTGCTAGGCAAGTATCAACACGACACGACATTATTGATCGCCTACAAGTCCTACGAAAGAGCACTAAACAAATAGTACGTGCATGCAAATGGGGCAGCCTTCAAGATCCTTCCAGCTAACTAATGTATGCAGCTCGAGCCCGCGGTTAACAAACTGACGAGGCTCGTCGTTCTTGGGGCTTCATGCTTCAATGTGGATAAACAACAGACGCCAGCCGCAGCGGCCAGTTCTGTCGCTTAATCTGCCGTGCTGCTACTCGGCCACTGACAATGGACCGGATCAGCCCGCGGATCCCTGGAGGAACGCGTCTTGCGAAGCCAAGCCGGGGAGAGGTGGATATTGCTGAAAGAAGAAAAGGACATGGCAGTAAATTGTCTCGTGGACAGCGACAGCCGCGTCTCGCGCAAGACTGCAGATGGGATCAGCTACGGTAATACACGAAGGAACGCCACCGGGAGGAGCCATATCGAGCCCGGCGATGCTGGTATAAAGTTGCCGTGTAACGTTGATGGTATGATGGCATGTAGGCATCTATCTATTCCTCTCCCTTTACAATGTATAGGTAGACATATAGGTAGACATCCATTCTGTATACTTCGGTCTTCTCGTCAACCTACAAGACCAACCGATGCCCACTCTCCTCAACATTGACATTGGCATTGACAGCCTCGAAAAGCCCTGCCTGGGCAATGCGACACAGCAGCTGGCCGTTGGAGGGGCGGGGGAACTGCTTTGCTGCACCTAGTTCTTGAAGAGGAGCTTTCGTTGCATTGGCTGGCCACTCATAGACACGATCGGTGGTTGAGTGGATAGAGCCCGCGTGGAGTCGACAGGCGTCGGCGCTTAATTTCAGGTGGATGACATGCTTTCCCCTGCCGAGTCACGATGTTGTTGACGAACCACAATGGTCAGTCAGTCTGTCTGTGTGTCTGTGCGTGGAAGAGAGGAAAAAAATTAGAAAAAAAAAGGGAAGAGAAAAATAAACCCTGTTCAGACAGAAGAAGCGTTGTTGCTTCTCTCTGTAGTTATTGTCTTCCTCTACATGCACCCACTTACACGCACATCACACACACACACACAAAAGGCACTGAGTGAGTGACTGCATGTAAACGTGCTGCCCCCAATTTCCCTCTCAGCGGCCAAATGCGCCGTGCTGGGGGTCACCGAGTCACAAATCCTCATCGTCCTTTTCCCTGTACGGCATGTGCGAGTACACTCAAGCACACGAACCAAAATGTTGTTGGTTGTGATCAAAACAAAAACACACACAGCCATTTGCCCAACTCTGGCTCCCAACATGCCGCCAACCAGACCAGCACCAGCCCGGCCGGGCTCCATTTCTGACGGCCAGCACATCAAAGCACATCCCTCCGCGGGCCAAACCAGAGGCCTCGGTCGCTCAGTCACAGCGCCAATCTGCTCGGTTCGTGGTCCGCGATGCCCCTCGACGCCCCTCAACCCCTGCGCTTCCGTCCAGAGACACTTGTCAACCAAACCTGATTGGCAGCGTTTGACCCGACGATCTGGTCCCGGCGCTACTGCTCAGACGAAGCTGGTTAGGCTCGGACGAGGCCCACTCGTCCTTCAACCCGTCTGTGGGCCGCCGATTTTCTGTTCCCCGAAGCGTTGCAGTTGCAGTTTGGCGTGGATGAGGGCTGGTGTTTTGGTGTGGTACAACCATGTCATTCTTGCGTACGAGTATGAATCAAAACATGTTGACATGTAGGCATTACTCTACAGCAGCAGAACAAGGACAGAGCCTCCATCCATCCATCCATCCATCCACCCATCCATCTGTGCTTGTGCGTGCCTGTGCGAGACCAAAGCAGAGACAAAAGGGGGGGAATAAGCCGGATGTACTGTAGATGGAAGCTCTCGAAAGCACCGCCAAGCGACACCAGTCTCCTCCAGTCACGCCTCCTGCTTGGCTCCGTCGTAGGATTTTAGTCGACTCTTGCTACTGTACAGTCTCGTGTGACATGTCTCTTGCCGTGGCGATTGACCTTTCTCACAAGGCCTAGGTATTGTAGTCAGTCAGTCGTGCCAAGTGGTTAGTCAATCACATTCACTGCGACTTACATGCGAGGCTCTACTTACTGCATGCAAACGCACACGCACATGCACACACTCTTCGGTCCACTCTCGAGCGCAGCCGTCGTCCTGAATCTGAAACCTCACACCTCCGCCAACAGTTGCTTGTTCTGGCGAGATGCTTCTTTTGTCTATTAGAAGGCTGGCAGTCGGCTTGCAACCTGATGTCTGTGTGAATCCATCTATCTGTACCCAGCCGACAAGGCGTAAAAGGCTCTATTAGAGCGTCATGTATTATTATCCAGTGTGATGAGAGTAAACTCCATGAATCGTATCAGGTGCACATGAATCTCATAGACTGCTTTCAACTAGCCTTCCATTATATCATCACCTCGGGAGAGCTGCTCGCGCGCAACATCACCGTGCTGTTGGTGGCTGCCATTACGCATTCGTACAGGTTCGTATACCCCCATCTAGCCCTGCGCATAAACGCCGCTCTTCCTGCTGTTGGGCGCAGCCTTCATCTTCTGATACGACAATTCGTCCTTCGCTTGCACTAGCTCACTCTCCTTCTATTGGTGTGTTGGGTCGAAGCATTACTGCTTCTAATGTAGCTGCTGGGCGCTGATTTGCGCAGCCACGAACTTGGCTAATACAAACCTGTTGATTTATGCTGCGGCTATCGTGGAAGCCTTGGCATACACACGAACGTCTGATTTCAGGTGAAGAACAAGAATTCTTACCAGTGATTACTACCCAGTAGTCTGTAATCCTCACCGGAGGTCGTCAGCCCTATCTTTCTGAAAATACAACAATGAAGATTACATGCTTCCCATCTCCATGAAAAGTACTCTCCTGATACCTACCTATCTCTGAGAAATATACGCCGGCAGACGTTTTTCTAGTATCTGCTGCTATCACCATACTTTTGCAATATCTGCTACTATTGCTATATATATCTCTAGAGCTTGCTGATATAGCCATTTTCTTCTCGTTTCGAGCATTCTCATTTGCTTCCACTATTCAATCTGAGACATAGCATGCTGGATAGCAGACTTTGACTGTCCAATCTTTCACATATCTTATTGTCTTTCCCCCGCTGTATCCCTGCAGAACACCAACTTACTAGATGGGATTCAAGCGCAAGCGATTTTAAGTGCTTTACTATACAATATTGAAATCATATGGCGGCCCTGTTTGACAGTGTAGCCGGCCACGTCTGAAATCGCATCGCCAATCTGGGTTGCGCCGCTGTTAGTGGTCCTTTGTTGGCGGTTGATAGGCGCTTTTCTATTCTCCATTGCTGCGCAGCGTGAAGCTGGCCAACACGCCTACCGTAAAAGGCTACTCTGTAGATACTTGGGGCGGTAAGAAGCGGTGAATTGTCTTGCAAGTCTAGGTTTCTCATCCACAGTATAACAGTATAACAGTATAACACGTACAAGATTGTTGAGAGAGGCGGCAATCACTTTTTGTTGGATATTCGATTTACGCCATCCAACCGACACAGGGATTGAGACTCCATGAGGAGTAGGCCTCAAGGCATGACCAAGGCAAATCTGCAAAGCCCGCCGTGGTGGTCCAAAACTTTCCACAGATGTACCGCCTCTCATTCAAAGGGAAAAAAGAATCCATCACAATATACAGCGGCAGTTTTCTGGTTTTGCAGAGTCGTGTAGCAGAAAAATCCTCGTTCCATTATTACGGAGTTGCCTGCGGCTTTGCCGTCATCGTCGCGATCTGATTTTTTTCTTCCTTGCGCCAAGTCACAATATAGGTAATAACAGGATCCAAAAACGCCAAACTGTGCATTGCATCTTTCTCTTCGCTCAAAACAAAACTATGCCGACTCGTTCAATCTCTGCTTCTTCTCGTTTCGTCCATCGGGAGTGTACCTAGGAGGTTGATTAGCAATCGGAGTCAGGGGTGTCTTGGAATGTCGTAAGAGTCGTACTTGAGAAGCTTCTCGATGAGGTCGACGTGTGTCATGATCATGCGTCGGCAGCAATAGCGCTTGAGGCCTAGCTCGTCCATGGCATCGCTTTCCTAAAGTCAGCCTCGAGCTCTGCTTCAAAGGTCAAAGGGCTGCATACCCGTCGGTCTTGCGCGGATCGGCGATGAGCTGGAGATAGCGCTCCCAGAGGTCACCAGTGACCTATTGCTATTAGTCATCTTGTTGATCGCTCAAAGACAAAATCAAGATGCCTACCTTTCCACAAGAGAAGCAGCGAATGGGAATAATCATCTTGGCGATGCGACGGCGAATGTCGTTTTTGAGTGGTGAAGCTGGCAGCGTGAAAGAGTTTAGCTGCGGAAGCGACGCGGATGGCTGAAAATATTATGCCGCCGAGCTTTTGCCGCCCGTTGCTTATCTTATCGCTGATAGTGGAAAAAGTTCATGGCGGCACCAAAATTTCTGCGGCGCATTGATCCCAGTACTTTATACCAGTAACTGGGTGCTGCCGCCTCGATGCCATTCCTCCCCAACTTCCTCACAGCGCCATTCTCCGGGATCTCTGCCAAAATGGCGGGTAGCAAGCTCTCTAGGCCCCAGGAAGAATCGACCAAAAAGAGAAAAAGGGACCTGAACGAGGCCGACGCGCGATCAAAGAGATCACGACCGCAGCAAGGCGACGAGGACGAACAGGCAGAGTCTCCAGCTGACGGAGACTCTGAATCCGATGATAACCTTCAAAATGGAGCGTTGTTGAGGTCAAAACGCAATGGTGATGAGAGTCTGATTGGCCGTTCTTTTGATGGAGAAACTGGCTGGAGAATCTCCAAGCCCATGGGCGGTAGAATGCTCGACATTGATCCAATCCTTACTCAAGATGACCAGTAAGAGGCCAATTCATTTTTTCCTCAGAAGAAGAACCATGCTCATATACCTTAGATACCTTATCTTGACATACAACACCTCCATTCAGGTGTACACAGCTAGCGACTCGCTACTCTTGAGACGAATCCCGATAGGCGCCGCCGATGCCTCTTCGTCAAAGGGCACATCTCCTGCGAACATTGTTGCGACCAAACTGTCCATTCAGAACCCCGAATACCTCTGGGTTGCCTGCTCAGATGGTCAACTTTACTATGTCCACTGGACAGAGACCGCCGAGACACACCAGAGCTTCCAGACGGTGACGGGCACGGCTCATGCAATCACGGTGACCTCGACCGAGGTTTCGGGCTCAAAGGCCGATGTTGTCGTGGTATCTGAATCAACCAAATCAAATCGGATGGAATTGACCGCATATGGCGGGGATATTCTCTCATCTCCGCTCTCAAAGGCCATTTTGAGCACCAAGAAGTCGGGCAATGGCTTGCACTTGATCGAGTCGAGCCAGGATGGCCTAGTCTTGGTCGGTGCTCTCAATGACTCTTTATTCCTTGGTGTAGCTTCACACAAGCAACCAACCGGCTTTGAGCAGCTGCAATACGACTTCTTTTCATTCGACGTGCCCGATATCATCACCACTCTCGATTTCAGAGTTTATCCAACTTCTGCCTTGAACAAGTCCAAGGGGCGGCGTGACTCTGAGAACGTCGTGGACATTATTGTTGGTGGTGCACGAGGAGCTATCTATCTCTACCATGATGCTCTCTCTCGAAGCCAATCACTTGGAAAGTCCAATTCCTCCAAGGAGGGCATCCAAGCCCAGAAATTCCACTGGCACCGAAAGGCAGTCCATTCCGTCAAATGGTCTCGAGACGGTACGTTGCCCGCATACCTTCTTTTCTTGGATTATTTGAATTCCTCGCTAACTTTCTTCACTAGGTAACTACATGATATCTGGAGGTTCTGAAAACGTCCTTGTACTGTGGCAGATGGACACCGCCAAAAAGGATTTCCTCCCACACCTGTCAGGCAGTGTAGAAAACATTGTTGTTTCTACCAGCGGATCATCCTACGTTGTGCATCTTGATGACAACTCAACGATGATCTTATCCACTGCTGAACTTAAGCCGACCACATATATTTCCGGCATTCAATCCGCCGCCGCCGAGGCTTCGACACCCAAAGACTTGCTCGTGCAGCGCGTTTGGTCAGTAGAGGATAAAGTGCGACGACCCATACCTGCTGCAATCAACGCAGCGGAGCCGTCCAAGCTTCATGTCTGCGTCGGCAACGGTCGTCAGGCAACAATGACTGGAGAGTTCTCGGCGCCCCTGTTGCAGTCTTTTGACCTCGAAACTTTTACGAGCATCTCCAAACAGGCATTGGCTCGGACACAACCCACAGACGTCAACTTGACCAACAAGGGCTACGCCATTGAAGAGCCTGTCGTCACGCACATTGCCTTTTCTGCAGATGGAAAGTGGCTGGCCAGTGTCGATGACTGGACTCCTACAAATAGAGATGTCGCAACGGTTAGTGGCGAGGTCGGCGACCAGTTCCTCAAGGAGAGGCACGAGTCATACCTCAAATTTTGGCAAGTCAACGGCGAGGATAACTCAATTGCTCTTGTATCTAGGATTAATGCGCCTCATGCAACGAGCCATCCCGAGACTGTCCTTGATCTTGCATCAAACAATGCCTCAACTTGCTTTGCCACTATTGCTGGAGATGGCATTGTTCGTCTATGGCGACCAAAGGCTCGCCAGCAAGAAGGCTCACGAAAAACAGACGCTAACGTGGAATTCACTTGGGTTTGTTCCCGGATAATTCCCATTGGCGATGGACTTGGTGTCGTCACAGACATCCCCAGCGACGCGTCTGTTCCTGCGCAGGCCCAAGCCCGCCTCGCATTTTCGGAAGACGGTTCTACTCTGTTTGCCGCATTTGGCGCTCTCGACACGGGAGCCGTGTATGTTATCAATGCGGCCTCTGGCGAAGTCGTCAAGATTCTAGAGGGCCTCTGGAAGGGACAGCTGCACTCATTGCGAGTCCTGTCACAGTATCTAATTGTGCTTTCTGAGGAGCTGCATGTCTATGATGTTGTGAGCGACGATTTACGGTATGGAATTGTGGTTCCCAAGACTGGAGCCGACGAGCTGCTACAGCTTGCCGTCGACTCGACATCCGGCCACTTCGCCGTCACTCTTCCTCTCGGAAACACCTCTAGCATAGGAGTCTTCCACCCCAGCGAACCTGAGCCGCTCATTGTTTGCAACACACCCCATCGAATCGTGAGCCTTATTTCGGTACCCGGCACCAGTGGCTTTGTCGCGCTTGATGATGTCGCCCAGATCTGGACCATTACCGAAGGCTCCAACGCGTCAACCATCTTGGCTGCTCAGCCCCTTCAGGATCTGAGACTCGATAATGCTTCTCAGGAGGCTGATAATAACAAGTTGGCCGTCCTTTTGGGTGGAGATGCTGAAAGCGATGATGAGATGGGGGAGGCCCAGAACGCAGACGAGGATGTGGAGATGGACGACGACGACGTCCAGACCAACATTATACCCCAACAATACCTGGCAGACATTTTCGACGCTGCCCCCGCCTTTGCCGGAGCTTCGATCGAAGACATGTTTTACAAGGTCACTGGTCTCCTTGCGACCAAGCCACTGTCGGCTACTTCTGTATAAAGGTGAAGAAGGAAGAACTGCATCTTGTTGAGGAGATTTGAGATGACTGGTTGGTTGGAATGTATAAAAAGCGATGTGCCACGGTTGCTTAACCACAATAGGGGTAAGAGAATAAGAGAGAATAAGAGTGAAATGCGCTACTTGGCGTTGTTGGTAGATCAGATGCAGGAACAAACCTGCTGACATGTATATATTGTCCAAGATTAGTGTTGGTTAGTGCCTAGGTAGTCTTGGGAATCTAATATCGATTCAGTTTGCATGATCAACCTGTATCCAAACCTGAGTCTCTAGAAACTATAGTTTGTTGGACGAGGTGAGAGGGGATAACGCTGATGTATCTACCAGAAGGGAAAGGGGCAGCGCCAGCCGCTTTGGTTACTCAAGTGTCCAATATTTCTTCCGTTACATAAAACTGCAATGGTGCATGCTTTATCAAGACTTGTTCTCCCAAGAGCTTCCCCCCCTTTTTTATCTGATATAGCACATGTATATAGTGGTAGATTACATCTAGTACTTCAAGTTGGGCGCCCATCCAACATCTTGTCTCCCAGATTGGAAGTCAACTATAATATTTAACACTACCTAAGGTAGAGAAATATATCTATAGTAGCAGATACTAGAGAAACACAGATATAGTAGCAGATACTAGAAGAATATACTAGTACCTTAGTAGTACCTACTATAGCTAGAGGTTCTCCTTCACATCCTACCTTTAATTTAGGCTCTGGTTGATAAAACTTCACGCAGTCACGGGAATGCCGATTAACAGCGTCTCCCTTGGTACCAGGTAGATAGTACCTGGTACCTGTCGTAGAGGCTGGCAGGTGTTGGCAGGCGAAGCGCGAGCAGGCAGGTGGGCACATACCTACGCATGCCGCCTTCCTCCTGATTGCTGTTTCTGCCTTGCTCATCAGGCATACGCGGTTCAGAAAATAATAAAAATCTTTCTGCCTCCATCAACTCTATAAGAACGCCGGAACTCTCAACTTCGTCACTCCAGGAGTGTTCCTCTACCTAGCAAACGTCGTCACTCTTGTCAGAATGAGGTGGTAAGTTGACAACTCTCTCAGGTCCCCGCTTCGCTTTCGTCAAAGCATGTAACGTGTAGAAGTCATTCCCGTCTCCTATAACATACGGCTTTGGAAACCGGTTCAGTCTCTTGGTATCCTCGTATAGCACATTGTACTAACATGTATCATTTAGGCAACGGACGTAAGAGCCTTTTTTGAGGCTACACTGGCGCTGTTGGGCCGCCCAAGCGGCAATGCTGCTGCTGCTGCTGGGGGTGGGGGTGGTAGTATGCTGCTCTTTTCTTTATGAATCCATACTCGTATATATAAGGAAGTAAACTGACCTGCTTATAGGACGAGGGGGAAGAGGAGGATGCCGAGGGGGCGGTGGTAAGTTTCTCTTTCTTATAAACGCTATGAATGCTATTACTAACTGATAAACACAGCCCCACGTAGAAAGCATGGTGGTAAGGTCCCATCTATGTATTGCGAATAACGTAGTTACTGCTGATAATAATTCATAGGCCAGAAGAAGAAGAAGGGAGAGGAGAAGGAGGAGAAGAAGAAGAACCAGGGCAGCGGCCCCAGTAAGTTTTATAGTCTGGGTACACTGTCTATCTCATGGCTAACCATAGGTATATAGAGCCCGCCGGAGTCACCAAGCTCCAGGCCAGTGTCCACGGGGGGCGTGGCCCCAATGGGACTTTGTCCCAGAAACAACGCCGCCGCCAACGCCGACCCCAAAAAGGGGGAGGAGAAGGAGAAGTCCGACGAGGATATGGCCGATCACGGCCAAGACGACGACGACGACGACGACGATGACGATGACGATGACGATGACGATGATGTTTTGGCGGTTGCCACACCGGCGCCGCGGGCCCGTGTGCCCACCAAGGGTGTGCCCTCCGGGGCGAACCTTCGCCGTCGTGGGAAGAAATAAGGGGAGGGAAAAAAAAGAGAGAGAATTTGGGTTGGGGGGGGGGGGGGGGGGGGGTTCGTTTTAAAAATGGGCCGGGGAGGCCGTTTTTTTCCTTGTTAAAAAGCCCGGGGGGGCTGTTTTTTTCTTTGTTTTGTAAAAAAAGAAACAGGATAGTAACTACATCTACTACATCTGCTACATCTTTGCAAGGAGAAGGGACGCAGAGATGGCGATGGCGTTCACTCTTTACTATTTCCCACCGGTGGGCCTGGCGTCTTACGGCCCTATAAACGGCCATTCTTTTTGCTATTCATTCTCTGAAGCATTTAACGTTTGAATTGGCTTTTCATTGTCTAAGTCTGCGTCGTTAACGGCTCGTAGCGGCGCCATTACTACGTGGAAACGTAATGTTAGTTTGAACTGTTTACATTGCATGATGAGAAAGACAAGCGCTGATTTCAGTATAAAAACTCTTGGGTTGTGCGATAGTAGCAGTGTAATTGGTCTGGAGGTAGTAAAACGGCAAAAGTGCCCTTTGAGAGATGGCGCATCACGGAACTTGGAGGTTCTTAGACTCAACCAATTAGATAATGGTTCCATTAGATATATACCAGAATAAAATGCTGGCCGCGATGGTTCAATATTGAAAGGTATCTTCCCGTGACCGGCTTTCTTCAGTCCTGCATGTGAGTCCAAAGTGAAGTGAAGTGAAGTTGAAATGTGCACGCGGACCAGAAAGATATCCTCAAGCAGCAGCCCTCCCAGAAATACATGACTCTACCATCATCATCAACATCAACAGCAGCAGAAACAACAACTCCAACGCGTACGTGAAGACTTTGCGAGTATGTGAGTATCTAGATACTGATTGATGAAAAGCAGTTATTCATTTCTTTTTCTTCTTGAAAGGACTTTTTTGTAAGTTCACCAACAATTTTTCAAATCAAGGGAAATGCGAAGCAGCTAACCTAACTTGTGTACAGAAATCTTCTGCTCTCGTCGTTTTTTTAATAAAAACAAAATGGTAAGTTCGACTCAATCATTTCTCGCAGTCATCTTCACATGACTGAGTGTGCTACAATATGCTAAAATAACTATGTAGGACGTCAGACAATTTTTTGACGAAACCCTCCGCCTTTGTGGTGTGGCTGCTGCTGGGAGCGGCGGCGGCGGCGGCCCTGGACGCGGTGGTATGATCCATTTCTCATGATTGATATACCTTTGGTTCATTTGTAGACTGACATAATTATAGGCCACGGTGGTGGTGGTGGCTGTCGGGGAGGTGGTGGAGGCGGCAGTAAGTTTTCTCTTTTTCGTCTCTATGGTTAACGATCAATACTAACTACGAAAATAGGACGCCGCGGAAAGCGTGGATGTAAGAAGAACACACTCCATATGTACGATCGACCTCGAAGCTGACACAGATGGGTAGCCAAGAAGAAGAAGAGAGAGGAAGAGAAGAAGAAGAGAGAGGAAGAGAAGAAGAAGAGAGAGGAAGAGAAGAAGAAGAGAGAGGGCGGCGGCAGCACCAGCACCAGCACCAGCACCAGCACCAGCACCAGCACCAGCACCAGCACCAGCACCAGCAGTAGGCCATACGCTTTTCACACATCTATGGATAACTCATTGGATTCGACTAACATATAAACTATAGGTGTTATTCGGGGAGGACGAGGTCCGGGGGGGACTCTGTCCCGTGCCCAAAAGAGAGGCCTGCGGGCCATAGGCCTTGTGCCCGAAGAAAAAGAAGAAGAAAAAGAAGAAGAAAAAGAAGAAGAAAAAGAAGAAGAAAAAGAAGAAGAAAAAGAAGAAGAAAAAGAAGAAGAAAGGAAGAAGGGGAAGTAGAAGACGAAGACGATAAAGACGAGGAGATGGATCTCCAATGAGAAGTTTTCTTTTTTATCTCCCTATTTATATAAGACTACTTGAGAAATTAAATGCTGCCTTTATCATGACAGTTTGTTCGAGCTACGATGTATTACCACGCTTTTCTACTTATTTGTGAGATTATATCCTTGAGCATGGAATGGAAGGAATCGAATCATGGCTGATGCTTATTAAAGATGGATGTCACAAGACATTCATGAAGCACCAGAGCCAGAAGATGAGGGAGAAAATGAGGGCGATGTCCTAAACGAAGATAACTTAACAGGCAAGAGCGCTCTCCTCAGATTTATCTTCAGAGACCCAATCACCATCACGATCACCACAATGAGAGTTGTCATCAATAACAGAGGGGCTTTTCTTCGCTTGGGGGATGTTGTGGTCAGCGCAGCTTCAGCAACGGATGGGGGTGTTTTACAGTATGACTTTGGGAAGACGATTCAAGGGCAGAGTTTCCAGAACATTGGGTTTCTGAACATGCCCCCAACGGTACTTCGAACAGCTGTATCAAGTTTGAGGACGCAACACAAACGTAAAGGTCACCGACTGAAGGAAGATATTGACAACGTCTTGAAGAATAATAAAAGGATACAGAGAGAGTTTGGGCGGCCACCAACAGACAGCGACAGACTCTTTAGGCCCGGCGTGATCCATACTCCGGGTGAATGCGCCTCAGCCTGCGCGCAAGACGAAAATCTAATAATGCGCTGTCAGAGGATTGAAGACGAAGAGGATGACCCTGCAATCCACTACGGTCTCATCGCTTCTGCCAATCAATTGATGAAAGACGCCTCCATTCGAGATAAGTTGTTAGCTGAAAAGGAGGTTTTGTGCTTTGAGATGGAAGCAGCAGGCTTGGTGAACCACTTCCCCTGCCTAGTCATCCGTGGGATATGTGATTACTCCGACTCACATAAAAATAAAGAGTGGCAAGGTTATGCAGCGATGACGGCGGCCGCGTATGCGAAAGATTTGATCCGTCAGCTTCACCCAAGCAAGGTTGATGCTGAACAAAGGCTCAGCGAAAGCCTTGATAGAGGTTGGTCATTCTCAATTCTCACTTCTCAATGATCAACGCCCATTTAAAACGAGAAATTCTAGTTCTTGACACAACGATGGGCATCAAGATGGATGTTCAGGATATACAATCGCAATTACAGTTGGATGGAGACTGCGAGATTCTGGAGTGGTTAAGCGATTCCGATCATGGCCGTCAGCACAGCGACAACATCTCCCCATCCAACTATAATTGCGATTGTATATCCTGAACATCCATCTTGATGCCCATCGTTGTGTCAAGAACATGGCTGGCTCAGAAGTTGGACTTTTACTTGGATACTGCGTAGCAAAGCTTACAAACACATGTTTGTTGACGCAGATGTAGCGGAATGAGTATAGAGAGCACCTTTATTGGAGATGCCCACGAATCTTTTCCATCCTTCATCTCGTCTATCGTGGCTTTTCGCGGGAGCGGCTAAGCGGGATGCGACGCTGGGCATGGATGAAGCGCAGGCTTAAGCGCCCGTGAGACCAACAGGGGAATGAAACTGGGCCAAGAAGGACCAGTGTACAGACAGTATGAGCAGAAGTTCGGAATCTCGGCGATCTATCTACATATTGTGGTTCCACAGATATTGTGTTTTATTGTTGTCCTTGCGAGGCGATTTTGTGCATATCGGTAGTGTAGATGGGTATTGGAGTGTAGTTTCTTCTACTATCGCTACTTTTCTTTACTGCTTGAAACTCTCTTGATGGATCTTGATTGAGTAGCTAAGATAACATAGCATACACAGCAACCCGCAACACTTGAATGCTGGTTGAACGATCTCCAAACAGATGAAACTCTTGGCTGTAAAACCACTGCACGCTTGTATTACATCATGATACTAAGGCACCTGTAGGTACAAAGACGTCCCGTGACTTGAACCGACGACAACAAAGAATTTCTCAAACAAAAGTTATAGTGCCCGATACGCCACTGTCACACAGTCCTAAAAGCAGATCAAACGACGCGACGGCAAATTCTGAACAGCAGATGAAAAGAGTCGGCAGCGTCGACGAATGACAGCCAGTCGCTTGAGGCTGGCGATGGCGCCTGAGACGCCCAAACAGCAGCTGGTACCACCGCAGTACTAGCCCAAACAATGTTGATTTGCATGGCGCTTAGACAGATTGGCGTACATGCCGCGTACCGGGGATGCAAATGAATGAGGTCCATGTGCGCAATCTGCGACCAAGAGATGGATTCCACAGATTTGCAAGGTATCACTCACGTATCCCCAGCTGCTTATCCCTACTAAAAAGGAACCTGGACAGTACCTGGCGCTCTCGCATGGCCAGATCGGGGTCGGCCCTGCAAGCCGCGCTTGTCTCAGCCTATCATCGACTCAGAGACCCTTGTCTGCTGAAACGAAGCCCGGCTTCAATTACACGGAAATTGTTCGACATGGCAGCCTCTCCATCGCCTCTGCTCGCTGGTGTCGTGTCATGCCGTGGGCTGTTCTGTGGCCTCATTTCGCCAGCCGCCGCATGAATGAATGGCCCAGCGTCTGTCTCACGTCAACGGCCGCCTCCCATGGCCGACCGCCAGAGCGACCGCTTTGTTGCCGTGCTTTTGCTTGCTCCCACGCTGTCGATAGGTTGCCGTTGAAGCGACGTGCTTCAGCTAAAAATGGCTTCTGTTCCCTCTGTTGCGGTGAATTGTGCCTTGTGGTGGCTCTTCTACTCGCTCCCACCTGCTTTTGTCATATCTTACTCATTCTCTCTTCTCTCTGTCTCTCTCTTCTCTTTCAGCCCAAGTGACTTTTCGCGCCTGATTGTGTGGGCTTTCTTCCTGTTTTACAACTGTGCCGGTTTGCCTAGTGTTGGGTTGATTGTTACAGCTTCTGATTGTTCCCACGGGTGAGACGGCATCGATGATGGCAAGGTGAAGAGAAGACAACCATTTCCTTTTTTCTCTTTTCTCTTTTTCTTTTGTCATTTCCTTTTTTTTCTTCTCTCTGGGAATAATAACGACTCTCTTGAACGATTTTCTTTTTCTCTTCTTCTTTAATTCACAGGGGTTGAACGGCGCTGGACGTGATTCACTCTCCTTGATTATCCTCAAGCTGCGAACCTGCATCGACAACGACACTCTGCTTTAACATATCCGATTCGAGTTTACTCAGAAAGGACAAAGGGGCACATGCGAGGCTAATTGGGAACAGCCCACTCGACAATACTCTGCTTGGCAAAACCTGTTCACGGGGGGAAAAAAAAGTCGGGACCCAAAAAAGCCTACAGCTGTTCACCAGTTGTTCGCCAGTCCGTCCAGTTTGGCCAACTCGCTCGCCCTGCCACCTGGCAACCCATATCTCCCCCTTCTCCTCGCCTTCTCCTCTCTCTTCTCTTTTCCCCAAAACAAAAACAAAAACAAACTCCGAGCAAACTCATCGTCACGATCGTATTTTGGTTCAGCTTTTCTCCCACAGAGATCAAAAAGCATTCGTTCCTTGGTATCGTCTCCTGACTCAGTCTTTACCTTTTCGACAACTTAAAATCACCCTCTCGTCGCCAGTTCAAAGCAATCAGCATCTTCCAAGAGACGCGTTCCAACCGTGAGAATGACTGCCAAACCTCACGTCGGCCTCAAGGCCGCGGTGGTTGCAACTCTCGCCACCGTCGCCAGCGGTCACTCTTGGATCGAGCGTGCCTACAAGGTCCTTCCCAACGGCACCATGGTTGGAGCTGAAGGATACGCTCGAGGCTGGGTTCCTCGCACTTCTACTAATCCTCCCTTCCAGGACACCATCCCTCAGTGGATTCTCCCCGCTGCTGGCCAGAGTGCTTATTCTGGGGATGAGGTGCTGAACAAGTACAAGATGGATGAGAACCCTCCCTTCCCTATGTTGGAAGCCGCTCCGGGCGACCACATAGCCATTATCCATCTTGAGAACGGTCACACCACTCTTCCCCAGAATCAGCCCAAGAAGCCCCTGAACCGCGGTACTGTCTTCCTCTACGGCACCAGCCAGCCCAAGGAGAGCGAGCGTCTCTTTGATGTCCACCTTGTTTGGAACAAGAAGGGCACTGGAGGTGACGGTCGCGGCGTCCTCCTGGCTACCCGCAACTACGACGACGGCCAGTGCTACCAGCCAAACCCCGGTCCCATCAGCACTGAGCGAGCTGCCAAGCTTGCCCCTGAGGGAGCCAAGCATGAGGTTGAGCTTGGATGCCAGTCCACCCTTCAGCTGCCCAGCGATCTCAAGCCTGGTTCCATCTACACCATCTACTGGTACTGGGACTGGCCCGATCTGAACGCCGACAACATCAACTTTGATGCCACCACCAACGGCCTCTACCCTTGGGCTGGCACCTTCATGCGCGGAGAAAAGGACCCCAACGGCTTCACCATGGCCGCCATCGCCAAGAATGAGAGTTATGCTAGCACCATAGACATCAAGATCACGGGTGACTCTTCTGCCAAACACGCCAACCTCATGAGCGAGTTCCTCGATAATCAAGACATTTACACCAAAGCCATCAAGTCTCAGATGGCCAGCAACTTTGAGGTCAACGTTGACGCCAACGGCGCCAACGACAGCCCGAGCTCAGCTCCTGTCGCTCCTGTCGCCCCTCCCGCTCCCTCTGCAGTTGCTCCTCAGCCCTCCCAAGTGGCTCCCACTGCGGTTGTTCCTCAGCCCTCCCAGGTGCCACCCACCTCGGCAGCTGGCAAGAAGACCACCGCTGAACACACCGTCACTCGCCTAGTCACTGCCGAGCCGTCAACCGTCTGGAAGACACTCTACAGAACTGTGTCGGCTGACCAGGGACCGGCAACCTCAGCCTCGCCAACTGTGGAGCAGCCTCGTCCCACCGTCTTCAAGACCATCACGATGCATGTCCCGGTTGCCGTGGCTTCGCCTGCGACCTCGACAACCACAATCACCACAACCACAACTTCGACCAGCACCAGCAGGGTTCATCACTCTGCTTCCACCGTCTTCATGACCATTACGAAGCACGTGCCCGCTGCCACGCCGCCAAGCGACAGTCCAGTTGAGGCGCCGACCTCGACCCTGTCGAGCTCGCGCTCCAGCGTCGAGCCCATCGACAACCGTCCAACCGTGACGCCCTTCATGCCCATCGTCGCTAGGCGCAACTGGGCTTTCGGCCACCATTAAGTGCAGACGTTGAAGGGGATTTGGTTTGGATTGTATCTTGTGTGATGAAGGGGGGAAATGGTTTCTTTTCATTTGACCTTTCTGTTTTATATCTCGATGCAATTCTTCCATCCTTTTCACAATCTTTTTCCTTTTTCTTACGCATACACGTCGTTTCATTTGGTTCGATGCATTTTCGATAGGGGCCTAGGACACAATCTAGCAATCCCGCGGTTTTATTTATGGTTTGGCATTTACGGAATGGGGAACATACAAAAAGGGAGACACTGGGAGGTTTTATATTCCTGTCGTTTAGGTTTTCTACTCGCTTTCGGTTAAAGTCATATGGCACTCTATGAGGCCCTGAGAATAGACATGCACGATTTATTTCGTTGATTTTGTTTGAAGTGTGCTTTTTGACCATGATTTTATGCGATGAAGTGATGCGTTTGTTGAGCTGATTTGTGAGGTGGCGTTAGATCTGACGATGCTTGATTGATGATACCATGGGAGGTCCATTGCTGATTTGGTATGCTTTCATTCTTCTTTCTTCTTTTCTTGGATGTTGTTTTTCCTGGTTTATATAGTGCATACGGACTGCTTTCAACATACTCTACTCTCTACTCTGCTCTCCTCCATGCCTTCAATTAGCACTCATTAGGCATCATGGATACTACCTGCAATACAACTTCAACTTGCGATATAAACACTACATGTGATCCTTGTGATACAATGGCTACTTGTCATACAGATACGAAGTGATACAATTATTCCGCGTGATACGACTACTATGATAGAACACAACATCTCAATAAACTTCACTCACGCAACGCCCATGAGCGCCTCGGCGTTTCGGAATGTCCGCATTCAGCATCAAACGTGGCTTCACAAGCCCAGAAGAACAAGACGCCACGAAACAGGCACCGCACGCTGACAATGGGGGGGATCTGGCATGGGACCTGAAACCTCGCGTTACAGAGACAGATGTCCCGAATCAAGTGCGCAATACAAACCTCAGGATTCAATAGACTGCTCATGTCAATGCACTACCGCTGATTGGCATACAAGTACCCGACAGACCCGACGCGGTTTGACTTTTGGCATAATGCATTTGTTGGTGATTCAGTCTAGCTGTTGGGATGGTGCTTGGTGAGGAATTAGATGAACTAGATATGATGTAAGAAGCATTTAACCGCAGTGGCTTGCCATCACAATGCACCCGGGAATGGTGGTTACATGTATTCACAGGCTTATTAACGCGGCCAATTTTCTCGGAGTGATATCCATCTTTTCGTGGAGAGCTGCCTAGAACCAAGGAATTTACTTTTTTTTTTTTTTACCTACGGGGAGCCAAAGTGGGAAGAAAGATCCATGGATGGCTTGCATCTGCAGCAAACCATTGATTTCCAGCATTAAAGAGACTCGGGGCCGAGCAAGCAGCACAAACACCGCTGCAAAGCCGCGTAATTGGCCCACAATTGTTCCGGAGAAGGCCGTGAGAGGGAAGAAAAATGTCATCGGCCGGCGATTATGACTGAGTTTTGCAGTGCCTGGCGAGTTGCGTGGGAGTTTGTCCGTGGGATCGGGTTGGTCATGCCACCGGCTCCATCATCACGCATTAGTCTCGTCTCTCCATCAAGCAAGAAATCAAAGAGAGAGAGAGAAAAGACAAAGACAAAGAAAGAGAATGCGTGAAAGAGAAAAGCTGGCGGCTAAAAGGGCCTGGTCAACCCACAAAAGAGTTATGCGGGGGGGCTATCGGCGCCAATGAAAGTGCCTCTTGTTGAACAAAGCATCTGTAAGGCATCTATGGAGTGGAAGCAGCACAGCCCTCTTGCGGACATCTACAAGGACGTTGGACAAGCAGAGTTGTTCCGGGGGCCGGTCCGGCGTCGATTGAATGGAGTGATTCGAGGATGGAAATCAGCTCAAATGGCTGTGTGTGAGTGAGCGGGTTTAGGTAATACGCATGATATGCTTCATGGTGAGCCTCCCGTGGAGAGTAGCAGAGAGGTCATGTGTGGTAGAAGTTGACAATTATTTTTTTCAATCACAGTGAGGCGGAGCAGCAGTAGCACGCCCTCTGTTAGCTTCTGGTGGATGCGGGCGGGATGAGATTGACGAGCACCAAGAGGTCAGACAGGCGGTGATGCTCAGGAACCCTTCCCAGCCAGGCTATCATGATGTCAGCACGTACTGTAGAACAATGGCCAAGGAGAGTCTGTACGGATACGAGCCGATAGCCACTGTGTCGAGTGGATGGACGAATGGAGTACCGATTCAGACCTCGTCTTGCTGTATCAACATTTACTCATAGTATCGTATTTGAAAACGAGGCTGACGAGCACGGTCGTCGACTGGGCCAATTTGGTCTCTGTGCTTTTTCTTATTTTTAATTAGCACGTCCAGTACCTGGCAGAAAAAGCTCGGATAGCGGAAGGGCCGAGACGGCCGTGCGTGCGTTTTGACGCTGGTTGGACACATGCCATGCATCTGCGTGTTGGACATGTCGGATCAACCACGTTCGGCACGAATCCCGATGAGCGCGGAACCGAGCAGAGCATCGCGGCCCTCCGCTGACAGATGCAATTCAAATCCAAAGACCCGGATCGCAGAAACACGAGGCTGAGCATTGTCGGATTTACGGCCGCTTCAACGCCCAGTGTGTCGTCATGCAAGGCGGCTCCCATCTAGCATCACATCGTGCTCGTCCCTTGTACACGTACAGTAAAGACGGAGCAGCTCCGCTAGGTACATCGACGCTAGATACCGTGCTCGGTGCACTGTTTGAAGTGATGCTGGAGCGCCAACAAAGTGCCAACCCAACCCGATATAGGCAACTGGCGGCGCTGGTGCTGGCTGGTGCATGGCTCAGGGAAACAATGAAGCCGGTGTCGCTGGCAAAAAGCTTGTCGCGATGGACGATTGCCAATGGCTGAATCCTTCTTAATGGCATCAAGCTTCGAGCTTGTATCGGCGAGACATTGTCGATATGTAGAGCAACAGCTCCGGCTGGAAGCACTCTTACGAATTGATGCTATTTCCAGAAACATCAACTCCTCACGCGCACAACATACAGACGGTCAGCGCCCTAGCCAAAGCAATCAAGGCGACGCAATCCAGAGTTGCAGATTCTCAGGATGTAACGGTACGCTCGGTAGTGACGGGAAGAATGTCACTCTGCCCTGCGACATGCACCCCAACAGCACTCAACTCCAGAGCGGGGGATACTTGGGGCCGGACACATGAAGCAAGTCACAGGTTAGCATTTTCCATCATGGATGTCCTTGTCCATCAGATCGGACCTCCACCGCCCCGCCCGTCGCACCACAGGGCCGCATGTGAACGATTTCGCAAACATGAGATGGAAACACGCACTCCGAATCACATGGCCAAGGACGAAAAACCCGTGCTGAACCCGGTGCCTATTCTATTGCAGAAAGCTTTCCAAATCTTCTGGTTTGACTGTCCGATCTGGAACCACCCGGAGACGCTTACGCAGGAGTCGTAGCCAGCCACGATCGCCACCGGGAATGGCACGAAGCCGGAAGCATCCTGGGGCCCTTTGGCGAAGCTAAGCAGGGCGAAGAGACAGACCAGGCCAGACCAGGTTTGGGGCCAAGTCGCGGAGGTATGCGGCGAGTGGGATGGTTGGATAGACAAGAAAAGAAAAAAAAAAAAGAAGGGAAAAAATTGACAGGTTGGATCTGTGAACAATGCATGTCTCAGAGCTGTGGTGGTAAATGCGGCCGAGAGCAAGGCACGGCACGGGTCTAGACGTCTGGGAGTGTTCAAAAATCAATCCGGGCTGGAGATTATGTTGCTCTCTCAGCGCCCGGACTCCCTCTGATACGGTACTTTACGAGTATGTTGCTCCTATCGGTTCCAGGTTTTCTTTTCTTTTCTTTTTTTTTCTTCCTCCAGACCCAGACCACCCAAAGGGATTGATTCCAACGGCAGCGCTACCACAGCGGCCGCCCATTCGGTCCAAGTGGTGCCGTGTCAGCCGTAGCTTAGGCGCATGTCGATTACGTATCGAGTCCAGTCTGAAGCACTCCATTGAAGCAAAGTGGCTGCGCGGCGTGGCTCACAGGCCGGAACTCTGCTTCGACTCGACCCGCTGTGGCCGAAGCCGAAGCCGTTGCGGTGGTCGGTGCATGACATGAACTTATCAGTGGCTCTGGACGTCCGTTTAGACTACTGAGAGTTTTGGTGTTGGAGATCCACATGCCCGGTTAACATGGCAGTGCAAAGGCAACAAGAGCAATTACGCAGTAGGCAAGGCAGATGCGGGAGATATGAATCGTGGTTTGAAGATTCTGGCTGGAATTCCATTAATCGATAGTGAGGCTGATGATATTCATAGCCCGCGGCGTAATTGGTGATGAGCTCCAGGCACGTGTGAATACTACTTGGAATATCCCAAACTGTCGCATGCCAGTCGGACCAGCTACGGGATTCTGTTACTATTTGCGGGCATATTGTGAGACAATAAAATCCATTGGGTTCAGGTTGCCTTGGTTTCAAGCTATTGAACATTGCCCTTTTTCACTTTCTTTTCTTTTTCTACTTACCTACTATATTCAGCTCCAGCTCTTTATTTGCTTTTTCGCCCCTGCCGTCGGTAGTGGCGCCACAGCTGCGGGAGTCGTAGTCTTGGTTCTGACTCGCCCATGAATCGAATGGGCAACTCCGTATTGCACTCCGTACTCCGTAGATGCAAATGAATGGATTGAACGGCTGCAGTCTGGTGGTAGTGCTGCGACTCTGCATCTGCATCTCAATTCCTGCCTGGATGCAGCTCGTAATACGCAATGCGCCTGTCCTGTGGCTCATTCCCACAGACTGACTGAACAGCCGCATACTTGCTCGTTAATTGTCCGAGCCGCGCGCACGCACTCGTATCGTATTGTTTGCTACTCCTTTTAGGATGCGCACTTATTACATTGATATTGCTCTGCCATGTATCTATTGTACTCCAGCTGTCATCAAGGCCCGCTTGCTCCGAATGTGCGCATGATGATGTCGAATTGCGCCGCAAATCTCTCATTTGACATCTGCGTGCGCATCTGATGGAACTCAACCTCGACGTCTTCAATCCTCCCCCCGGCTCAACTGCAACGCCGACGGCGCTCACAAGCCCAATCGTCTCGCACAGCACCAAACAGCACCAATTCACGCCCCGTAATACCGGCGCCAGCCCAGTAATACGCCAGAAACCAGCGCGTCGCAGCCACTAGCCCAACTCACTAGGGCACTGCTGCTAGGGACTGGAGGGCGCTGGTTGGGGGTTGGTGAGGTGGAGATGTTCCGTCACAGCAGCACCCACGCACACTGTGCCTAATTGAGTTCAAATCAATCAAATGGATCGTGCAATGTTTTGCTTGCTAGAGGGGGGTGTGGCAGCCAAAGAGGGGGGCCGGGGGGGGAGAGCCCTTGCTACATATTCTATTGGGTTGGTGTGGGTTCGATGTTAGCACATTCGCAGCTCCAAAGCGTCTGGTCCGTCTGCGTACCCCGTACCTCGTCGTGCGGCGCAGGCCCACGCCTCCCGCAGGTCACCCATACCGGCCGCTGCCACAACTAGCGAGGGAGGTGGATGCTGCTGCTGAATCGCCCTCCAGTTGGTCTTTTAAACAGTCTAGTCCACCACCTGCACTCCGCACTTTGAGCCATTGATCTGTTCTTGCTCTGTTCTGCTTTTGCCGTTTCTTTTCTACTTCTTCCTCCTCCACGCGTGTTGCTTGCCGTTCGTTGAACCGCGCAACAACCGTCCACTTGATCGCTGCCTGTTCAGCGTCCGGAGCTGCCGACTCACAGGGAGGCTTGAGGGGTTTTTCTTCTTATATCACCTAGATGGTACACTGAGGAGAAGAAAAAACACCACGCCCGGGACGGAGCCGGAAAAGAGAGACTCCAACAAAGATCGCCGTGTAGAACCTGCGCCCGACTTCAGCCTTGCATGGTGCGCTTCCTCCGCTCGCCGACGACTCCGAGCCTGTATCGCTCTGGACTAGAGATAGAGAACCCAACCGCCGTCGCACGATCCATGCTGCCTGTCTCGCCTGCGATCTAGACGCCGAGTCACTCACGACCTGCCATCGCCATCCCGCAAAGCCGCCACAATGACTGTCCTGGACCAAGTCGCTCACGTCGTCGCCCACGTCGTCGTGAGGGCTGCGACAGAAACTGCCTCTTCGACAACGTCAGACACCACCAGCCCGCAGACTGCTATTCCCTCCAACACAAATAGCAGCAACAACAACAACAAGGGCGGCGGCTCCAGCTCGCCGCTGCTCTTCTTTGTTGCTCTCGGTTTTGGTGTCGTCTTCACAAACTTGTGGTGAGTATTTGCAGTCGACTTGGATACATGATTTGCACACATCCTTCCCAATTGATCTCCTCAACCCACCCCTGCCAGCATCCCCGTCTAACATAACCGCAGGATCATCGTCGGCGTCAAGTACTGCTTTAGATACAATGCTCGCAACCGAGCACGCATGACCAACGAAGATGGCGAGCCCATCACGCTCGAAAACATGCCCCGCCCCCACCGGAGGAGACGCGAAAAGAAGCTCATGACCATGGACGAGGTCAACGACAAGTTCCCCATGATGAAGTACAAGACGTGGGTTTCGCAACGTGCTCGAGAAGGCTTGCCCACGTCCGGAGGAGTTGAAGCGCCCAGTCGACCCAACAGCGTTCACAACGTAGACGGAGCCATTCCTGACCTTTCTCCGAAAGAACGCGCCTCGGCCGAGGTTCGTGCCCTCGAGGAGGCTACACCTGCCGCCAAGACCGAACCTGCCAAAGAGACTACCGTCAAGGAAGATGACGACAAGAAGGACGTTACGGTTGTTGGCGAAACGGCAGAAGACGGACCCGTGAAGCCCCATGGCAACTTGAAGCGAACAACCACCGAAGAAGAAGAGGACGACGAGGACGACGAGGACGACGAGCAGATCACCGCCGCTCTGCCGCCGGAGCTTCTCAACACATCTGGCGATACCTGCGCCATTTGCATCGACACCCTCGAAGACGACGATGACGTCCGTGGACTGACCTGTGGCCATACTTTCCACGCTGTGTGCGTCGACCCTTGGCTGACTAGCCGCCGTGCATGCTGCCCGCTGTGCAAAGCCGACTATTACGTCCCGAAGCCCAGGCCCAACCCCGAAGGCGATGCCGTCGCGGCTGGCAATACCGCCAACCTCGATCCGCGCCAGAACGGCCGAATGAACTTGCCCATGGGTCTATCGACAGCCTGGTTCCGGTCTTCAAGTAACCGCAACAACAGCAACAGCAACAACGACAACTCAAGAGCCCCGTCTTCTCTGTTGCGGTTCCCTCGGCGACGGGCGCAGGAAGCGGCGCTTGATGCGACGACACAAGCCCAGCAGGCTCAGGCAGCAACCAATACTGCAGAGACATCTCACCCGTCTCCTCCCGTCACCATGCTTTCGTCTGTCCGACATGCCATCCGCTTCGGACGCACGGTCGAGCCGTCACCACGGATGAACGGTGAGGGGGTGACCCCATCGCAGCTGGAGGCGGGTAATCGTCCGACTACCACTGCCACATAACGCAGCCGATTGCGCCTTTGCATTTGTTTTGTTCTTTTTCTGTTTCAGTTTAACGTCCCCACACGATCTACTACTTATCGCGCAACGATGGCATTCTCTCTCTTACAACACATGTGTTGAGCACACCCGTCACCAGCTCGAATCGCATCATCCACCTGGTTTGGAATTCATCTCGCATTATGACAGCATTTCTGATTTTTCTCCCCCTTTTATACGTGTATTTAGCCATGCAAAGGCGGATGCACAAACGTCGTCGAAGTGGACTGCAACGTATATATACGCTCATAAAGGGGCATACAAGGTAAGGCAGTTCTTTTCAAAAATATGGTTTAGCTATGGGAAATAGGATGGCAGGGAAGGGGGGGGGGCGACGACGGTTCTTATGTATGAGGGAGCCCATGTACGAATGGTTTTTTGCTCTTTGCTTTTGGACCCTACACTAGGGCTAGGGGGTTTTTTTCTTCTTTTTTTTTCTGTCCACGGAGCTCCCAGCGTGTCAAAGACGGAGGGGGAATGGGACATGAGCGGCGGAGTTGGGCGGCTATAGTGGCTTCTCTTGGTAGCTCGATGTTAGCAATAAAGCATCAGTGAAGAAGCGTTGGTGTTTTGATGAAATTGTGACTGGCAACTTGTTGAATGCTGTATATTTTGACCTTTGCTAAAGATGATATCCGTAAACTCATATACATCGAGAGACTCCAGACTCTTGGTGCCATAGTTTCCTAGCTTTTAGTACAATCTCTATGATATCGTATATAAGAGTTCCCTTTATGAATCCAATGCCATTGCCCAGGCTCTCATCCACGTCCAAGAAGCCATCTCATATCCAAACTCTCATTACACAATGAAAACGCAAAAACTCGCTATAAAAAGGACCCCTTCTGAAACCTGCCCCCGAAATTCGCAGACTTGTTGATCAGCTCCCTCCTCTGCGTGGACGTGATCCTGCCACCAACCGCCATGTCCTTTTCCCTATCAAACGCCCTCTTGCTCGGATCATCCTCCTCCTCATCAGGTTTCCCGCCCGCCGCCGCGGCCTTGTTCCCTCCCTGATGCTCCTCGAGGAGCGTCTTGCCTCGCTGGGCCTGGATGTTTGCGGCGAGGGCCTCGTCGCGACAAGCTTTCCTTTGTTGTTCCTCTGAGAGGTTGGATGGGTCGCCGGGCGCGGATGAGGTGCGTCCGAGGACGGAGTCTTGTAGGCGGCGGAGCTTCTCCTCTGGTGTTTCGGTCCATATGGATGGCGCGCCGGGGGCGGCGGACGAGGAGGGTTTGGGCTTGGAGGCGAACTTGCGGGCGCGGATGCGGGTGGTGTCGCGCTCGGAGAAGGTGGATGAGGAGGGCGGAGGGGCGAGCATCCAGTCGTCGCGCTTGGGGGCGTCGTCTTGGAGAGACGGAGGGAGTGAGGGCCCGATTTGACGACGGGGGGCGGAGGATGATGGGAGGGCTGGGCCAAAGTCGTCGTCGGAGTCGGAGTCGAGGTCTGTGTTGGCGTTGGGGTTTGGATTGGCGCCGGGAGGAGGAGCTGGGCCGGTGTCTGAATCGGAATCGGAGAGGGCGATTTCGTCGTCGTTGTTGTTTGCGGCGAGATGTGGCGGGAGAGAAGGCCCTGCTGTTCGTGCAGCCGCGGCGGCAGCGGGCATAAGCGGTGCGTAGTCGTCCTCGGAGTCTGATCCCGAGGCATTGAGGTCTATCTCGTCTTGGTTCTGCAGAGAGTCTTCGCGGCGAGCATGTTTATTTGATGTCGTTGTATCGTCGTCTGAGTCGTCGCGGCTCCTTTTTGGCTGAGGCGGGAGTTGGGGGCCAATGGACGACATTCTATGACTTTATCGGACTATTCTCTCTTTTTTCGGGGGATTTTTGTTTGTTTTGTTTGTTGGAGAGGAATTCGATGGAGATGGAGTTTGTAGGTGAAGGAGTTGGGAAGCTTGGAGCAGAGAGACGATGTCATTTTCGGTGGAGCGGACGGATTTGCGCGGCACATGTGATTGGCTCTGGGCTGTGTGGCGGAAGCTTCACGACCGATGGGTTGTAAGTTTGCATCATGAAAGAGAGTCAAAATATATGTTTAATTCATGCTTCGAGTGTGATGTATTTCAATTGTTAGATAAATTAAATCCTTTAGGAGAGGAATTGAGAATTGCACTGGGGAGTTGAAGTCGTTTTATATAAGTAGATGGAACGCCTTGCAATGAGCAGCGCAACTGCTGCATGGAGTCAAAGAATATAGCAAAATACACAAGACAAGCTTTCAACGAGTTGAGCAAATCAAAAGGCTGTTTACTGCAGGTACAAAGCCGAACCCTTCTCATCTACACTCAGTCTCCCTCCTCTTTCTGGGCTTCCCTCTCGGCTCTCCTCGTCTTCACCCAAGAGCCCAGCTGGTCCCATACTGCCTGCTTCTCAGCCTTGGACATGGACGCCGCAAGGCCGCTCGTGCTTGTTGCGACAAACACTCTGGCTCCCGCCCACTCGCCCTCGATGACGCCCATGTTCTCAGACTCGTCCTGCCAGCCGTACTTGAATGCCTTGCCCACAGCAGAGCCGTGACGCACGCGCCAGATGCTCTCCCAGATGCTCTTGCCTACGACGCACATGCTCTCGGGCCGCCATTTGCGAGCCTTGTCCTCCAAGATGGAGACGCCGTCGTCCATCTCCTGCTTGCTCAGCTCGGCGCCGTTACGGCTTGGCCGCGAAACAATGTTGGTCAGGCCAAGGCTGTACAGTTCCGGCATCTGCCTGTCCTCCTCGGCACGGCACGGACGGGGCGTCACGCCGCTCGAGTAGAGGAGCTTCCAGAAAAGATTGGAGGGGTGTGCATAGGCATGGCCCGACCGAGCAGTCTCTATTCCGGGGTTCAGCCCGATGAAAAACACCAAGAGATTTTGTGCGACAGCATCGGGGAGCTCGGGGAGATGCGCGTAAGTAGAAGGCGGTGCATATCCAGCTTTGGCACGGTTCCGCCTCTTCTTCTGCGGAGACGAAGGCGATGAGCTGGGAGTTGCCGACTGACGCCGCTTGTTGGACGATGAAGAAACGGTGACGCCCGCGGCTGAAGATGACGATGGCGACTCGGACGCGGCCGCAAACCGAGGGCTCCTGCGGATCGGCCGCTGCGACGTGTACATGAACTTGTTCAACTGTAGACGCCCCTCGAATGTCGCAGGCTTTGCAGAACCCACGCCTTGCGCCGTATCTGGAAGTTCCTCCCCTGGCTCCATGTTGATATCGCCCAATCCGCAGCCTGGTGTATCATGCGTGAACGTGTGTAAGCTGAGCTCTCTGGTCTGCTCGATTCGACACCGATAGCGCTTATCAAGCGGGAGTTTTTTATATATATATAACTGCCTTGGCGTTTGGCAGCGCTATGACATGTTGAGGAGCATCTTTCGAGGTTCCAAGGAAGAATATGCCTTGCGAATTCCTGATGCTCGCTTGGAGGCTGAACAACGGTGAACGCTTTATAGAGGATTGCCACCGGGCTATATTTGCGCCGGCTTATTAGTGGTCAGGCACGGCATGTGGATGCACTACGGGTTGTTTGCCTAATCCCCAGCAAGGGTTCGAAAGAACTTGCTACAGTACACGATGTTGTTGGCGTTGTAAAGGACTCGCTAATACAGCATTCTGCGCGGCTGAACAAAGCATCGACGTTGCAAAGGTGCAAAGAAGTGCGTCTGGAGGCTCGGTGGGCGATTCATTCCACCCTCGACGGAGTGCATTCAAGCATTCTAGATCCTTGGTGCAACGGCTGATGCTGAGGTCGATTAGCGCAGGCACAGCCACCGCCTGGCTGTTCGGTTTGCCATGGCCCGCGCACGGGAGATCGCGCATCATCTTTGGCGCTCATCATTGCCAGGTACCGAGTCTGGAGTACGCAGGGCGGTAATGCACGGAGCAGTTGCATGTACGAGTCCATTGGGGAAGGTTGAGGGCGTTGAAGCTCTTGCAATCATCCCAAGAGTCGTGGAAAATCTGCTCTACAGTAAACCAGAAGTGTTTCTATCACGTGGTTCCCCCTAGAGAGCAACAGGTGCCCCCTGGTATAGACATTGGATGTCGAAAAAAGCAGCCAAGAGCGCGTGTTTCTCTGACCAATTCCATATGCTCACACAGAGACCAATGTGAAGAGATGGAGACGTCTCGGCCTCCTGCTTTCAAGATTCAGGATGTCGGTGAGCCAACCAGCCGATCATCTAGACTTGGATGCCAGAGACGATCTAGACATCAGGGAACGCTTCAGGGGTCGGCCGACCTGTCAGTACTCGTACCTGTACTTTTACTTGCACTCGTACATGCACCAGCTTGGATTGAGCTGGACAAGTTGCGGTGAAGTCCTGCATCCCGCAAGGCATTTCAAGCTTGTATGAGCATCTCGTTGAATCAGAATTCAGCGCCAAGCCGAGCAGAAGCCATACAATCGTGGACACGCCTCGAGATGCAAGCCCTTGGCTCTGCAGCAGGTTGGTGCTTGTGAATCTGCCCCTTGCAGCCATCCCGCTTGCTTTCGTGGCCTGCCGACGACCACTCAACCGTGTCTACCGTGCGGCTGAACCAAGCAGCTGCAGAGCCGGAACAGCTTTATCGCCTACTCTGCCGCCATACTGCACCGCATCTTGGTAGGTATGTGTGGAGTGCGGATGTGAGAAGCCGGCCCTGCACGAACCCTGCGCCTTCTCACCGTCAAGCCAGTTTCCATGTCTTGTACGGAGTACTGTGAAGCCAAACCAGAGATCAAGGCCCGTGGTGGTGTATGTATGTATGTACTGGTTCGAGCAGGGGATGCCATCGTTGGAAGAATCATCGGCGAACAACAACACGGGGTCCGAGGGCGCCAATTGATGCGGGCATGGAATCATTGAATCTTGATACGGGCGCGGCATCAACAAGTACATTGATGTAATAAACACGACGGACGTCACACGGCATCCGATGCCAGCAATCATCTGTACGGACACGCACACATGCTGCTTCAATGTAATCGATGCCACACACACACACTCACGGGGGCACGCAAAGATAGGGGCTCCTCACCTGTGCTGCTGCTGCTGCTGCTAGCACACACACGAAACCGTGTGCGGCTCGAATCGGGAGGTCCGCTGCCCTGATGGGCTCGTATCCGGCCCATGTTAATCAGTTGGCAATCCATACTTGGTACATACATACGGGGAGATCGGCTCCAAGGCGTGGGTAGCCGGACGTGCAGTCGGATTGCGGATGCGCTGCTGCAGCTACTGGACTCGTGCATTTGGCGAGTCTTGGTCCCAGTGAATTTGACAATGGAAGAGCCAATCTTAATCTCATTCAGTGATATCATGTCGATTCCACCACATGTCGAAATATATGGATGTCTATTTCTGGCAAGGCATCCTCAGACAGAATGTCATGTTGACTAAGACAAGCCTAACCTACAGACAGACAGACAGACAGCACGAGAAATCAGCTTTCCATTTCTCACTCCTCCTTACGCAACACCAACAAATCAATCAATCTCATCAGGGCAATGCGTCCATCCAGAACTCCCACTTGCCAGGCGCGGAACCCACAGCTACCGCTAGGGGGGCTCCAGCTGGCCAGTTAGTGCAGAGTCTGGCCTGCAGCGTTCCTGCGAGGCGGAGGGCTGACGGTGATGCCAGTGGATGCCCATTGCCGCACCGCCTCCCCCCCAAGCTGAAAATAGCAGCACCATATTTCCCGCCTCAGCCTGGTCTGGTCTGGTGCCACTTTGCGGGTGCTCGTGTGTTGTGTGCGTGTACCCTAAGGTAATATCACGGAAGTGAATTGAATTCAATCGAATTATCTGGTACGAGTACCTACTGTAAGTTGTAAGTCTGCTGTTGTTTTGATTTTGATTTTTATACGAGTGCCGCTGGCTGATGCTTGGCAGCAAGTTGAGCATTACAGATATAATACGAGTACCTTGCCTGTACTGTGGCACATACATGTATCAGTACTTGCGCAATAGTCCCATTCTCACCCACAACAACAGCACCCCTCCTGTATCGGTACCGACAGCTGCCAGGGTTTGGGCCTTGTTAAGCTCCTCCCACTAATGCGCCCCTGATGGGCTTTTTTCTCGGTTTTGGAGGGGTGGGCGGGCCACAGCATGCACGGCTAGAGGCAGCACGACGTCAGCCAGGAGAAAAAGCCCGTCTTGCTGATCATTAGGAGGTACGGGCTGGATACTTGACGACGACCCAAACAACAATACAATCCGGCGTAGTCCAGCAGGTACTCGCCGTGTGGAGAGCAGGTCCGCTGCCATCTGCAGTACTCGTAGTACAAGTACCAAGGCCAAGTACCTGCGTATGCACCAAAGCAGAAGAAGCTTCTCTCCTATTGATCCCTCCACGTCCTTTGGTCATCGTCTCCTTTTATACTTGACTGCAGCTTTCCCTTGCTTCCTGTCCTCTGCTCTTCCTCTCGACATCATCATTTCTTCTTCTTCTTCTCTCCTCCCCCAGATACCGCAACTCAATTCGCTCGCTTGAGTCTCCATTACCATCTTCTACCATCTATCAGCCTATTAATATCTGTTCCTTTTTTTTCTGCTTGTACTCGTACTCCATAGATATCCCCAAACTCACACAATGGAAGCCGTCAAGAACGTTCTGCGCAAGGCCACCAATGGCGCTGCAAAGCCCGCCCCTTCGGCCGAGGCTGTTTCCCAGCTCAAGGAAAAGTACACCAAGGCTGGCCAGGAGCACGTCTTCACATTCTACGACTCTCTGAGCACTGACGAGCAAGCTACGCTCTTCGAGCAGCTCTCCGGCTTTGACCCCGTCTACATCAACGAGATCACCGATCGAGCGCTGCACCCCCCGCAGGTCGATGAGACTGCTGTCAAGCTCGAGCCCCTGCCCGAATCCGCCTGTGCCAGTATCCTCGACTCGAGCTCTGACGATATCAACAAGTGGTACGAGTCTGGCCTTGACCTCATTGGCAGCAACGAGGTTGCTGTCGTGCTCATGGCCGGTGGCCAGGGCACCAGACTGGGAAGCTCTGCGCCCAAGGGCTGCTTCGACATTGGCCTGCCCTCGCACAAGCCCCTCTTCCAGATCCAGGCCGAGCGCATCCGCAAGGTTGAGGAGCTGGCTGCCAAGAAGGCTGGTGTTGACAAGGTCGCTGTCCCCTGGTACGTCATGACCAGCGGACCTACCCGCGGACCTACCGAGGAGTTCTTCGCCTCCAAAGACTACTTTGGCCTTGCCAAGGAGAACATCATGATCTTTGAGCAGGGTGTCCTGCCTTGCATCTCCAACGAGGGCAAGATTATCCTGGAGGACAAGGGCAAGGTTGCCGTCGCCCCCGATGGCAACGGCGGACTCTACCAGGCCCTCGTCGTCTCTGGCGTTCTCGACGACATGCGCAAGCGCGGCATCAAGCACATCCACGCCTACTGCGTCGACAACTGCCTGGTCAAGGTTGCCGACCCCGTCTTCATTGGCTTCTCTGCCTCGTTGAACGTCGACATCGCCACCAAGGTGGTCCGAAAGCGCGATGCCACCGAGTCCGTCGGCCTGATCCTCACCAAGAACGGCAAGCCCGACGTTGTCGAGTACTCGGAGATTGACGCGGAGACTGCCGAGGCCCGCGACGCCAACAACTCGGAGCTGCTCAAGTTCCGCGCCGCCAACATTGTCAACCACTACTACTCATTCAGCTTCCTGGAGAGCATTCCTCAGTGGGCGCACAAGCTGCCCCACCACGTTGCCCGCAAGAAGATTCCCGCCACCGACCTGGAGACGGGCGAGCTGATCAAGCCCGCCAAGCCCAACGGCATCAAGCTCGAGCAGTTTGTCTTTGACTGCTTCCCTCTGCTGGCCCTCGACAAGTTTGCCTGCATGGAGGTGAACCGCGCCGACGAGTTCTCCCCCCTCAAGAACGCCAGCGGCACCGGACAGGACGACCCCGAGACCAGCAAGGCCGACATCATGAACCAGGGTCTCCGCTGGGCCCAGGCCGCCGGCGCCACCGTTGTTTCAGATGGAGGCATCGAGGTGTCTCCCCTGATCAGCTACGTAAGTTGTCACTTCATTCCTAGCGGTACATCCAGCCTGATACTAACGATGATTCGCAGGGTGGCGAGGGACTTGAGCACCTCAATGGCAAGACCATCGTGGCTCCGGCCGTGCTGGAGCTGGAGAAGGAGTAAGCGAAGAATAAAAGAAAAAAAGGGTACCGGAATATTTGTTTTAATGATTTTTTTTTTTCTATTTTAATATCAGCGTTGGTTAGCACTAGAGTAATGTTTTAGTGGCACGGGCCTGGATGAATTTACGAGGCTACTGCGGCGAACAAGGCCGCATCTCCTCTGTCGAGCAATCTGCAGATGAAGCAAGTGGAAGCAAGAAATAAAGAGTTTGGAATCTTGTTGGCATGTGGAATATGATGTGATTCCCTTGAGCTGCTTGATTGAAATACAAGACTTTTTTCCCAATCACATTCTATGAAAGCAATGTAAAGCATTGTGGTGAAATCTGGCGAATCGACTGTAGTCTATTTCTACTGTTTTGTTCTTTCGCTTCCAAGCTTCCAAGAAAAACAAAACCCGTCACTGTGTATGTATGTACATGTATGAATCTAGATTCTATCCCCTTTGTGGTATAATCCCTTCTTTTTTGTTTACTCCATCTCGGTGATGTACTTCTCCGCCTCCAGAGCAGCCATGCAGCCCGTACCGGCGCTGGTAATGGCCTGGCGGTATCGCTTGTCCTGGACATCGCCGGCAGCGAAGACGCCGGGGATGCTCGTCTCGGTGGTGCCGGGCTTGGTGACGATGTAGCCCTCGGAGTCGGTGTCGACCTGGCCCTTGACGAGGGCGGTGGCCGGGTCGTGGCCGACGGCGTAGAAGAGGCCGTTTGCCTCGACCGTCTCCTCCTCGCCGGTGACGACGTTCTTGACGACCAGGTGGCTCATGAGGCCGTCGTCGCCGCCCTTGACCTCGGTGGCGACCGAGTTGAAGCGCACCGTGACCTTGGGGTGCTTGAGCAGGCGCGTGGCCATGGCCTTGCTGGCGCGAAGAACATCGCGGCGCACCAGCACGGTGACATGGGAGCCGTACTTTGTGAGGAAGGTAGCCTCCTCAGCGGCAGAGTCGCCGCCGCCGATGACGAAGAGGGGCTTGTTGCGGAAGATGGGCACGGCGCCGTCGCAGACTGCGCAGGCGGAGATGCCGTTCTGCCAGTACTTGTCCTCGCCGGGGAGGTCGAGGCGGCGGGCCGACGCGCCGGTGGCGATGATGACAGAGTCGGCCGTGTGCGTCTCGTCGGGGTTGAACTCGGTCGAGAACTTGAAGGGGCGCGAGGAGAGGTCGAGCTTGGTGACGGTGTCGGTGACGATTTCGGTGCCGAAGCGCTCGGACTGGGCGCGCATGTTGTCCTGGAGGGAGAATCTGCGTGAGTACATGTCCGTACATAAAAGCAACAGGACAAGAAGATGGCGTCGTTGCAAAAAACTCACCATCAGCTCCTGGCCCATGATGCCCTTGGGGAAACCGGGAAAGTTTTCAATCTCGGTCGTCGTCGTCAATTGGCCACCGGCAGCGGTGCCGTTTGCCATGAAGCCCTCATACAGGACAGCTGTCATCGCCCCAACAGTTTAGCGCATGCCGTTGTATTTCATTCCATCGTAAGCAAACTTACGCTTCAGCTCAGCTCTGGCCAGATAGATGGCGGCGGTATGGGCCGCGGGGCCAGATCCAATGACTACAACGAAAGGTTAGCCTCGGCATCGCAAAACTCCTAGACGACTCTCCCCATGGATGGCCGTCTCAATCGCAAATAAACGCCAGTAGAGCAGAACATACCGACAACCTTGCTATGCATTTTTCTCGCTCCGTGTTCAACAGGCTTGGTGGGGTTCTTTGTGAATGTGGTGGCGGCAGCGGCAATCGAAAGCCCAGCACTCGAACGCAGCGTTCGTCGGAAAGTTGAGGCGAACAGTTTGGCGACTTTTAGTCGAAAGAATACGGGAGAAAAAGAGGAAAGAGACGAGACGACGGCAAAGACGGGGTATATATAGATGGCGGTTTAGATTCTATGGACGCGTGAATCCCTTATACAAGATGCAGAAAGGCAAAACGATGGGCAGAGGAAAAATAGCACGGACGAGTTCGGCGCCATGGCGGGGCTCGGCCGTGAGTTGCAGAACTGGACAGAAGCCGCATCTCGTCTTAGTAACCCTGGCACACAGCTTCCGGGCGGTCAGCCGCTAATACCTCGCCATACCGTAGTCCACAGGAATCAAGCACAAGCAAGACAATTGAAGGCTGTGTGCTTGGATTTCTAAGCCCCCCCGGCACCGCAGACGCCGCTCCCGACTGGTGGCACAAGGTTGGACCTGGAATCGCAGCCTGTCAGGGTTGACAAATCCCAAGTTGCCTGATGTTTCGACGCTCAAAAGATTTGGGCTCCTGGGTTTGCGCTGCACTGCGGTCGGATGACGTCCCGGCGCGGAAACTGGAATCTTTTTGCGAGATATCCAAAACCTCCCCCCTCCCCCTATTTCCCCCGTCCATGTGCCCCCTCATCGCTGCCCGTCCTCGGTGCCGTCGCGCATGCCAAACTTGAGCCCAAGGCCGCTTATATCTCGTTTGAAGAACTTTCCAAAATTTCTCAGATTTTCATTGATCGTGGCCTTGTCTGAGCCGCTTTGCCCAGTGTTGCTAATGTCCCTCGCCGCGCTCAGCAGCTTCTCGCCCAACGACCCCGCGTCGAACCTTGCTGCTGAGCCGCCTCCCAATGAAGATGAAGCAGTGTTGATTGCGCCCATGGCACCAGTGCTGCTGAGACTCGACGTCAGCATCAATGGCGTCAGGAGCGGCGAGTTTTGTGCGAGTTTCTCATTGGAGCTGCTGTCGCGGTGGATGCCAAACAGCTCAATCAGGTGAACCTGGTCCATCTTGCGCACCCCCTTGAGATCCAGGATCTTCTTGAAGTTTGTATCTGAGCGATCTGCAATGTGAATGAGGTACGCCTGCACAAGGCCTTCCGGAGGCGATTGGCGAACTTGCAGTGTCTTGAGCAGAGGGTCCATCCGATTCATGCTTTGCTCGACTCTCCTCACAAACGTAGCGGACGGTGCTTGCTGCGCTGGCGATGGGTTGTGATAGGACAGCAGGTTCCCAAACGACTTTGTGAGTGCATACTTGTCAACGAGCATCTGGTACAGTCCTGGGTTAGCTCAATTTACGAGGCAAGCCCCTATTCTCCCCTTCTCTCTTACCTGCTGTGCCCCAACCTCGGATATCGGCCGACACTGGACAATATTGTTGATAAAGGCCGTCACCAGATGATCCACCAGGTTGTCGCAGAACGCTCTTGCGTACTGCTGCTTGGTAACAATGGCCAGAATCTCCTCCGTCTTGTCGTTGACATGTTTGACGAGCTCACCCACCCAAGAGCTCTGGTCGCCTGCGCTGTCCATGGTGCTCCAGTTTGTATTCTTCATCTCCCGCCAGACGCCCTCGCAGTCCACCTCAACAATGCGTACCAAAGCCAGCACGGCGGCGCTCGCCACACCCAGGAAAGCGTCTGACTGTGACGATAGGTCGACCTTGGACACCAGCTCCGAGTCGATGCGCTTCTTGATGTTCTCCTCCAGTTGGTTCGTATTGATGTGCCAGAAATCCGCCGTATTCAGGACCATGACGGCGTCCTGCATGGATGGACCCTTCTGCCCGGTCGACTGCAGTTTCCGTAGCAGTACCTGCTGGGCATACTCGTCCAAGTATTTGGCCAGTGTCTTTGAGAGATCCAACAGGCGGTCGCTCGTGGATAGCTTCGCGCATTGGGATAGAGTTAGTTTGTAGAAATGGAAAAGTTCCAGAGCCGAGGAAATGACGGCCTGTGGCGTGAATTCTTCCTCGGGGGGGATGAGTGGCTGCGTGCGGTACTTGGGTATCATGGCGGCCAGCTGCTTGTCCTGCGACTCGACCCAGAGGCTCAGATAGGGCTCAAAGGCCACCGATATCAGCCCATTGAATGTCTGCGACTTCTCCTCCGTCGAGCTTAGCGTGTCGATGCTGGCCCTTGGGTCGTTGGAGAAGTGCTTCTCCAGGCTCTGTTCGAAATTGAGCGTTTCTTGCAAGCACGCGAGAAGCAGGTTGACGTCAATCTTGTTGCCGTCTGGGCGCCGCATGCTACGCTCCAGGATGCCCTTGAAGTCATCCCGCGTGCCGTCGCAAAAGGCAGTGGCCAGAGTCTCGTTAACGCGCCAGTGCGGAGGGAAAATGGCGGCATGGTCGTCCTCGTGCGTCTTCATCATGCGCTTAAACCACGCATATCTTCGTCCGATGTTGTCTAGATTACCCGCCTCGTCGTTGCCCCGGAATACCTGGCGGTACTCTCGCAGCTCCGTGTTGATGTACCAGCCGACAATCCTGGATTTCGCCGAGTCTCCCAGAGCGTCCATGACGAGGCAGGCTTCCACCAAGGTTCCCCTCTTGGCACTGACCTCTCCCTTTGTAAAGGCCATTTCGAAATCCTCGCAGACCTGCTCCAGCAGCTCCCTCTGCAGCTCGGACACCTCCCGACTCAGCGTCGCGATCTGCTCGATGCTCCTGTAGCTGTTGAAGTGCTTCATCAGCTGCAGCACCGCCTGCAAGAGGCCGGCACACTCCCGATACTGCCTCGTCTTTGCAAGGCCCCTCAGCTGCTCGTACGCCGTCGTGAGCATCTGCAGCCGCTTCAGCGCCGTCATGCTGAGCGTCAGGTTCTTCTTGGTATTGTCCAGCCTCTTGATGTCCGCCGTCATCGAGGTGATGTTCTGCTCCGTCTCTATCGCCCGTGACCGCACCGTCTCAATCTTGCGAAACAGCTGCGCAAGCTCCGTCTGCGCGGACCGCATTCGCTCCAGGCTCGAGTCCTGTTCGTAGGCCTGGGCCAATTCGAGGGTGTTGATTTCGTACGAAAGATCATCTTGGCGGTGCTTGAGTGCCTGAGAGACTTGGCTTATGGACGAGACGGCGGACGGATGCGAAAACAGGAGGTTGAGGTGGTCAATGGGGTCGTAGTCGACTGAGCCACCATCTTCATGTTAGTTGCGAACAGCTTGTCATTCGGCCGGCGACTCACTTGCGTCGAGACTTGCGGCAGAGGACCCTGCCAGAGAGCCATTCATAGTTATGAGTGTTGATTAGAAAATGGATGATAACAGTACAGCAAGATAAGAGATGGCAGCAGCTTTTGTTCAGCGATGGATGATGCGAATTGTGTAAAGCCGGTGTTAACCTGGGCCAGGCTGCGACTCGTTTATCCAGCAACTTTAAATGTTCTTGGTACCAGGTACAGAGTGCGGGTAGCTCCTGATGCTGCAAGAGCCGGGGCGGCCAAGAGGGGACTAGTCTGGGCGTTTCTTATTCAAGTTAAAGTGGGTCGTCCTTCTTGTTAGTCTCATGGCTTCTTCAAGATGACACTGCAAATGAAACCATGGGAACTACACTGACATGGGTAATATGAATGTTTAGATTATTTATACAAGGCGGCTCTTTGGAACCCACAAGTTCATGGAGACTCAAGTGTTGAAATGGAGAGCATATGGCAGCTGCTCTGTATGCTGTATTGACTTAGTACTTACCTGATGACAGGCTACCTCGGTACGTGTATTGCCTTGACCTATCTCGCCGTGAGGCATTATATATATGGCCTCAACTCCTCTTGATGCGTTCCTGACGCACGCCTTTATTCCTCCTCGGCATACTTGTCAAATTCGACGCTTTCCTTCTCCTTGACCGTATCCTTGCCCTTCTTCTTCATGGAGAAGCGCCACCCGCTCATCCGGCTCTCCCTTGAGTCTCTCGATTTAGAGGGGCCGAGCGAAGGGCTGCTTGCCAAGCTGTCAAAGCTTCGGCCAAGCTGAGCAGCGTCCTCGCCTAGATCGTCGATATCGCCGATGCTAGATCGGTGGTCTACAGACATATTTCTATCCGAATTCGTGGCGCTACCGGGTCCTTTCTTAAAGAGCCCCGAGTCTTTGCCTAGTCTAGTCGACAGGCCAAACTTGCTGGAGCTTCCCTTGCGGAACAGTTTCATGACGACGTTGTCTTGATCTTTGGCGGCAGAGTCAGCGTTGGAGTTGAGATCAGATGGCGTGTTGGATAAAGTCGAGCCAAGCATCAGCGAATCGTGGGACTCGGCAACTGAGCCCTGAGTGTGGATAGAATTAGTGTCCCGAGACATTGATGCCTCCGATGGGAAATCATCCAGTCCATGGGGATATTCTGTGTCCTTGGCCTTTTCTTCCTTGGTCTTGTCCTTGCTCTTATCCTTGCTCTTAGACTTGTCAGCACCGCGGAAAAAGTTGCCCATGAATGTCGGGGCTGTCGGATTCAGACGCTGGTTGATAGATTTCAACGCCGTTGGCGGACGGGAACCGATGACACCAATCTGGCTAGGCGAAGTCTGCGGGTCAAGCAAGTCATCATCATCGAGTATGACATCTTCGGCGGACGCCAGGGTGGTGGTCAGGATGGATGGCGATCCATGAATTGACGGGCGCCTAGAGCCGCTCCTAGAGGGCCATCGATTGTCAGGCGACCACAGCCGGTTTTTGGTGCTTAGCAAGCCTCCCTGCTCTCCCTGCACTCCCCAGATGGAGCCGCTGTCTGTGGACGGCCGTGGCAGGTCGATGGAGTTTATGGACGGCGGCCGGGATCCGTCAGCGTCTCTATCGACAAATGCGCCACCGCTTGAGTTGCCAAATGGAATTAGCCGGCGTGCCGAGAACGGTCGGGATGTCGAAAAGGGGATTCCAGCAAAGCTATCCGGCCCAGTCGAGTTGCGGTTCATCCAGGAGGAAAAGTTTATCTTTCGGCGATTTTCCAACACCTCCTGCTCGTCCGTTCCTCGAGGGAAAGATTGGCTCTGCCCGGGCTTGAGCGACCCGATAGCTGGTCCCAGTTCATCCGCAGGCTTAGCGCCCCTATTACGTAGCGCCGCCAAAAGGTTGGACAGCCTATGGCCAGTGGCGGGAGGAGAAGTCGCAGAGTGATTCAACCCCAGCGAAGTCACAGACGGCCGCCTGTCGCGGGTTTCATTGTATTGGGGGAACGGTAAATTGCTCGAAGAACCATGAGGGCTTGCGAATATGTTAAAGGGCGGGCTTGCAGAAGCCGGTGACTGAATGTTGTCGTCGTCATCTGCGTGGATAGGTTCAGGCAGGAGATTGTCTTCGGGGTCCAAGTCAGGCTCTTCCATTTCGTCAAAGATGTTAGAAGGGAGAAATGAGCGAGCTGCCGACGGACTCAGCGGCCCGTTGGCCTCCCTAAGTTCAGCTTCCGTCTGGGGCTCGCCATGGCCATGAGCCGCCACGTCCATAAACAGAGCTGGGCCAAATCCAGCATTGGAGAAGCCGGCAGGCGGTTGAAAGGTAGGGTCAGAGGGAACAATCGGGCTTGGTGACAGATTTTCGGGCATCGGGACGCCGTGTTGGCTTAGACGCCTAGGTCGAGCGGGCGGAGACATGTCAAAGTCCGCATTGGGGTTGGGAGCGACTCCCTGGTTGAAGAATTCGAGGTTGGCCTGCTCCATCCTCAACTGCTTCGTCACCATGTTGATCTGTTGGTCAAGCTCGTAGGATCTCTTGGCTTCCGCCACCCACCGAGCATGCAGTTCCTTTCTCCTGGCCTCCCACTCCCTCCTCAACCTCAGGTCTTCCTCCTTCCACTGCTCATCGTGCGCATCGGGAAGCTGCTCTCGAGCAGCTTTGAGATCCTGCAATTGTTTCCCCTTGTCTTTCAACTCTGCCTCAAGCTCGGCACACTTATCCAAAAGCTCAGTATTAATCTCGTCGAGCTTTCGCACATCCTTGTCCCTCTTCTCCGCCAAGGCAGCCTTTTGCGCCTCAAACCCTTCACGATCCCTTTTCATGCGCTGGATCTCAGACTCGAGCTTGGAGACATTATCTCGCACTTTTGATTTTTTGGCCTCCTTGTCCCGCAATTGCTGCTCCTTTTTTGCTCGCTCCTTCTCCGCCGCTCTCATCTGCTCCATCGTAATTCTCACCATGGCCTTGAGTTGGGCCGTCTGCTCCTCCTTCTCCTTCAACATCTGACGCTTACGCTCCTTTTCCTTTTTCAACTCCTCTTCCTGTTGCTGCGCCTCGGACTGTTCCTTTGTGTAAAGGGCCAATGTGTCCTCGATTTCCTTTCTAATGCCTTCGAATTTACAATTCAACTCGTCAAGCGACAGTTCGGGGCCATCGAGAATTGGGAGCTTGATGTGAGGCTGGTCCATGCTCGCGACAGAAGGCGAATGGCGACGATTTATTGTGTTGCGCCTCTGCCCTGGCACGGTACCGTTGGCATCGCGAGAGTTGGCCGAGTTACCGTCAAGAACAGGGGCGGCTTCGACCGATGGTACCGGGAATTGGGCATCGTCAGAGTCGTCGCTTTCATCATCGCCAGGGATGATTCGAGGCTGGTCCGGATCCGTAAAGCTAGTAGGCAGTCGCGAGTTGCCCAGAAGTGGTCTCCCATCCTTGCCAAATGTGCGCAATCGTAAAAGGGCACTGCCGGCTTGGAAATTGTTCGGACCCACGGCAACAACGCGAATGTTGTAGAAATGGTTCGGCTTCAGCCCCGTCACCGTAATGGCCACCTCGTTGCCTGGGGAATCGCCCACTATTGTCCAGAAAAGGTCAGATTACAGACATGGGACAGATTGGAGTATTCTCATGCCAGCGAATACGTACCATGCACTCCGTTGACTTGGATAGAATATTTCTGCACAGGTCGATTGCTCGTCGGGCGAGTCCAGCTGAGAGTAGCCGCATCGGATCGAATTCCAGCCAGACTGACATCGGGAGGTTCGGGGATGTCGACACCTAGGATGTTGATGAGTTCGGGAACGGGTTTCCAGAGGGTTTGCCACCCCCGGTGAAGCAGCCTGGACATGGACAAGTCAGCAACGGCAACGGCAGCAGCAACAGCAACAGCTCGAAATGGACAGCGACGGACCAGAGCACGGCTCCGAGAGTGAGCGCCATCTTGAAGTGCTGGGCTAGCAGCGCATCGAGCTGGTAGTCGACAATGGCGTCGTGGGCGCTTGCGTACATGCGCGCGGCGAGCTGGCGAGGATCGACGAGGACGGCGGAGGCGCTGACGAGGATATACAGGGCCTTGCGGTGGAAGGGCTGAGGACTACCAAGCCCCCAAAAGCCGACAGCGCTGAGGGAGAGAAGGGTCAGGGCTGGAAGCTCCCATGACATGTTCTCAGATGGACTTAGCCAGAAATGCCGACCCAGGCGGGAGGATGTCGGTAGTTGGAGGTTTGGAGGCGGGAGAAAAGAAGCAGCAGGCGACCCCAGTAAAGCCGGGCCGCCGATTGGCCGGCTAGCAGGGCTGGCTCTGTTTTTCTTTCCTTTTTTTCTCTGCCACTGTGTAGACGCCGTGCAAAGATGACAAGCTGGCACGGACAAGAAGCCACCTAGTGATTTCAATCCGAACCAGCGAAATGTGCTGTAATGCACTTCACGGCGCAGAGAGCTTCGGTAGGAGCAGCCAAGGACCGCACTGTGCTGCTAATTGGAAGAATCCTGGCAGCAAAACCAACAACCTCAATTAGTCTCTGCCAAGGAGGTTAGCAGCCTGGGTGCCAAGCTGGGGAGGCAGTAGTCGAGCTCGAAGATGGACGCCGTACGAGACTCGGAGTTTGTGGTGCAAGACGCTACTTGGTGTATTCAGGCTGAACATGGATGTGTAAACCGGATGGCGTGGCGTCGGAGAGGCACTGTGAACGGTACCTATGTTGTAAAAGACAGTGCCGGCGCCACTCGAGCTTTTGCAGTTGGAAAAGGGAGTTCTAAAAATGGATCCAAGGTTGAAGATTAGTGTTGTTCGCAAGGAAAATAAAAAAGGGAATAAAATTGACGTGCATAAGGCCTTATCGTATCGGCAAAAAAAAAAAAAAAAAAAAAAACTGAGCAAGACTCTGCGAATGACACCAGGAAATGTATGGAGTGGACCTTGTGTGGCGATCCTTGCTAGGGCAATGGGAGGCTGCCGGTTGATGAGTTGATCTGCGAGATGAGCCGCGGTTGTTGCTTTGGGAAGCCCTCGAGTTTTCAAGATACAAGGCAGCAGGAGTTGTAGAGGTAAATGCATCAAATTGTTGTGATATCTATCGCCATTGCCCTGTCGTAGCGAGGAGGAAACGTGAAAGGTTAAATACATGTACATGCACTCGTACTCTCTCCACTGGGGGCTGCCTGCATACCTACCTAGTATCGACCACTTGAAGCCGCGAGTTTCACGGGACATGATGCACGGCTGTCAACATACACGGGAGGGGAAGGCCGAGGTGCGTTTCGTACTACCACGTCATTTACAAGCACGGTCTGAGCGGTGACTGTGGACAAGCAACGGCCCTGGCTTCTGTTGACGAGTCGTTGATGAGTGGTTGGAGTGGTTGGTTAGCCTCGAGGTCGAAGACCAATTGCAGAAGAAATGTGCACACAAGAATTTGCGTTAGGTTTTGTCAATATACCACCACAGTTTCTTGGATCCATTTCTACGTTGCAATTAAGGCTACCCATGCCTTGGCCATGGAAGCACATGTACGGAGTAAAGAGCAGCCAATCTAGGTACGATTATCATGTACTACCCAGGGAAGACTGGATTCGGAGAGAATTTCTGGACACAAATACACGGGTGGAAAACAACGGCCGTGCACTGCCATCTAGACGGATACCTGCTTTGTCAAGTAGTATTGCTATATCAAGTCTCAAGCTGTGTAACCTTCGGAAGCAAGTGTGCTAATGGCATGAAGCTCAAGTCGGTGAACAGCTATTGCACTATAGCTACTAAAAGATCTGAGGATGTCGTCAGCTCAGCTCTACGTTGCTATTGTCTTACTTACCTATACCAAGCAAGCTTTCGCAGCTTACATGTGTAGGTATGAAAACTCTATAGGCTAGAGAGTGCTGGTTATAGATAAGGTTTCCAAGCCCAGCCACAGCTTTTGTTTGCGCCAAGTATCGTGGAGTTGCTCGTTCAAGTCTTTCTCTTACAGACGTCGCTTGCTCACCCGGCTGCAAGGGTCAATATCCCCCTACATACATCTGCATTTGTCTACGAACTGTAACCTGACTGACTAACCTTCTGTAAGGATACTCTACCATTGACGTCAGCGTGCCTTTTTTGGCCATTATTTCACTATGATGTTTGTGTGATGGGCTCTATTGAGATCAGCGTGCGAACTGGATCAACATCCATGTAGAGCCTCTCATTACCCCTCCTAATTCCCTCATCCATTTGGTCTGGGGAAGTAAGCCCCAAACAGGAAAAAAACAAGAGAAAGGTCTTGGTAGGGAGATGCTGTCTTACACAAGCACAGATGAGAAGAGACAATGACCTCCACAAGCATGTGTCAAACCGTATGCCCCTTACCTTAGTGCATACTTATTGATGTATAAATACCAGTGAGCTGCACATGTAGTAAGCTGATGATATTGGCAGACCTCCTTGGAGTCACCCGCAAAGCCCAGGCTCCAGTCATCTACGATCTGAGCCATACTGCTTGTAGTCGATAACCAGCAGGACGGTGTTTGGGGGGGAAGCAAGCAAAGGATCAGCCCCGGCTCGACGACTCATCTCTGGCATGCTTGGTCTGTCAGGTGAGCCTCCTGGTAATACGGGATGATGGCCCCGTCGCGGATGCTTGCACGAGAAGAGCCGCTAGAATCCTTCAGTGTGAGCGTGTGAGGCCAGTCATCAAAAGAGGCAAAAGGCCAATGGAAGCCTGGAACCTCGGCTTGTTGGGGGTTGCTTTATTCCGTGAGCTATTACGTTGTTCTTTTGCAATTTTCTCGCCTGATGTCCCATGGCAATGGTTGAGCACATGATGGATCCGTGGTTCGGCAACGCCAAGTCCCCAGTACTTGGGGGTACCCCGGATTCGCCGCGCGATGTTCCGCCTTTTCCAAGGGCCTTCCACGGGGGCCTCAGGGCTGCCAAATCTCGCTGGGCCGCCAAATCTCGCTGGATCCCCAAGGCCCCCTTGACCCCCCCGTCAGCGGCCTGCCTACTGCGGTAAACGTAAACCTCCTGAAGGGCTGCTGGAGGTGCCAACGGAGCGAGTCAAACCCGGAACGGAGAGTACAGCGCAGGTACCCTGTACATGGTCCTTGCCGGGCGCGCCCCCCACAGCGCTTGTCAAACGGATGAATTTGGCCCAAGCCTTGGATCATGTGTGTGCCTGCAGCCGAAGCGCAGCTTGTTGGATCAACGGACAAGCAGCACGTTCTCAACAATTGGCGGCCCGCTTTGCCACCTTTTCCCCGGGGGATTTCTCATCAATATGTGTATGTATATGTGTATTCTGACATCGTGGTTTGCCTTGTTCTGAACTTCACGATCCTCTCGATCTGCGGCCCATGTTTCAGCGGCCCATCCATTGCGTGCATTTTCAGTTTCTGGTGACGGACCGCTAAACAACCGACGCACCGCCCAAAAGTGCCCATAATTTCACATGCCAGGGAAGCGCGCCGTCTGAAACCGACGTCACCACCGGCATCCCAACAAAGATCCACCCCGTGCCAGGGTCCCCCAATTCTTCTCCGTTTGCCCTCCGTTTGCCATTTCATACAAAGTCGACCGAGTGCCCAAAGAGACCTGCAGGCCAGGCTGCTCGCCCAATTGTCCCGTCGTCCTCTCGGAAACGTGTTTCGCAAAGTACAAGCACGGGATACCACTCCGTAGTACTACTAGTAGGTATAGGCAGCGTTTGGGGGCGGATCGATACCAGACCCGTTTGCAGTTCGGCACGATGCAGTACGTGCGAAACCTCAGCGACTCGGTTTCCACGGCCTGGAATTCCATCAACCCGGCCACGCTCAGCGGTGCCATTGACGTGATTGTCGTCGAGCGCGATGATGGCACCTTGGCTTGCTCGCCCTTCCATGTCCGCTTCGGCAAGTTTTCGCTCTTGCGCCCGTACGAGAAGAAGGTCGAGTTCCGCATCAATGGCTCCAAGCAGCCCTACTCCATGAAGCTGGGCGAGGGCGGCGAGGCCTTCTTCGTCTTTGAGACGTCTGATTCTATCCCGGAATCGATGCAGACGTCCCCGCTGGTTTCTCCCGCAAGCAGCCCGCCTTTTGGGCCGGCAGATGATGCCTCGTCCGCCCTGCAAGAGCCGGACACTCTGGAGCTTGACGGAGAGCCAGCAAAGGCCCGTCGCCCATCGCCCGCCATTATCCAGCCCGATGAGAACGGTACGTCTTCTGTGTTTAAGTAGTGAGGATTCCATTGCTCACTATAGTCACAGGCATGATTACGCCTCTGTCGTCCTCCCCGCCGCTCTCCAGCTCCCATCCTGGCCCTGGCGGTGACTGGCGCGGGGCCTTCGACCGACCTCACAGCGACGACATCTTGAGAAAAACCACACGACACAATGACGAAGCCATTTCGGACAACGAAAGCCCTTCCGAGTCTGAACGGTCACACAGCCCTCCGATGCTTGGACCCACGGAGGCCATTGCACGCGCTAGGGCCTTGTCCAAGGGATTGTCTGCGGTCAACATTCCAACTCACATTACCGAGACGGGAGACCTTATGCTGGACATGACGGGCTTCAAGAGCAACGAGGAGGACATGCTTCGTGCCGAAGTCCTTGCACGCAACATTCTTTCTGAGGAAATGGACGGCAACTATGACATCGGAGCCTTGTTTGGGTTTGATGAAGAGGGCAACCTTTGGGTCTACAGCAGCGAAGACGCCAAGCAGGCCGCCATGAACAAGACTATTGAGTCGTCATTGCAAGCACACCGCCGCGCGGTTGCTGCCGACGCCATATCGGATCCGGGCTACCAAAGCGATGGCAGCGACGTCACCACCGCACCACACATTCCCTCTCACCGGCGTTCAGAGTCTGATGCTGGTCCTGGCGGCATGCACACGCCCCCTCGAAGCCCGACCGGCTCCCTTCAGCCCCCCAAGAGCTACGCTAAGACACTTCGATTGACTAGCGATCAGCTGAAGGACATGAGCCTCAAGTACGGGGAGAACTCGATGAGCTTCACAGTCAACCGAGCAACGTGCGCGGCCAACCTGTATCTGTGGAAGCACGATACGCCCGTGGTCATTTCGGACATCGACGGCACCATCACCAAGTCGGATGCCCTCGGTCATGTGCTCAACATGATTGGCCGAGACTGGACTCACTCTGGCATCGCAAAGCTCTATAGCGATATTGCCCTGAATGGATACAACATCATGTACCTGACGAGTCGCTCGGTCGGACAGGCCGACACGACTCGGGCCTACCTGAACAACATTGTCCAGGAGGGCTTCAAAATGCCCCACGGCCCAACCATTCTGTCTCCCGATCGGACCATGGCTGCGCTGCGCCGCGAGGTCTATCTACGAAAGCCTCACGTGTTCAAGATGGCAACCTTGCGAGACATTCGAAACCTGTATGGCCCGGACGGCGGTCCCTTCTACGCCGGGTTTGGCAACCGTCTCACAGACCAGATTTCCTACCGAACGGTGGATGTGCCACGAACCCGCATCTTCACCATCAACTCCAACTCGGAAGTATCGCTTGACCTCCTGAGCCTTAACAAACTCAAGATGACCTATGTCAATATTAATGAGGTTGTGGACCACTATTTCCCCCCTGTCGACACCCTGGTCAGGGGTGGCGGGGAGGATTACACCGACTTCATGTACTGGAGAGATGACCCCCTCCAGATTGATGATTTCTCGGCTAGCGATAGCGAAGATGATGACCAGGGCAGCACTTACACCGATGAGGAGGGGGACGAGGAATTGGAAGAGGAAGAGGAAGAGGAAGAAGACGATGAAGAGGTTGGTGAAGGGCTCGCAGACAGCTACATCTCGCACGAGGACTACGAGGGCGACGACATTCTCGAGAGCATCGAGAATGAAGATGCCGATGACGAGGAGAATTACGAAGATGAAGATGCCGAGGCATCGGACGATGACACCCGGGTGGTGGAAGATGTCCCAGCCGAGATCATCACTGGGGTCAGTCACTTATCCATGGAAGAGAAGGCGAGGGATTGAAGAAGGAAAGAAGAAGAAGAAGAAGAAGAAAAAGAACAAAGAAAAAACAAAAGCTAAAAGAAGGATTTTTTCTTGTAGAACGTTTCCGGCGCCGTCGAGCAGGAGCACGACCTGCCAGCTCTCGAGGTACCCGTCGAGATTCGAACGCCCACGATTCCGTCGTAACGAGGGCCTTTTGTTGTTTTGGCTCGCTTCTTCGTCCTTTTTTTCTTCGATCGCTTCATATTCTTTTTTGGAACGATTCAGGCGGTTTGGGTTCATCACGTTTTTGTTGTTTCATCAACGTCTTTTCGAAGATTCGGGGGTTTCGCCTCCGCGCAGTTTCACGTTTTGATTACACTGGAAGGAGCAAAGGGGAGGGGAGCATGACGATGCATTTAGAGCAGAAACGAAGGTTTGATGGGGTTTTCACACATTATATTGCAAATTGGGCATTACATAGCGAGGCGTTTTTGGCATCATGGAATCTGATGAGGGGGGGGGGGGGGGTTCATCTCAACGGTAGTTGTGCAAAGCAAAGGCGAGGGCCAGCAGAAAAAGTCTTCATTTTTTCTTGCATCAGCTTTTCTGAGCTGGGTTGTAGCGAGTTTTGTTGCGACGGCATGTTTTTTTTTATGGCAAGTTGTTCGTCTATTTGAATTTCGAGTTACTATAGAATATCGCATCAAAGCAATCGTCATATCACCATAGATGTAAAAAAAAATTATCAAAATAAATATCCAATAGTATATTCTGTTTCTTCTCTGTTCTCATAATGTTCCTGCCTCCATATTTTCCCAGCTAATTTTACAGACCCATTTCCCGGATATATCCTCCCCCAGTTTATTTTTGCCCATCCATGTGCTTGATGCGAATCTCTACCGCTCTCCTGTGAGCTTCCAGCTCCTCGACCTTGGCCAGCTGCATGACTGCTCCGCCCACGTTGCGGAGACCCTCGGCTGTTAGGTTGGAGCTGGTGATGTGCTTCTGGAATGATCCGAGGTTGACGCCAGAGTACTGCTTGGCAAATCCGTATGTTGCTACGTAGCTAGTTAGCACAATGACATGGCAAAGGAGGGTGAATCTCGAAAAAATAAAGAACGGAGCGGAATGTATTGACTTACGTAGTGAGTGGTTTACACCAGCAGAGTAATCTCCAACACTCTCGGGCGTCCATTCGCCAATGAAGACACTGCCGGCGTTCATGACGAGGTCAACAACCTTGGCGGCATCCTTGATCTGCAGAATCAGATGCTCCGGCGCATATTCGTTGCTGATGCGCATGGCCTCGTCAATAGTCTTAACGAGAACGGAGACGGAGTGAGCAATGGAGCCGCGCACAATGTCCACTCTGGGCAGGGCAATGGCCTGGTTGTGAACTTCATCCTCAATGGCCTTGAGCTGCTCCTCTGTAAGATCAACAGCGATCAAGATGACTTGGCTGTCGACACCGTGCTCGGCCTGAGAAAGCAGATCCGAGGCTACGAAAGCGGGATTGGCATCCTTGTCGGCGATGACCAGGACTTCGGAAGGACCAGCGGGCATGTCGATGCTCACTCCCGCATTGGTATCGTTGCTGACGTGCATCTTGGCCGCGGTGACGAACTGGTTGCCTGGTCCGAGAATCTTGTCGACCTTGCTGACGCTCTCCGTGCCGTAGGCCATAGCGGCAACGGCCTGGGCTCCACCGGCGAGGACGATGCTCTCAGCGCCGACCTTGTGAGCAGCATAGACAATCTCAGGAGTCACACTGCCGTCGGCACGAGGGGGGGAGGCCAGGACAATCTTCTTGCAGCCGGCGACCATGGCAGGAACACCGAGCATGAGAGCTGTGCTGGGCAGAACGGCAGTACCGCCAGGAACGTAGAGACCAACACGCTCAATCGGTCTTGAGAAGCGGCTGCAGACAACGCCGGGCATGGTCTCGACCTGGAGCGTCTTGTCGTCCTTCTGGGCGGCGTGAAACTTTCGGATGTTCTCAAAGGAGGTATCAATCGCCTTGATAGTCTCGGGAGAGAGCTCCATCAGCTCCTTAGGGAAAGGAGCCTTGAGAACTGGAGATGTCAGAGAGGTGGCCTTTTCAAACTTGTGAGTGTAAGAGAGAACAGCCTTGTCTCCGTTTTTGCGGACATCATCGATAATGGGGGTAACAATCTTCAAGATGGCATCGGGAGACTTTTGTGAAGGTCGCTTCAGAGTCTCGAGCAGCTCTGCCTCAGTAGCGTTGGCGGAGTCGATTCTCTGCATGAGAATCCGATCACTCTTTGGCTTTTCGGCTTCGACGGCCTTGGCCGGGGCGGCGGGAGCAGACGGCTTGATTCCTTCTTTTTCGGCCCATTTGCCCTTGGCATCGCCCGTCCTCCTCTTGACCTTCAAGCCCTTTGCGTCCAGGCTGGCAGCGACATCAGCCACGCTCACACCAGCGCCGACAGCCCTTGTGAGAGCGAAATAAATCAAATCGGCGGCTTCGAATGCAATTTCCTGAGGAGTCTTGGCATCGCATAGCTCCTCGGCCTCTTCCATGATCTTTGCCCTCAAAAGCTTCTCGTCGGAGAATAGTCTGGCAGTGTATGAGCCGGCAGGAGCAGACTCTTTCCTTGACTTGAGGGTTTGCTCCAGTCTTGCGATGCCCGTCAGCTCACCAAAGCAGCCGAATTGCTCAAGGTGGCAGAATCGGCCCTTTTGCTGTACAACAAACTTGAGTGTGTCATTGTCGCAGTCCAATGCAATACGGACGAGCTCTTGAGTGTCGCCAGAGGTAGCTCCCTTAACCCATAGTCCTCGTTTACGGCTCTGGTAAACGCCCGTCTGAGTCCGCAAAGCCTCCAGAATACTCTCCTCACTTGTGTAAGCCAACCCAAGCGCAATCCCGTGGACGTCAGTAACCACCGTGGGGATGAGGCCATCAGCGCGATCCGACTTCCAGTATGTCGCAATGACCTTGGAAAGCAGAAGCTTGCCACCGTCGGACTTATCGGTCGTAAGTCCGGTCGAGGGCAGGATCGGAATCGCGTTGCACTTCTGAGCAACCTGGATGAACCGGTCGAGAGCGACTTCCGGCACCGGCTTCAGATAGAGAACCTTGAACTTCTTGGTTCGGGCCTCTTCGGCAAACTTGTCGACGTTGGCAGCCGTGGGGTCAAAGTCTTTGATCAAGAGGCCGTGCTCGGAAGCAGCAGACAGGTCGAGCTTCGAAACAGCGGGCAAAACTCTCGCTCCAAGCTCGGCATATTGCGAGAGCGACTCTGGCGAAACGAATGCCGTGCGTGCCCCGCCATCAAGCAGCGCATACACATCGTCTGTGGATTCGAGGGACGTGGCATCGATGTGAGCGTGGAATTCGGAGCTGTGGCGGCTGAAAAATCGAGACAGCTTTTCCAGTATCTTGGGAGTTGCCTCGAGGAACGGACTGGCGAGGATGGAAACCTCTTCGCGGTTGAGGCCGTCGAGGTTGGCCAATCCCGGAGGAATGGCCACACTGACAAGGAACGGCAGGGGAAGCACCGTTTCCATGAGGGGCAGAAGTGGGATGGCAATGTTCGATTGCAATGGGCCAACGACAAGAAAGGTGAATTGGAGGAATTAAAAGAGGCAAAGGATCAAGATATCGTAAATACGATCCCGAGCCTGGCCTTCAATGAGTCAAATCCCGTCGTCAGAAAAACAACTCGAATGACTGGGACCGGCACCTGGATCGGCGGCACTTCAATTTTTTGGTGGGGTCGCCACCAGCTGTCTGCTGAAAGCGTGCGCTGAATCTTTTTTTTCCAGAGCCTCGAGCCCCTCCAAGGCCACTGCAGGCGTGGTGATTACAGCCCGTCACATCCACTGAATTGCAACGCTGCCATTGGGCTAGATTTAAGGTGTGGTCTGTGCACGCCGAGTGCAGCAAATGAGTTTCCGGATTAACAATAATCCGACAGCGACTGCGATGCACCGCGACCGACCGCGAACCATCCAATTGCTCGGATGCGATTCTTTAGCTACAGCTCGCGAGATGCATTGCAGAGTCACAACTTGATTTGTTCGTTGTTCTTATATGCGTTGCCGTACTGATACCCGAGGAGAGGATTATTCGGAATCTGGACTTTGATACCAATCCCCCCGATATCCCTTGCTGCTCCAACCCGCACTCCGCCTGCGTCGCCGCATATTCTCTATATATCGACCAGCTCCAGCTCTCATTCTGGTCGGCAGGCCGCACAACTCTTCCCTCGCTCTATTCCGATACCATGTCTTCGAGTCAGCCTCAGACAAATGGCGTGACAGCTCCGTCCGCCAACACATCCCAAACAATTCCCAATACTCAGACCACAACCACAAGCCAACCCCCGGCTGCTTCTTCTCAACCCCCACAGCCTTCGACACACCAGCCGCCCTCTGCCGCACCCAAACCGCGCGACTCACGCCTCGTTGAGCTCCTGCTCACTTCACAGGGAGTCACCTCTTATGAGCAGCGAGTGCCTCTCCTACTCCTGGACTTTGCCTACCGACATACCTCCTCCGTCCTCAGCGACGCACTGCACCTCTCCGGCGATCCGTACGTTACACAGGCTGGATCTAAGCCCTCAGCTTCCGGCGCAGGTGCCACTGCCGCTCCCTCAGGCGATGCCAGCGTCAGCGCGAATGCCGTCAAGGTTGCCATCGCCGCCCGCCTAGGCTATCAATTCCGCGGGGGAAGCAGTGGAGGCGGCATCAGCAAAGAGTACATGCAGGAGCTAGCGCGAGACCGAAACAAGATTGCGTTGCCAAAGATTGTGCCAAACGAATGGGGTGTTCGGCTGCCGAGCGAAAGATTTGTTCTTAGTGGGACAAGTTGGGGACTCAAGGACATGTGGGATGAAGATGATGTGGACGAGGATGGCGAGAGTTCAGCTTCTCAGCAAGGTGATGCCATGGAGGGCATTGAAGGACCGGATCCTGAAGATATCGGTGGCGACGGTGTTGAGGGAGGGACGGTGGACGATGTCTTTGGCGACGATGTGGATGCAGAGATGGCTGAGGAGAGCTAGACTCAATATTGCATTTTCATCGGATGGCTCTGAACCTTGGATGTTTTGCCAGGATTGTTTGATGCCGGGCGTTTTAGGCGTTGGGAGAAAGGATAGCAAAAGGTGTAGAGTGGTTACATGGCCCTCTCTCTATATGTACCGAGTAGTATCTATATCGATCCACCTCATAATTGGAAGATCATTTTGCCTGATTCTATGAAGCACATACCAAATTGCGAAAACGTATCAGTAGGCCAGATATGCTTACAGGTGAATGAGAGCTGTGCATCATTGCATGTTGCCACTATTAGCTTCATCTTATTAACAATGAGGATCCAGACGTACTGCACCATTGTCCAAATGGAAACAAAACCTTTCATCACAAGCATCTCTGCGCGAACAGCACTTGGTTTTAAGAATGTGGGAAATTTATGGTACACTAGGCCTGTAAAACGGTATCTCATACACTCTATACCCGGGTCTTTGCTTTTTTTTAGACAATTCCTCCTCCCCCTTCCTCGGTTGTGCCCACTCTACCCTTAGAACTTAGGCTTCATGGTGTTCCTCAGTCGCTGGTAATCGAACAGACCCTCAATCTTGCCGACGGCGCTGATGGCGATGTCCTTGTCCCACAGGTATCGGTTAGCAAAGTCGGTGACGTCCTTGTCGGTGATGGCATCGATCTTGCGCTCGATCTCGCCGGGGCTGGCGCGGCGGCCAGTGGTGATGAGCTGGCGACCGATATCCTCGGCAACAGCGGTGGTGCCATCCAGGGACAGCAGGATAGAGGCCTTCAGCTGGGCCTTGGCGCGCTCGACCTCGGCTTGGCTGACGTTGGTGCAGAGACGCATCCACTCGCGGATGGCGAAGTGGACAAGGTCGTCCAGGCGGGTGGTGTTGTCAGTGACGAGGTAGATACCCCAGAGACTGTCGAGGCAGTTAGTTTATCGCTCCTTCGCGTTTAATCGCCGCTTCAAACTTACCCAGTGTCGCTGTAGCTGGTGGAGAAGCTCATGAAGCTGTTGGCCAGCTCGTGCTTGTGGACGTAGCCGCTCAGCTTGCTGCCCTGGTGAGGGGCGTTACCCATGGCCTTGTCGTAGTTGCCAACGATGGCCTGAGCGACGAGAGCAGTGAAGTAATCCTCAGAGTTCCAGCTAACACCCTCGACAGCGATGGCAACGTTGGCAGTGGCCATGGTGTCGTCACGAACACGGACATCAGAGCCGACAAAGTCAGCCTTCTGCTTGGACAGGAGGTAGGCCTCAGTCTGGGGTCCCTGGCTGGCAAGGCCGGAGAAGTGCTTCTCGGCAAGCTCAACCAGCTGCTCGTGGGGAACGCCACCAGCAGCAGCGAGAACCATGCGGTCGGCAGTGTAGTTGGTCTTGATGTAGTTGGTGAGCTCGGTGCGGGTAATGTCACGGATGTTCTGGCGGGGTCCAAGGATGGTGCGGCCAAGGGGCTGGTGCTGGAAGGCAGTGGCGTGCAGGTGGTCAAAGACAACCTCCTCAACCTGCTTCTCAACCTCCTCGGACTCTCGGAGAATGACGTCGCGCTCGCGCTCGATGGCGGAAGGCTCGAGCTTGGAGTTTTGCAGGATATCGGACAGGATGTCGACGGTCTGAGGGACATCGGAGTTGAAGGCCTTGGCGAAGTAGACGGTGTTCTCGCGCTGAGGGTCGTGTTAGTGGTTCGATTTGATTTTTTCTAGATGCGCTTATTGCGAGTGAGGAAAAAAAGGGACCAACCGAGGTGTAGGCGTTCAGGTGGCCACCCATATTCTCAATCTCGAGCTCCAATTGATGCTGCGATCGCTTTGCGGTACCCTTGAAACAATTGTCAGCCTTTCCCGGGCTCTCACGATGCCATATCGGGACATCCCACCTTGAAGGCCAGGTGCTCGAGGAAGTGGGCAGTGCCGTTGGTCTCGTTGGTCTCAGCGCGGGAACCAGCGTCAATCCACATGCCGACGGTGGAAGTCTGAGCCCATGGTGAGTACTCGGTGGCGACCTGGTGCTCGTACGTTAGCAAGACGGGCGTCCACGGCCACGACACACGGCCAATTGGCCCTCGGAGTTGGCGCTCACAGTCAAGCCGTTCTTGAGAGTCGTTGTCTGGGTCTTGCCCACGGTCGAGGGCGTAGCAAAGCCTCGTCGCAGAGATCCGGCGGCTGAGAGGCCGGAACGGGCTCGCAAGCCTTGCGACAAGTTCAAAGCTAATCTGCGGGACGCCATGGCGGAGGTTTGGGGGATTGATGGTCAATTGAGCGGTTTGATGAAATCTTTCCACTGCTCGGCAAGAAGCTTTGCTGGGCGGGTTGTGGCCTTAATTTCGAGGTTTCGGCCTGCTTAGTCATTCCGACCAGCTCCGATGCCCGACCACACCGAAGCAGCCGGCCAATCAGGAGCGCGAATTTACTAACAGCATCATCCGAGCCAGAATGCAAGTATATTCACCAAGATACAAAGTGCAACACAATCCTACATAATGGAGCAAAATGGACTGTGAAATAATAAAATATGAATGCTAGACTCATTTATAAAGAGTAGGAAGAGAAAATATCGATTATAAACAATGGTGTTCATCTTGTGTCAAATAATGCCCACTTTAATGCCTACAGGTGCTTGCGTACATGTACCTCTCGATTGGCACCCAATGACAAGATAGTTGCCTTATGGAATTACAGTATGGGTTACACATGCTGTTGAGGGAAATGACCAAATAGACTCTGTCATCATTCAGTTTACTTCTGATGCGATAAATCCAGGGGCTTTGTTATTCACTTCTTCACCCCTCTCTGAGCCCCTCCTTAAGGCCTCTTTGCTGTTTCTTGCGGGGAAGCCATCTTCGCTGTTAGTGTTTCCTCACTGCATGCATCTCACTCTCCCAAGCCCGACACTTGCTCATATCTTTTTCTCTAATAGCCAGTCAAACTTGTGCAATTTCTTTCGCCTGAATATATAATTTTGTCATTTACTCGTCTCACCTAAACATCCTCGCTTAACCGCAACCTGTTCCTCCCAACAACGGGAACCAACCGTGCCTTCACCTACCTGTTCAACTAATCATCTGTTACTTGCGTAGAACAATCTCAATGGCGCCTGAAACATATGACTTTGCAAACGACTTCAAGACTCTTTACATACCAAAGCAAAAACCCGAACCAGCTCCCGTGGCCGAAAACATGAAAGCGCTGATCCAAAGCTACCCGCCTTTGAGCCAGGCAACGTCAGTGGAAAGCTCTGACGGCGTTTCATTCACTGCGTTGTTGGAGATACCAAAGTTTCGATCTGAAGAGAGCTGGGAACTTTCTCTCTGGCATTCAATTGATGGAGAGGACTGGATCGACGGTGAAATACCTAGGATAACGAGCACCGGGGCACCTCAAGCTCTCCATGTCGAATCAGAAGCCGTCTCTAGAAAATACTTTGCAACAAAATTGTCTTTCAAGAAATCATTACGATTCACTATCAAGTTCCGCCCCAATGCCAATGATCCCTGGAGATGGATCCGTGATGAGCAAGGGGTGGAGGATGGCCACATTGTGCTACTCCCCGCTCCCACCGAGTCTGACGATTTGAACAACCTTATTCAAGGACTTGATCCAGCGTGGAAGGTTACGTCTCGCATGAGCCAAGCACCAAAAACTCAACTATGGTCTCTCGAGACTGCGGTGCCTCCCGGAGAAAACGATTTGTCTTCATACACTGATGTTCAGCTTGGAACCCCTTGGGGTTCTTTTCTCAGGTCAGCAGTGACAAGTTCTTTCTTCAAACTAACTCTTCATCATTTGGAAATAACACAGCAGAGTCTAACGAGAAGGCCATTAGGTGGTTTGCTATTGTCCGACTTTGGTCTCCATGGCTAGCACCACGCCATGGAAAGACACACTTCTCGCTTGATAAAGATGCAATACTGTTGGCTTTTCAGAGCCCAGAAGGCAGAAACATGGTTCTGCTCGCTGTCTCTGGTACAAACGATTTAGTGCCAGTTTTCCAACACACTTCCAGTGGTGCCGTCTCGGTAAATGTGCGAAACGACTCGCTTTCAGATGAAAAGGTTGTCATTCTCGTGGCCGAAGGAAATGACTTTGAAAAAGCCGTTGCGGCTGTGATGTACCACGCAAGGACGCTTGTGATGAAGGCACGAAGCGCAAACCAAGCTTTGGAAACCGAATTAAAGACACTTGCTGACGCAGTTCGGCCGGAGTGGCTTGAGAACTGGTATGATGGGCTTGGCTTCTGTTCGTTCATCCAATTTCTTCCCTCTATTTTGGGGCAACATATGCTAATGGCTCTCTAGGTACATGGAATGCACTTGGCCAAAGGCTTACTGAGGAAAAGATCCTTGACGCAATTGACAAACTGGAAAAACACAACATAAACATCACGTCTCTAATAATTGACGATAACTGGCAGTCAATCGACTACCAAGGTCCTAGCCAGTTTCAATACGGATGGGCTGATTTTGAGGCCGAACCACAAGGCTTTCCAAACGGTCTCAAAGCAGCTATTACGAAAATCCGTCAAAGAAGCCCAAACATCCAACACATTGCAGTTTGGCATGCTCTTTTGGGATACTGGGGCGGTATCTCCCCTAATGGAAAGCTCGCCAAGAAATACAAGACGGTTGAAGTCGTTCGCGAGGAAGCCAAACGACGCAATCTACCACTTGGCGGCAAGATGACGGTAATTGCCAAAGAAGACGTTGCCCAATTCTACGAAGACTTTTACAAATTTCTCTCCGACGCTGGCGTTGATGGCGTCAAAACAGACGCGCAGTTCATGGTTGACATGTGGCTCAGCGCTTCCGTCAGACGCGAGCTCATCAACACATATCTAGATACATGGAACCTCGCTTCTCTTCGCTACTTCAGCGTCAAGGCTATATCCTGCATGTCGCAGATCCCACAGGCGCTGTTCAATTCCCAGATGCTGCCAAATCGGCCTGCCTTGCTCGTCCGCAATTCAGACGACTTCTTCCCGCAAATTCCATCGTCGCACCCCTGGCATGTGTGGACAAATGCCTACAACAGTATTTTCATGGAGTATCTCAACGTTCTTCCTGATTGGGACATGTTCCAAACGGTGCATGATTACTCTGGTTTCCACGCTGCGGCGAGATGTGTTAGCGGAGGCCCGATTTATATAACAGATGTTCCTGGGGAGCACAATATCGACCTGATAAAGCAAATGACGGGTGTGACCCCCAAAGGGAAAACCGTCATCTTCCGACCAAGTGTCTTGGGAAAGTCCATTCATCCTTATATTGGCTATGATGACGATTTGCTCCTCAAGGTCGGTAGTTATCATGGAGCGTCGGAGACCGGCACATCAATGGTTGCCATATTCAACATCTCAGCCCGCCCGCTCACCGAACTCATACCCCTTTCCTGCTTCCCAGGCACAGTGCCCTCTGTGCACTATGTTGTTCGAGCTCATGTCACCGGAAAGACGTCGGTGCCTATGAACATTGGAAACCCAACTTCGCTCATCACCGGATCTTTAGACGTGCGAGGGTACGAGATTCTTACAGCATTCCACGCCGTGCCTCTGACAGGCCAGAAACATGGAGACATGTGGGTGGCGAATCTTGGGCTTATTAGCAAGATGACCGGAGGTGTAGCCATCGCAGCCAGTAGTGTCGCCATGAAGGAGAACGGAAGGGCATCGGTTGTTGTCAAGTTGAAGGCTTTGGGAGTTTTCGGTAAGTGAAACAAGACAGATCCAGGTTGGAGCGTGGTTTCTAACGGTGGTTCCCCTTCAGGTGTTTATGTCTCTGCATTACCCGACCTGGCTCTCAATGAAGACTTTATCGTTATGCTTCAGGATCAGGCGGTTCCAGTAGAGACTGTGCGTATCTCGCAAAACGATGGGCATGTACTTGAAGTAGATGTCGAGAAGGCGTGGGAAGATATGAAGCTGGAGGAGCCTGGACTAAAGGACGAAGTCGAAGTCAAGGTCAGCTTTGCTACCTAGTATCTAACGTTGATGTAGCTTGTGCTTGGACTACAGCTATTGAGTGGAAGCAATATAGATAGTTGACGAAGGGATGTGCCTCTAGCTTACATGGCAATAGATGGACAATTATTCATCATGTTGCAAAAAGTAGCTTTTTAAGATCTACGCATACCTCGGCGTGTCTGGTCAGGTTTGAGTTGCAGTATCTTCCTGCTCCCAAAATATATGTAGTTACATAGCATTAGCATCTCTCATCCAACTCCGTACGCCATTATCCTCCACCAGAAACATAGCCCCCAATATTAGGAATTATATCCTCTATTTGCATCGTTTCTCAACAATGCCCGGTCCGTTTTCCTCATACTCCTTCTTGGATATCCACATTTGGTGGAAAGTACCCAGACTGGCCAGAATGCTACCGCCGATCCAGGCACCGAACCTTCGCTCACTCGACAAGCCGGCCGCGTGAATCTTGATCTTCAATCCGGGATACATGGCCGTCAGCTCGTTGTTGAGTCGGTCGTTGAAGCCATTGATCAAGCTTGTGCTGCCAGTAACGACAACGTTGGCGAGTAGGTTGCCCCGAAGGTCAACATCGATGGCGTTGAGAGCAGAGCGGATAAGCTCAGGAATGGTCTGAGCCTTGGTGAGACGCTCCGCCTCGGGAACGGGGTATCCGGCGTTCTCGTCCCACATTCCCTCGGCCACCTTGAACCGCTGCTCGCGCCACATCTGGTTGTAGCCATCGGGCATCTCAAATACGCGGCCAGGCTGTGACTTGATGTACTCCTCATTCCCAGCGGCGCCATACCGTCCCGGACCACGCCAAACCTCGACGACGGACTCTTTGAACTCGGTCAGCAGCCGCTCCTCTTCGAATGCTCGGAAGGAGTCATGAATCTTGTATGGGAATTCGCGTAGTCGTGCCTGGGCGGGAGCGAGGGCATCCACGGGAGTCTTATTCTCAACCATGAATGTCGGGATCAAGTCGACCTTGGGTTCAGAGGTTTCCCACATGTTGCGGATCTGCGAAGACAACCACAGCCCACCCGCGGGTGATCGCTGGATAGATCGCTTGAGAACCATGCCGTCGTGGATAGCTGTGACGGAGGTGTTTGCGCCGCCGATATCGATGACAAGCGCAGTCGCTTTGCCAGCAGCGAAGGCGGACAGAACAGGCGTCCGGCTCAACCAAAAGGCCGGGGTCCCCCAGCTCTCCATGCTAAGCTCAATGGCCTTTTCACGCGCCTTGGGCGAGTTCCAGGGAGCTTCCGTCATCAGCAATGGGAATTCCTCCAGAGGCTTTTCCTGGCCCTCAATCTCCTCCATCGCGACATCGCCCTCGCCGTCCTGGTCTTTCACATCGTCATTCAGCCCATTCTTGGACGGGGGTGTCTGTCTCTCGGGCTGCAGGCGCTTGACCAGCATAAATTCCCACATCTTGGCGGCGACATCCCAATCCTCCACGACGCTGTCCTTGTTCATGTAGTTGCGGACCTCGAAGTCGTCGCGAGGGATGATGCACTCATCGCCAAACAGGTCTCGCGGGGGGTCGTTGGTGATGTGGCCGTAGAAGGACGGCAGGATTGATTTGGGGACATCTTCGCCGGCAAAACCTGCGCGCGTGTTGCAGTAGCCGGGGTCGAGAACAAGGGCAGAGACCTCATCTGCACCCCAACACCGTTAGCTATTCTGTCTTGCTCTTGCTCTGCTCTCAAAGGCAGTGTCACTGCAAACGCACCTCCGCCGTAAATGTCGGTTGGCTGCGCCGACGTGGGCAAAGGCTGCTGGGCCATGATTGCGATCAATGCTTGTGATGATGGCCAATTGGTCGAGATGGCCCAAAGTTGCGTCGAGCTCTGGTGGGAACGTCGCGCTTGTGAGGGAGGTTGGAGGTACAAGAGGAATGGCGCGTCGGAATAAATTTCGGCCTGGCCTGCTGCGGTTGGTGTTGCGCTCGGCTCAGCCAGTGAGCGTCATGCATTTGGCGGGGTGTCTCCAATTACGGGGGAGCTTCGGCGCTGGAGGAAAAAAAAAAAGAAAATAAATATCGCCCACACGGTCCGGACGAGGCAGAAATTTGCATCCTGCAAAGCATCTGGAGTCCGGATCTTTGGATGTGCATTGCATCTATACCTGCAATTGGTTTTGCACGTGAGGCATATGGTGCAGTGCCGTCGCTATGTTTGTAAGTTACCAACAGTTTTATTGTTATTTTTACTTTTATTTTTTCTTATTCTTTCCCATCATGATGAACTTGCATTCTCGCTTCAGAACCGCTGCGATTGAAACGGCTTCGGCTGTTGGAGATAAACAACTTGCTATTGACTGATCCTCACACATTACCATTCATTTCTTGGAACTTGGCCCTTACCACGTCACGGCAAAAGCTAATTTGTTCTGTTCAGAAGAGATGAGGTCCGCCAGCTGCATGAGACTGGCACGCCAGTCTGCTGCGTTGAATAGTAGCTCAAGGTCTTGTGGCCCTGGAGCTGCACTTCTAACTGCACCATGGCGATGGGCTCCCAGCAGACAATCGACCCGAGCTCTGTCCGCCAAGCCTGGCATTCGGATTAACGAGTCTTCGAGGTTTGTCAAGGAGGAGCAGGAGGAGCATGACGTTGTCTCGCCGTTCAAGAGACATCGCCAGAAGGAGCTGCAAGAGGACCAAAAGAGCGAGAGTCCGCTATACCCCGAGGCTTATCCTCGATTAGAATCGTCGTCCATTAGGAAGAGCGTCCCTGAGTTCTTGCAGGGGTCTCAACATGAGCTTTCGAACGAGCCCGTCACTTTGTCTGGGCGGATTCGGTCGAAGCGTGTTGTGGGAAGCTCGCTCATCTTCCTCGACATTACCAACGAATTCCAAAAAGTTCAGATCATGATCAACAAGAGCAAAGTTGCTTCAGAGCAAGAGTCGCGTGTTCATAAATTCCGCCTTCTTAGAAACCTGATTCAAGTTGGAGACCATATATGTAGGCCTATTGAGCTCCTCTTCCTGTCTCTTCCGAGGCTAATTAATTGGTAGCGGTCACCGGTATTGCCACTCGTACAAACACGGGGCAGCTCTCGTTAGAGGCTCGAGAGCTGCCTGAACTCTTGTCCCCATCCATGGAGCAGGTCCCCGAGAAGCTCACGGATCCCAAGACCAAGATGCAAGAGCGTCATGTCGATATGCTGGTGAACCGGGATGTCGTCGACATCTTGAGACTGCGGGCCGAGATTATGAAGCGAATGCGGGATTATTTCCACTCCAAACGATTCCTCGAATTCCAAACACCCATTCTTGCTGAGAACGCCGGTGGTGCGGTCGCCCGGCCGTTTGTGACCCGAGCTACAGAATTCCGAGGCAAGGATCTTGCGCTTAGAATCGCACCCGAACTATGGCTGAAACGCCTTGTCGTTGGAGGTGTAGACAAGGTCTTCGAGATGGGCCCTGCCTTCCGAAACGAGGGCGTCGATGCCACTCACAATCCCGAGTTCACAATGTGTGAATTCTACAGTGCTTATACCAACCTGCCTGATCTCGTCAAGGAGACGGAGGAGCTGATATACAGCCTCGCAAAATACTCTCAAGAGCTGATATCTACACAGCTTACTACTCTGCCGCCTATCGACCTCAGCAAATTCACCCGGCCCTTCAAGCAAGTGGAGTTTATCCCTGCTCTAGAGGAAGCCATTGGGATTCGCTTCCCGAGGCTCACCGCGGAAGATGGCGCCCTTCCCGAACTGCTCGCAGTCCTGAAGCTTTCGGGCATTGAGGTCCCCGGCGAGGTGCCCACGTCTCTCCCAAAGCTCCTTGACCGACTCGCCGCGACGTATCTAGAGCCCATGTCCTTTACGGAGCCTATCCTGATCACGCACCATCCCGCCTGCATGTCGCCCCTCGCAAAGAGCTTCCTTTGCCCAAAGACATATCAGCTAGTGTCTGCCCGTGCAGAGCTCTTCATCGGCGGCCGGGAGCTCGCCAACATGTACGAAGAGGAGAACAACCCGGAGGAGCAGAAACGAAAACTCGCCGTCCACCGCAGCCTCGTGAACAAACCCGACGGCACTGTCGGATTCGCAGAACCGGCGCCTTTGGACAGTGACGCCGCGGATATTGTTGAAGCTGAAGAGGATGAGTGGGAGGCCTCCCCGCTTGACCAAAGTTATGTAAAGGCCCTCGACTATGGCCTTCCCCCCACTGGTGGCTGGGGATGCGGCGTCGAGCGTCTGGTGATGCTCTTTTCGGGCGCCAACCGCATCAGCGACTGCTTGAGCTTCGGCACGATACGGAATGTTGTTGGGCTGTCAGCTGATGAGAAGGGTAATGAGAAATAGACGCTTCGGTTCCCATGAATAGACTTGGAAATATGCGCATTGTATAGGTACTACAGTAAATACCATGTAAGAGTATGAGGAGACTTTGTGTACAATATGATAAAAGGATACAGACCCGATTGCCAAATGAATCCACAAGATGTGTGCTGTATATATTGGATATCATGCCTAAACTAATCGTCAAATCCACCCCATTCACCGTCTCCCTTGCCCTTGGCACCATCTTCATCATCATCATTAACCTCCAGCTTCCTCTTCTTGCTCCCCTCAATAGCACCCTTCCTGTTATGCTCCTTGCGCCGCTCGTATCCGCTCTTGGATGTAATCATGGCCTTGTTTCCGCTCCTCCTCGACTCAACACCCCTCTCCTTGAGCTTCTTCCTATCCTCCTTGCCCACGTTTGGCAGCGCATCGAGCAGCCACTTCTGCACCCCAGCCTCGTCCCCTGTCTTGCCGGCCTGCTTTTCACTCTCGGCAATGACATTGGCCACAGTCTTGACAAAGGGGATATCCTCCTTAGTATAAAACGTGACGGCTATGCCGCCTTCTCGACCAGCTCGCCCTGTTCTTCCTGCACGGTGCACGTAGGCGGCACTCGAGCCAGGCACGTCGTAGTTCAAGACCCCGTTGACGCCAGCGAAATCAACACCTCGGGCCAATACATCGGTCGTGATGAGAACCCAAATCTCGCCAGCCCGGAACTTGCGCATGATGGCCGCTCGGGCTGCATCCGGAAGACCGCTATGTAAGGCAGCTATCCTAGATGAGCCACCTGCCTCAAGCGGGATATCATACTTGAGCTCCTCTTGCAGTGCAGTGGCTCGGTCAATAGTCTGCGTAAACACGAGGAAAGGCGGCCGCAATGGCGGCCCCGAGTCAATGCTCGAAGTAGGCCGCAAGAGCTGCCGCAGAGCGAGAAGCTTTCCCTGTTCGCTCGCAGTGTAAATCAACCTGTGCACAATATTGGGCACGGCCGTGTCCTTTAGGCCGACAACCAAGCGAACCAGTGGCCTTTGGGGAATACTCAGAGACTCGGCCCTCGCAGCCAGCCTTTCCGTAACCAGCGTCTCGATATTGGAGCCCATGGTTGCGGACCAGAACGAAAGGCCAAGATCTGGGTTATTGCAGGCCGTCCAGATACCAAGAGTTTGTTCGCGGAACAACGGGTCGAGGAGCACATCGGCTTCGTCCAGTATGAGGTTTCGGACGGTGGGCAGGACCTTTTGAGTGTTTGCTGAGCCACAGGTTAGGAAGTTGAGCAGCAAAAGAGGCGTTGTAATCAAAATGTCCACTTTTGAGACCACCTTCGGCTTTGCATGTTTTTCTTCTTCCTCTTCGTCAGATTCCTCCGCATCATCTTCTTCCTCGTCCGAGCTATCCTCGCCAATATCTTGACTCTCAGCAGCAAGAATCATGCCCTTTCTCATGCCGACCACCTTGAGTCCGGTTCCCTTCACCAACTGGTTGCCAACATTGACAATCTGGTAGGCAAGCTCTCGAGTCGGCACAATCACAATGGCTTCGAGCTCATGAATGCCATGTAACTTGCCGTGCGCTCTCCTCCTCATAATGTTGTTGATTGTTGGCACAAGAAAGCTAATCGTCTTTCCACTGCCAGTTGGCGCAACGGCCAGCAAATCAACACCATTCTCCAGTCCCTGCTCCTCGCTCAAGGCCATGTCCGGCCGAATGAGCAACGGCATGCTTCCCATCTGAACTTCTGTCGGTATTTTATAGCCCTGGTACGACAGGTTCTCAGCCACCCGCCTCGAGAGGTTGTATGTGCTTCGCAACTGGCCGAAAGTCTCCAATGGCTGGGGAGCCAGCTGCGGCTTCTTGTCCTTCTTGACCTCAACAACAGCCTTCTTCTTCTTGGACTTCTTGACCTTGTGTTGCTCCTCCCGCTTATACAGCAGCGTGACCTTGAGTCGATGCGATCGCAACAATTGCCGACACTCATCCGCACTCAGCAACTTGGCCGCCTCAACGACGGGACTCGCCGCTCGCTTGCCCTTTTTCGACTCGGCCTTTGCAGGTTTCGACTCGGCAACGTCCTTGGGTGCAAAAAAGTCGACGTCCGGCAGCACCTCGGGGATCTTGCTCTCGGGCTCTTCGACATCGCGCTTCCGCTTGTGGCCGCGGACCTCGTCGTGGTAGAGCTGCGGGTTCGTCTTTGTGCCCGAGGACGGGAGTTTGCCGACGGCGCTGCCGCCTGAGAGCGAGGATTTTGCGCTCTTCTTGGTGCCGCGCGACAAGACCTTGAGGATGTCCATTGTGTGAGAGGCGCGACAAGAAAAATAAGAAATTGTCGTGGTTTGCGCCTGGTTTTACCAAGGATATTCAAGGATTTTTTTTGTGGTTGCTGGTTTGTATGTAGAAATTTTGTAGCTCAGCCGTGCAACTTTTTTTGCTGCAAGGCTGTAGTGGGGTGAGCCGCTACAAGATGGCGCTAAACCACTTGGGCCCAGCAATGGATGTTTGAATATCAACATCAATGTGCAACTCCAGTACAGGTATTCTGCTTGATGTTGGAATAAGTTAAATAAGTACTAGAAGTTACAATTCCAAGCGCAAAGTTCTGTTTTTTATGAGATGCATTAGTCTATTTTAGTATACAATTCCTTCCGTCATCAAACCTCAAAACTGCTAATCTGCTAATATCAAGCAGCCATGGGTATATCCTTCAAACAGCTGTAGATACGAATGTCTAAACCCATTGCCCGCTTATTCCACCAAAAACGCCATAAATCATCCATCACACAAGAATCCCCAATCCGTGTCCATCCTCAACTCCCCTCGTCACCATCAGACATCTCCCTCCCCTCCCCATACAACACCTCGCAGACGCCCGCCAGCGGAATATCCAGCACCGCATCCGTCCCCTCGTTCCAAATCTCCCTCCACCTCAGCTTCCCGTTGCTCTCGACCTTCCTCTCCCGCTTGCTGCTCCCCTTGAGCCTCCCCTTGGAATCAATCACCGCCAGCTTGCCCGCCCCGTCCACAATCGTCTCCACGCTCGTCATCGGCACCGTCAAAATCTCCAGGTTGTACGCCGCCAGCGCCACGTAGATGTAGACCAGCGTCATCACCAGGAACGCGGGGACCGCCAGCGCCCACCAGCGGTCCGGGTAGTAGTATATGCCCAGCGCGTGCAGGAACGGCGACGGGAGGTAGCTCCAGAGGAGGTACATGAGGAAGATGAGGCTGCTGAACAGGTACAGCACGAAGCCGTAGTACTCGTACGTCGGCACCCTGGGCGCCGTGCGCGGGACGGGTGCGATGTCGTCGTCCGATGCATCGGGAGTCGTTGGACGCGATGGCCGTAGCAGCGAGGTCAGAGACGGAGATGGAGGCAGAGGCGTGGGTGGTCGGCCGTAGAATGGAGGCGCAAAGTAGTTCTGCGAGAGCGGCGGCGGCGGCGATTCCTGGTCCGAAGAACCCGAGGATTGGTTGTCTGAGATGTACTCGCCATCGAGTCCGTCTTCGTCGGTGCCAGACATGGTGAAATGCCTGTTTTGGCTGAGAGTGTTGGAGCTGGTAGAATTGCGAAGGAACAAAGATGGAACGAACTATCAAACTAATCGAAGGTACCTGATGCGGAATACGGGATTCGGCAATACCTCCGCCACATTTGGTTGATCACAGCACTTTCACAGAGCCAACGCCACATGTCCATCAAAGCCAAGCCATTGGGAATAAGGTAGTATATCTGCATTAAGCTGTACGCGAGGTATAATTAATTCGTCAACTTCATATCTCTTGTCTATTCATATGCCAAAACAAAAACAGTGGCTGCTATCTCAATTCGCCATGATTAACAAGACACCAATACCTGTCGCCCAATCGCTTTGCTTGCTCCCATGTACACGTTGGTAGATAGACACATCATGTTTAACCTCCTTACTTCATCGCCGTATTTTATCCATCAATAGGACACTTGTAATCCAGTTCCCTAGGCAAGACGCCATTCTCCTGCTTCTCTTGCAGCGCATCTAGGCAGGTCTGGTGGTAAATGTGCCGACAAGCCAGCACGACGAGCGGCCCCAAGACCTGGTCTTTGTTCGACTTCCCAGCGATTTGCTCGATGAGCATGCTTGACGGCCGCATGTCCAAGCTCTTCCCCTTACTCCTCCGATCTGACACTCTTGCGTGGCCCTTGGCTCGTTCCGCAACTTGCGTTTGCCTCTGCTGTCTGGCCACGTCTTCCGCCGCTTGCTTGTCTTCCCAGGCCTCAAACACTGTCGCACCGGCGAGACCTGGGCCCCAGACTCTTTTGCCGCATGCCTCGCATGTAGAACCGCGCGGCCTCCACCCGCGCTGTCTAAGCTCGACAGATGTGTCCACGCTTGTGAAGAGGCTTCGTTCCAGGAGACGGTTCGACAGACGAAGTATAGACTCCTCGTATGCGTAAGCTGAGAAAATGGACGCAAGCACACTGCGAAGATCAGCCAAGCTTGGCGATGATGCCGCCGCCTTTGCAAGGAACGCTCTCAATATTCGTAGGAACGAGAGATTGGACCCTGCACTTGACAAAACATTGGAGCCCAACTGGCCATTTGCTTGATTCGAAACTTGGCTTGAAGTGGAAACAAGGAGCGAAGTAAAGGTATGCTGCACAAGCGATCGCAGCTTCGCCAAGAGCTTCTCCTCATCAAAGGCACTGCCGCTCGCAGCGGCTTGTATGGCCGGTGACAGGTTTTGAGTGGCCTGTACACAAGCACCAATGAGGCTCAGCCAGAGACCTTCATCTGCTGACAGGTTCTCCTGGGCCGTCTTATTCTTCGATACCACACTGACTCTCCTTGTAGATTTTGTCTGCTCCTGACACAACCAAATCCCAACATGGACATAATTCTGCAGGCTTTCAAGAAGAGCTTCAGCTGATGCTTCCAGCGACGGTGCACTGCCCTCTGCACCGTCTTGTGTGCTGGATGAGTGCAAGAGTGCTTCCATGGCGGATTCGAGCGTGCCCAGATGACGGACTAAACGATCCATAGCCATGGCAACTTGTCCTGCTCGGGCTATGAGCACAACAGCGGCATCCACCACACCCGTTTCTTCCATAGTGGGTAACAAGTTATCCAGTTGAAGATCGACCGACTGGACGAGCCCAATGTATTCTGACACGTGTTGTGCGTCAAATTTACACATCAGTCGAACATATCGCTCGACAAGTAGCCGCTCGTGCGTTAGCTGCCCATCTGCCAGCGGATCTTCTGGCTCCAGTAATGTCTTTAGATAAGCATGCTGTAGCTCAGGGGCATCCTCTGCGGAATCGAGAATATGCTGGTGTAGTTCGATCGTTTGTAGAGCAAGGGTTGAGGCCGAGCGCTCGGGATTCAACTCAAGCAAACCTCTTGCGTGGTTTTCGACAATGGTCAAGACTTCGTGCTGTTGTCGTTGGTTCAGTTCACTATGGGGTCGTAAGCACTCCGCAATACAGTCAAACACCAAGTCCTGATCTTCTGGATCTTCAAAGAACGTCTGTACGAGCTTTCCAAATTGCTTGTCAACCTTGTATATTCGTTTCAGAATTCGGTAGAAGCCTGCCGTCTTGAACAATGGCATTAACGCAGGCATGTCTGATGGGTGATAAACTGATAGAAGGTATTCGGCGCTCAATTGTGCATCTTCGGCAAGATCAGGGCCGGGGTAGTTGCAAAGCCCGGTAAGGACTTTTGACAAGGTTGTACCAGAGAAGAGCAGATATTGGGGGAACTTGGGAAGATTTCGAGCAATGAACATGTCGAGATAGATGGTATCAGCCGGTGCAAAATCCGACGGATTCATCACGTCGAGCAAGATGGATAAAACGTATTGTCGATTGATTGTCAGGCCAAAGATCTGCTCCTCTGGTATGTCTGCTCTGGAGCTACTACCCCTAGGTTGCTTCTCGGAAGAGTCGTTAAGAAAGGAATCTTCAAATGCTTCATTGAGGGCACTGAGGAAGCTCGGGGCGTCGAATTTGAGAATCATTCTCAGATAAGGGAACGCAGGCTCCGATTCTGCGTCGGGTCTGGTGAGAAATTCTCTACCACTGCCTTTGGGCCATGAAATGGTCTTGCCAGAAAAGTAAAACCAATAAATCTCGGCCTTGGCTCTATTCGCTGTCTCTTCGTCCATGATTTCACCGCTGGGGTAAACACGACCGGTAAGAGTGTAAGAGAGGTAAGGAAAAATCTTGACCGCATTGACACCGTAGTAATCGTCAGCCGTGTTATCGGGAACAGAATCCCCGTTCGACATCAACGGGACCAGAAGGCTAAGCAGGTCGATCATTGGTGTAATGTAATCTTGCAGGGCTTGGTTCCAGACATAGGTAAGCGCATCATACAGATTGTGCTGCTTGCAGAGGATTGTGAGCTGGTCCAAGTCGAGAGTGGCAGTTTCCATATGGCATATCAATTCCTCAAGTCTGCTTTCCCAGCCTTTGATGACATAGTAGCTGACCATGTCCTTGACCACCGTGGGCGGGACGATACGAATCGTTTGGTCGAGGACAAAAGGCTCAAGGGTTTCGAGAAATATGCCCTCGACATCGGCATCGCTATACCATTCATACAGCTCGTCAAACAGATAGTCAGTATTGCCAACAGTTTGGCATGCCACAAAGCAAGTTTCGGCAAGCTGTTTCAAATGATCATTATCCACAGACGCCTTGTTCTTCTGCCTTTGTGCAAAGGCGTATTTTAGGGAGGCACTCGTAATCTCCATGATCTTGTCGCGAACCATGCTGTGCCTTAGCTCAGTATCGTCAGGGAGGCCGACTGTCAGTTTATTGGCGTCGCCAGTGTAGTATGAGGTAGCCAGCTGGGTAGCCCCTATGTAGTCACCATGCTCCATTGTGGCAATCAGCCGATCTGCCCAATTTGATAATGCCCCTATAGCAACATCGTTGAAACCCAAGAGGAACATTCTCCCTTTGTATGCCTTGAAGCTCATATAAAACGCATCGGCTACAACTCCATGCATGGACACATCATTCTCGTCTAAATGTTCCACAAGGGTATGCAGCTGCTGGGAGAAAAGGTCAGTATGGTAGATGTATCTCTCCAGTAGGTCAAATGCTTCCGTCATGCGCATGGTTCTATCCTCCAGGACAATCAGTCTTTGAGAGATGGTCAAGACTGTCAACACGGAGCGACTGAGCCACTGCACCGCAGCAATCGCCTCTTCGCATTTCCACCTGCTTCGAGCTTTAAATCTCAATGATGGCGGATCACTATCGTCGCCAGGAATCTCATCCACATCCAGTACTGTGAGCACATTAGACCAACAATAGGCCAGCTTAGCTTTTGAGGTGGTTGAGCCGGTGTGTGCATCTGCAACCTTGAGATTTACGGCAGGAAACCAAGCCAAACAGCCCGTCATGGCACTATGAGCCGGAACATCCTTGGGGCGTGCAGACTTGTGCTGCGTCTGTGCTACTGGAGTGGTAGACACAATAACGAGCAAATAAGGGGTTAACATGGCTGTCAGCCCCATCTTGTCAGTCTCGCGCTCGACGTTTCCTAGTGGAAGAGGTGCAAAAGCGAGGACAGTGCTGGGCTTTATTACTTTTCCCGGCTGCATAGGCGCATTCGGATATCGACCCAATATCCTTGTCGTCTTGACCGTTCTTCCAAGAGGCCCAGTACCCCTCGTGGCAAGATGGGAGAATGCCATGCCATGGCCATCAGCAGACACAAAAGCTGTATGTCGAGTGCCCAAAAAGCCTAGATGAATAACAGGCGCATCAGGCATGTGGCCATCGAGAGTCCTGTTTTGTACCTGAGAATCATCCAGGCGTGAGATTGTGAGGAAGGGTCGTGATGGTCGTCCTGTATCCCAAGTGAAGATGTTACCACTTGCATGGCCTCCGGCTATAATGGTGTGATCTGCCGATATAGCAAGTGCAGTGATGGGTCCAGATTCGATAGCTATCGGGATTAGCCTTGCACATTTACACATCTCATTTGGCACATACCTTTGGTACCAGGTCCTATGATGGTTTTTAGATTTTGACTGTAATCAAAAACCAAGATGATGCCTTTGGAGGTTCCCAAAACAATGAATGCGGACACAGCAAGACAGGTAGGAGATCCGAAATTACGCCTCCCCGATTCCGAGAACGCATAGCTGTTTAGCTTCTTCAGCCTTGTCCACCTCACAACCTCCCATGGGGGCGACGGTGTATCAGTATCGGCTTGCTCTGACGGGAAAATGGAGTTGAAGGAGGCATGTCGACTGTGATTTGGCATAAACGTAGGGGTCGATGGACGAGGGCTGAGGGCGTTGAATGATGCTATTCGGGATTGGAAGCGTCGATCAAAGGGTCGGAAGGACGGCGTGGGACTGCTGATGCCCGGACGGGAGGCAAATGACGGCAACACACTGCTGCCCGGTGAGGATATGCGCGAGCCCTATGCCTGTCAGACGGCTTCCCTAACCATGGAGAAAGCATCGCATACCTGAACCGAGGGGGAGTCTCCCGGCGCAGAAGTGACGGATTCAATGGGACTCCCTGCCCTCCGCGGGATCGCATCGATGGAGCTTGCATCCGCCGACGTAATCTCGGAAATATCCCCATTTCGAACAGGTGGCTCTAGGAGGTTGTCATCTATGACATGGTTCTTCTCCTCTTCCTCCGCATTCACAGAGCTTGGGTCTTCCGGTGTGTCTGGCTGCTCGAGCTGAGGGACGTCGGCCTCGTCGTCGTTTTCGCTATCGTTTTCTGCGGCAGGGGCTGGGTTCTCGTAATCGTCCGCTCGCTCTCCAGCAGGAGATGCTTCTTCAGGGTCAGACATGGTGTCGCAAAGTCCATGACATTGTCCAGCATGCAGCACGTCGACAAAGGGCTATCGAGGCAGTGTAAGCATGCCCTGGTGCTTCGGTGACGGCACGGGCCAGCCAAGGTCGGCAGTTCACAGGAGCTGTCGCAAGCTCATGCACTGAAAGACTCTGGCGATGCGACCTTTGATCGCCCTGCAAGGCAAATCAAGCCGCAACTTTCGATTCGCAATCGAGAAAAGAGCTAATTAGATCTCAAGGTCGATACTCTGCACAGCTTCCCCATCTCTCATGGCTAGTCCGCGTATGCACATGCATGCAGACTGTACCGAAGATTCTCCGTCACACGATCGAGAAGTGACGTACTGGAGCCTTGGATGGCCCAATTTGTGAGGTATAGTACGCAGTGGGCAGGGTACAGGTACCAGCATGTACCTGACGGCGGCAATGGAGGGGCACAGTCGCAGCCAGAGGTGGGCTGTTCTTTCGTACCTTGTTTAGCCAGTACTTGCAGAACATGGACATGAATGCCTTTGTCCTTTGTTCTTCAGGTGTATCGAAGCGGACAAATACATATTCCTTCAGAATGACACTCGTACAAACATGTTCACGCACTTATCCGGCTTCACTTGTGGGGTCGGATAAAGTGATTCACAGCCATTGGAGCACGAGCACACCCTCAGAATGGAAATATGCCACGGAAACATCTCCAATCATGTACGTACGAAGCCACAATGGGTACTATATTTCTAAACCTACCTACCTGCCAACAAAAAGTTTCCATCCAAAGTGATGGAGAGCACACAAAGTTCAGTTAAATAGATCATATCGTAACTACCTATAGTAGAAAGTCAATCTGCTGTAGCAGTAAACGCCATGTGAACTCCAAAAATTGCAGGGTAGCCTTGATTAACAAACCGCTTAGACATCAGTACCTGTAATTCATTCCAATTTTTTAGCCCCCGCATTGGCGCTGCCCCTCCTCGCAATGGTGGATCCCAGGCAGGCCCTTAAAAAAAAAAGTTTCAAGTCAAGATTTTTTCTCTTTTTCTCTTTTCTCTCGGGAAAAGGCTTCGATCAATTTTTTGACTAGATTTGATTCACAGCCTTTATCCTCGCTCTTTGTCTGCCATCTATTCCTTTCAATCTTCCAAAAGAAAAGCCAAGAATAGATCAAATGGCCACCAACGGCTCTGTCAAGGTCCTCGACCACACCACCGCTCTGGAGGTGCTGGGAGAGTACAAGTCTCGCGATGGCCTCGACAGACAAGAGCTTATGGACACGGCCAAGCACGGTGGCCTGACCTACAACGACTTCCTCATCTTGCCTGGCTACATTGGCTTCCCTGCCTCCGAGGTCACTCTCGACTCGCCCATCACCAAGCGCATCACGCTCAAGACTCCCTTCGTCTCCTCCCCCATGGACACTGTCACAGAGCACGAGATGGCCATTCACATGGCTCTGCAGGGCGGTTTGGGTGTTATCCACCACAACTGCTCTCCCGATGCTCAGGCCGACATGGTCCGCAAGGTGAAGCGTTACGAGAACGGCTTCATCCTCGACCCTGTTGTCATCAGCCGTGACACCACCGTTGGCGAGGCCAAGGCTCTTAAGGAGAAATGGGGCTTCGGAGGTTTCCCAGTCACCGGTAAGAAAATTTTTCACTCGATTCTATGTCTCCCATTTCACACTGCAATGATTATAAACCATTTCAATTATAACTTTCGTTCCACCAAAAGACCTTTGTCCTGAGGACCACCATTACTATGACCAGCACATGTTTCATTCTCAATGTTGTCCAAATTTGTACATGGACAGCATCCTGACTAATTTGACATAGAGGACGGAAAGATCGGCTCCAAGCTCCTTGGTATTGTCACCAACCGAGACATCCAATTCGAGGATGACTTCAACGCACCAGTCTCCAAGGTCATGGTCACTGAGCTCATCACTGCCCCCGCTGGTGTCACCCTTCTCGAGGCCAACAAGATCCTGTCCCAGTCCAAGAAGGGCAAACTGCCCATCGTGGACAAGGACTTCAACCTGGTTGCCATGATCTCCCGCTCCGACTTGACCAAGAACCAGCACTTCCCTTTGGCTTCTAAGCTTCCCGATAGCAAGCAGCTCATCTGCGCTGCTGCCATTGGCACTCGCCCAGAGGACAAGATCCGTCTGCAGAAGCTTGTTGATGCTGGTCTTGACATTGTCATCCTTGACAGCTCCCAGGGTAACAGCATGTACCAGGTGGAAATGATCAAGTGGATCAAGGCTGAGTTCCCCAGCCTGGACGTCATCGGCGGTAACGTCGTTACCCGCGAGCAGGCTGCCAGCCTCATTGCCGCCGGAGTTGACGGTCTTCGAATTGGTATGGGCAGTGGTTCAGCCTGTATTACCCAGGAGGTCATGGCTGTTGGCCGACCTCAGGCCGCTGCCGTCCACGCAGTCAGCACCTTTGCTGCTCGTTTCGGCGTGCCCTGCATTGCCGATGGTGGTATCCAGAATGTTGGCCACATTGCCAAGGGTCTTGCTCTCGGTGCTTCCAGCATCATGATGGGTGGTCTCCTGGCTGGTACTACCGAGTCTCCCGGTACTTCTTTCGTCTCGCGCGAAGGCAAGCTGGTCAAGGCTTACCGTGGCATGGGCAGCATTGATGCCATGCAGGACAAGAAGGCTGGTGGCGGTGGCAAGGACAGCCAGAAGAGCAACGCCGGTACTGCTCGTTACTTCTCTGAAGGCGACAGTGTCTTGGTTGCTCAGGGTGTCTCCGGTTCCGTGGCTCACCGAGGGTAAGTTTGACGCACAATCCACCCCCCTTTCTCTCATATACGCGTGAATATCCGAGCTGACATGTAATCAGATCTATCTCCAAGTTCGTCCCCTACCTTGCTGCTGGCCTGAAGCACTCCATGCAGGACTGCGGCATGCGCAGCTTGAAGGAGCTTCAGGACTGTGCTACCAACGGTGTGTTGCGATTTGAGCTTCGCACTGCCAGCGCTCAGTTGGAGGGCAACGTCAACATGGAGTCGTATGAGAAGAAGCTCTACGCATGAAGGAAATGATTGATGAAACAAAAAGGGGTTCCGGATAGGGTTCCGGTACAAAAAGGAGTGGCTAAAAAGGGAAGGCTGTATTTGATTTCTGGAGTTTGGGTATAGGATGCGTGTGGTGATAAGCTTGGAAGCTATCGAGTAAACAAAAGACCTCCCAGCAATGATTCTAGAGGCAGGCTTGGCGCTTTTGATGACATGAATGATGATTATTTTCATAAACTTAATAAAGAGCGGCGGCCCCCCCGGGGCATGCCAAAATTCAGAGTGACTTGGAGAGCCATGCTGTGAAATTTTCTGCTTGATTTTTGGGCTTGATCAGAGCCTTGGAGACTCGAGCTGCGGCTGATACGAGTATTTGACATTGTATAATTCATTGAAACGCTTCGAATGTCTATATAATCTAGTTGATAGCCCTCAACTCCCCATCCAACCCTCCATGTGCAGTCACACGACTCAAAATCACATAATCAGGACGCACCACTTTCCCGCCTCTTAAAGTGCGATCCCTGGGGGAAAATCCATCTTTCGTGAAGCCGAGTTTTTCGTAGAACTTGAGGCCGTTGAGATTGCTTGTGAAGCAAGTGAGCATCACTTTCTTGGTTGACGGGATGTTTTCCGCAATGGTGATGAGTTGGTTCATGAGCTGCTTGCCGAGGCCGGATCTAGCAGGCGATATCAATAGGTAAGCTTGAGGTAGAAACGTGAGTTGGAACAGGGAATAGTAGAGCCATAGAAAAGACGAGGAGAAGGAAAATAACTTGCCCTTGAAGTTCGGGAAGCAAATGTACTTCATAGCAATACAGCACAGGTTCGTGATTCTCAAACGTAGGCATCAGCGATGTAAACCCCTTGACCGCACCGTCGTCTTTGACGAGTATGTACCGGAGATCCGGCGACTTCATCTCTTTCCTTTTCATAGCGGGATGCCATCCCACAGAGGAATTCTTGTAATCCACGCCGCTTGTCGTTTCGATGATGCCAAAGCAGGTCCGGAAGTCATCTTTGCTGAGCTCGTGTGAGGATAGAAACTCGAGCGAGTAGGGTTTTTGTGTGAGTGGATGTGTCCATGTTGCCCATTCTTGGCTATGGGACAAATGAACATTGTTGAATTAGTTGAATGTCTTGATGTAATGTGATGGGCAGGGGCTTGTGTAGGATGTATGTCATCCCTACCTCGGTTTTATATAATCTCTGATGAACTCTTCGTCCGTCTTCTTGTTGGCCGTCGCGATTGGGGTGATTTTCTGAGATTTTCCGGGTTCGTTTCTTTCTTCTTCAGCCATTGTGCGCAATCTCGTATCTTTTTCCAACCCTGGCGATGTACTGTAGGCAATATGAAGAAATGCTAAAAGCGTCCCGTGTAAATCGATATGGAGCCAAAGGCCCTATCGAAACTAGGTCCTGGAAATATTCCACTGGCTACTGAATTCGAATAATGCGACCCCAGAGACTCTGTAGTGTTGAAATCACCTAGATTTTGACTCTCAACAAACAATCCAAGCAAGTATTGAAACTTTTACATGATGGAATAGATCAAGCCCATCAATGTCGGTGTACCTTCCTCACTCACCGAAGCCGTCTCCAACCCGCCGCCCCATACCCGAAGTTTGCCCGACTCAAGCTCTTTTTCTCAATACATCGCCAACTTTTTCGAGTTGCCTCATCTGATTAGAAATCCACATAACAAAAAGCTCTTCTTCCTTTTCCTTGTACAATAGTCTATTTCAGGCTCAATGAATAATCCTTCATGAATCCCGGCATCCGCCTGCTGCCCCTCGGCCGTGGCTATGCCACCCAACGGCCGGCCTCTCGGCTCAAACCGACGATAAGCCTCGATCACGTACGTCAACCAGAGCAGTTAGGCCCGCCTTCTGAGATCCTCACCACAGCAAGCTAATAAGTCAATTCAAGTTTCTTCAACGGACAAAAGCTCTGGCATTATATCGAACTATCTGGAGAGGCACAAAACGCATTGCAGATGCTCGGACAAGAGCCGAATCCCGCAAATATGCTCGGGATGAGTTTGAGCGGCATCGCAACGTCCAAGATATCGTATGTCACTGCTCAATCCCCCCCTGCGTATAATTTTCCGCCGCTAACTTGGAACCCTCTCCGGCAAACAAGTCTCACATAAGATATCTTTTATCAACGGGCAAGACGGAATGGGAAAGCATGGAGAGGTATATCGGGGGTATGTAACACTACATAGAATTGTACATTTTACAACGGCACTCGAACCGTCATTTCTCGAGCATCTCCTCCAGAATCAGTCCGAACTTGAGCTCGTGCCACGTCCTCCACGTCTTCCGAAGCCATTGCCGTAGTATCGTTTATCAATTGCTTTTGCCAGGCCGTTGTGTGTGTAATTTTTTTCGTCTTTGTTCGTCGCTCCCTTTCGTCACCGTTTATGTGCCAATAGTATACAGAACGCCCACTCGTCCGGGTGTCGTCGTCGTCGTCGTCAAAAAAAAGAAGAACCATCTTCGCAGCCGCTTAGCTCTGTCGCTGCTTGTGTCGAGGGTTGGCCTTGCAGATAATGTACAAGTATCCATTATGTCGCTTGCCGGCCTTTCGTCGAACAACCTGCAAATTCAAAGATTTAGAACACCCTCCAGCCCATAGCAGAGACTCAAATCCAAATCCAAACCCACCTTGCAGTGCTCACACCTCTTCTTGACCGAGCTGTGAACCTTCATGCCCCGCGTCTGCTGCAGGCTTCCTCCAACTGCGGCGGGCTTGGACAGCCATCCCATCCACGAGGAAGCCGGGCTCGTTGCCGTCGCAAAGCTGCCGGCCGCAAACGGCTTGACAACCTGAGAGGAGCGCAAAAGCCCTGCGGCCAGAGAGAGCGTGCGCAGCAGGGATGCCATTGTCGATTGTGCTGATTGTGCTGGGCTGCGAGAGATAAGACATCGTGGGCCGGTTTTTTTGGGGGGGGGGACTTGGAGGTTTGCGATCTGCTTTTACAGGTCACGTGGTTTGCCGGTGTTGAGCTTCGCCTTCAGCACAACATTTCCCATTTCGAAAAGGTGAAGACAGATATTTTGCTCCAAAAATGAAGCCAAGTAATAATTTTGGCTCTATAATAATGGACACTGTTGAGCGTCCTCGTAGGAGCGCATTTCATTGCCACAGTCTTGATACAAAGCTCGTCTTTGTCTTCATGCATGTTCACGGCCCGTCTCACCAAGTTGGCGCAAGTTGTGTGTGTATGGTTCAACAAGAACCATCTGTGAGCTACCTACGACCATCTAATTACAGTTGTTATACATATCGTCCAGACATAAGCGCAATTCCTCTGCATCCATAGATATTCAAAGCCTCAAAGCTTTGTCTCATGCCGTATTGGCCAGGGATGATCCAGCAATTTCCTTCCTCCCAGCGTCTCAGCTTCACCACACCTTTTTTTCTTCCCCTTCCTGTCCTTCTTAATCAATCAGTGTGACAGCCACCGATGCGGCTGACAAGCAAGCAAAACGAAAAGAAAAACCACGATGCATTAAATCAGTCCGTCCAAAAGAAACAGTGTTCAAATCGAGGGTAAACCCAGAAAAGAAAGAACCCTAGAAAAGACAGAAACCCAGAAAAACAAACAAAGCCACAAAAGTCGTCGTGAGCTGTTCACCAGCCGTTCTTGCTCATCATCTTTGCCGTATCCAAGGCCTTTCTGTAATCAAAAGAGCACTTCTTATCGTCTGGAGCTGGAGGCTGGATCTCGTCCAGATCATCTGGCGCCCCTCCATCCTCTCTCGTGGGGCCGTATGCGGGAACTCCCTTTCGCTTCGAGCCGGTCGGATATTCCTTTCGAAGTTCCAGGATGCCCAGACGATGGACATCTTCTCTGACGGCAGAGGCAATGACATCTAGCCAACGACGTCCGGTAGCTGAGTCGAGGGCGACATCCTCAAGGGTGGGGAGTTTGGCCAGCGAGTCATGCGGGTACTTGTTGTCTCGTATAAGGGGTGCACCATAAGGGCTGAGCCGATAAGTCTCACCCTCAACCGCAGCAGCCGTCAATATCGGCGGCTGAGGGCGCACAGTTTCGGTCGACTGAAGGCGAATCAATCCCCCTCCGCCACGGAAAAGGGGTGCATCCTGGTTGAAAACAGTTCGGTCCCATTCGGGACAGAGCTTGTCCAAGAGGCCTTTCTTCTGCGCCTTGAAATGATCTGTCTCCAGGTCAAGGATTTTCTGCAAATGACAGGCGCAACAGATGCGTCTATAGGCTTGCAATCGATTCGTAGAACCGGCTGGGAAGAACTCCATAAAAGTTCGATAGCCGCAAGAGCAGCAGAAGAAGAAAGTCTTGGCCATCATTCTGAGATAATACTTGGGCCAGTCGTCGGCCACATGCTTATCCACCGCTACTCGAACTGGTTTGAGCATGTCGTAGATCGCCTCGAGTTTCATGTTGGCGCTGCCCCAAGCCCCCTGTTCCACATCTAGATATCGATATATGGCATCTAGAAAGCTATAGACGCCCAGTGGGATATTTGGCACCTTGACCAGGTAGTCCATGAATGCATGATCTTTGGAAAACAACAGGTCCAGGCCCATCCCCTTTGATTTCAGGACGGCCTTGAGGATAATGGCATAGAAGCCTCGCTGGGCAACGTCCATCGGGATTGGCCCCCAAGAGATGCCATACGTCGCCGCGTTTTCGTGCGCATACGGCGTGCCCTGGTTAAAGCATGGAAAGAAATCAAACGCCTTGATCTTTGGCATGTTTTTCTCATGCCGATCGATGTTGATCTCATGGATGAGATCCAGAATCGGGATCACGTCGCCAAAGTGGATGAGAGGGCAGTTGTACACGCCCACCATGGTTACGTTCGGCAACCCTCGTAGAATGACGGCTAGCATACGTCGATCGAGAAGGGGCACCCTGTAAAGGTGCAGAACCTCGATATGCGAACGAGCTCTGTGCAGTTCAGACACTGATGAAAATGTTAGACCCAATGCTCCAGAGTATCAAAGTTGATGTCCGGTGCGACTTACTCAATTTGAAAAGACTCTCCATCGCGAGACAGATGGGCATCTTATGCAGCTTGTGCTTGGTCCCTTCAAATTGATTAGCTGACCACATCTTTTCGAATTCCTCGAGAGAGCCCATGACGTTGATGCCATTGACATCGTCTCTCCACCATTCCTTGGCACGATCAGTAGTTTGGGGATCAATCTCTGGATCGTCCGTTGCCCAGTAGGGCCCGGCAGCTCGCAGGCATTCAGCTCTCCAAAGTTGTGCCCATTGGAAGAATATGTGTTCCACTTCAATGGATCGCAATTTATAACCGTCGAAGTCCTGCAAGGATTGCAACCTCTGACGTGTCTCCTTCCACTCGGGCGAATCAATTCTCAACTTGTATTTCTTCTGGGCTTCGAGAATATCCCCAATGGTGTGTTGGGGAACCTCGACAATCATTACAGAAGAGGGAACCTGAACGACATAGGCCATGGCACAAAAGTCCCATCGGTTCTGCTTTTTGGTCAGACACTTCTTGGATTCTGTCATGGCAGGGGATAACCTACGACATTGTCGCCAACCAGCTTGAACATTTTGCTCGAGGTCAGAGATAGCCTCATGGCTGTCTTGTGGCCATCACGGAAGACATCTTCCATGATCTTAGGTCCAAGATACAAATGTCCTACGACAGGTACCATCTGGGCGGGGATGAAAGGCGTAGTTGCAATTGCAGCCGCGACAGTTTTTGGGCGGCAGGCTGCCGCTTTGAAAGCGGGCTTCTTGGAAAGGCGTTCAGTGACAAACCATGGACCCTAATATAATGTGATCAGTGTTCTATCCCAAAAGCCAAAAGTCTAGTGTCGTGCAGTTGCTTACCTTTGTGAGGCGGCGAAGTCTGTAATATATCTTTCCGCTTGTTATGAATTGGTATTTCCCAGATGAGATGTACTTGTTTCGGTCCGGTCGGAAGACTCTACTCTTGAGGTGTGATATTGCCTTGTTCTCCAGCTGTGTAGGTGTCTTCGTAGTAACATCTGGGTGGAACCCCCGAGTTAAGAGACGCTCTCTCGACTGAGCCATCCCGTAACGGGTGATGGAGCCTGAGATGGGCATTAGTACATTCCAAACACGGTAGGGAATTTGAAGCACTTACGATGGAAATCACCATCGTCAATATCCATTTGGTCGGCAGGGCTTGTTGTAATGCCCTTCGACGATTTTCTTGCAGCAACAGAGATCTGGTTCAAGTGTATGTCTATTGCTTAGAGTGTGAGTCAAACGAGCTTTGAATTTGATATCTATGGTTCGCTCATCTGTTTACCAGTGATCAAAACAGCAAAGAGGTTACGACCAAGCGGCAGTGTTTCTATTGTGGCAATACAGAGTCATAATCCCAAAGATGGATGCCCATGAATATGGTTTCCATAAGAGACAAACGTGAGCGATGATATATGGAGGTCAGGAACTCTGTCGGGATAGAGGAGAAGAGCCTTTCAACACCACGCACTGGATATGCGTAGCGCCTTGTGGAGGGGGTTTTCTTCTCCGTCATGAAGTGCCTGGGGAGACGGAAGAGAGAATTGATGTTGAATAGAATTTGGGGGAAAGACAGCTCTCTGGTTTGTTGTATCCAGAAAGACGCGAGAAAAGATAACAAGGAGACGGTGGAAAGGCTAGATGCAGCCGACGAGAGGAGAGATGTGCGGGCAAGTTACATCAATTCTTTGGCTTGTGCTAGTGATGAGAGAGAAGAGGATGATTGATGGAAATGAACAAACTCGTGTCATGTGGGATAGAGTTGAGAGGATGGAGACGAGCTTACCAAGTTGAAAGAGCCGAGTTCTCAAGGGAAAGCATCAGGGATGAAGCTGGTATATCCAGCAAGGATGTTTGAGGGCAGGAATCTATCTCACGTGATGTGCACTTGATTTGGGAGAAAGGAATCAAGTTGTGATGTGTGTGTGTGTGTGTGTGTGTGTTGGGTCAAAGGGGAGAAGTTTGAAGGGTGGAGGGTGAAGAGGAAGAGGAAGAGGAAGAGGAAGAGGAAGAGGAGAGTGAAGGGGGGAGGGCGTGTTGTAGGCGGCTGGAATAACAACTGCAAGGCACGTGTGGGCCACACACGTACTCGCACTCGCACCTCGAGGCCACACAACACACTTGCAGCTAGGGTGCAGGAAGTGCTAATGGGAGAAGCTCTTAATTCACTAAATCACCAGTTGTCTGAGCTACAGGGCATCTTTCCAGGTACTAATTCATATCCACCCCCCTGGCCTTGTGAGGTGTGATTCCAAGGAGCAAACTAATGTCAAACACATTTGCATCCATCGTCTATTGTCTCTCAAATAGTTACTTCCCATCTTCGGTTGCCTCGAATCATTATGAAGCATCAGGTGTGTAGAACATGACAGCCTTTTATTGTAATTTTGCGAATCCTGTTTCCATATATACCTGCCTAACACCTAGCCAATGTACGGAACGCGCCTTCTGAACAGAGCATCCTTGACTCAATGAGGCCATCGGCTTTGTTTTCACATCTTGTTGTTTGTTCTTGTTCTACGGGAGAACAGCAAGCGTGTTCATGGTAATGTCAGTTCGGGTTGCATTCAGCGCTGCCCCAGCCCCTGGACGTTTGATGCCAGGCACTTCCCCCTTCTCTTAGCAACATTGCTTGAAGTATTAGGTTTTGAAATTTTACAACCCTTCTGTTTGTGCACTAGGCCAACAATTATTTTGCATCTTCACTTCATCACACCCGATTTGGCTTCTATAATCATGCACTCCAAACCAACATTTGTGCTCCGAATCGACTGTCAGCAACAGGAGCAGAACCGCGATGCGAGGTAGGAATCTCCAATTCATTCTTCTTTGACAATATTGTCCATTGCTACCCGTTAGATATCCAAGGAGTTTACTGGTTTCCTATCGATGATAACCATCCTTGCATTGTTTACGTTATTTCGTCCTTCAATTCAGACAACATGACGCGAGGAGCATCGCGAGATTCTCGGCACAGAGTTATTCATGCCACTCCTACCATCCTCTCCAATGTACACAGGCAGATGAAAGAAACAAGACCTAGATTGAACAAATCTCTCCATGCAACAGCTTCCTTTGACAGGGACGCGATACCCACGTCCACAAGCACGTGGCGGATGATGCATCGCGATTCGAGAAACGACACCGTTAAATTACTGACTATCCAGCAGAAAAAATGTCAAGCTATGCTAACTTCTAGGGAGCATAGAGTGAGGGCGCGATATTGTGGGAGGCAACGCGCGCGCCTTTGTTGTCAACGCTCTGAAAGACGGCTTCAAAGAAGTGCCAACCCGCAGTAAGTATTTCTCTCTCTTTTCAAACAAAGAGACGCTCCCAGAAATTGAAACATAACCTTAACATCAGTCAGTTCTAGGAACAAAGCCAACGACGAATATTCTCTGCGTGAAGAACTCGAATACGAAGTGTATCGTTTCCTGACCGAGAAGACAGTGCACCTGCTCGATGTCTATGACAATACGACACTCCTAAAGCCGTCGTGCTTGAGTACAAGGGAGGCAAAAGAATGGTAGACATCAGGAATATGTGAATTTTCAACAGCCAATAGAACCAGGACTACGCTGCGAATAGATTCTAGAACGAGAGGAAATCCCAATACGCAAGCATTCTTTGAGCTGAGGCTGCCTTCTCTCTTTTTGGGAGAATTCTAATGTTCTCAGAGTGGACCACATGACGATACAGAATGAAATAGGAGAGCGAAATACGCATATTTTGGAGCATTCTTGATACTACGGCTACGGTTACTCGTCTTTGAGAGATGCTTCTACTTGTCTCGAATTTCGTTATGCGCAAACGAGCAATGGCCTAGCAGAGCGAGCTGAGATCTCTGCCCAGCTAAAACCAATTCAGTGACAAGAATATCATTTACAACAATTAAACCCTTTCCTATGAGCCGGAAAGCATATGGCAGAAACTACCGGTACCTAGGTATGTGATGATTGCCGACACATCTCCCCTAGAATCATCTCGACCACAAAGTGTAGGTACAAAGCAACCGGCTACCTCTGTTGTTGAGTCGATACGTTTCAGAGAGAGGAGATATACATAGAATACAACATGACGAGAAACCACAAGTTTGAAAGGCAAGCTCGCTGGGCTACGAAGACATCATTGCCAAGACATCCGATGATAGAATTCAAAGACAAATACGGCCGAGCGAAAGAATAGATTATAAGCACACTGCAGCCAATCTACATAATCTTTTTCCAAAAGCTCGCATCAGAAACAAAACGATATATATATATATTCTACGATCGTCACTGGAGGCTTTATGTGGCTATGGTATCGGCATACGTATAGCATGGCATCAGCACCCGATGTATGTGTGAAACCAGCCGAAATATGTTACGCGACACATGGTCCAACATATACGATATCTCATATGAAGCAATTATATCTGAAAACGGATTTAGTAATAGGGATTACAAGGGCCTTCAAAGCGATATTACTCTCGCCTCCTGTAGAAATGGCATACGATACAAGAAGACTGTCGAGCAACACAGTCAGGACCGGATGAGGTATAGTCGTCTAATCAAACAACGTTAAGCGTCACTTTGGGTGCTTATTTATCCTTTCGCATCGTGAGTCTGTATCCAATTCCACCGTTACTGGTTCGTCGCAGTGGCAGGGCATCAAATGAGCAGTACAGGGAGCCTTGGAGGTCAGCATTGGCGGTCGTTAAAATCCCTGACATTCCCACAACCCCATGAAGGCTCGAGAAATTTCGATCTTCAAGTGTTTGCCGTCCCAAGCAATCGTCTTCGCGTAGTATCCGACATCGGTCTCGCCGAGGCTCGCCTCCAACGTTTCTTCTCCGAATCGCGAATCAAGCCCGATATCTGCTATCAGCACCGATTCAGTAATCCATAGAACAATACATGTACCCATATGGAGACGGAGACAGGCAGCAGACATGCTGGAGAAGGCAAAAAAAAAATCACGATGGCATTTTGCGTGCTCGGCTCCTGCGAAAGCGTAATCACGCGTGGGTGCTATCGGCTCTAGGAATATGGGACATGGTCAAGCATCACGTCAACCCGCCTCGCTCTAGCCAAGGCTTAGCCAAGATGGAAAAAACGTTCTCGGCACCAGTATTTATTACACACGGGCATGCTAATCGCGATCCTATTCTTAAAGTAGAAAGAGAGATGGATCACACGACTCAATATCGGAGACCTTGTCGGATCTCAGCTACTCCAACGGCGCACCACTTTGGTCGCTTTGAGGTGTCACTAAGAATACTACTAGGTCTGGTATAGTTACACACGCCTACGCCCTACGAAACACAGAGCAGGTTTTTTCTTCTTCTTGCTTCTCCTCTTTTCTTTTCCCTTCCAGCGGATATCCTCGTTATTATAGGGTAACATTGACAGTCAACGATTGCCAGGCGGGAAGATATCTTCCCACACACACACGCCAAAAAAAAAGTGACTACTCACACGGGGCCTGCATACATGTAATATTGGTCGTATCATGCGTGACCCGTCACTTGTTAGGGAGTACGAGTGAGTACATACACGGAATATAGACTCAAAAAGACTCAAAAAGACTCCCCCCAGACCAGAGCAATGACATCAACTGAAAACCTGCATCCGAAACGGGGGAGCACAGGCAAACGGCCTTCCTGTATCGGCCAAAGGGGATCTTGTTCCGGGCAGCGGCATGATAATCACTTTTCTGGTCGCTCGCCCGCTGCAGATTTTACGTACATACGGGAGTACAAAGGCCGTGTGGGAAATGGACAGGGATGAGGCTACTGCTGTTGCTGCATCCCAAAAAAAAGTCCGGTGCAGAGTCACACCACCTTTTGGCCACTGGGGAGCGGTCGTGCCACTGCCAACTTTTATTTTGAAACAGGGCTTTTTTTTTTTTGGCCCAACCGCTTGATACGAGAAAAAGGGAACACGCTTTCAAATTTTTGACAAGCCGCGGGTTCTTTAAGTCTTCCGGTGCCGCCGGCCGTTTGGCTGCGGACCGAAAGGTGGACAGGAATCAACTCGTGATGGGATCCGGGGAATGGCGGCCTCCGCCGGGATTGGATTTTTTGTTTTTTTTGTTTTTTTGTTTGTTTTCAAACGTCGATGACCATTCAGCGGCGGCGGCTATGAGTGATGTGAGGTGGTGCTTATGCCGGTGTGTATCAAGTAACGAGTCCGCCTAGTCCAGGCATCATCATGCGATCCAACTATCATAACTAAGGGAAGGCAAATCTTCTACTACTATACTGTGCTGTACACGTATCCAAAGCGTGTCCATGACCGTTGAAGATCTGCAGGGTACATAGAGGTTACGAGTACAGATATTGGGAATCCTGTCAAACAAACAAACAAACAGCTCGAAAGCCTCTGCCGTCCCCACCGCCGTTGAGAGCGGGGTGAACTTGGCGATCAAGATGCGCCTTTGGAGATCAAAAAAGGCGGCAAAAAAAAAAAAAAAAAAACGTTTGTGTCGCCCTTTGTTAGTGCAACTCTCGGGCAGTGGAGTCGTGGCTTGTCGTCACAAGGCCTCTTGGCGCCGGGCCTCAAACGAAACCCAATGAACGGACGAGGCTCCCAAGGGGCGTTGCCGTATCGTTGAGGTTAGCAGGCGTGATGATCGATTTCTATTTATACCTTTGAGTACCAGGTATGAATGGAAACAAAAGTCGAGCGGCTACTGTATACCAGCCACCGGGAAGAATCCAATAGGTAGTCGTCCCAAACCTCGTGTTTCATTGTCCCCAGATATTGGGGGATTCGAAATAAAGTCATTAATAATAAAATGTTTCATCTGGGCTTGGGGGGGGACGTCACATTTCAATCTCGCGCCCTAGCAGGAGTCCCTATTCGCCGGCGTGCCTGGCTAGGGTGCAAAGATAGTTGCATGTTGGATTTGTCTTGTCCGCCGGTAAAATGAGTCAAGTGAGTCAAGGAGGGCGGGAGGGAGAAGCACGGCCCTTTTCCACGTCGATGCTGTACTCGTTGCAGTGCAGTAGATTGGCGGGCATGAGTAGCCGGCTGTCTGGGACTCGGAAGCCATTCAGACATCAGCTCATGGGTAGGCATGATAGGTATTGCATGTGGTTTCAGAAGTAGCCAAGCGCTGTGACACAAGAGCGCAGCTGAGAGCATTTACACGGACTGTTGGGCGGTTGGTGAACCCCTGATGCTGCTTCGATGCGTGCTGAAGGTGGTGGTGGGTTCAAGTTACTACGACGTTCATACAATGCTTTTGTATTTGTACACGCAGCAATCTGGTTCTTCATCTTTCTTGCCTTGCCAAAACAGTCAGTAATGGAGATTGAGTGGTGCCCGAATTCTACAGCAAATTTGCTTGGTTAATATTACATGGATCCAAATTCGGCACAGAGAAGCACATGCTTGTATCCAAGCATACAAGTAGCAAGCGACTGATAACAACAAAATCCTTCGCTCGGCAAGCAATAGAGACAAGCCGCCCTGGCCAGAGAGATTGCTACTACTCGTACATACAGGTATTACATGCATGCAATACTTAGTATTCGCACCTTGTGTATTGTACTTGGGGAGAGAGGTCTGGAATTTAGAGCAAGAAAATGGCCTCCGAGTCCGTATTGCCGTAGTCACGGACTACCACCTAAAGAGGATTTATCTTGCCCGTTCTTCGTCCTTTGCGGGTTGGACAAATTCAAGGCCACACGAACTTATCGAGCGCCTCTCATTTGATGAAGATCCTTGTCGCATGGATGAAATCTCTTCTCTCCGGCTTTATTAGCAGCTGCTAAAAGACTGGGTCGGGTACCCTGTAATTTTTTGGTGTAAATTTTTTTTTTGGCCTTTGGGTTCTTTCACATCGGAGATACAGGTCGGGGCTTTTCTTGGCTAGTAAGTAGTAGTAATAGTATCCTCGTATCACGGCATATCTCGTACGAGCGTGCATGGTCAAAGAAATTATTCGAAGGGCTGGGGAGGGGAAAAAACAAAAAGATGAGCACCGTGCTCTCCCCCAGCGTCGTGATAAGGCAAGCAAGGGCTGGAGTGTACGAAATACATGCTCGTACACGTACCAATATAAGACGCTGGCAAGTATTGACCAGATCAAATGGTGAGCTGAGTGGCTTGAATTGAAAGGGGGTGATGTTGAACAGGCAAACCGCCATGCCATGCCAGGGACGGCGCCTCAACCGGCCTGTTCCATGAAGGAAAACATGAACCCTGCAGCAGCGCCGTTAGACCGGCCTGACCTGACCTGACCTGGCCTGAAGAAAGCACCGGTCGAGACAGACAGACAGGATGAATTTGCGCAGCCGGGCATCGCATCCGCGCCCGCAGGCGCATTGCATCGCATCGCAGCGCATCGCATCCAAGGCAAGGCAAGGCGCCGGTCCGGTCCAGTCCAGTCCCAGTCCAGCCCGGTTCAGCCCAGCTGCCGTTTTTCTTTCTTTTTCTTTTGTTTCCGTCTCCTTCGGCGCCCCTCATGATATCGGTCCAGTGACGCTAGAGCAGGTGTCACATGGCCGATGACAACAACGTGGTGGTGCAGCTAAGCTCCGGCTAGCTGTTATCTGGCGACGGAATGTGTGTGATGCCATTGGGTGGTGTTGCGAATGGCTGCTGGTTCGCGGGCTCACACTCACACCATCCCGTCACCAACAGCAACAGCAACAGCCCAATGACCTGTTCAACGTCCCCCTTGTCCCCATACCGTACATGTACATGTACAGTCCAGACAACAATCTCGCTGACGGAGGGGCGCGCCACAAGTGGAATCAATCAATGGAGTGATGTGTGAAGGCATTTCGGTCTTGTCTTCTTGGACGGGTTGATGGGGCAGGGGTAGCAGTACATGCACGCACTGCAGCGCATTTTAGCGCCGCTCCGTACTTGTACATGGGAAGGGGGGTCCGGCGCGCCACTTTGGTGCAGCCAAGTGCCATCTCGGTACTTGATTGCGAGAGGCTGCTTGTGGTTGGTTCGACGTTCCCTGCCAGCCCAGCGTCATGCGAAATGTGTTCCATTTGATCCCATCCAAATACGCAATGTTGCCGCATCGCGAGCAAAGCAAAGCAAACCTCATCGTCTGGTGCTGGTGCGTTTTCAGCAGGTAGTACTCCGTAGTTGCACTGTACGGTAGCTGCTTGTCAATCATTGATCCATTTCACTCTCAATCTCGTGCTCATGCTCTAATGCTCTAATGCTCACTCACCATCTCACTCACTCTCACGTGGTAATTTGCATGTACGAGTACCTACTCCTACACGGCATGTACAATAGGGAGCCGCGGGAGGCGGAAGATGAGGAGGAGCATCGTGACGCTCCCCTCGCTGCCGCATCCATCAAAAGAGGCAAACAGGGCCAGAATCGAGATGGCCATTCGTCCCACATTGCTCCATCCAGTCCAGTACAGTCTAGTCAAGGCCGCGATTGACTGACACGGCATACGATACGATACGGTGCTGCGCTCGTACTTGTACCTGTTTTGCTCTGCTGCTGCTGGTTTGCGAGCATGTGCTCCGTATGGCTCGATCTCCCTCCAATTAATGCTGCGCTCGAGTTTCACCGCCACTCATCAGGGCGGCTTCTTGTTGCAGGAGAGAATCAGGAGGTCGAATCACGGCCCCCTTTGATTGATGGGCGCCCAAACAAGACCTTTCGTTCTTGTGCCCCCCCTGGCCTCCCCCCCTGGCCTGCTTCTGCTTCTGCTGCTCTCTTCTGCGACGTCGAGGTGGTACTACTTGCAGTGCACGACAGGTATAACTCCGTACAGTTACAGTAGCACCGGCGCGGAAGCGGCATGAACCTGTGGCCGCAGCACTCGTCCTTTTGTCCATGTACTGTGATCCACCGCCCAAAGGCAAAGAGGAAACAAGAAGAAGAAAAATTCGATTCCATTCTAGCATTTCCTGTGGTTCGTGCCATGGCCAGGGACCAAGGCTGGCGCACTAGTACATGTAGCCTCGAGACCAGGAGCGTTTCGGTGCAAGTGGACATTGTGGTAATAAACGCTGGATGGAGCGAGGGATCGACAAGGCAGTTGGACGGCTTGTTGCCCGCAAGGTGCATGCCGCGGTTTACCCGGGCGAATGACACATGGCGGGACAGTGCCGGCACTGGGCTGGCCCAAGTACCCACTCCGTATTGAACGACTGATTAAGATGAAATGGCCTTGATGGATGAAATAGGGGACGGCCGACCATGAGACTGTCGTCGAGCTGATTGTCTCGCCTACGTGATCTTCCTCGCCCTCTCCTTTCGCCGAGTGAAGATCGTCTTTTGCTGTTAATTACGCGTAACCAAGTCTTGCAAATACAATACCACTCTGCACCGCAAGCCGACATTTGATGCCTGACCTGCCCCGTCCACTTTTTGATCACGGTTGTAATGAGGCAACATTGGATTGCAATGCGCACTATCGTTTTGTACTTGCAACAGAGCCCAGTATACCTAGTTTCAGGAAAAGGGGGGCCGGTCCAATACTGCAATTCCCAGCCCTCACCACTTTGAGTACTTGGCAATATTCGTTGTCAAAGGAGAAGCAGGGCTGCATCATAACTAAGAATAGTATATGGAGCAACAAAGTATTGCTCTTCATGGTACCGTATACACTACGACTACACTACCGGCGGGAGCATTGGCTTGATGCCGTCTAGTCGACAGAGGATACAACGTACGAGACACCGGAACAATATGCGCAGCTGCAGCAGGCGAAGATGGATCGTGGGGCAAGGCAAGATATAATCTTAGATGGCCCTCGGCCCAAGCAAGCATCCCATGGTTCACGGCGATCCATGTTGACCAAGCTTCCAGAGGTTCTACGCGGATTCCCGAGTCAGTCCCCCCCGTGCTCGTACCGGCAGCCCATTGCCAGCTTATCGGCGGCCGTGGCCCAGACGGGACAAAGGAGAACATGGAAGCTTAGGCTGTTTAAAATGACGAGTGGAGGCTGGGAGTCATTGGGCGGAACGAAGGAGAGTGACCGGCCGGGCCGTGCGAGCAGCCGCCGAGCCGCACGGCCGCCCAAGTACCGCTACGAGCACTACTCGTACTGGGAAAGCCAGGCCAAGCGTAGGCCCGCTGCCAGCCCTGGTGGCTGCCGAACATTTCTGTCCGCCACTAGCGCAGGCCGGTCGACGGGTCTGCAATTTCAGGCCCACTCGCTTAAGGCCCGCACAGACCACGCAGGGGCCCACCGCGCCCCCGGCAACCCAAAAAAGAGAGCGCCAGAGCTCCAGAGTCTCAGGGCATTCACTGCTCCGGTTAGCGCTAGCGGGCGCCAGAGCTCAGTGAGCTGCTCCCGCCGTGGCGTCACTGGCGATGGCACAAGACGGCACTGGCACTGCATTGTCAGAGTCGTGCTGGTTGGGTTGAGCCACTGTACGGCACTCGACTGCTACTGTACGAGTACCTACACAACTACAGTACAGCTGCTATCCATCCACGCATTTTTGATGGATGGCCCTCTGCAGGGTTTCTGATTCCAGGCCTTGCCCGCTGCAAGCTGTCACACAATCTTTCCCCCTACCCTTTTTTTCTTTTCCCGTGCTCGCGCTCACAGGCAAATAAGTAGCCCTGCCACCCCCTTCTGCTGCTTCTTCTCTCCTGCTCCCACTTCTACTTTCTTCACACACCATTTCCATACCACATCCGAAAGGCCTTTTCTGGATCCTTATTTTTTTTTCTAATACCCTTTGTTTGTTGTGATACCCCCGCGCTTTAAGATACCCTTTTTTCTATCCAGAATGGCTGAGGAACAGAAGCCCGTTGAGGTCGCCGCCCCGGTGGCCGTCGAGGAGACGGCTCCCGTCGTCGTTGAGGAGACCCCCGCCGTTGTCGAGACGGCTCCCCTTGTTGAGGACAAGCCCGCTGAGGAGGCGAAGCCGGCCGAGACTGAAGAGGCTGCTGAGGCTGCCAAGGAGGAGGACAAGAAGGAAGAGGAGGCGAAGCCCATTGAGGAGGGTTTCCTGGGCCACAAGGCTCAGGGCGCCAGCTTCCCCAAGTGAGTATAGCGAGCGACAGCTTGGCTTCGCGTGGCTGCGTCAATGGAATCGAGGGGCGCTAACCAGTTCACCCTACAGGAACCTCATCGCCAGCAAGGCTTTCTTCTTCTTCGGCTCCGAAGCCGTCGAGGCTGAAGTTCTCGCCGCCTACAAGAAGGCTGAGAAGCACGTTGAGGTTGCCCAGCACAACATCGCTTGGGCCACCCACACCGGCAAGGGTCTTCTGTTCATTGGTGACAAGAAGGCCCCCCATGGCGTCATCAACCTGGTAGGCATCCATTTGCAAATAACGCCCCTTCACTGTTGAGATATATGTAGCTAACCCGAGACTTGATAGGCTGATGCCACCGAGCCTGAGACCGACGGCTCCAACAAGTTCCACTTCTCTGCCAAGGGCAACAAGCACAGCTTCAAGGCCAACTCTCTTGCTGAGCGTGACAACTGGGTCTCCCAGCTGAAGGAGAAGATCGCTGAGGCCAAGGAGCTTGCCACCACCGTCGCTGAGTCTGAGATCTACAAGCAGACCATTGAGAGCTTCAAGCCCGCTCCCAAGGAGGAGGCCCCCAAGGAGGAGGCTGCTCCCGCTGAGGAGGCCGCTCCCAAGGCTGATGAGCCTGCTGCCGCTGAGGAGACCGCCGCCAAGGAGGAAACCAAGGATGAGCTGAAGGCCGAGGAGCCTAGCAAGCGTCGCTCCGCTAGCCGCAAGCGCGCTTCTTTCTTCGGCTTCGGCAAGAAGGAGGAGAAGAAGGACGAGGCCAAGCCTGAGGAGGCCGCTGCCGAGACCCCCGCTGTCGTCGAGCCTGTCCCCGAGACTGAGGCTCCTGTCACCGAGGAGGTTCCCGTCGTTGCTGAGCCTGCTGTTGAGGCCGAGACCAAGACCTCGGATGAGGCTGCTCAGCCCGAGTCCCCCAAGGAGAAGCCCGCTGTCAACAAGCGCACCAGCTTCTTCGGCAACGTCTTCTCCAAGAAGGAGAAGAAGGCCGCCGATGTCAAGCCTGAGGTCGAGTCCCCCAAGGAGGAGGAGGAGGTCCCCGCCACCACTGAGGCTGCCCCCGTCATTCCTCCCGTCGAGGCCACCACCCCTCTGGCCGTCGATGTCAGCAGCCCTGCCACCGTCCCTACTGAGACCACCGAGGCTGCCGTGACCAACGGCGATGCCAAGAAGGAGAAGGAGAAGCGCAAGTCTTCTCTGCCCTTCACCTTCGGCAAGCGTGACAAGTCCCCCGGCCCCGCCGCTGAGGGCGAGGAGAAGAAGGGCGCGTTCTCCAAGCTCCGTGCTACCATCAAGGGCAAGGGCGCCGCCAAGTCTGAGGACAAGCCTGCCGAGGAGGCCAAGGAGGAGGATGCTATCAAGGAGGAGGAGGAGACTCCTGCCGTCGACGAGGCTGCCAAGGAGGAGGCCAAGGAGGAGGCCCCCAAGACTGAGGAGGCCGAGGCCGAGAACAAGCCCGAGGGCGCCCCCGCTGCCGCCCCCGTCGTCACTGCGGCCGCTTAGAGAACTCGCCGACAGTGAGTGTTTTACGACTTAAGACACACTTTGCAAACTTTCCTTGATATAATTGTCACAAAACACGCATGAGAGGACTGGGAATGGAAGGATCTGCATTTCTTCACAAGATACCAAGATACCCTGTCGAGACTGCTTTCACTGATACCACTTTCCATTTTTGTTTTTGCACGTCGATGGACGAAAATTCAACATCAAAAAACTTGAAAAAATCCATGTTGCTAGTATACAGCATTCGCGTTCTGCTTTGTTCGATACCCGGGAGGAGGAGATAATTAATACCTAATATACAAGATGATGTGTGTGTTCTAATCTTATTATTACTACCGTTTCTGCACCGTGAAGTTGCCTGTCTCTTTTTTTTTTCCTATTGTTGCCGAGTAAGCCACTATTGTTTGTGTCTTGTCTTTTGTTGTTTACAACTGTCTTTGCAACCCGCCAATCAACTCTCATGTGGCGAACTACGGAGTACTAACCTCTCATATATACGAGTATGCATCAAAGTTGCGGGAGCTTGAAATAGTCTCTCTTCTTCCCTTGAATGTTTTCGCCATCGTGTCTTCTTTCTGAGTGACGCTAAGCTCACTCACGTAGTTGTTGTTTGAGTCAGACAATCCCCATCTGAATTCCATAGACTAGATGATATCACAGAGAATCACGGCATTCGGGATCTGTCGCAACCAATTTTTTCTTTCCTTCTTCCTTCTATTGTCAAAATCACGCCAAAGTCAGTGGCAAATTCTTTGTACTAAACAGTAGTCTATAGCAGAGAGGACGTGAAGCCGGGCTTCTTCTTCTTCTTCTTCTTCTTCTTTAATTATGGGTAACATACGGAGTACAGTATTAGAACGGCGAAATGATTCAAAAAACAAGAAGCGAGGATTTTCTCATCGCTCCACTATTTACGCTTATACATCTACCGGCGCAAGTGGGCTGTCTCCGTACAGTATTGATCTTTTCTTTGTTCGAAAAAAAAAACCCGTGTCTACGCGTATGCATGGACAATTCGAAATCCCATCCCCATCACAGCCTTGCGTTAAAAAAAAAAAAAAGTCGGGGACAGGAACCCTGAACCCACCCGAGGGATCCGGAATGTAGGAGCTGCAACGTGGTGAAAATTCCCGTGTCTGTATTTCTTTCTACTAATATGATATGCTATATCCGTATGCCCGCCATTATTAATATCCCTGCCTTCCCGCAACATCCTTTTTTGTGTATATAAAAAAAATTCCCATCGTGAATATCGCTCTCTCGGGACATAACTCTAGCTGTATTTATGCCCGGCCCATCCTTCTTCGCAATCGTATGCAAATGGAGACTTTGTCTAAAACAAACTTGGTATCTGAGGAAAGCAGCCTCGCAAATACGAGCAAGCATCAACATGAAACAAAAGAGAAAAAAAGAAATCCCTGGCTGGCTATTTTCGCATCCGACTCCGCCCAGTATACTTGAGGAAACATGAAATAGAAAGGATTAAACTCCCAAACAAGTCGCAAAAGGTACCGAAACGCCCGCCCGAGGCTTGAAATGAACACGCTAGGCACCCTCATGTAGGTAAACCTAAAACATGCTGAAAAAGATGGACAAAGCGGAGAGAGAAAAAGGGAAAAGGGAAGAGGTTGGAAATACCACGGCGTGTCGTATTCATGAGACATCAGACGGGGCGTGCCTTGCAGAGCGAGACAACAGAAACATGGTCGCATGACCCGTTTCTCCTTCAAAAGGGAGATTGGATGCCCTTTATGCGTCTTCCGACACAGAAAGGCTCTGGTACTTGCCCACTAGCTCCTCAATCTTGGGGAGCAACTCGGGAATGCGGAATGGCTTGGAGATAACATCATCCTGTGTAATTAGTCGGTCAGCGACATTGATCCATGACGTGTCTATAAGGCAGCAGGTCCGAGACTCACAATTCCGGCAGCCTTTGCATTTTCAATCTGCTCAGGCCGTGCATACGCCGTGACCGCAATGATGGGGATGTGCTTGATGATTGTCCCCTCCTTTTCAAGCTCGCGAATCTTCCTTGCGCAAGTCATGCCGTCCATGACAGGCATCTCCAAATCCATCAGGATGACGGAAATATCGACGCCTTCTTGTTCTTGGCCCGCCCAGAACCTCGATTTTTGCAGCGTCTGCAAAGCCTCTTTGCCGTGGTTGGCTACGAACGTGTTGTTGCCGTAGTTGCGCAGCTGTCGCTGCAAGACTTTCTGGTTAACAATGTTGTCCTCGACAATGAGGACGTCAAAAAGGGGACTGCGGCCTGCATCCGACTGGCTCCGTGACGTGGGACAGCTCGCGGGCTGGCCGTGGGTAGGCGGAGATTGAATCTTGCGTTCGAGCTTGAACGGCGTAATGTGTTCGTACTGAGACGGAGGGTTCAAGCATTTGCGGCTTTGAACATAGAAACTGAACTTGCTCCCAGCGTCTTTCTGAGAAGAGACTCCGATTTGGCCTCCTTGCATTTCGGTCAAGATCCTCGAGATGAACAGCCCTAGCCCAGAACCCCCGTACTGCACATGCGTCCGGGGAGACGCCTGCGAAAAGCGTTGGAACAAGACCTTCATTTCTTCATCGCCCAATCCGGCGCCCGTGTCCTCCACCGAGCAGTGGATGTTGAACCGCTCACCGGTGCCCCATTCCTCTTCGTTGTCGATATCCATGCCGACTGTCCGCTGGACGTCGTTCCGCTCAAAGTAAAAAGTCCCTTGACTGGTAATCTCCGAGATGTCCTTGGTAGCGCACATGCTTACAGTAATAGCACGCTTCTCTCGGCCCTGGGTGAACTTGATGGCATTGGTCAGGAGGTTGATGAGTACTTGCCTCAACCTTGACGGATCCAGCTTGGCCCAAGTAACTCCATACGTCTCGAAGCTGTTGTCGACCCGAAACTCAAAGTCTATGTCGTGAGCAAGCAGTTCCGACTCGAACATCTTCAAAGTACGGTGAACGACTTTGATCGGCTGTTCATCGACGGGAGTAACGGCCAGCAGGTTGGAGTCGAGCTTCGACAGCGTCAAGATGTCGTCGACGATACGCTTCTGGTGGCTGGCGCACAAATTGATGGTGTTGGCGGCGTCAAGACAAGACTCTAAAAGGGCGTCCACCTCTATTTTATCCGAATGGGCCGAGAACGAAGCTATGCTATTGGCGATTTGATCAACGCATTGAAGGATAGCCGATAAGGGGTTCCTCATTTCATGGCTCGTAATGTCGATGAAGTTTTCCTGCTGCCGCTTAAGCTCTACAGCCTCTTCGCGCCTTTCGCTCTGTACCTTTTCAGCCCATTTCTGAGAGGAAATGTCTGTGATACAGCCAAAGATGGACGTCAAGTTGCCATCAGCATCCTTCTCTGGAAATGCGCTCATCAAAACCCAGGTGTCGACTGTGTGATCTCCACACAGTTGGCTGCAGTTGAATCGAAACTCCACCGAGATGGTCATCTTTTGCTCAAGAAGCTTTGTCCAAGCTGTCATCAACCCTGGCTTGTCTTCGATCCGTACGCTGTCCATCCAGGCGGTGCCTATCTGGTCAGACCGAGAATGTCGGGAAATCTGCCACCACATATCGTTGCAATAGTTTATATGGCCACTTGGGTCGGCGATGAACATTCCAACCGGCGCGAACTCGGCCATGCGCGTAAATTTGGTTTCCAGCTCTTCGGCTTCCTGCGTACGCTGCCAAAGTTGCTCCGAGAGCTCCTGGCGGTCCAAAGCAGCCAAGTGAGCCGCCCGCTGGCCACGTCGAATTTCTTCCTCAAACAAGAGAACTGAGGCCATGGAAGTGGCCAATTGCCGTGACAAAAGGTGGATGAACAGTTTGTAGTCGTCGTCGTATGGCCGCCGGGGGTTTACGCCTAGTACTATAAATCCCGTCACAGCTTCGCCCGTGGTTGTAGGGACAACTGGGAAGACGACGATTGTCCTGCAAGGGTCGCCGAAACCCCGCCACTCGAATCCTTCTATGAGATGCTTTGGTAGGGTACCGTCCTCTTCGGAAAGCACAACAGGGGTGCCGCCTCTTGCCAACGACTGCCGTACATATGGCGCAAACCCTTCATCTGATGTACGTAGGTCCAAAGTTGGTGGGGCTGCGATATGACCCTCCGGAACACCAGGAGATCCTTCGAGAATAAGCTGAGGGGAGTGCGGGAGGCTACCCGACTGTAGCGATGACACTTCACTTTCGGCATCATCCTTGATGGAATAGATCATGCTGAAAGGAAGGTCATACTCGTTGAACGCCAAGCCTAACCTGACCTGCGGCCAAAACTCGCTGACGGAGGCTGCCGACGCCGTCCGCTCTCCAATCTCTCGCAAGGTGAGCATTCGGCGTTCGTTGATCCTCCGCCGGGTGTTTTCGAAACTTGGGTTGAACAGGCCAACAACCTCGCCTTCTTCGCCAAGAAGAGGAATGATGGACCATGAGAAGAAGGTTTCTTCCAAAAAGCCATGTCGGTTGATGAAGAGTTGGTCATCATTCTTCATCGTCGCTTGGCCAGACTCCCAAGCTGACTTGAATATGGGGGAGAACTCTTCGTTGAGCTCGAACCAGGCATCTCCGTACCGCTTGCCCATGAGGGATGGATGTTTACTGCCTGCCAGTGCCACAAATGCGGCATTGTAGATGCTGACGTATTCACGGCCCCAGTACATGGCAGCCGGATTGGGGCTTCCCATGACTAGATTTGCCATGGCTCTCAGGCTGTAGCCCCATTCACTCATAGGGCCAAGAGGCGTGGAGGCCCAATCTACTGACTTTGCTAGTTTGATGTGTTCAGGCAGGTTATCGCTGTACGGAATTCTGGTCCAGTCAAAGGTCGACCTTACAGGCTGTGATTGCAGCACTTGGTTAGTAAAGTCATCTGGATGGCGGCGGTTGATGTCATATATCGGCTCTATGGTGCCAGTCGCGGGAGTTATATCGGTTGTGTCCATGGGCTCAATCGTAGGCTTCGCAGTCGCGGTGCCAAAGTAATCTTGTGGCTCGGGGATGTCAGCAGCGGGTGTAGCTGGAGTCGATAGACAGTCGCCACTACCATCTTGCCCCGACATAGGTACCTCCCCCTCTTCTTCCTCCTCCATCATCGCATTTGGTGAAGCTTGGCGAGTGGAGTGATGGGTAATGTTCCCGCTGATGAACCGAAATCGACGCCTCAAAGTTGTGCATAGCCACGTAATCCCCCGGTATTCGTACGTCGGCGAGGGAGTATCATGGGGATCAACGCCGTTTGTCAAAACCCAGGATCTGAAGTCATTGAAATCCTCCATCGAGTCGGGAGTAGCAGGGTCTTCCTGGTCGGGGCTTAGATGGCCGTGGAGTGACTCAGACGCTCGTAGAGAGGCGTTGTAGTACACTATGGGCAGCCCAGGCCGTTGAGTGTTTGCTGGGTTTGCCAGATCGACGAGGAACGTGGGCCTGTCGTCGTGCTCGAGAAGCTCAAGAACACCAACACCCTGGAGCATCTGCAAGCTGGGAGGCAGGCTGCGCACGTCAGGGCTTAGGGACGGCGCAGACATGTCCATGGAAGATGGCGTGCTGCCAGAAAGAGCGGCATTCGTGGAGCTAACACTTGCTCTGGGGAGCTTGAGAGTCGTCATGGGGTCTGCATCGTCATTGCGAGCGTGTGCCAGAATGGCAGAAGCCACATCTGAGACGGGAACGCTTTGAGGGCGAGAGAAGTGCCTCGCAGGGGCATGAGAGAAGAAGAGGGGAGAGACTGCATCTTCGCGGCTTACTTGGAGTGCGGCCTTGTGTGCTAAGGGGAACATGGCATCGCTCAGCATTTCGAGCCTCCTAGGGGGAGAGGCCCCGGTCCGAGCCTTCTTGACTGGTGTCGACCCCATGGCCTGGTCGTCCTTGACTTTGCGCGACTGGCGCTTTCCAATGCTATCAGCCGACGATAGGCTTGCGGCCAAGGCTTCGTTGAGGCTGGGATAGCTCCTGTGCGACGGCAGGGCTGTGATTGGATGCGCAGGGGATGGCGAAGAGCTTTGGTCTGGATTGTTACTGTCAGTATGCCATGACGCCGCCGATCGGCCTGCCGAATGGTGTCTCGAGTGCTCTAGGTGGCTCTGTGCAAAGCTGCTGCGGAATGGTGAAGAAGCCGTCTCCAATACCGCAGCAAGAGGTCGAGGAGAGGCGGCAGCTTCAGCTTCGTCTTGAGAGGCCAAGGCGGGATTCGGCAACCCGGAGTCGAAGGCGCCGGGTGCCCGAGTCGAAGACGCTGCTGAGGACGGATGGTGGACGGGAGCAGCAGGAAAGGCAGTGGCAGGTTCAGAAACAGGGGAACGGGCAGAGGCGGAGGCGGAGGCGAAGCCAATGCTATCGGCGGAGGTGTCGTCCTTTTCCTGCATCAAGGCGCCGGTGGGGGGACGAAGATGCCAGAAAGCGAGGGAGGGTCGTGGGTTCGGCTCGAGTCGAAAAGCTTGGAACAAGGCAGGCTTCCGATGAAGACCAAGACCCAAGATGCGGCTTGGACTGACTGACAGCGGGGTTTATGGAGAGGATGCTGCGCTACTAGGACGGCGAACCTTGCACGATAGCGTGGTCTCGTAAGGGACCTAGGCCTAGTAGGGGACGAGATCGAGATGGCGAGGGTGGATGATGGAGTGGGTAACGGAGCGTTGATCCTCTGCAACGTCTTTTCTCCAACGGTTTTTGCCTCTGGAGGGCATGCGAACAGGGCCCAAGCACGGCAGACGATGGCGACGATAGGCCTGTGGCTGTGATATGACGGGCGAGAGCTGGAGTACTCGTATGTACCGGCGGCGGTAGTATTTGGATCTGCGCGCGCCAGCACGGGAGGCGAATCCGGACAGACACGCAGCTTATCCAAGACCCTCGAGGATTAAGCAGCGCGCAGTGAGAAAGGAGAATAATCGTAAGCAGCTGTGAGCGGGTGACGAAGGATCAGGATCAGGGGAGATTTGCGCAGCGCGGAGGAGAGCAGAAGAGGGCAGAGCAGAGCAGAGCACTTGACAGCTCGCAGAGCAGAGAGGGGGTTTGATTTCGGATGGATTGCAAGTCGCCCGGCTCTGAATCACTCAACACACACACGAGTACACGGCGGCGAGTGCCGGTCTAGAGCTTCGGAGCCCAAGTCTGAGAGTTCTGAGGTCCAGAGAATCTCAAGGTCTACAGTAGAGCCGGGGATGGTTGACGGACCCGACAATAAGGGTCGCCTGGTGGTGGGACTGCTGATCTGATCAGCACGGCGAGTCTGGCTGTGGAGATGGGCAGCTGTGCTAGTGGTGAGGACGAAGCAGAGCGCTGATCAACCGCCAAACCCTCGATTCGAGCATGGCGGGATTTCGTATTATGTGGTATGTGGTATGTGGTATTATGCCGGCACCTCAACCGGACTGTGAGCAGCTGAAGGAGTGTTACCATGGATGCTAATGCCAATGCTGGCACGGGTGAGATGGATTGAAAGCAGGGAGACGAACGGGGCGCCTCGGTGGGGGAAGCAAAAGGCCCCATCCCGTCCAAGGTCTGTCCATCACGGGTCAATTTTTGGGCTTCAGAGCGCTCAACCTTTTTGTGGTCAAGTCCTTTTTTTTCTCTTCCTTTCTTCTCCTTTCTCTTCTGTGACTACCTTGATACTATACGATACTCTTCAACACTACTAATATGAGCGGGCTGCACGGAGTACGTTGCACCAATCTATTGACGACATGTCAGGCGGACGGTCTGCGCTGTTGTACTGTAGCATACCTACATGTACCTACATGTACCTAGCATAGTGCATATACACGACTATGCGCACCGTCGCGTTTCCTTCCAGCACCGAGATGGATCTCCTCGGGTAATTCCCACATAGCAAGGCTTGGTTCTGGCCTGGCAGGGATCCGCGGAGGTGCCCCTCCGAAGCCGACAGCCTTTTTCTCGGCTGGAGCTGGAGGAGGCATACGAGTAACGGCTGTCTCAACAACAACATGTGGACAGGCGGCGTTGTGAGATGGCCGATGTTCTCTGCACTCACGACTCACAGCATCGAGATCGGGTCTGCCAAGGTTCCATATACAGACAGACAGACACCCGCGACATACTCATCACGTCGGTATAAAGTGCGTTCTGTATCGATGGGTAGGCACTTTGCTTGTATAGTTCACGACTGGGCATGTACAAGTACAGTTGTATGTAGTATAATAAAAGCAACTTGAACCTAGATCCCTGTTCTTGATTCTCGATTTCTGAGCGAGAGGTGGACTGAGACTCACGCTTGCATTTGCTACCGCCGTAGACCGGTCTAGATGCCTTTGCGCTGCCCGCTAAAACAGGGGCCGCAGGGTTGATTATTTGCCGCTGGGGAACTGAAAATTTGGATTTTTTAGGGCGCCAACGGGAGGCAAATTGAGGAAGAAAGATGGCGATGAAGCTGGCAGCTTGACTTGAACATTCTCTACTTGTCCAACCAAGAGGCTTGAGGTTAGCAGGTAGTATAGTCGTGCCTCGGCACCTACCTAAGCAATCTACAGCATTGGCCACCAGGTAGTGCGGACGGCTAGAGTTGAGTGCTTGGTATCTTTTCTCTTCACTATCCCGTAGAGGCTTGAGAAAGCGGGAAAAAAGAAGAAGAAAAAAGGTCCACACCCCCCAACCGGAAGTAACCTCTGAATAAAAGCCGTTAGATATGGAGTAAAGGATTTGCGTCACGCTGCATGTGATGCGTGGAAAAGAATGGATGCGAATATCATGGAAGCGACCTCCCACGATAGCGAGAGAGAAACAGCCATTCCAGGACGAGTTCTGTTGACAAGACGGGGACTTGGTAAACAGCCTTGAAGATGTTTCAAGGTTTGATAGCACATATCCGCATAGTAATAGAACCCAGGAGCACTATAGTACAAATCAGCAATGTCCTTGTGTCCCTACATTAGTACAGTACACGAACTCAGTGGTTTGAGCTTTTAGCGCCGCGGATATTGTCGCTGGCCCTTAATCTATCCTGCATGTGCCTTCCAGGTTTCCAGGCACCTATGCGAAGCAGGCCCCCTACCCGTTATCCCCATATGAACCTCGCTGCAGGCCGCTCCAGACGCGGCCATTTCACGCAATGACATGGGCTGATCTGGTTGCGCGGCTGGCAAGTCGTTTAATTATGTGTGCGGATGGGATGCTCATTTAGCTACAAGCAAAGCATCGCGGCATGAACGGGTCGATGGATGCCGAGCGACTAGTTGGAAATTGCTACCTGGTCGAGCGCCAACTCTTTCAAGGTTGTATATGGATATATATAGGGAAATTGTATCAAGCCCACCCCTAGGAGTAACCAGCACACCCGGTAAACCAAGGGCTCAGCTATTCAGCCCCCCAAGTTGGATATCTAGCACCCCAATGACTGTGCGAGTACAAGTGTTGGAACAAGATGCGAAGAACGGTCTGGTCTCTTATTTATTACAGGTACTTGTACTTGGGTTATGGACATTTGGGTCCCTGAAGCTTTACGTTTAAGATATGAGATGCTGGATAGCAAACTCGGGGTGCTAAATAGCCACTCCCTGAATATATCGATGCTATGCTTATACCTTGATGTTGCTCGTCAGCAGATAAGCCGTTGCAGTCATTATTAGACAGTATGGCTAACAGAGCTTCGACAATCGCAAATGTCGCTTGCTGATCACTTGCTGACATACTGTATACGAGGAGTTGCTGATCTGGCCGGCTCTATGACTGGCTAAAGAAGCGTCAATCAAGCTATCGATATGGTAGAAAGACAGCTGGACAGCACTCGTCATGTTCCCAGATTCAATATTTGTTTCATGGCGTTTATGCAGAGTCTCATCTTGCCGCCCCAAAAGGCCGGATCCCGTTCCGAGCGGAGAACGAGTGGAGCCTCTGAGCGTGTCTGTATGAGAGATTTGAGGCTGTCACAGACACTGTCGCACAACGTGTACCGCATTCTGTAAGGGTTGATGAGGCTCCCACATTACTAACGGCCTGGCCTGGTGGCGGCGACTCAGACAAGAGACGGTCGCGGCGGAAGAGGTGTTCGCCGCCTCCAAGCCAAGTTGATGGTCAGCTTACTCAGACTTTGGCGCACGACGCATTTACACAAGAAGAATGGAAGAGACGAAGACTCATTTACACGTGCAAATGAAGAGTAAAATCGGTATCTCTTATATGGAATAGATGGGTAAATCTAGGAACCTCATTACAAGTATGAGTCCTGTACTCCGTACTCCATTTGTATGCAGCATACTCGCTGTGTCAAGATTGGGGGGCGCCCAGGCACGGCAGCTTCAAGCAGACACAAGTCCCAATCCCGTTTGATAGCAAAAAGCTCGAGTCGGCGCACTAAATGGCGCCACCTGTCGACCCCGTCGAATGAGGTTCCAGAGCAACAAGCTTGTGCGAGCGTCAACTTCCAACAACGCGAAATGGCGTCAACGTTCAAATTGCCTTGAGCGGATGCCGGAGCCGGGCGCCTTTTGGGTCGTACTCGTACCTGTACAGCACAGTAACATCCATGGATGTATACGAAGATGCCAGACATCCGATACTAGTAGTAGCTGCAAGAAACGTGCTCGACATCACCAGCAAGCAAGGGAATGGGCGCATAAACCCACGAGTCGACCCGGGTTTTTAAATCACTTTGAATGTCCATCTTCTCGAGATTCCCACTCAGCTGTCCAAATCCCGCAACGAACGGCAGCCCTCGCAGCGCCGTGATTGGCCCGTCAATGTCCGGCCCGGCCAATCGAGCCATGCATCTCCGATCTTGGGCGCTTAAACATCCCATCGAGCCGCCGCTGCGATTGGTCCGAGGCCTTGCTGTCACCCGCGGTCGGTCCAATCACGAGGCGCGAAGCCCATCACAGGCTCAAGCGCCCGCACCTTGCAGAAGCCTTTCCCCACCTCCCAGCGAGTGCCAATGAAGCCCATCAGCTGGAGGCTATCACTGGTCGCTGGAAGGGGCCCCGTTCGCAGAGCCAAGAGGCGCCGGTTCCCTCTCACAGGCCCTTTAAACGGCCGCCGCCCCCCCCCCCAACGGCAGCGATGGGCAGCGTCTGGTTCAATTCAATAAAGCTGTGCTGTGCTGTGATTTTTTTTTTTGTTGAACGAAATATTCGAGGCTGGTCCGAGTTTCTTGGAGTTGAAGCGCTGGGCGTTGTTTCTTCCAAGATCGCGACGTCGACCAACTAACACGGGTGCATATGCATATGCGGACATGAGCCTGTAAGGTGCTTCTGCCAAGCCCAAGCGCGCATCCGAGCTTCAATTCTCGACGCCCTGCATAACGGGTTCGATTCGATTTCGCGCAAACCCAAACCATTATCGAGTTGCATCTCTGCAATCGACAAGCAACCAAGGACTACTCTCGATAAGAAGATCCAAAAGACAGTCGACAAAATGGGCATCCTAGACACCAACCGGCCGTTCACATACCACATCCTCCATCGAAAATGGCCCAGAGTCCCGAGACTGGCCATCCGCTGGCTGATGCTGGTGGAATTCATCGGCCTCGTTCCCATCCTGACCATCTTTGGTCTCTCCCAGCCCGATCTGTATCGATCTGCCATGTGGAAGATTGGCTGGGACCATCGCCTCAACTCGAACCCCGACGTCATCCTCTTCGCCTATGCCAACCATGTGGCTCAGCCAAAGATCCCTCTCATCTGGTCAAGAACGTGAGTTATAGCTCAACGCTGTAAAAGGGGGAAATTCTTTTACTGACAGCGTCATATCAGACTCACTGACTTCAATGTCGCCATCTCCGTCATCTCTCTCTTCTTCCTCCTCACCAAGCTCATCGCGGTCATCATGAGAATCTGGTACCCCCTCCTGTCTACTGTAGGCAGTGTGGCGCTGGTTGTTCTCTACGCCGTGAGCACCTATGGCCAGGTTGGCCCCGACTACAGTGATCCGAGATACCCGGCCCCGGCAGCATGGTACTTTAGATACGGCTGCGATATGGCCAAGCCGTATGGACAGTACACCAACTGCCAGATTGCGCAGGGCTCGCTCTTCATCACGCTGTACATGCTGTAAGTCTCGTTCGATATCTGCGCCACGGTTTCTCTGCACGTATGCTAATTTATTCACAGGACCACGTACGTGATTGTCCTCGGCTTCTCGCTCTACTGCATGTGGCCCAACCCCCTCAACAACCTCGAGACCGACGAGGATGAGGACGACGAGGCACCAAGCATCAAGGAGGGCAAGGGCGTGGAGATGTCCGGTTGGCCAACCAACATGAAAACCCCAATGGCATCGGGAGCCATGCCTTTTACGCCGAGAACACAAGCCTTCCACATCCTCGACCGAAAGCTTCCGCTAAGACAGGAGCACGAGGCGATGATATACTCTTAGGGCACACTGTGTTTTGTTTTCTTGTCTATTGATACGTCCTCTGACAAATGGGCGGCTTGGGTTTACTCGGCGGGAAAAATCGGCGCAAGGCGTTCCATGCTTTTTACGCATGTAATATAACGGACGGTTAATGATACCAGGCCCTGGAGGCTGACAGGCACAGGCACAGGAGGAGGGACAAAAGGCCACCTCCAGAAATTGCCACCGTCCACCTATATGTTTTCTCTTTTCTCTTCTTTTCTTTTGTCTTATATATATATATACCCACATTTGATGAACAATCCAGCCAAATATAGCAAATCATTCTCCTTGCAGCCTTTGATTCCAAGCCATGAGTCGCCGCATATCGCAGAGAACAAGATAACAACCAGACAACTTCCGGTTCGAGGCGGAATCTTCCGTCCCGGCCCAGCTCCGGAATCGCAACCCAGAACCGGCCCGGCCTCTGCACATCAAGTAATGGATCCATAGTGAAGATTGATTCCACCCAAAAGTCCATCTGCACCGCTTCTAGCGCCTAGAATCGGAATTTGGACCCTGGCCAGTGCCGGCATTGGCCTTGTGACCCCGCCGCTGCACTCCCGCGTTTTCGAGACGTCAGAGCTGCAACGCTGTGCTTTTCCCCGCCTCCATCCGCACCTTTTGACCCGGCCCGGTCGTCGAAGGCTGTCTCCTCCGCATTCTGCATTTCCAATCACATCCCGAGGAACCTCCCCCCCCCAATTGAAGGCCGCCGGTTTCATTTCGCGAGTCCTTATATAGGTTGACCCGTTCTCTTTTTTGTCGACTTCTCCCCTCTTTTTTGTTTGTTCCCATGGCGTTGCTGCATAGACTCGCTTCTCCCTCGACATTTCGCTTCGCTCCCGGTGTATCGTCCGTATTATACAGAAGAGCTTCAACCATGGTTCCCAAGGTGCGTGCGCCGTGACGCAACCGCCCAGTGTCCAATTCCCAAAACTGGCTGAAGGCTAATCCGAATTGAAAACGTGCAGCTCAGAGATCCGTCCTTGCTGAAGCAGGATGTCTGCTATGTCAATGGCCAGTGGGTAGCTGCCAAGTCTAGCAAGACATTCAAGGTCAACGGTTAGTCGCGCCTCGTGTTTCCATCTTCTCGAGTGCCTCTATGAAAGTAGCTAACCAGTGTTTTTACCTCTCGGATCTCAGACCCTGCCACTGGCGAATTGATCGGAACTGCCCCCGAATTCACCGTCGACGACACCGAGTCAGCCATCACTGCCGCTGCCGATGCTTTCAAGACCTTCCGCTCGTTGACCGGCCGCGAGCGCTCCAAGATGCTGCGCAAGTGGTACGACCTTGCCATAGAAAACGCCGAGGATATTGCCCAGCTTATCACTTGGGAGAATGGAAAGCCACTTGCCGATGCCAGGGGCGAGGCTACCTATGCTGCCAACTTCTTTGAGTGGTTCAGCGAGGAGGCGCCGCGCACATATGGCGATGTCATCCCCGCCACCGTGCCCGGAAACCGAGTGTGGACTCTCAAGGAGCCCGTTGGTGTCTGCGGTCTGATTACACCGTACGTCGAACAGGATACTTCTCATTGTAGGATGTATATGCTGACACAAGTGGCCACAGTTGGAACTTCCCCGCTGCCATGATCACCCGAAAGATTGGCCCTGCGCTGGCTGCTGGATGCACAGTCGTGTGCAAGGCTCCCGGAGAGACACCATTCACAGCCCTTGCGCTCGCCGAGCTGGCTCACCGCGCCGGCATCCCCAAGGGTGTTGTCAACATTGTGACGACATTGGACAACACCGTGGCCATTGGCGAACTATTGACTACTCATCCCACCATCAAGAAGGTTTCCTTCACTGGCTCCACTGGTGTCGGCAAGCTCCTGATGAAGCAGTCATCCGCTACACTCAAGAAGCTGTCACTGGAGCTCGGTGGAAACTCTCCCTTCATCGTCTTCGACGACGCCGACCTCGACGGCGCCGTGGCCGGCGCCATCATGTCTAAATTCCGATCCTCAGGCCAGACTTGCGTGTGCGCCAACCGAATCTACGTCCAGGAGGGCATCTACGAGGCCTTTGTGACAAAGTTTGTCGAAAAGGTCAAGCAGTTCAAGGTTGGCAACGGCTTCGCCGAGGGCACCACCCACGGCCCCCTCATCCACGACCGCGCCATCTCAAAGGTCGACGCCCACGTCCAGGACGCCGTCAAGAAGGGCGCCAAGCTCCTCGTCGGCGGCCAGAAGTTGCCCGAGATCGGCTCCAACTTCTTCCAGCTCACCGTCCTCCGCGACATGAAGGCCGACATGGCCATTGCCTCGGAGGAGACTTTTGGCCCCGTTGCCGGCCTCTTCCCCTTCAAGACCGAGGCTGAGGTTGTCCAGCTGGCGAACAAGTCCGAGGTTGGCCTGGCCGGCTACTTCTTCTCTCGCGACTTGGAGCGTGTTCACCGAGTGGCCGAAGCTCTCGAGGTCGGCATGGTTGGTATCAACACAGGCATCATCTCCGACCCTGCGGCGCCTTTCGGTGGTGTCAAGGAGAGCGGTTTCGGCCGAGAGGGATCAAAGTATGGTATTGCAGAGTACCAAATCACCAAGATGATCACCTACGGCGGCATGGGTAAGCCTCTGCAGAGCTAAGTTAAAAACGAGATAGAGTAGCCAATGTTTTTTTTAATAATGAAATAACGACATCATACCTACACAAATGGGATGAATGAATACTGGAAGTGAACCTGTTTCATGTTTTCCTTTTTAGATAATGGCATCGTAGTCCCAACTGTGTTTGGCCTCAGCGAATAGTGACCCCAGGAACACATGTAATATCAAGACGGCCAAAAAAGGCAAAATCTAGTCAAAATCTAGTCAGAAAAGGAATTAGACTTCTAATAGAAATCCCAGCCGTCTACAACTCTATTTACATTCTTCTGTACCTAGTAAGAAGCACCAGTTTGATGCATTCGACTCTGATGCTGAAAGCCAGTTGAAGCTTTATAGTGTCTTCTTTTCTGCAAATCCCCAACAATTAGTAACCAGACTATGTGGCGCAGTGGTTAGCGCAGTCGCCTTACAAAGTAATACCGCGAAAGGTCGCAGGTTCGACCCCTGCCATGGTCATTTCTCAGTATTGAGATTTCTCTTTTTGCCCTTATTAAGGTCCCTATCGTCATTTGTTGTTGTCTTTTTGACACTGAAGATTTGCGGGATGCTTATTGCTTGCTCCCTTATAGATGTCGTGGTGATGTTTCCTTTTTGGCCGGAAGATCTAATGGTGGGGTAAGAGTTACGTGAGGTTATGGAAACCGCTGTAAATGGTTTCGTTGATGAGATGATCAGTGTAAATAGATGATGGCAAGATAATTGAACTCCATCCAATTCTCGAATCTTGTGTCTCGAGTATATTGCTGTCGTTTTACAAGCAGTAAGCTTAATATGTAATTTTATCTTACAAGGTGGGACAGTTACCAGACATCACAACATTACACCCACCATCATAATGAAGAGCAGAGTATAGCCATCTCGAGTTAACTTCTCTCGCTTATTCCAGAGTACGGAATGAAGGGAAAAAAATGATTCAGACGTCTCAGATATTTAATTCAGTTACTCGCTCTACTGTATTCGGCAGCTCCTCAAGCAGACTTCTTGTGCCCGTCAACCTCTTACCTCTTATCTTATCGTACCGAGTACCGACGTCACCCCACCTGCAAGCTCTTAACGAAACACAAGACCATCCTCACCATCAACACCAACACATCCATTGCCATGGCGCTCTCTCGCACTAGCAACCTTGCCAGCCATGGAATGCGCCTGTTGGCGCAGAGACAATCGTAAGAGCACCCTGTCAAACCAATTGCCACTCCCACGAACAGAACAGCTCAAGCTAACCTTGGCATTCAACTTCATACAGGCGCCATCTCTCCAGCATCTCCCCTCTCCTCCCATTGACGAGCGTTACACACACAATCAGACCCTCTCACGCCCCCTCATCCGTCCGTCCATTCAGCAACTCCGCGCCTCTCCTCAAAAAGCGCAAAATCGCCGGCGCAAGCAACAGCCCCTCCTCGCGAGACGCAGACTCCGCCGCTCCCTCACCCTCACCCTCGCCCTCCTCCTCCTCCAAAGCCGACCACGGCCAGCCCAACCCCGAAGACCCCCTCGACTTCTCCTCCCTCACCGCCGCATACGTCTCCATCGACGCCCACTTCAAGGCCCAGCTCCAGGCCGTCCTGCACGGCGGCCGCTTCAACCCCGACGCCCTCGGCGCGCTCTCCGTCGCCATCAAGGACGACGATGGCTCCAAGGTCACCTTCCCCCTCCGCGAGCTCGCCCAGATCGTCCCCCGCTCCGGACGCATCATCTCGCTCCTCGTCAACGAGCGCGACTACCTCAAGCCCATCATGTCCGCCGTCCAGGCCAGCAAGGACTTCAACCAGCAGCCCCAGCGCTCCGAAGACAACGAGCTCGAGCTCCTCCTCAAGGTCGAGATGGAGCGCAAGGAGGACCTCGTGCGCCGCGTAAAGGACGCTTGCCAGGGCTGGAGGGACCGCGTGCGCCAGGCTCGCACCAAGCATGAGAAGGCGCTCAAGGACTGGAAGAAGAATGGTACTGTCCTGCCCGACGTGGTGCGCAAGGCGGACAAGGAGCTGCAGAAGCTGCAGGACAAGAAGATGAAGGAGATTGACGGCGAAGAGGCGCAGGTGATTAAGCAGATTGAGCGCAGGTAGGTTCCCGGCGTGTGCGCGTAAGAGGACCGCCCATACCCATTTGTAAAGTAGAGATTTGATATATATCACACGAGGAATTGCAGCGGATATGAACATGTATGTTTCCCATTTATGAAGATTTTTACATCAAAACAGCAGCCGGTTCTCTATCGTTCTTTTAATCGTACAAAATACTTTTTTTTTCTTTGTCTTCTTTCATCAACTTCTCCCACGTCAAGCCTTCGCCTGAGCCTTCACATTCTTGCCTCCCTTACCAGCCGTCCCCACGCCCAACAACGTCGTCAGCTTCTTCTCAAACTTCTCCACGTCCCTCTGGGTGTATGTCCCAGACCTCAAGTGCCACGCCCTCGAAATACCAACGGGATCCGTCGCAAACCGCGGCGTCTCGTGCTTCCCCGCCACGGCCTGGTCAAGAATGGCCTTCTTGACAGCCTCCTCAGCGTCCTGGATAATGGGCTGCTGCTCAGCGGGCACCTCTTTGCCCTCAGCCAGCAGCTTCTCCCGCCGCTGCCCCTGGAGATACTGCTCCGCCGCCTCGCGGGCCTTGACGTCGGCGAAGAAGCGCGCGCCGTTGCCCTGCACCTCGTCGGCGTAGTTCTTGGCCTGCAGGTTCTGCGGCACGCCCACCGGGTCCGCCCTGCCGCCGAGGATGCTGAGGTTCTCCATGACGGTGGCCAGGCGGCCCTCGGCCGTCGCGGGAGTGGCCGGCACAAACGTCGTCAGCGCCTCCTTGGTCAGAGAGGGCTTGAACTCGGAGCGCGTGCCGAACCGCACGGCGTCGTCAAACTGCTGCTCCTGGGGGTCCATTCTCTCAAAGGGATCCTGCCTCTTGCCACGAGGCCCAGCGGCACCGGCCGCTTTGTTGCCGCCCTCGCCCTCGGTCTTCTTCGCCGCCCTGCCCTTGCCTGCACCGGGTCTGCCTCCTGGCCGTCCGCCCGGTCGTCCTCCTCGTCCTGCTCCAAGCGTAGAGCCTCCCTTCCCTCTGTTGGCGGCCGAGAATCGGTTTCCGGTGGGTGAAGCAGCTCGAGGAGCGCCAGCAGCACTTGGCCCGCCTGCTCCTGTGCCTGCACCTGTGCCTCGTCCTCGCAGTCCGCCCGGCCTTCGAAGCATGCCTCCCTTGGGAAGACTCCGCACATCGATCACTCTTGGCTGTGCCGGCGCCGCTGAAGAATCCGTCGGGCTTCGTGCTCCCTGGGCATTGGTCCGATTCTTCACCAAGGAGTTGATCTCGCTGGCGGCTGCGCGGGTCCGCTGTCGAGCTGTAGGTTTGGCATTGGGATCGGCCGGGGCCTCGTCGAGCTGCGATTGCGTCGTGGAGAATTGGCGGAGGTAGCCTCTTAGGGCATTTCCGGCCCGTGCCAGTTCTGGCCTCGCTCGGTATATCGAGCGGAGTGACTGAGAGCTCATTGTTGCGGCTGGTGGCTCTTGGGCATCTTCTTGTGGTGAAGTGGGATGGTTTGGGATGTTGAGGGACCAAATTCTGTCGTTGGATGACTAAGCCCGCAACAAGACGGACTCAGGTACAGGTACTACTAATATAACAAAAGTGACGGTAACAACAGAATGTCCCCGTTGATAGAGGAAACAGCTTTTTTATTTTAGAAAAAAAACTCACAGCAAAAACATGTTTATATATGAAATATTCAGTCAAGTAAGTTATGGACAATGAAACTGACTGGAAAAAAGACTCCCCAAATCCTCCACTTCACTTGCAGTCCTTTCCAGCCTCTTCCTCTCTCTTAGCTCCCGTTTCTCTTTTCGCTCAGCATCATCGCTTTCCATTAATCCATTTTCCTTATAAATAGCTTTGAACTGATAATATTTCACCTGTCAGCAGTGCAAGTCCATGTATAGCAGCGACCAACTGATCCATTGATGTTGACTTCTGAATGTGAGATAAGCCATCTCGTCAGACATAATCCCAGCAGACCGTGGTGAATAATTGAAGAACTGGCGGGCTAATTTCATCCCTGAATTAATCGTAGAGGGAAGTAGTCCTTGGGCACGGATCGACACTATAAAGTGATCCCGCATATCTGGAGTCCGGTAACCTTTCCTCCCAGCAATCTGGCTGCATTCTTGTCGAAATCGTAGTTTCTCGCGGTTCTCCGAATCAAGAAGAGCGCTGGCTAACACGCAAGTTGCACACAGCATCATCTCCAGCATTATCAGCAATGCCGCCGCCCAGATCCCCTCTATCAGGCTGAATGTCCTTCCAATGATATCCAAAAATCTTCAACAAAGATATCAGCCCGAGAATCACCCCAACTGACAAACTTATATCTTTGCAAACATCCCGAAGATCCACCCACGCCGAGAAAAAAGGTACGGCACGAGCAAAGTGTCTAGACAAGTATGTCCACTCAGCTGCCATCTCAAACCCCATCAGAACCAAATTTGCCTTGCCCTTACAGCCCTGCATGAAGTCAACAATGATCCCCTCCAAATTTTCAAGATCGACTTGTTGCTCTCGGCCAAAGCGGTGCCGACGCCGAGTTGGCACGCCACCTTCCCCCTTAAGACAAACAATTTCCTCTCGCTTTTCTTTGCCAATATTGATATTAAGCGTTAAAGCCCGGATCTTATTCTCATTGTAGAAATTCTGAAAGCATGGACGGCTGGTACTGCGTGATGCTACGTCCGTTTCAGGCGAATCTTGTATCAAAGTTCGAACATGTGCCAGGCCGACCTGATGGAGGATCCGATCCTTTCCGCTTGCGATAGGAAAATGCTCGGTGTCGATTGCTATAAAGGCCGAGTCCTTGGAACTATCAAATAGATCTTGCAGAGTTGCGATTCTCTTGCTTAACAGCTCCCTAAAAGCTGGCTCGCGTTGGAGTTGCTTGTAGGTGGCCATGTCGTTCAATTGTTCATGCTGGCGATGGGCACCAGTTTGCTTCAATGTTTGTCAGCCTCTCCAAGGTAGTTACAGTGTCAAGATGAAGAATAGAACCGTTAAGACTCCTGAGATAGGTGGAAGGTTAGGTGTTCTCGCGGAAGTATATAAGGCTGAGTGAAGTTAAAACTCTGGCCTAGTTATCTAAAAACATAAAAGGGGAATATGCATCACTCCAATGTTGAATAATCTTTTCTCAATTTAATGTATTGTCAGGAAATTCCCATGATAAATCTTCTACTCCAAGCCAGCCCAGACAAACAAAGACAAAAAGGCACATCATCTAACGCCGCATTGGATGCCACAGACTTCCAGCGCGAGCCCATTTTGTATGAAGCTCCGAACCAATGCTTCCAAATGCCCTGATTGTCGACCTCTCTCGCTACAAGACTTATCACATCTACCCATTGATCCTCCCATACCCGAGGCGCCGACTTGTATTGAAAAAAACAAATTAACAAAAAAAGCAAATAAAAAAGTGGTGATTCCTGTCGTGTCCAAGGAAAAATGAGGCCCATACAAAAGGGCGCAGTGCCAAGAGACCATTCCAGGTCTTGGCTCAGACAATTACGTCTTACTGCTCAGAGAAAGCCAGTCAAACTGCTCGGCACGGTTGTTACCCCGTGGCTGCGGCAGCCACATGCTGTGTTGTCTTGCCATCTTGATCACATGGACACGTAGCTCCTCTTAAGATATGTATAAGATGGATGGCGCTGTCTACTGGCAATCTCAAGCCTTCTCTTTTCCTTTTTTTCTTCTCGGAGTATTAAGGGACGGAAATGTGAAGAGAAGGAGGCGCAGAGTGGACAAGGCAAAAAGAGAATATATATCCAACGGGTGCAATTGCTCAAAGCTCTCGTCATCAGACACTCTGTGGTTGAACCATGGCGGGCTATTTGACGTTAGTCTCCAAGTCATTCCATTATTCAACAGCTCACTTACCGGACTGTTGAGCATCTGCTGGCGCTTGTTACGGCCTTTCTTAATATGGCTCTTCAGAGCGCTAGAGTCGAGAGGTTTAAGGAGCTCAAAACTGCACAGGAGCTCGGAAGATACAGACATTACTGCTCCCCAATTATCGAATTCGCCACAATACTACAAAAGGTCAGTCAAAGTTGAAAAGCGTGACAGATTCCCGCGACACAAGTTTGGGGCAACTTACATTTGGCGCACTGAAAACGGTGACTAGGACTCGATCGTTGAAGAATTCATAACCGTCTTCGACCACCATGTGGGCGCGACAGACTAGATCAAAGTCGTGGGTGGCTAAGAAATCGGTAATTACTCGTTTTCCAAAGCAATAGCTCACTCCTCGTTCATTGGCCTCCCAGTCTTGCTCCATGTCAGCCGGGTCTGCCCAGAGCAGGTCATTGAGCAGTCCATAGTCAGGGACATCGGTAGGCCGGGCAATGTTGCGGATGTCATCCATGTGGCTCAGGGCAGGCGACAGGCCTCCATGGACACAAAAGATCTTGCCGGCCACAATAGCAGCAATGGGAAGTGTGTTGAAGCAATCGATAAACGTCTTCCAGATTTTGATGTTGCACCTTCGCTTACACTCATCGTAAAAGCCATAGACTCGGGTAACGTTGGCGCATTCGTGGTTTCCACGCAGCAAGAAAAAGTTCTCGGGAAACTTGAGCTTATAGCAGAGCAGTAGCAGGATGGTCTCGAGGGATTGCTTGCCTCTGTCGACGTAATCTCCGAGGAAGAGGTAATTGGACGTCGGAGGGAAGCCGCACATCTCAAACATGCGAATGAGATCGGTGTACTGGCCGTGTACATCACCAACAATCTTGACGGGAGCATCGAGCTCCAGTAGTGCAGGCTGAGCGAGGAACACCTCTCGGACACGTGCACATATGGCCATGATTTCCGCGTTCTTGAGGCAAACGCTCTTGGTGACCTTGCCGGCGTACCCAGCATCGAGGAGCCGCTTAATGTAGTCATCGAGGTCCATCTCCTTTATCTCGTCCATGCCCATGGCATCATTCTTTGGCTTCTTGGGCTTGGTCTTCTTGACGGGGGCATCGTCGCGCTTCACCAGGATGGACTGGCCCGGGGGGAGGAGATGCGTGTTGAGGCTGGCATTGGCCGACGGAGGCTGGTCAGAAACGTGGTCGACCTCGCCCGAGGCTTGCGCTGCGCTTACGTCGTGAGCGCCGCTCTTGACTGATTCGGAGACGGGTGATGGCGGAGGTAGTTGGTCGTCATTAGAAGGCGGCTCGGATAGATCGGTCGAATTGCCCCTCAACGGGATTGTATCGGTGCTGCGGCCCGAACGCGAGATGCTGGAGCGACCGCTCTTCCCAGACTTTACTGAGGCGGCATCGCCCGAGTCGCCGACAATCGAATTTCTCGGGCTGTCAACCCTACCACTGCCCGGGATTTTGGACCGCAACCCGCGAAAAGACCGAGTCGAATCCTTGGTGTCCGACTTGCTGAACGATGGGTACGACGAGAGAGCGTCACCCGAAGGCGCGCCGTTTTTGGACGAGGAGCCGCCCTCCTTGGAAGATTGGTTGCCCATTGCGAATCTGGTGTTTGAGGATAGAGAGCCCGCAGGGCGAGAGCTGTGATTTTTCAAAGACAGCAAAGAGAGAAGGGGAAAGAAAAGTGGCGAAGTTGGGGATGCTAAGGTCTAGGTTGCCTCTCTGGCGGATCCTTTTTATCAGGTCGCGGCGGGAGAATAGTTCAGGTACCGTTCAGCTTGTTCAGGTACCGTCCAGCAGCTCGTGCGATGCCCGTGGCAAAAGTCGTTGGGGGTTGGGAAAGGGTGAGTAACAGCAATCCCAGCCAGTCTTAGGGAGGATGGAATCGTCGACCGAGGTCGGTAAAGAAAGAGGACCGCTGACTCCTTGGAGCGTCCGTTTTGGTTGTCTTAGGCGAGAGCCTAGGAAGACAGGCCAGCTTGGAGGAGCTTAACGGAGCTCTGCGGATGACGTCGTGGTAAGAGCTCGTGACTCTGGGTCGAGACTGGCAGCTCTGGAAACAGCGCTCCGGCTTTGGGACCGCCAGAAATTAAGCCGGGGATGCCACGGTGGAAGTGGTCTCGGCCGTGAGCAAAAAAAAAAAATCTAGACGGCGAAATCAGCGCGGCCGATCCGGAGCGAGTGTGTCTACTGCATCCGCGGGACTGCAGCAGGGCGCAGGAGCGGGGTGGGATATAGTATGGATGGGTATTGGATTGGATACTGGGGACAAGGCAATGGGAAGCAGAACGGCTATGGCGGATGGCAGCGCCGCAGCGAGTGACGCGGTCCCGAGGGCAGGATGCGATGGTGAGGCGACGATGGGAACGATGCAACGGGACTCTGGCAGAGACACCCGAAAACTTGATGCGATGGAATTGGGACAAGAGGTACCTTGCAGATCCAGCACCAACTCACGGCAGGGCCTTAGGTCCAAGACATGGATGGATCGGACGTGCGAAATGGGGATGGAGGGGCAAGGTCTCGGGACGGCCAAGGCGTCTTAACACGTTGTTGGTGTTGGTTGTTATTTCGCCGGGTAAGGTTGGGGGAGAGTACGGTATCGCGGGAGATGGAGATGGAGATGGAGATGGAGGAATGGGAGGAGACAAGAAAAACAGATTGGACGCAACATACATCAGCAACAACAAGGTGCGGACGGCGTGCCAGGACGGGCCCGGGTGGTGGCGATGCTCACTCGGAGCTCCTATCTCGGCAAGCTTATGGCGGCGTGGAAATACGTGCTAACGCCGCCTCGCTGGGCTAGCTGAGCCGGGTTTATGGGTGCTGTGAAGAGAAAGGCCGCGATGCTTTGTAGATATGGAGCAAAGCGCTGGTAACGCGATCAGGCAGCAGTTTATGTAAAGTTTGTCTCGCCTCGTCTTTACGGCCTTTGGTCGTGAAAGAAGAGAAAAAAGAAAACGATGCAAGAGGAGAGCCGTTTATCCAGGCGTCTACCGTGCGGATCGGGCGTTGGGCAAGGCTGGTGGGGCGCGGTCCGCAGATGGCTGGTGGAGGTTGGCTATTCGATCTAAGTTTTATTGATGCGCCGAGTCGTGAGAGAGTAGGTATGTATCCAGAATGCCGATGGCGATGGTATATATTATATACACTATACACTCATAAGGATGCCGATGGGCAAAAGAGCAGAGAGGAAATGGAAAGACGGAGGCGAGGAATACTCCAACAGAAAGCTCTGTGAATAGCCGCGGAATCGATAGCTGGACGAGGCCCAGCCCGGGTCCTTGTGACACAGCCGCCCGGGGCAGAAAACCATTGACCCACGATTAAGGTTTCACACCCATCCACAACCCCCCTCTTGGCTCTCTTTGGGGGTCGAAAGGCAGCAGAGTCGAGATGCTGTCGGTTCCGGAAGGGAGGCGCTGGATGCGGCGAGGCGGAGCGTTTGCCCGTCAGGCGCGGACACTGAAAGCTGGAGGTGTACGCAGAGTGCTTAGTAAGGATTGATGGATGAATCGGCGCCACGTGCTTACATTGGGACGTACGGGCCGAGTCTGGTATCAATCTGAAGCTGAGAGCTTACAAGAGCATGTCACAGCAGAAATAAACAACAAAGAACTGTTGCTCGACCCCGCAGGAAAACAGCAAACAGCGAAGCCAGCAAAAACACGGGCGATGCCTTCAATGCAGCCCCCCGGTCACCTTTGGGCATCTTGGGCGCTGACAGCCAGCCAGGGCCCCCCCTACAGCGCGCTGTAGCGTTCGCCCTAGTGGCCCTAGACGGCTCCGGGGCCGCCTAATCCCAGTCCGGCCCTGCACTTTCGCAGACCGAGTCCAGCCCCCACGAGTCCCGGGAGCCACTGAAAGGCCAGCAGCTCGTTCGTCCAGCTGGCCCCCTGCAGCGCAAGTCGACCGACTCGACAGGGCACGTGCCAGCGCCGCAACGGCTTTCTGGATTGATTCAATATTTCGAATTGATCCATTGATCACAAATGCCATTTGATCAACGATTGCAACAGTCGACTGCGGCTCGACTCATCATCATGTGCCGCCTCTTGGAGCCCGAAATCCATTGCGCTTTTCGTGAGCGGCGAGTGGTGCCAGCTACTACATCTAGGCAGCTTCGTCGGCATCCTCGTGCCTAAAATGTGCGGCTCAAAGTGATACTCCCACTCAACCAAGCACGACATGAGGCTCCAAATTTGGCCTCAAACAAAAACCCCTTCCGTTACAGAACACAACCTTACCGTACCTTGTCTCCCCAATCACACAAAGGTACAGTACCTAGTACTACTAGTAAGAGGCAGGGACGTGTCATGGCCTTTTTTTGTTTTGTTTCCTTGTTTTTCTTTTTTCCTTCGTCTCATGCGCAGTCGTCCTTCCATGGCCTCCCATTGGCTACCTATGTTCCCGGTTGCCCAACAGCTGAGCCTCTGTGGACGGTTGCATCCTTCGGAGGTCGCTCAGATCGAGACAAAACTTCCGTATTTCCCCGTGTGGCATCGCATAATTCTTGCGTGAGGAAACAGACCCCAAGGAGACAACAAGCAGCTTCCGGCACGGTTTCTGCCTGCTTGCCGCAAGTCACATTCACCTGTTCGGGAAGTGTATCGGTCAGCCGCCGCATCAATTATTCTCTCCGCTAGTCCATCACTTTGGCTCGGCAAAATGGACGTGTAATTGCATATATTGATGAACCAGTTGGATGGTCTGCTAGCCAACGATATATATATCATGGTAGTCTTCCAGTAATCTAGAATGCAGCGAGTGAGACGAGCACTGTGTCACGGCAAAAGCACCACGCATGATTCATCTTTATCACCTTTTTGATGATTACCTATCAAGTCATTGATGCAAGCCTGATGCGCACTGAGGCGTTCATTGGGGCAAGCAAAGCTGCTGCATCGATCATGTTCCACCAGAGCACTCTCAGTCTCGGGATGTCCCTATCTGAAAGCGGTTGCTCATCTAGTGGAGTGTGTATTCTAATCGATTCGATTCGATTCTATTCTATTCTATTCTATTCTGCCTACACTAAAATGCAGATTTAGAAGCACACTTCACTCAGGCTGCCACCTTCGCAAAACTGCGAACTGCTGCGCTTTACTAGTACCTATATTTTCTCCAGCATTCACTACTATATCTACATTTCTCTAGTAACTGCCACCATACTTATATATTTTTAGCATTCACTACTATAATTGTATTTGTCTGGCACTCGGCGTTGTTTGCGGCGCGGGATACGGAATAGCAAAATCGGCGTTCCATTGAGATATTAGAAGGCGATACTCCGTAAGGATTACCTAAATATGTCCGCGTAAAGAAGGTAGGACAGTTACCAGATTAGATGAGTAATCAACCATGATGTAAATGCAGGTGTCGCAGGAGAGGGAGCTTTAGAAAGATGGACGATAATGGAATAGCCAGTGAGAATGAGGAAGGCTTGGAATCGGCAAGCGGAGTGTTCGACTTCGCTGAAAACAACATACATCCATTGAAGCAACAAAATCACATTCAAGTGTGCTTACTAAGGCAGCTTATTAGGAGGAGACCTCGATCTTACTGGACTACAAATTTGGAAAAGCGAGGGATCGTGCGCATGAGCTTGTCTCCTGGCGCACACTCGCATTCTTCTTGGTCGAAGCTGAGTCCCTGCTTATCAAAATTCCGCCTTGGGCACTTGGACTATTGAGTACGAGTACATGTAAGCGGCCCGAGCAGCTTTGTCCCAATCGGTCCAGCTGAAGCGTTCCGCGTTTCCATTTGACAAGATTGAGAGACGATGTGACATTCTAGATGTGCTCTGTATCCGTAACCAGAGCATCCCAAATCCATATCTCAACATCGACTCAAGATCTCAAATTAAATAGCAGCGATAGTTGTAGTAATGCAGCCTCTTCGCATTTGACGCTTCAGCGATAACATCAATGCATTGTACTGTACGGAGCACCACAGCCGCTGGGGCTTAGTACCTTTACCGAGTGACACTCCAAGTTCCCAGCTAACAATCGGCATGTCTAAAATTAGAAGCCCTCATGGAATGGATGGTTCGCCTCACAGCCCAGCCCAGTTGTCGGGCAGCACAGCTCCGACTTTAGCGCATCAAACCATCCAGAACTAGCCGTTGGGTTGGGCTGTGTCATGATTGCCAAGCGACGGATTCCCACTACCCTGTACGAAGAAGAAACAAACCAACAGGCCAAGGCAAAAAAAAGCGAATGAGCTGCTCGGGGATAGTTGCGGAGAAAGAATGGATGCTTTGACGTTTTGCCAGGAAGGCTTTTTTTACCCCCTGGGCCTGCAGAATTAGACGCAGCTCGACAAAAGAGCCGCGCTGGGGTCGAGGCTACTGTCGGATGCCATTTTCCGTGCACAGTCAGAACTAGGCAAAAAAAATGCTTGTCCGTGCGATCAGCGCCAGGAACCACACACACTCAGCCGCCGTCGTCAGCAGCTCCAAAAAAAAGAAGAAGAAAAGGCCATGCAACCCAAAAAAACACGAGTCGTACGCGTATCACTGTGGTTATTCTGTTTGTCTATACGGACTACATACATCGTAGCATAGCTTGGGAAAAAGTTGGACACTGGGGATCCAAAG